TCGGGAGCAGTGATGAGGCATGCGCCTCTCGGCGACAGTAATGCGAATGGGAAGAACCCCTCGGCAGCAGTGATGAGGCATGCGCCTCTCGGCGACAGTAATTCGAATGGGAAGGACCCCTCGGGAGCAGTGATGAGGCATGTGCCTCTCGGCGACAGTAATGCGAATGGGAAGAACCCCTCGGGAGCAGTGATGAGGCATGCGCCTCTCGGCGACAGTAATGCGAATGGGAAGAACCCCTCGGGAGCAGTGATGAGGCATGCGCCTCTCGGCGACAGTAATGCGAATGGGAAGAACCCCTCGGGAGCAGTGATGAGGCATGCGCCTCACGGCGACAGTAATGCGAATGGGAAGGACCCCTCGGGAGCAGTGATGAGGCATGCGCCTCTCGGCGACAGTAATGCGAATGGGAAGAACCCCTCGGGAGCAGTGATGAGGCATGCGCCTCTCGGCATAAGAACCCCTCGGGAGCAGTGATGAGGCATGCGCCTCTCGGCGACAGTAATGCGAATGGGAAGAACCCCTCGGGAGCAGTGATGAGGCATGCGCCTCACGGCGACAGTAATGCGAATGGGAAGGACCCCTCGGGAGCAGTGATGAGGCATGCGCCTCACGGCGACAGTAATGCGAATGGGAAGGACCCCTCGGGAGCAGTGATGAGGCATGTGCCTCTCGGCGACAGTAATGCGAATGGGAAGGACCCCTCGGGAGCAGTGATGAGGCATGTGCCTCTCGGCGACAGTAATGCGAATGGGAAGGACCCCTCGGGAGCAGTGATGAGGCATGTGCCTCTCGGCGACAGTAATGCGAATGGGAAGGACCCCTCGGGAGCAGTGATGAGGCATGCGCCTCTCGGCGACAGTAACGCGAATGGGAAGGACCCCTCGGGAGCAGTGATGAGGCATGCGCCTCTCGGCGACAGTAATGCGAATGGGAAGGACCCCTCGGGAGCAGTGATGAGGCATGTGCCTCTCGGCGACAGTAATGCGAATGGGAAGGACCCCTCGGGAGCAGTGATGAGGCATGCGCCTCTCGGCGACAGTAATGCGAATGGGAAGAACCCCTCGGGAGCAGTGATGAGGCATGCGCCTCTCGGCGACAGTAATGCGAATGGGAAGGACCCCTCGGGAGCAGTGATGAGGCATGCGCCTCTCGGCGACAGTAATGCGAATGGGAAGAACCCCTCGGGAGCAGTGATGAGGCATGTGCTACTCGGCGACAGTAATGCGAATGGGAAGAACCCCTCGGGAGCAGTGATGAGGCATGCGCCTCTCGGCGACAGTAATGCGAATGGGAAGAACCCCTCGGGAGCAGTGATGAGGCATGTGCTACTCGGCAACAGTAATGCGAATGGGAAGGACCCCTCGGGAGCAGTGATGAGGCATGCGCCTCTCGGCGACAGTAATGCGAATGGGAAGGACCCCTCGGGAGCAGTGATGAGGCATGTGCCTCACGGCGACAGTAATGCGAATGGGAAGGACCCCTCGGGAGCAGTGATGAGGCATGCGCCTCTCGGCGACAGTAATGCGAATGGGAAGGACCCCTCGGGAGCAGTGATGAGGCATGTGCCTCTCGGCAACAGTAATGCGAATGGGAAGGACCCCTCGGGAGCAGTGATGAGGCATGTGCCTCTCGGCAACAGTAATTCGAATGGGAAGGACCCCTCGGGAGCAGTGATGAGGCATGCGCCTCACGGCGACAGTAATGCGAATGGGAAGGACCCCTCGGGAGCAGTGATGAGGCATGTGCCTCACGGCGACAGTAATGCGAATGGGAAGAACCCCTCGGGAGCAGTGATGAGGCATGCGCCTCTCGGCGACAGTAATGCGAATGGGAAGAACCCCTCGGGAGCAGTGATGAGGCATGTGCCTCTCGGCGACAGTAATGCGAATGGGAAGAACCCCTCGGGAGCAGTGATGAGGCATGCGCCTCACGGCGACAGTAATGCGAATGGGAAGAACCCCTCGGGAGCAGTGATGAGGCATGCGCCTCTCGGCGACAGTAATGCGAATGGGAAGAACCCCTCGGGAGCAGTGATGAGGCATGCGCCTCTCGGCGACAGTAATGCGAATGGGAAGGACCCCTCGGGAGCAGTGATGAGGCATGTGCCTCTCGGCGACAGTAATGCGAATGGGAAGGACCCCTCGGGAGCAGTGATGAGGCATGTGCCTCTCGGCGACAGTAATGCGAATGGGAAGAACCCCTCGGGAGCAGTGATGAGGCATGCGCCTCTCGGCGACAGTAATGCGAATGGGAAGAACCCCTCGGGAGCAGTGATGAGGCATGCGCCTCTCGGCGACAGTAATGCGAATGGGAAGAACCCCTCGGGAGCAGTGATGAGGCATGCGCCTCTCGGCGACAGTAATGCGAATGGGAAGAACCCCTCGGGAGCAGTGATGAGGCATGCGCCTCTCGGCGACAGTAATGCGAATGGGAAGGACCCCTCGGGAGCAGTGATGAGGCATGCGCCTCTCGGCGACAGTAATGCGAATGGGAAGAACCCCTCGGGAGCAGTGATGAGGCATGTGCCTCTCGGCGACAGTAATGCGAATGGGAAGAACCCCTCGGGAGCAGTGATGAGGCATGTGCCTCTCGGCGACAGTAATGCGAATGGGAAGAACCCCTCGGGAGCAGTGATGAGGCATGCGCCTCTCGGCGACAGTAATGCGAATGGGAAGAACCCCTCGGGAGCAGTGATGAGGCATGCGCCTCTCGGCGGCAGTAATGCGAATGGGAAGGACCCCTCGGGAGCAGTGATGAGGCATGCGCCTCTCGGCGACAGTAATGCGAATGGGAAGAACCCCTCGGGAGCAGTGATGAGGCATGCGCCTCTCGGCGACAGTAATGCGAATGGGAAGGACCCCTCGGGAGCAGTGATGAGGCATGCGCCTCTCGGCGACAGTAATGCGAATGGGAAGGACCCCTCGGGAGCAGTGATGAGGCATGCGCCTCTCGGCGACAGTAATGCGAATGGGAAGGACCCCTCGGGAGCAGTGATGAGGCATGTGCCTCTCGGCGACAGTAATGCGAATGGGAAGGACCCCTCGGGAGCAGTGATGAGGCATGTGCTACTCGGCGACAGTAATGCGAATGGGAAGGACCCCTCGGGAGCAGTGATGAGGCATGCGCCTCTCGGCGACAGTAATGCGAATGGGAAGGACCCCTCGGGAGCAGTGATGAGGCATGTGCCTCTCGGCGACAGTAATGCGAATGGGAAGAACCCCTCGGGAGCAGTGATGAGGCATGTGCTACTCGGCGACAGTAATGCGAATGGGAAGGACCCCTCGGGAGCAGTGATGAGGCATGTGCCTCTCGGCGACAGTAATGCGAATGGGAAGGACCCCTCGGGAGCAGTGATGAGGCATGTGCTACTCGGCGACAGTAATGCGAATGGGAAGAACCCCTCGGGAGCAGTGATGAGGCATGTGCCTCTCGGCGACAGTAATGCGAATGGGAAGGACCCCTCGGGAGCAGTGATGAGGCATGTGCCTCACGGCGACAGTAATGCGAATGGGAAGGACCCCTCGGGAGCAGTGATGAGGCATGCGCCTCTCGGCGACAGTAATGCGAATGGGAAGAACCCCTCGGGAGCAGTGATGAGGCATGTGCCTCACGGCGACAGTAATGCGAATGGGAAGGACCCCTCGGGAGCAGTGATGAGGCATGTGCCTCTCGGCGACAGTAATGCGAATGGGAAGAACCCCTCGGGAGCAGTGATGAGGCATGCGCCTCACGGCGACAGTAATGCGAATGGGAAGAACCCCTCGGGAGCAGTGATGAGGCATGCGCCTCTCGGCGACAGTAATGCGAATGGGAAGAACCCCTCGGGAGCAGTGATGAGGCATGCGCCTCTCGGCGACAGTAATGCGAATGGGAAGGACCCCTCGGGAGCAGTGATGAGGCATGTGCCTCTCGGCGACAGTAATGCGAATGGGAAGGACCCCTCGGGAGCAGTGATGAGGCATGTGCCTCTCGGCGACAGTAATGCGAATGGGAAGAACCCCTCGGGAGCAGTGATGAGGCATGCGCCTCTCGGCGACAGTAATGCGAATGGGAAGAACCCCTCGGGAGCAGTGATGAGGCATGCGCCTCTCGGCGACAGTAATGCGAATGGGAAGGAGCGCGCGTGAAGCACGCATGTGCATAGTAGTCCATATAGTAGCCCTATGGAGACAACCAACGTCAGCTGACCCGCGGGTCACGCCAGCCACTGTACTTGTGGGCCTCTGGAATCATCGTTACTTGCAGTTAACGGATGCACGGCTTTCTGGCGGCATGCGGCGGCTTTGAGGGCATCGGTGGCTGTAGTCAAGTGTGCCGTACAACGCCTTTGAATGTACGGCACGGGGCTCCTTGAGCATGCACCGTAGGTCATCTAGGTAGGCATGACCTAGCTAGGCTCCACGCATTCACCCAAGCCACTCACCATTGACCGTGTCTTCAGCGGCCATCAGGTGCCATCTTTACATCCGTTTTTCCATCTAAATTCGCCTCATCACGCAGATGCCGGCTGTCAGGCAGCACGTACGGTATCTTGACGGCTTTCAAGGCGGTAATGCGAGACGGCGGTAATTGCGGCGTACTAGACAGCGCGCATGAGAAAACATGACTTGACGTCTCGGCGCCCGTTCGTATTTGCAAGCACTGCGCAGGCGTGGGCGCAACGTCTCATTGATATACCGGCGGCATGATATACTCGCCGCATGGGGCAAGGAACTGACTCATTCGTGCGGGCGGGATGTGCAGTGGTTCAGCTTCAGGATGCCGCGGACGAGGGGCAACACGCTGGAGAAGACGGAAGCGTGCGGAGGGCGTTACGGCCGAGCTGAACACACCATTCAGCTGGTGACAAGGAGGAAGGAGTACCCGCCGCGTCAATTGGACGCCATCATCAACAGCAGGTCTTCCTATGGTCACTGTCACTGTTTCCTCGCGGCTCAGTTTACTTAACTCGCATTTGACATGCGGCTGCCGTTTACTACCGTCTAGTAGGCTGAGGGCTGAGGAAGAGGCGCCAACCAGGAGCGTAGAGGCGATACCGGTAAGGGTTTACATACCTGGTGCGAGAGGTACACACGCTGCTTCGGGGGAGGCAACCGGCATCGCAGCCTAGCCGGCAAATCCCTTACAATCCCCCGGACCATGGAGAAAAACAGCCCATCCTCGCGACCGCGCGGCGCCCACACCAGCCTTATTACGCTGCTCCGAAACCCACATCATCATGCGCCGGCATGCTGCATGGGGCTTGCGTCACGTGCTCGTCACACCAGCAGCTTGCGCTCACGCCAGCAGCGGCGGCAGCTCCTCCGGCGCCCACATCTTGATGGTCCGGTCGTACGACACCGTTGCGATCAGGTGGTTGCCTGCGGGCGACACATCGGCGCCCATCACCTTGCCCTCGTGACCCGCGAGTGACTTGAGGAGCGAGAAGTCGCGACCGCTCCACACCTGCAGCGGGGGGTGGAGGGGGGGGGGGAGGAGGAGGTGTCAGGACACAGGTGAGGGCGAGATGAGGGGGGTGGGAGGCGGCATGAGGAGACAAGGGAAACCGGTACTGAACCGGTATCGAGGTGGGTGATTGTGTGGGGACAAGGCAGGATGAGGTAGTTGTAACCGTACGGCAGCAATCACAGGCTGGCGTGATGCACCAACAGGGTGATGTTACAGGCCGGGGCGTGCGGGTAGTGGCATGCTTCCTTCCAGCAGTACTTCCTGGCTTCCGGCTTCCGGCGGACACAGCGCACTCCCATCAGCCGTCCCTGCCCCCCTCCCTTCCCCCCTTCCCTCCCCCCTTCCCTCCCCCTCTTCCCTCCCACCTTTGCCACGCAGTCGTACCCCGCCGTCAGCAGGTACCAGCCGCCGGCCCGCTCGTAGCGCACGCAGCTCAGCAGCGAGGTGTGTGCGGGCAGCGTGTAGAGGCAGCCCTTGCGGCGCAGGTCCCAGACCTGGGGCGGGGGGGAGGGGGATAATGAAGAAGTGGTGGGGGATAAAGGAGGGAAGGGCGAGAGAGAGAGGCGCGGCGGTGGCCAGGGGAAAGTGGCGAGGCGAAACCGACCCAGGGGTCGGTCGCGAAGCGGCAGGGGAAGCAGCAGCATGAAGCGCACAGCCGCAATGGCCTAATGGAAGGGAGCACGGTCTCCTCCATCTCCTTCTCTTCCCCTCCCTCCGCATATCCCCTCCCCTCCCCTCACCCCACCCCACCTCCTTACCTCCCACCACCCTCTGCACCGCGCTCCCCTTCCCCCACCCCACCTTTGCGCTGTGGTCCTCGCTGCCGGTCGCCACGTGGTACCCGTTGGGTGAGAAGTCCAGAGCCAGCAGCGGCTTCACGTGCCCCTCCAGCAGCAGCACGGAGCGCCCGGTGCGGCAGTCCCAGATGCGACCTGACAGGGGGGAGGGGAGGGGGGGAGGGAGGGGGGTTAGCGGGGAAAGGGAAGGTGGTGAGAAAAAAACGAACCACAACAACAGGGCTCCAGACGAGTTTAGTTAACCTCACGCTAACTCTTGGTTTCCAGCAATAATTCTTACCTCACCCCCTCCCGTTCCTACCCAAACCCCTCCCCTCCTGCTCCCTTCTCCCCTCCCTCCCCCTCACCGTACGCGTCCATGCCCGCACTGCCCACCAGCGACCCGTCCGGGTGGAATGCCACTGCGTACACCGCGCGCGAGTGCCCCTCCTGCTCCAGCAGGCAGCTGCCCGCCTCGGCGTCCCACAGCCGCCAGGTGCCGTCGAAGGAGGCGGTGGCCTGGGGGGGGGGAGGGGAGGCATGAGATCGTGGACTGTACGTATGTTTCTCAAGGGTATTGAAAGAGCGTTCGAAATCCCGTAACCCTAGCTGCTTGTACTTCCCCCCTCCCCACGTGCGGTGCCATCACCCTTCCCCGCCTCCCGCCTCCCCCCCTCACCAGGTGTTGCCCCATGGGGTGGAAGGCCAGCCGCCCCAGCCGCTCCGTGTGCCCCTCCAGGCTGCGGAGCAGCTCGCCTGGCAGCGGAGCGGAGGGGGGGAGGGAGGGTTGGGAAGAAGGGAAGAGGCAGGAGGAACAAAAGGACTGCAGGGACCTTGGGAAGAGGCGCGAAAGGGGAGGAAGAGCATGCACAGAAGGGCAGGAACAGTCCCTTGCATCCCGCCCCGACCCCCTCTTCCGCTCCTCCTCCTCCTCACCCTTCCCCGTATACAGCCGCGCCACCCCGTCTGACGCCGCCGAGGCCAGGTTGACCGCCCCCTCGCTGCTGTGTGACCCGTGGGTCGCTGCGGGGTGCCAGGCCACCCCCGTCAGCCTGGGCGCCTCCTTGGGCGCGGGGGCGGACCAGAGCTTGGTGACGGATGGGGCGGACCACAGGGAGAGGGTGCCGCCCCAGCCTAGGAATTGGGAGTGGGGGTAGCGTGGGATGGAGATGGGGGTAAAGGGGGGGATGGGAGCGGGTAATCGGAATGGAGGGATGCAGAGGGGCCCCCACCGCGCCCCCACCCCTCCCTCCGCGCCCCCACCTTCCTCTCTCCTACAAGCAACCCTATACCGGTAGACATTCCCTCCCTCTCCCCACCCCCCCTACCGCATGCCGCCAGCTGAGTCCCATCCGGCGAGAAGGCGCAGTGGCTGATGGGCCGCGTGTCGCCCAGCTCGCTGCACTGCTGCACCAGCTGCCGCACGGCGGAGGTGGCGGAGGAGCCGCAGGCGGCGTAGGCCTGGGGGGGGAGGGGGGGTGCACATGCATGCATGCATGGGGCCCAGGTGGGAGGAAGAGGGAGGGTACCGGTATGATACCGTATGTGCGTTTCCTCACACTCGCCCCTGCAACGTGCTTCCGCTTCACAACACGTCAGCTTTGAGGGCAGCCCGTCCCCCTCCCCCTCCCCCGCCCCCTCCCCGCCCCCAACCCACCCTGCCCATCTCCGCCTCCTCCCTCCTCCGCTTGGCCCCCCGCAGCCGCCCCTTGGCCGCCAGCAGCGAGTAGGCCGCCAGCGTGCGGCGGGCGGAGCGCAGCGCCTCACTCCCCTCCGTGTAGAACAACTCCTGCAGGGGGGGGAGAGGAGAGGAGAGAGGGAGTGGCGCGGGGTTAGGATACGTAGTGGGTGGTGGGTGAGTGGAGGGAGCGAGGGAGGTCGGGGGAACCGCCGTACGGAGGAGTGCGGAGAAGAAGGGGTGCTTGCTGGGCGCCTTTGCATGCATTTAAAGGCTGGATCTATTGGCACAGCGCCTTTCTGCCCTCCCCCTCCGCCCCACCTTCTGCACCGCCACCTCCTCCTCCAGCAGCTGCTGCTCCCCACCCGGCAGCTGCAGCTCCAGCTCCACCTCGCCCTCGCCGCGCTGGGCGATCAGCCGCTTCAACCGCTCGCGCCGCTCCATCTGATAGGGAGGGGGGGGAGGGGAGGGGGGGAGGGGGGAGGGAGGGGGCAGGGAGGAGACCCAACATGGTGAATGATGGAGGCAAAGTGGGTGACAAGCTAGGGTGAGGGGAGAGGGAAGGGAGAGGAGACGAGGAGTTGCCTACCGGCGTCACTGGGCCCCCACCAGCCCACCACTCCAACTGGGCGCCGGGCTGGGCACACGGCGACATGGGCCATCTGCATTCGGATCTTCCGCCCCACCCCACCCCATCCACTGCCCCCACTTAGGGTTTGATTTCTACTCCGATACCCCCCCCCCACTCCACCCCCACGCCCCCCCTCCCCCCGCCTCACCTCCCGCTCCCCGAACATGGTGACGGGCTCCCCCAGCTGCCGCAGCAGCTGCCGCACCTTGCCATCGTCGGTGGGGACAACTACCTGGGGGGGAGGAGGGAGGGGAGGGGAGGGACAAGGGGCAGGAGAGGGGTAAACTGAAGCAAAAGCGAAGCACCAGAAACCCCAATCCTATGGCCCGACTGGCAGGATGGAGGTCGGTGCGGCGATGTGGCTGCTGCCAGCGAACTGTCTGACCCCTCCAGGGGGACACTACGCCCGCTCCAGCTGCGTCCACCCACACCGCCTCGCACCTTCGCCACCGCCCGCCCGCCCGCCCTCTTCCCACGTTGATACACACACCCTCAGCTCGCAGCGGGCCCCTCCGCAGCACCCCCAGCCCCACCACTCCCCGCCATGATGCATCCCATGGTGGGGCTCTGGAACAGGGTTGGTGCTTCCTCACCCTCACCCCCAACCCCCATCCCACCTGTGGCGCGGCTCAGGCAACACCCCCCCCCACCCCCCACCTGTCGGATCTTCCTGCGCAGCTCGAACTCCTTCAGCTTGGCCGCATGCGCATCCCGCTCCTTGGCGCTGGTCTGGAGGAGGGGAGGGAGGGAGGGGAAGGAAGGGGGGCGGGAAGGGGGCGGAGGTTGGATGGGGTGAGGGAGAGAAGAGGGGGGCTTTGAGGCAGGGACAAGGGGGAGGGGGAAAGGAAGGGGCATGGTAGGAGGCTAGGGAGGCAGAAGGGTGGGAAGATGGCAAGGAGGGCATCTTCTTTTTCTGGACGACAAGCTGTGCAAGTGCGGGGATGGAGGGAGTACCAAAGTGCCCCCAACTACGCGTCCCAGGTAAGGGAAGGCCGCTGTCCTCGTTGGGACGGTCAACGGGGGATGGGATGTTGGCTGGAAATGGTCCCCAAAGCCCTAGCCATAGCCAATATGCAGCCTTGTGAGGTGCAGTGCATCTGACGCCCCGCGGATGTGTGGTGAGGGAGGGACTTGGCAGCAGGCTAGGGCTGGTGTGTGTGTGGAGACATGGAGGATGAGACCAGGCTTACCTCCGGCAGAGCAAACACGTCCGCCATTTGTCCCGCTGTCCGCTAAGGCAGTTAAAGGAATGCCGACTACAGTAAAGAGTTGAGAGGGCTTGCACTGGCGTCAGCCCTGGCCGCCTTCTATCGATCGGGCGCTATTGCCGTTCCACGACTGGAGTGTGCATGGCTACTTCCTCACATGCATTAACGCAATTGGTCTTCCTTCAACCAAGGGGTACCGCTGGTAGAACTGGGTATGCGATAGTTCGGTTGGTAAGCAGCCAAAGCTTGCGTTAGATCTATGGCATATACGTCGCATGTATGCATAAAGCAAAAGTATAGAAGGACGGCTGTCCAGCAGGACTAACCACCATTGTTCCTTGCTGTAGGGAGAAAGGCCCTGCGGAGCTGCCTAATTGCAACGCTAGCGCGTTACCAAAGTTAAAAGCTCATAAAGGAATTAAGAGTATAGACGTTTGTACGCATTTCCATTTGTATCTGTTGAAGGCTAGAAAGGCCAGAGTACCTGCCATTGCTCATCGACTCGCGCCAGGCGATCGAACCTGGCGCGATGTCTGAAAAGAAGGAAATAGATGAGATCGTGGAGGAGTGCTGCACGGTGTTCAGGCGGAGGTGCGAGCTTTGCGTTCTGGTGGCGCGCCGCAGGCGGTCGCTTGGAGCTTGGACGCTGAAAGCCATCGCTATTGCAGGCAAATTGAGGGATCGTTACCATGTGCCAAGAAAACACTGGACATCTTGCGATTAATCGTGACGAACAAGAAGCACAGCACAGCTGCGGCGCTCATCGACGAGATGCGCACAGTGGGCTACAAGATGCAGACTGCTCGCCCAGTTGGTAGGCTGTGGGGATCAGCGTGGGCCCAATAATGCAGCAACAAACTTAGCAAAGGGCCTAAACCACCTCCATCCCCTATCGTAGAGCTGGCAATTGGCAACATGGTGCGCCGCGTCCTTCACATTATTCGCGAGGAGGCCAAGCAGGAGGAGATCGAGGAGGCAAAGCCCTCGTACTCCCAGCCGATCAACGCGGAGGCGTCTCGCACGCAGGTACGCCCTTGTTCCTTTGTTTACCCACAACCCCCTGTCCTCTGTCCCCGCTTTCTTCCTCTTTACACCCTTTCCTTCGCCATGCTTTCCCTCTCAACACACCCCCTCCTACCAGCCACCACCCCATCCCCCATGTCCCTTCCCTTACATCCTTACCTCCTTACCTTCCAACCCGTACCCTTCCTCCTCCTCCCACCCTCCCTCTCCCCAGGCCGGCGGCCTGCTCTCCCAAGCCCTCAAAGGCCGCCTCCAAATGGCTCGCGGCCCCTCCCTCTCAAACCTGCTCGACGCGGGAATCGACCCCGGGTCAGGCGGCTTCGTCTGCTCCCTAGCCCCCATCCAGGAGGGCCCCGGCCCCGCCTCCTCAGCCCCAGGGGACCGCCACAGCGGCGCCAACCTGCCCGAACCCACCTTCAGCACCCCCAGCGCTCTGGCTGCGGGCATGGCGTCGCTAACACTGGGGGGAGGCGGGGGAGGCGGGGGTGCGAGTGCTGCGGAGCGGGGAGGGGACTACGAGGTGGAGTCGCAGGCGTCCACCCGGCGGCCCCCGGGGAAGGCACCCAGGAACTGGAAGGTGGGTGGTAAAATAACTGGTGTGTGGAAGGGGAGGGAATGAGAGGGACTGGGGTAGGGAGAGGGGTAAGGTGGGAACTGTAACGGTTAGGGGCAAGGGCAGGGGGCCGGGGGGTTGCAGCAGGGGGCTGGTGGGGAGGGGGGAGGGGTTGGACTGGTTGTGGTGGCATCGTTGGGGTTGGATTGACTGGGAGAGGGCATTGGGAGTGCTTTGGGGTGCTTGGAGTGCGGGGACGGTGCCGAGGAGGGCCGCGGGCCGCCAGGTGGTGGGTCCCAGGGGTGGGAGGGCTGCGGGTCGCTGGAGGGTGGCTAGGCCGGGATAAGGCTGGGAGCGATGCGGTTAGTGCCTTTGCGGGCTGGAACCTGGTAGGGCGGAGGCGCAGGTGCAGGCAGGAGAGTGGTGAGAAGGATAGCAGGGAGCTGGGAGTGTTGGCAACCCGGTTGGGTGGGCGGGTAGGAGGGAGGGGAGGCCAGGGCGGGCGGTTGATGGGCGCGGGAGCAGCAGGAGCAGCAGCACCAGCCGTTGAGGTGCACCACACCGGCTCGGGCCTGGGTGCTCCTCCTTCGTTTTCACTCCTGCACTTCCCATGCGTGCGTGTGGGGTGGGGTGGTGGGGGCACTTGCCGCCTCCCTGGCCACTGCACATGAAAGCGGAGGAGGGAGGGAGGTCAGTCCCTTTGTGCAAGCCCTTTGCTCTGGGCTCTTCCACTCCTCCTCCTCCACACTCGCCTCGCTACCCTGCGGTTGGGGTCGGGTGGGTAGGCCCCCGGTTGGGGTCGGGTGCTTGGTCAACCCTGGCACCTTCACACCCTTTCTCTCCCTCACGACTCAAGTGCAATGGCCCCTGTCCCCCTAACTAATCCTTCCCAACTTTGTGCTCTTTCTCTTCCGCTTCCTCCCTCCCTCCCCTCCCCCCCCCCAGGGCAAGCACGAGGTTATTGAGAGCATCAACGAGCTGATCGACGAGCTGGACCACATCCAGGAGGGCATCACGGCGCAGGGGGTGGAGCACATACACGCGAATGAGGTGGGGGGAGGCGGGGGGGTGGAGCACATACACGCGAATGAGGTGGGGGGGGGCGGGGGGTGGAGCACATACACGCGAATGAGGTGGGGGGGGGCGGGAGGGTGGAGCACATACACGTGAATGAGGTGGGGGGCGGGGATAAAGAAGTGTGCGTCAATCACAGCAACCGGTCGGTGCGGGAACATACCGTGCATGGGCTAGAGGGCGGGGCTGGTGGGGTGGGGTGCTGAGGGTTGGGAAGATGTGCGGCTGTGAAGAGGGGAAGCGGAAGCGTTATGTGGTGGGGGCTGCTTCACGGCTGGTTCCCTCCCTTGTGGTTAAACCCCTCCTCCCTCCTTTACCCGCTCCCCCCCAGGTCATCCTGACCATGGGTATGTCCGACACGGTGTATCTGTTCCTGCGGGAGGCGGCCAAGAAGCGGGAGTTCCAGGTAGGGGGGGACGGGGGCGGGAACCAGCGCTGCCCTCCCTGTCTCCTGTCTCTGTTTTATGTTGCACTTCTTTCTCTCCTACCTACACTTTCCTCCCCAATCGCCCCTTCCCCCCCCTTCAGGTTGTAGTTGCGGAGGGCGCCCCCCGCTTCGACGGCCACCTGATGGCTCGGCGGCTGGCGGACGCGGGCATCCAGACCACCCTCATCGCCGACTCGGCCGTGTACGCCATGATGGCGCGAGCGAACAAGGTACTGGAAGGGGGGGCCGGGGGTGTTGATGGGGGGTAGGGGGTTGTACATGGGGGGTGTTGATGGGGGGTGAGGGGTGGGGTGGAGCAGAGGGTTCCAGAAAGCCCCGTTCATCCCCTTTCCTATCGCAGCCCAGTTGGATTAAGCTCTCCTCCTGCCTCCCCTGCCCCTCCAGGTGCTGGTGGGCGCCCACGCGGTGCTGGCCAACGGCGGGGTGGTGTCCCCGGTGGGCTGCCACATGGTGGCGCTGGCTGCCCGGCGGCACTCCATCCCGCTGGTGGTGCTGGTGGGGCTGCACAAGCTGTCGCCGCTCTTCCCCACGGACCCGGAGCTGCTGTACAATGGTGAGGGGGGGAGATAACTAACCATGTGATAAAGTGGGGGGGAAGAGGGGATACAGGGGGGGAGGAGGGCAGGAGAGGGGAAAGAAGAAGAGCATCTCCATGCGGGAGTGGGAGGGGTGGTTGGGTGGTGGAGGTGGAGGTGGAGGTGTGTTTTGCGACCAGCCTGGTCCACGTGTCCTACCCCCCGTCCTCGCTCCACCCCTCCTTCACACCCACCCCACCCCACCTCCTCCCTCTCAGAGTTCAAGGGCCCGGCTGACGTCATCGACTTTGACGTGGTGGGGGAGGCCTTCGTGCAGCAGCAGCAGCTCCACTACGCAGCGCGCGCGTCGGACGGCGCCGGAGCTGCGGGAGCCGCCGACGGCCCCTCCTCCTCCTCCAACCCCGACTCCGCTGGGGGTGCTGCTGCTGCCGGCAACGCCCCGGCCGGTACCTCTGGTGGGCTGGTGGGGGCTGCCGGTGCAGGTGGCAACACCAGCAGCAGCAGCATCGCCGCCGCTGCTGCTGCCGGCTGCAACTCTCCCCCCCTCAGCGGCAGTCTTCTGGGACTTAACGGCGGGAGCAGCGGGAGCGGCAGCCGTGGGGGTGGGGGCAAGTGGGGGCCCATGCCTGGTAACGTGCATGTGCCCACTCCGCTGTTTGACTACGTGCCGCCCAGCCTCATCTCGCTCTTCATTACGGACATGGGCGGTCGTACACCGTCGTACGTGTACCGCCTTCTAACGGAGTACTACTCGCGGGATGACTATTTTTTGTCGCGGGAGGTGTTTGGAAAGGATGGTGCGCGGTGATGGTGAGGGTGTTCAGAGGAAGGGAAAGGAGGTGGAAACGCGGATACGCAAGCAGTGTCCTTGTGAGAGGGACCCAGAGGTGGGGAGGAGGTTGGGAGCTAGGCAAGGAGGTTAAGGCAGGGCAAAGGGTCAGGCAGGGTGAAAGGTTCGGGCAAGGAGAGGAGGAGGAGTTAAGGGGAACCTAGATGCCTGATCAGGGGGGATGCAGGAGAGGGAGCCCTACGACAGGAAGTGGATTTGAGGTAGGGTTTTGGGTGGTGACAGGTGATTGTGTTGTATATGCGAGGAGGGGAGGTGGGAGGGGCACCTCATCGCGGTTTCTGAACACGGGCGGTAGGGGCCCAGGTCGGGAACGTTTTAGTGCGGGGGCCCGTTTGAGCTTCTTTTTGCATAACACAACCTGTCTGCGGGCCTCCGGAGGGGGAGGGTGCGTGTTGTTTGGGGTCAGGTGGGATCACCAGCATCTGCGAACGATTAGGCGAACTGAGGGCTATACGCACTAGACGATCAGTGGAGGGGAAGGGGCAGGGGGGCCGGCGCGGCGAAGCGGCGTGGGTTGCCTTAGTTTGTGAATGGTGCGTGAGCTTTGGGCTGATGGGGAGGGTAATAGGGCGGGGGTGAATTGGCAATGGTGTTTTCGTGGGTGCAGCAGGCTGCACTTTCTGGGTGGGCAGCAGGATGGGGCTTGATGTGTTGTGAAAGGCGGCTGCCATCATGTTTGACAGCGTTCAGCAGACTGCGTGTGGCATGCACATCTGCGAGCTATAACTCTTATAGGACTGTCATCCTCTGCGGGCAACCGGACAGCTGCGAGTATTTGCCTTCCCGCACAGTGTAAGTACCATAAGCCTGCTGAGGACCTCAGGTGCCGTACAACCTTTCTTCTTCGTCCTGCTTCTGCCGTGTTGCTGCTGCTTTCGTTGTCCTGCTTCCTTCACGAGGCGGTATGTCATGCATGGTAGAACGCTCACATAGTTGCAACAGGACGATATACGCTTGTATTGCGATCGAAACTTTAAGGCATTAGGTGCTCACCAAACTCGAGTAGCTGGGAAGGCGAGCAGTTCTAACACTTATTTTTGGGAGTAAATAGTAGAGGATGGATTTCGTGGGGCAAAAGCTTTCCGAGCAACTGCTTATGGCGATCCTAGTGGCCTTTGCTGCCATAAGTTTCGTCGCCGGCTACGCTCTCCAAGACTTTCAGTTGATGGTTAAGATCAATGGAGCAGGATTATTACTGGCATCGGTGTGTGTCCTACCTGACTGGCCATTTTACAACCGCAACCCGTGGAAATGGCTTCCAGCGCTGGCGCCGGAAAGCACAGATGGAGCCAAGAAGAAGTAAGGATTTCGCTTTGGGGAGCCCACGGGGCTTCGCTTGCATTCAATCCAATGGCGCGGGCTGTTGGTGATAGCTTTCAGCGAGTGAGGCAACAACGAATGACAGATTTCTCTTATTCATGTGGAAGTTGATGACGCTAGATTTCTGGCCGTGTTGCTAGGGGAGGAAAAGCCGTGTGTGGAACTCGTGTGGGGTTAGCTCTGAAGACATGGTATGTCGCACCGCCGTGGGACTACGCCGATATAGGCTGTTATGAGAGAGACTTGTGGGTCCAAGGCAACCGGTGTGCAAATAGAGGGGACCCAAGTAAGCGCCGAGGGAGTCACTGTGGAGTCGTAGAAGTTACTACTAGGTCCAGGCACGGCATGATGTCAGACCGCCCTTTCTGCGCTGTAACGTCTTCTGGGGTTACGATCCAACATGTGCCATCCTCCCTTAAGTATTCAGCCCTGATCCCCGGCCCCCAAAAGACCGTTCCACAACCGGACCCCGTCAAGCTGCAAGGGGTAGCAACGGGCTGAGAGCCGGTGCTTTCCACGCATCATGAGGTTTATGTCGCAGATTGTACGTTTGTAACCGGCCGGAGGGAAGCTCATCCTCCTGGTGTGGTATGGAAACCAGGCATGATGGCGGGCGGGCGGATCAACCTGCCAGACCCACCGAGCCCGACCTCCAAGCCAGCCATGCGGTGATGATGATGGCGGTGGCAGGGCGGCTGGGTTCTTTGTGGGTTCTACATGCACACCGCACGATTGAGGTAGTACCGGTACGACATGGCAAGTACGACAGTTGGTTCGAGACGGTTAACCGGGCATGATGAGACTCAGCTAACACAAGCACACGCCTATGGCATCTGCATCGTGCCCGGAAATATGCTCTTTTGCGTGACTGGAGTAATTACAGCTCATTTGTTACAAGGCAGCCGCGGGCAATCAACAGTTACAGCCGGGGTCGACCCGGGACGGTATGGGACAGATGCGTGGGGCCAATGTACAATACAGATGACAGCAGAGGAGGGCAACGCCGTTCCTCCTTGCCAGCCATCACCGCCCTGCCCATGCATAGCTTATTTTATATATATCGCCAGTCACAAAGTCACTGGCTGCCTATATTCTTTGCCTCATCCAACCGCACGGCAGGGCACACTTACAAATTACGTTCGCTGGCCCCCCAGTGCATCAAGAAGCACTTCGCAAGCTAGGGCGTCACGAGGTATGCAGGACATACAAACGGACCAACAAGCAAGGCCGTCAACAGACGTCTGCACTGCAGGCAACCGAGCATGCATTCTACGAAGATCCCGGACAATAAACAGGCCCGTGATCACAAAGGCATGCATCACACCCGCAGAGGCAAACACCCCGTACAGGAAGACCGCAGTTATGAACAGTGATGACCCATGGTTCATGCGCACGTCATGCGCCCATAAACAGGAGCCGGTAGCACTGCAGGCGCTGCTAAGCCCCTCGCTCATCAACTCGGCAGCAGCAGCACCATGGCAACAACGCAGCATGCTACCCGCCGTCTGCTGGGAACACATGCATGCATGCATGCTTAACAACCCAGAAAACACCACCCGACCAGGTGCCCCTTGCCCCCGCAAGGCATGGACAAGACAAGGCATGTGCAACGTGCAACAAAGTAGAGTCCCTGCCGCCCCACGTGCCGTGCCAGTAATAATGGCAATACCGTAACAGCGAAGAGAGCACGTTGCCGGGACAGTTGAAGCGGGTGATTTATTATTTTCCCAACACCTCTGTGGTACAGAAAACAACAAGCGCATGGACACAAAGCACACGTGCACATTGGAGTTAAATGACCCCACCGAAACGCCGTGTACCCGTAAACCCCTCGCTCGCTCTCTCGTAACAGCGAGCGTTCCACACTACAGCAGGCAGACGGCCAACCCGCTTGGTCGGGACTCAGAAAAACACGTTTCGTGCTTTGCAACTTTTCATACGTAGAGACGATTGCGTTCAGCCAGCCCTTGTTATTTCTCTCCCTGTACTTCACCCGGCCCTCTGTTGTCCAATCCTTCAACATGAAGCACACAGCACACAAAACATCCCCACAAGGGCCCGTTCGAACCTTCCCAGTGCCCCTTACTCCCAAGATCTTCACGACGAGGGGCAACACAAACTACAACACAACATGCGGTTTGCATGAACAAAAAATGCAAAGACCTGAATCACACTTTGAATTGCCTTTAAAGGCAGGCAGGCATGCAGCCACAAGACTCCCACAGCTTGTTACACCCCTTGCGAACCCTACCGCATGCATGCAATCCCTCCCAAGGACGCAGGACTACCGAGGCAACAACAGTCAACGGACATGCGTACGCACTTGTTAGTTGTCATCCCCAGACCTGACAACGTTTAAAACTGGAGCCAACTTATTTACCTAAGCATTGCAAAGTAGGGCAGAGCCAATGTGCATCAAGAAGCACCAAGTGAGGTCCCCGGTACCGGACGCCCTCCCGTCTCTTCAGTGCGGGTGCCCAGGGTTGACGTCATTTAACCTTACCGGTTTGACACCTCCCATCCCACAGCCTGGAAAGGTCTTCAACCGGCGACAACCCACCTAGCAACAAGCGTGTCCAATTGAACAGTGTATGTATAATGGGAAAACGCGCAAACGGTGGTCGCCCCCACACACACGCCCCACCACGCCCCACACGTCACGCCTTCAAGCAGTGTTGGACGGGCGGGACAGGGCCCGCCCATTATTCCGGCGGCACTATGGTACAACACATCAACGGGAAAGCGACAGCACGCCAACCGCCATCATGTTACCCGCAACAACAGGAGTGGCAGCAGCAGCAACAGCAACAGCAGCAGCAAGGACGACGACAGCACCGCTGCTACTCACGATTGTCAACAGCACACACAAGGTCGTTGTTAGTTGGTTGGTTAGCCCTGGAGTTGCACAACCACATGACAGCCGCACAGATGGCAAAACACGCGCACACGTGTGTATGCCACCCGCCATGTATACGACAGTACACGACATATATGCTCAGTTTCACGGCTAGCAGTCGATCACGGCACCGCACACCGCAACCCCCGACATCAAAAGCCAAGCAGAGCAGGGTGCATGGCAACAAGAGACCATACGTAAGTGGTACCAGGGACAGGACAGCCATGCACGTCATGATCTCGGTTTGAAAGGACACGTCAGTGCCATGCGCTCTGACTTTGTCACCATCCGCACACACAGCCGGGTAGCAGGTAGGACATGCCGCTCGCATGCCGCGCAGAGGGCTTTGTCATCCGGCAATCACAGTACGTTCCGACCTCCCGCCGTCCACACACCCGCATGAGGGCGTATCTCTGTTGATCAACGCACATCATGCACACAAACAGAAAGGGCCTCAAGAGACAGGCGGGTAACGTACCCCCGTCGACCTTTGCTTGTTGTTCCCTCTCTACCCCATCCTCCTTCTCTTGCTCCCTCCCAACGCAGCCAGTCACATTCGCGGTACGACATCGCGCGCTCTCCAATCCTCCCCCGCTAACAACCCTCCTAGCACCCGTTGCAATTCTGTGCGCCCCCCGCCAGCCTACACTGCTACTGCTACATACACCCCTGCGCTACCCTCGTACACCGTCGTGTGTGTAGTACTCTCATGTACGGCATATACGGTCCCCGCGGCAGAGCACACACAGGTCGGCCCTACACGCCGGACGCAAGGCATGTTCGCAGCCCGCCCAGTCCTCACATCCTCTCGTCTTGCTTCCACTCAGCCCACTAGCATCCCCTCCGGCCTAATAAATCGCAGTGAATAAGGAGCAAACATCGATGGCCTGATGGCCGGTGGTGCAAGCAGTAAGCACCAGAAACACCACCAGGAGTGGGCGGCTGTGTGAGCCCCATGGATGGCCCCCAGAACCGTCATAAAGGCCCCCTCGTGGTGGCAGCCATCCACAACGCTACCGAACCAACCCCTCTCTTCAACCAAACCCCTGCCTATTGTACCATTGCCCACGTTTCTTAACACACATGTTCCCCCATGTTCCTATAAACACATGCGTCCAACCAAACTGAAGCCCAAGTACCAGATCTCTTCTCAACAACCTTCTTCTTCGAGTTACGCCAACTGCCATCCCCTTCTTCGCCGTCGCTTCTTCTTGTCAACTTCTTGTTGCTCTTCACCACTGCCTCGACCGTTACCCTTCATGACAACCTCCAGCTCCTCCATCTGCTCCCATCGCCACAATCAATACACGGCCGTGGGTTCACGCCGCTGCTGCTGGCTGTTGCTGTTGCGCCCGCCGCCATTCATCTCTGCATCCACGTCAATCGCCACCTGCACCGCAGACGTTGCTCCGGAAGGCGGTGAGCAAGTGCGCTCGATCTTCTCCAGCTCCGCCTCAAACTCGGCCATGCTGCTCGACACCTGCAGTGCTCGCGACCCGCCCGTCACCGCCGACGTCATCGGACCGGAGATGGAGGCGACCGCAGGTACGGCTGTGCCGGATGGGTAGTTAACGGCCGCGCTGCCGCTGCTGGCGGGCCGGGTTGGGGTCCCCAGACGCGCCCCGGAGAAGGGGCATTGCGGGCCCAGCCGGGATGCCGGCCGGCTGCCGCTCGCACCACCCGTGGCGGCTATCCCAGCTCCTGTGGGCAGAAGGAGGGGTCACAACACGGGGTTGAGACGGGGGTGCAGGCGGAAGTACGTGGCGGGCAAGTGCATGACAAACTTTGGACTAAAAAGAAGAAAAAGGCAGCTAAAAAGAAGAAACAAAGCTCCCCTTCAGATTGACCTCCCTTCCACACTGCATTAAAATGGCCTCCCTTCCATGCCCCCCCCTCCATAAGCAACCTCCCACCCCCGCTACTTCGCCCCTCTTACCCGACATCCTCACACCCTCCACCGGCTGCTGCTGCACCACCACCCCCTCCGCCACCGGAACCTCCTGCGGCGCATCCGTCTCAGACACCGATGACACGGAGTCATCGTCCTCCTCCTCCTCCAACTCCTCCAGAAGCTTCTCCTGCTCTCGTAGTTGCCGCTCCTCCTCCTTTTCCCGCGCCTCCTTCTCGCGCGCCTCCTGCGCCGCTATCTCCCGCGCGCGGTCCTCCGCGGCCCAGCGCGCCTCCTCCTCCGGATCCTTCGAGGATGGCGTGAAGAAGGCGTCCTTGAAGGGCTTCAGTCGCCGCATCACCTCGCCGATAATTGACTGTTGAGGGGAGGAGGGGAAAAGGGCACAAGAGAACACGATTGCTCGACCAATAGTGGGACCCCTGGAGGAGGGAGGCATGCCGGGGTGCGAAGTGGATGCAGTGGGATCGATACACGAAACACGATACATCAGCATGAGGAGCTTGGTTTTGGAGGTAAGACGTGACAAGTGGGGAAAGCACAGGGCAGTCTGGCGGGCGCAAGAGGCGGGCGTGTCAGGACAGGTGCAGATTGTATTCATTTGTGTGTGGAGGGTGCATGCCGCCCTCCGCACGCCCTCCCGTGTCGTGTCTTACTTCCGGTGCTCCCAGCTCCGACATGGAATCTTCAAAGTACTTCATCCCCAGGTCGTAGTCGTCGGGGCTGAAATTGCGCTGCTTGATGATGCGCAGATGCGCGATCCGCACGCTGCGACCGTTGTACGGCACATTGGGCGGCCCGAACAGCCTTTTGGCACATGGGGGGAGGGGCCGCATGTGTGGGGGGAAAGGAGGGGACGGGGAGGAGAGAAGGAAGAGGAGGGGCGGGCGGGCGGTTAGTGTGTGTGGTGCGATGAGGTACCGTGCAGTTGGAAGGGGACACGTGTGGGGAAAACCGGACAGACTTTGCATGCATGTGTGTGCGTGTAGCCACCCGCGTATGCATGCATGCAAGAAGGGCAGGAAAAAGAGATGTGTTTCCCTGGATGTGGCACCCCCTCAGTGGGCCTCTGCAGCACCCCGTGGTACCACCCGTGTTGTCAACCCCAACACGCAAGGAGTTCCTCTCCTGTGAACCCAGGGAACCCGCCCCGTGACCCCAACACACGTCCTCACACACACATCCCAACACAGCGCCTACCAGGAGATGAAGGCGGACTGCTTTGCACGCAGGTGCATCACATCTTGGTCGTGCAGGAATGGGACCAAACGCGGATCCCCGTACAGCTTTTTGTAAAACAGCTCGACCACCTTTCGAACGACGTCAGGGCCGCCCACTCTTTGAAGCAAGGGACCGGCAGTGCCCTGTACGGAAGCAGGGAAGGGAGGGAAGGGAGCGACCCCGCGGCGTCAGGGAAAGAAGAAGGCGGTGGACTGGTTGTCAGAGGGGGCGCGGGAAGCCGTGCTTAGCATGTTACTCGGTGTGTTCGGGTGTGCCAAAGGAACACCTTTGTGGTCCCTTACGTGTGAGGTTGCCACGTGTATGGGTACCGTAGTGACAGTTACTGTTACTAGGCGGCAGTTGCAACCGGCGGTTGCATGAAGTTACGGTTGCAATCCTCCATCCAACCGCCGGTTGCAATCGGTTGCACCCGCCAGTTGCAAAGCCCCAACAGGCGTACCGGGCCTTGGGCTCCGTTCTTTATTGCAACTGCCTGCGCCTTCTGCCATTCCTCTATGCTCTTGACGGCTTCGTGGATTTCCTCCTGCGTTTGGGGCAGGGCAGGGAGAAGGGAACGTACGACATGGTTAGAGAGGGGTTGCAGCCATACCACGCTTTGGTTGGCAAGGGTGACGGCCAGGAGCGGATGGATGGAAAATGGCTTTGAGTGTGGGCCGAAAGGCACAAAATGCGTTGCTGACAACTGCAAGGAGCAAGGGTTTGCGGGGGTCTAAGGAAATGCCCAAGGCCTGTCCGAGCATGTCTAACACGTGCAAGTGCGAGAAAAAAGGGAGCGGTGTGCATAATAATAAAAACCAAGGTGGCACATAAGTAATTGCGAAGGACCCTGTTCGCGCAAGCAGGATACAGCTGGATGCTTGGCGAGGCCGAAGTGCCAACCTAGGTCTGCAAGCAAGACCTAGCTAATTGCTTTATGCAATTACAATGGCATTGCATGAAAGTGAACAAACCGTAAAATTCCACTGCGAGTGTTGAGCTTATCTTCGCTAGAGAAAGCCCGGTTGACGAACCCAACTTGAAGCCCTCTGACCTCTGTGACTAGATGCGCGATGGCGTCCGTTGCATGCGTGCAGGTGTTGCCCATCCTGTTAAACCTATCGGACGTGCGCGTTGCTTGTCTTGTCCCTCAGGGTGTCAGAAACTATCGGGCGTAAACAAAGGCCTCCAGGGAAAGGTTTTCAACTACAGCAAAGGCTTGTTATAGTGACCACTTTGTTGCAGGCGCTTAACGGCGGATACTATCTACTGTCTGATGATAGTCTAGCTCTACTGCTGACGGCGGAGAGATACCGTACGAGTACCAGCCGTACCACATGTACCGGGAAACCTGCAAGTTGTTATTCCTAGTCTATTTGTTGGACGCCTCGGCCACGTCCTCGTGTTGACAGGCCGGTTAAGATGTGGACGGTTCGCAGAAACTGGGCAAAGTGGCACGCTCCTCACCGCGCCTCATTATCTAGCTGTCAGCCATGGTATGTAAGAAACCATACAAACGTAGGGGTGTCCCCATGATATCTTAAGTTAATTGCCGCTGCGGTCTGGATGGCACCGGACACACCCTACATGTTACCAATCGTCCAAGGCAGTCGTGTACTGCTATATCATTACCTAACCCAAGCAGTCGCGCAAACGGATGGTACCTAAGAAATATGGCTGCTTGCTTAACGATGGGCTTACTGGCTGCGCGAGTGGTACGATTTCTGGATGTTAGCTTTATTTACGCCCACGGAGTATTGCGCGCCACCTTTGTTGACGACAAGCTAGGTTACACCTTAGCTGTATACACTAAAAATGGAGCGCTTTCCACCGCCTGGCGCTGCGATCTTGCCGTTCTTGAGTGACCCTGTTTGGACGAGCTGCTGCGATGGAGCTAGGCCAACCAAACGAGTAGCTACCCAGCCGCATAGGCCATGCAGATAAGCATAGTGCATTAGAAGGGCACAATTATAGTAAATGGGAAGCAGTGTTTCACACGCGTGTACGTCAAGTGAGCGGTATGGGTACCGTATGTTCTGTGAGGAGGAAGCGCAGCAGTTTGGAGGCCGTCTGACCTGGACGAATATCAAGGTTCTGCATGATACGCCGTATTACCGTACCGGCAAGGGTGTGTGTAGGGGTTGCGGTGGCAAGTCGGGCTTTTTGGAGATTCGTTCAGGTGCCAGGCCACAAAGGGCTCCTCAAGCTGCAGGCGAAAAGCCCGGTGTTACACGACGCTCTGCACGGCAGGACTCCACAGGTCAAAACCGTGGACTGTACGCCCTTGCCACGCGCACTGCACGCTATCGTCACTCCTACGTGCGAGTGCCTTGCCATGCTCAAGTACACACAGCACACAACGCATACCCCATTCCATAACAGAACTGACAGGAAGCGTTGTTGCTCATGAGCGGAGCGGGGCTAGATAGGACACAAACCCACCTAGGGTGACAACAGCGCGGTCGGCATTACCGCAGCGGCAGCAGCTTACCCGAGCCAACACAGCTCCAGATTCTGACTGGGGGTAAAGGCAGACGATCCCAGAATGGGGTGTGAAAAATAAATGATAAGTGCAGCAAGGGGGTGCGGGGCAAGGATAAGCAGTTGGAGTTCCCACTGCCCGAAACCTAGCCCAGCCACCTCGCGAGACGATGCACATCGAAGGAACCGAACCAACGTAATCTAGGTGTGGAGGGGGGGTCAACGATGGACCAAAGCATAGGAATTCATAAAGTCAGGGCAAAGCAATGGGTATAGCAGGCGGCAGGGTGGGTGGGGGAGGGGGGCCAAACTAAGCCTGTCAGGGTATGAGCAGGAGAAGAAGTACTGACCCCCGCACTGCAGCAGTAGAGCTGCCCGTGTACGGTAGCGCTGCCCAGTACGGCACCGGCGGATTGGCGTGCTAGCCATACAAAGGAAACTACGAAGGAGTTAAGGCCCCTTCATTATGCCGGTTGTCAGTCAGATGGACATGCAGGTAACACGGACCGACTTAAAGTGCAGGTGAGGGAAGCAGAACAAGGGGGAAATGTTTCTTTGGCGCGCAACTGAAGGGAGCTATGCAAGATATTAAACAAGAGCTTGTCGTATAGGATTTCGCAGTATGTTGTATAACTGAGGCGAGCAACTGCTCTGTTGTGTTAGGCTATAGTAGCAAGCAAAAATTAGAGCGCGGGGCCCATCCACTTCCTGTTGGCGCTTTTGCACGCAGCGGTCTGACGCTAGTATGAATAGAGGTACAAGCAGGTGTCTCCGACCTGTGGTTTCTCCGTTGAGCTGTTCCAGATCTTGAATCTACGGGGCATGATCGCCAACGATTTGCCGCGGCGGGCTTACTAATTACTACATTGCGGCGGCCTTCTAGCTGCGGGAGTTTGCATTCTTCCAACGCCATACTTCTCACGTTACGTGACCACATGCGTTGTGGGTTTGAAGGAACACATTAAAGCGCAGTATGCAATTAGAAAACAGTGCATCAGGGTCGGGGTCGGTGCACCCGTACATCTAGGTACATGGCCACACGAGACGAGGGTGCGCGATACCGGTACTAGCAGCGAGACATTGGCAACTCTGAACCGAAGGCACGTTTGGCTTAGTACGTGTGATGCCGGTCATCTTATCGTTCTATCTCTGTAACATTCCCAGACGAGCAAGGCATGGGTGTGTTGGGGCTACGGAATGGAAGGGCAAGGCCCTGCATCTACCATATCATCTCGTGACTGAGACCATTCCATAAAAATGAGGAATAATGATCGGGGGGAAATATCTACTTACTTAGTGGGGCAGGCTGGCATGAGTTCGATGGCACCGACATTACCTTGCTTCGGTATTGTTTGTGCTGTTGGTGAAATTGTACATGACTTATTGTGGCCACCTACAATAAGTCATGATTTGTATACAGCTGCTTTTCAGCGTACTGTCCTTCTTGTTCCCCGTCTCGACCGAACGCAATGCCTAGTCAGCTACTGCGGAAGTGGGCGCGGCAAATACTTTGCTGAGGCTAACTGTTCCATCATCTATGGAAAGCATGCATTGGTAACGACCTAACCAAGTAGTAAACTGCTACGCACTTTCAGCAGTCCCTATCCACCCCCTTAGACATCTTACGACACCTTCTCCACAGCATATTACGAGGCATACCGAGTTCTGCAATCTTTCGCCATAATAGTGCGGAGGTGGTAAGCTGGTAACGCAGAAAGGTGTACGGCAGTGCCCATATCGAATCGTATCTTCTTGCTTGATAATAATCCAACCCCCCCTAGCGTGCGCGGTGTCTTTGTGAGACTTAACACTTACAGACTAAGGATACAGTAGTAAAGCTGCGATCGAGAACACGGCTCCCTTGCGTTTTATCATTTTGTTGCGCACATTTCCAGGCACCGACTACCATCTGAGCTACCGTGGCGTGCCTTTAGCCCGGGACTTCATACAACAGGGCGTCGTGAGGAGAGCAGCAGCACAAGGTGCGGCGCCAACCGCTATGCCTGGTCACCGACCTCGTCATATCCGCGAAGCACTCCATTTCGATGTTTCGCCTTGTTGCGAAGAAGCATTTTAGCTTATTCAACTATAGCTATTAGCCTTCCGCAACCTGTTTCGAACCTGTCGGCTTGTCAGGACCTGCCCTTTATTTTCATTATTAACTCCGAAGGCGCTTGCTCTGTTCAGGCTTTGAAGTTGATGAGGCGCGTCTAGCACGGTTTAAGCAACGACCGCCTGTGGACTTCGCCGCTTGAAATTGCCACTGGCGCTTATCGGCCAAACCTGTGCCGAAATGGAGAAAGATAATATTGAGCTGAGTTCCGCAATGTCGGACGGCGAGCAACCACGCAAGCTTGCTGTCCTTGGGCTGCCCTGGGAGACAACGTGAGTCGGCTTGCATGGCCGCGTCGAAGCTGCTCTTTATTGTTTCGTATACCTACAGCTGAGTCGTTAACTATCTTGCCGAGTTATGTTTTGGTGGCAAGGCCTGCGGTGTTGACAGCAGGCTTGCTGTGAACCTTGGAGACAAATATCTTGGTGCTATCTTCGCAAAATCAGTCGCTTCCCCTTCCCGCCGTGCAGGGAGGAGACTTTAAAGGTGTACTTTTCTCAATTCGGGGCACTAGAAGGCGCAGAGGTGATGAAAGACCGGTACACCGGCAAGAGTCGCGGCTTTGGCTTCGTCACCTTTCTTGACGCGAACTCTGCAACTCGCGCCCTGACTGTGGAGCACACAATTGATGGACGCCGCTGTGAAGCAAAGATTGCCCTGCCGAAGGTGCGGGGAGAACTTTGTATGCAACTTGCAGATACTTAGCAGGCGATTACCTCTCCGCTAAACGCAAAACGGCCGAGGTACACCACCAACTGGTTCATTGACAACATTATCCTGCAGGGAGAGCCAACACCGCCGCGCACAACCCGCATCTTTGTGGCGCGCATCCCACCATCTGTAACGGAAGCGCAATTCCGGCAATACTTTGAGGGGTTTGGCAAGCTGCAGGACGCCTACATGCCAAAGGATCACTCCAAGCAGGGCTATCGCGGCATCGGCTTCGTGACCTTTGCGTCACCTGACTCTGTAGAGAAGGTGATGGCCGTCAAGCACTGGATGAATGGTCACGAAATTGCCATCGACCGTGCCACCCCCAAGGAGGAGCCAACGGCGCTTAAAAACATCTTTGCCCGGCTGCCCATGGGGCCCGGCCAGCGACGATCCTTCGATAACGGTAGGGTTTTGCGCATGTTGGGTTGGGTGTAAGCACGGTTCTTTTGCTGTATAAATTATCGGCTTTGGACTGTGACTAGCTGGGGCACTCACCGCCACCATCTATACCCGTTTGACAAAATCTGTACCACCCTCGGGATAACTAAGGCGGCAGGGGACCATCCTGAACTCAATACGCTTCCAGACCTGCTCAGTGTGCTCACACGTTAGGGCAGGCAACAAAACGTAATTGTCATTCCTTGTAACCGAACCCCACCACTCCGGCACTTTTTCTCGTAACGCACAGGCTCGGGCATCATCGGCCCCGGCCTGGGCAGCATCGTGAGCATGAACAGCAACCTGATTGCTCCGGGCGCCATGGACGCGGCCTTCAGCAACCTGCGGTCGCTGTCTGAGGAGCGGGAGCTGGGCGGCATGATGGGTCGCAGCAGCATGGAGATGGCGATGGAGCTCAACCCCACCTCGCTCACCACCAGCGCCTCCATCATGAACAACGCCAACGGTAGGACTGGGTTCGGGTGGGAGAATTGGGTTGGGTTGGGTTGGAAAAGAGGGGTTCGGGTTGGGATATTTATGAAACGTTACGATAATTGCGAAGATACCCGAACGCCAGAAAGCTGCGAGTGCTGTTTGGAAGGGTTCTAGAAGGCGTGTGACTTCCCAAGAAGCTGCGTGGTGGCAGGGGTTCAGCTTTGGTAAGGAGCCATCAGCGGATTGGAACCGCAGTTATGCTGCTGCGATCCTTCCCACCTTCCTTCCTGTCCTTACCTCCTCTTACCTCTCTTCACCGTGCTACTGCCTTCTCTTACCTCCTCCCCCTCCTTTCACCGCGCTCTCTTGCTCCCCAGGCCTCAACCCAGCGCTCCGCGCCACCAGCCAAGCCCTGGGCCTCAACCTGGGCCTCGGCCTCAACGGCAATCCGGCCTCCACCGCCACCGCTGCCGCCGCAGCCGCCGCCACCACCGCCGCGCTTCAGACGCTCGCCAAGACCGCCACCCTCAGTGAGAACGTCAACGGCGTGAACGCGCACATGACGGCGCTCAGCAGCGGCGGGCTCAACGGCATGCCGATGGTGGGTCTGACGAGCAGCGACCTCACGGCCGCGACCAGCCTGCTGTCCAACGGGCTGGCGGCCAACAAGGCGCCTGCGGGGCTGGCGGGCATCTCTGGGCAGACGATGCTGCAGGAGCTCAACTCGCTGGGCGCTGCGGCGGCGGTGCAGCAGATGATGGCGGCGGCGACGGGTCGGCGCTCGCTGGACTCGACGTTGAAGCGGCTGGAGAACCCCGCCATTGCGAATGCCAGGTGGGGGTCAGGGGTGCTGGCGGGCTGGGGATGGGGGTGCTGGGTACGGGCCGGCAGGTGACGCTTGGTGCAGGAGGGGTTGGTGAGTAGTGCGGGGCATGGCCGCTACTGTTTCGATTGGCCGGTAGAATCCATGGTTCCCTTGACACCGACGCTGGCCTAACCTCCTTTCGACCTTTCACTAATCTCGACCCGCCCGCAATTTGCACCCGCACTTCGCTCCAGGGCCGGCCCGCGCATCTTCATCGGCAAGCTGACCAAGGACACGAGCGAGGCGGACGTGAAGGACTACTTCATGCGATTCGGCTACGTGATGGACGTGTACCTGCCCAAGGCCAAGGACAACAAGACGGAGCACCGCGGATTCGGCTTTGTGACGTTTGAGACGGACGCCGCCATCCAGCGCGTTGTGAGCCACGGGCAGCACCGGCTCAAGGGCTCCACCATTGCCATCGACATTGCCATGCCCAAGGTAGGGAGGGAGCGGGAGGGGTAGGCGGCTTGGGCTGCTGAGGGTCTGTGGGTATGGATTGGCGCATGTTTGTGGTAAGGAGGTTGTGCTGCATGGGACTTGACCGGCATGCTAGGCTTGTGGGGTGTGCAGTGAGAGGGTGCGTGGCAGTGGACGGGTGTTTAGCAGCAGGTTTTGTACATGCTCACACCCCCTGTTCTCCCTCTGCTCTAATGCGCCACAGGTGGAGGATGCTGAGATGAACCTGGATGGCGGGCTGGATTCCCCTGCCGGCACCATCCCGGGTTTCGCCTCCCTGCCCAACATGCTCGTCCAGCGCATGTAGACGGGTGGCCAGCGGGCAGCGGGCCATGCATCAGAGAGATACATACTGGCCAACATGACAGCGTTACTAAGACTGACCCATGGGTCTGCTGCTCTGGACCAGGGCTCTCGACCCAGGGATTGTGTAGCCTGAGTCGTCGGAAGTTACCGCGCGGCTTTTTGAGCGCGCCGCTGGACGTTCGGATCCTGGAGAGTTGCGCTCATGGAGTCCGCACAGGAGAGTTTCGCAATGGTAAGGGAATACCAAATTTAAGCCTTTTGTTTTCCGCATCTGCAGCTTGGCGGTTGTTTGGCAGCCGCGCTACAGTGCTTGGATTGAGGACGGTTTGAGGTGGTTGCGGCGGCCTTTCGCGCCACCGCTGCAGTTGCGTAGTATGCATGACGATAACAGCCCTCGACACGATTGAGATCGCGCGCGGGAAGCGGGTTAGTACAACAGAGTTTGGTGACCGCGCCGGGTCCTGCGCTCTGCGCCTTTCTGGATCTGTCTGGGGTCCGTGGCTTTGACAGCCTTTTTCGGGGGCGGAGGAATGCACGCATTTAGCAGATTGGCATTGTTGCAAGAAAGTCGCACAACTCAATACACACACTAGGCGCTCATTGAAAGCGAGAATGGTTGCGTTTGTGTGAGCGACAGTGAATAGTACCTGCGGCTTTTATTCTCTAGTTGCTTTTGAGGAGGGGCCTTACGAACAATGATAGAGGGGTCCTGTTGACGACCTTGAAGAGGAGAACCGTTCCGGGCTCCTGCGTTATGCCGTCGCTAGTGCATCCGGCGAAAGCTTTAAGACAGAGTCGGTTGAGGGCCGCTGATATTCAGGAGAAAAGAAAGAGGGGAGGGAGCGCATGACGCGCGCAAAAGGGGAGAGGATAGCTACGTCTACCGCGGCTGTGGCGTGTGTTTTGGGTGTGCGCGTGTTTTCCTATTCAGTTCCGTGCCTTTAAGTTTTGATTTGGCCTGCTGCAGGGCGCATAAGCTCGGGCTGTAGCGTGAGCTCGGTCTGGGCTTGAGGGGCTCAGTGTGTGAGGAGGGGAGCCAGAGAGACCTGCTAGAGGCATCGTGTGGTGCAAAAGGACAAAATGGAGAGAGCATTGGCTTGCGCTTTGGCAATCACGGCTCTCGACTGTATTTTGTCAATCACATGTGCATGCTTTTGCTTCGGGGCGTGGCCTTAAGGTCTGCCGCTGCTTCTGATGCTGCCGCGCTCCTGTTGTCTGTTGTGTTTTTTGTTCGCGAGTGGTGAGGGCATGTCTGGGCGTGTTGGGACTCATGGGATTTTGTCGACTCGGGCATACGCCCACGATGGAGGATGTCGGGTGGTGGTGTCGTGGGAGGCTAACGGGAGTAGGTTGATGCTGACGGTGAGATGAGCTGAAGAAGATGACGCTATTAATGGAGTGCCTGCTTGAGGGCTGCATTCGAGGTTTTGCTCTTTCCGCTTGCTTGTTGACGACGACCAACGACGACTGCCGTGGGAATAGAGGAGACGTCGAGGAGTGGCTGCTGCTGCTGTGCCTTAAGCGCTTGTCAGAGCACTGGAGGAGAAGTAAGGAAAGTGTCGGAGGGAGGGAAGATCAGGTGACGCAAGTGACACAATCGGCGAGGGTACGTCGTGAGATTACGTGATGATGACGCGGCATCCATGCGTAATGACGATGCACCTGCGTTAACTAAGCGACGGACTGTTGGGAGGAGGCCATGACGCATTTGTCTGACCTGCGTTGACTGACTGGGAGTGGCAGGTGCATCCCTCCAGACTGAGGGGGGACATTTGACCTAATCTGCACGGGCACGAGTCTATTGGCGTGTGGTGTATGGAGGGACCGTGAATGATTGCGGTGTTGACAATGGAACAAGGCCCATGGTATGGGATATGGTGTATCTTTCGCCATGGTTTAAGTTCAGATGGCTCGTTTTGGATTATTAAGGTCGCGTTGTTCGTCGGCCTGATGGAGAGATTCATGGCGGCGAGATGGAATGCTTTGTTGGGACATGGGACTGATGGGTGAAGACTCCACACATAATGAGGCCATAATACCAACTTGCGTGTTCTTATCCTGGACATATCTCATGCTATGTGCTGGGAGGGAGGCGGTTGTATGTGTGCTTTTGGCAGCCGATGGCCCATGCATGCCAGTGTTTGTATCGTATGCTGGTAGTGGCTTTGGGGGCACGCGCACGCGCATATTGCAAGAGAGTGTCCAGCAGGAGCCGGATGGTTGAAGCGTTGGATTGGATTCTGTTGCGAAAGCGGATTGTGGGTAATGCTTCGTCCGGTAATGCCTTCATGCCTCGTGTGGCGACGCTTACGATGGTTTTTGGTGTCTGGATGCCACTGCTATCCAGCCGAGAGAGATGTCGAGCGGAGTGGCTGATTCCGACAGGCGAGGGAGTGCACGCTCTCGTAGTGGAGAGAGTTTAGGTTGCGGTTAACACATACAAGTCTTGCGGGCTTAAAAGTGGCAATTGTGACCATTCCTCTGAGCCTCTTGTTGACGCCGCAGCCCGCTGTTGGGGCGTGGCTCCAAAGCCCTGCAAGCAGTTTTGCTCGTGGTGTGCGAGGAGAAAAAGCGTATATGGGAGGGGGGGGATTGTTTTGTTGTTAGTGGGTGATTTTTATCGCATGGTGGGTGGGCTTTGGTTTGTGGATTATATGTTGAATGTCAGATGACCATGCTAGTTTCCAACTGACTGCTTGCTTTGCGTGTTTCGCTTGGTGCGTGTGTCCCAAAGATGGATTTGGTGTTTTTGCTGAGACTGTGACAGAAGGCGCGCGCCCTTGACTTGTCTGCGGTCCTGTCTTTGGGACCCTATGTGCTTTCTGCCTTATCTCGCGCCCAGCTCATAAACGAGGTTGGAGGCAGACATTCACTGAAAAGCTGTACTGACACATGGGACAGGACCAAGATGACGCGTGAGTGGCTTTTCCGACGTGCCTTCCACATGCGCGGGTTGCTGAGTGGTTCTGGATGCAGTGGCGGTTGCTTTGTCCATACTTTTGCCGGGGTACTTGACTCCTGGCGCTGGATCATGCGCTCGTACAGGGTCCAAGAATGGGTAGGACGACGCAGCATTATGATGCACGTGGTTGAAATAAGTTGGGGCGCCAGGGAAATCCTTGCCCTAGTTTTGAGATGAAGATGGGAAATGGGCTACGAGGCGCGCCCTAATTTATGACAACTTTCGGTGGTTGCCCTTTCTGGAGTTGCGGCCGATCAGCTATCAGCAAGCCTGTGCGCGTCGTGGATTACAGTGTGACATGTTGATGGTTTAAGGATTCGGTACTGACCGGGGAATATGCATGTGGTTGTTTGGCCGTGTGAATTCGCTTGTTTGTTTCGGTGTCTTCTATAGGTTTTGTAATGCGCGCTAGTTCCGCAGCTAGTGGAGTGGAGGAGGAAGAAGGAAACGCACTGGTTGGCGTTTGGCGTGTTTGGGGGCGACGCATGTGGCCTTCTGGTTGACTTTGTTACCACGTTTGCAGACGAGGGAGAGCGAGGTTTGGTGTGCCTGATGGTTGGAGAGTTTTTTTGTTCTGCTGGTGGGGGTGTGCTGTAGGAGAGATATCCAGTCTTCCCCGACTCGTGAAAGGGGAGGGTGGTGAGATGCGTGTGGGTCAGCTCGTGTACTCGATCGTGTTGTGTTGTTGTTACGCAGCAGCGCGGGATTCCTAAACCAACAGCGCCTCTCAGTTATTGCACCTTCATGGGATCGGTTCTGAATTGCCCACACACCTAGAAAGTACAACTGATAGAACGCAAATGGTAGTTATAACATGTCATGGGTCTCTCTTATGTATCTCTCCCACGATTTGAACTGCATCCCGCGTGCCGCTTTGGGGGTTGGGTGCGCGTGTGTATGCGGCTGTTCGTCGCTTCCCGTGTTCGGCTTTGTGTTGTGCTATTGTCGGAGAGATATCATGCATCACACGTTTGCTGACACCTTTTGAATTGGCTGGTGTGGTCGGCATATTTGTATACTTGTTTCATGTTTGCCTTCAAACCGGGCCGTCAACCAGCATACGGCAGGATGCATGTTGTAACGGACCGCCCTTTCGTGGAAAAGTGTTTTGGTTTGCCAGCTGCCCCATTTGAGTTGCTCCGCCGCCTGCGATTGCAGCGAAGTCAGTGCCATTCAGGTGCGGGCATCGGAATGGCATGCATTATATGGTATTTGCACGTCTCATTAGCAGCCATCTGAAATCCCGGCTGGCAAGCCCTAAGTAAGCCTAACCAATCAGCATCGCAAACGAAATCCCTCAATCCGAACCTATCAACAACAATGAAATGTAACGAGGTCTACATGTCCCGAGTAGGAGGGTAGACAGGACATTGCTAGGCGTGTGATTTTGTCGGAGACTGGTGTAGTGTCGTTAGGGACCGGTATGCGTAAAGCTCGCATAGCAGCGGGCAAGCACAGTAGGCGTCTGTGTTTTTGTGTGACGCACGTAATAGTGTTCTACGCTGTGGCTCAGATGGCTGAGCAAGCGATGGCACCTTGCTGAGACACATCTTGATAAACAACTCAAAGCGAAGTCGGGCTCCTTCAATACTCATGATAGCAATGGGGTCGGGCGGATGCACGGGAAAGGGCTGTTACAGGTTCGCTCTGTGACAGGCTTTTGCCGGGCAAGCACGTCCTCCCCCTGCCGTACAGAGTGCCGTAGAGTCGAACCGCACCGCCCCTGCCTGCACGTGGCCCGCCCCGGTGGCTGAGCGCAGCAAGCACTTCTCGCGCCACTGGGAGCGGAGGGCACACGCGCGCATTGGAAAGGGCGGGCCCTGTGGGACAGATGGGGCGAGGAGTTGTGTGGGGGTCGTGGCCTGGTGAGGAAGGCACTGACGAGCTGTATGACAGGGCTTCACGGGTTAGTGGGGGGGGGCCGGCGCCCGGGAGCTTCGCCGCTCTCGGCGCCTCTGATACCCCTACCGGCGCCCATGCGCGGGGGAGCCCCCGTGTGAGCGACCACCTCACCCCGCACCCCCACCGCTGACCCCGCTGCTCCACACACCCCACACCCGCCCCCCCCAGCCAGCCGGCCCACCTGCCCGGGCGGTGCGACAGCGGACAGCGCAACGCACCCGCTTCCTCCTCCTCTTCCTCGTCCGCAGCCGCCTCCCCGGACCGTCTCCGCCTAGCTCCCAGCTTCCTGCAGCTGCCTCCACCAGCGAGTGCCCCGCTACGCGCCTGCTCCTGCTGCCGTTACTCCCGATGACAGCTGCATCCTGACACTCTGCCGCTGCAGTGGCTGCTGCGCTAACACCACCCGCAGCAGCAGCAGCAGATGACAGTGACAGCGGCTCCCGTCACCGCAGCTCAGGCACAAGAGGCCCTCGCACACACCTTGAACACACCTTGGTGTCCCCGCTCACTCCGCCCTGCCTCCCCTGGAGCAGTGGCAACCTCTCCCAATGCACCACCTTCCTCCTCCGCGACCCCTTCTTCCATCCATAACCCTGCTGGGGTGCTGCTCCCGACCCGCTCTAGCTCTATCGCCCTTCACACCCGCGCCTCGTCTCGCCCTCGCCCCCTCATCCTCTCCCTCCCTTCGTTGCTCGCTCACTTGCTCACCCTCCCCTCTCGCTCCCCCCCTCGTTGTCCCCATCCGATGCTCCCCGTACCGCCCTCTGCAGCAAGGCAGCGTGCCAGCGCCGTACGGCCCCTCAACGCCAGCTACCCGGGGGAAAGGAAGCCTGGCCGGTAGGGGCGGACAAGGGAGGGGGCAGCGGCCAGGCTTTGTAGCTGAGGCTTCGTACGGTGCGCCTGTGCGCTTTTTGGCGTGCCGGCAATGTTTGTTGAGGAAGAATGGATTAACGATCACCCCGCCAGCAACCTCCCAGCACACAGCCCCCGTTGCATCCCTGAAGCCCAAACCAGTAAGCAGCTAGGCGTAGTAGCGCCTCTTCCCTCTGCCCCCTTCCCTCACCCCCAGCTGCTTTTGTGCCTCCCCCAGGTCCATTCCGAAGAAGTTGGGTTTCTCCGTGACCAGGTAGGCTTGCCACTCGTCCAGGTGCGCGCAGGGGGCGTACTTGAGGCGGGTCAGGAAGGCGGTGACGGAGGCGCGCTGCGAGGGGGTGAGCGCATCGGTCCAGACCTGCGGAGGGGAAGAGGGGAAAGGGAAGAGGACCCATGCGTTGGGAAGGGGAGGAGAGGGAGAGGGAGAGAAGGATGGGCTGGGAAGGAGGAGGTGGAAAAGAAGGATACCCAATGTGTTGAATGAGAATGGCGATCAAGACGACAAGCAGGGGCAGGGAGCGCTGCGTCGCGGGTGGCCGGGACTAGGAAGCTAGGAGCATTACTGCAAGGGTGCACACCTGGGAGGGACAGGTATGCCGTACTAAACGTGCCGTACCTTCATGACCGTATCTCTGTACGGCGGATCCAGGTAGTACCTGGCGTGGCACATCTCGTGTCGAATGGAGTGTGCATCGCCCTCTAGAGTAGCGATCACGTACTTGATCTGTTTGGGAAGGTGACATGGGATGAGGTGGGATGAACGGGGAGAGGAAGGGGGGGTGAGAGGGCGGTGCGGCAAGGCAGGATAGCGGTACGGGGTGGCATGGTATGGGGTGGGAAGACGCGGGACGGAAAGCCGATGGCGATGACGAGGGAAGGCAACGGTCAGGGGGACGATTTGAAAAACGACTTGTGCACAGCTGCACACGCTTTTCGTGCATGTGTCGCGGCCGTATGTTCGTATTACACCCAGTATGCGGCGTAGCTAGTAAGCCGAACTATTAGCCCAAGCGGACCTGCTTAGGGAGGCTGCAAGCCTTTCGGAACGCCAAGTGGGCCCTATCGGTGTCGCTCAGGGCAAAGTTGTGACCCAAGCGGTTGACGATGACTCCCTCGATTGCATTGCTGAGGGGATCCAGAAGCGCATTCATTGCGTCGCGGTTTCGAAACCGCATGAGCGCTACGCAGCCCTCGCGAATTTCTAAGCCGTACGACGAATTGGATCCAGCGGAAACGGAGAAGGCCGATCCGGAGCAGGCGTTAGCTGAGGCCGAGGCGGCATTGGCGGAAGCTTTTTTGCTGGTATCAGGCTTTCCGCCGCCCGAGCCGCCGCCCTTGGTGTGCTTTCCCATTTTGGCTGCCGGCGCGATAGGTTACAGGTGAATTAGAGAGCACCGTCTGCCTGACTGCTCTGCCGCTGGTGTTTTTACAGCCTCGTGAGTTTAAGACCGGATAAAGGCATGTGAGCGTTCTCGCCCAGGCCTTCAAAGCCTGCCGATGTATCGCTACCAGTAGGTTATAGGTGTCCGCAAATCGACATCTCTTTACCAGGTTTTCGCAACCTTTATTCTTTTTCCGCTAAGGCAGGTATTGGCAGGTAAGTTAATTGTGACAGAAGCGCGCAAGCTACCGTTGTGCCAAAAAGGACTAATGCTTTCCTGCTGGAGAAGCGGTACTGGTCACACACACTTCGGATGTAGATGTGGATTGCATTGTATTACTCTTTCACCCACCTCCCACCGCCCAACATGACTAAGGCCAGTGAAGTACGGCTATGGCAGTACCGGTAATATACCGGTACTGGTGCATGGCTGCAGCATTCTCCACAACAAGCATCTAGCTGCAGCGGAACATGTTGCTCGTCTGTAGGTGCGCGAGGCAGCCACTAGCGCTATGCACGGCGGTTACGGCCCTTACGGGCAACCGTACGGCGGCATGCAAAGGGACACAGCCCCATGATACGGGCCCGTCTAGCGGTTCCAGGTAACGGCTATCATTCCCTGAAATGCAACATCTTGACATCAACTTAGGCTTTGTGGAGTGCTGTGGCCACGTATCCTTGCGTCTACGCTGCAATGTCTTGCACTCCACCGTAGACCAGTAGTTTACCCGGTACCGGTTTAGACCCCAGACTCGCACGCCCGCGCTATTGCAGATGTTGCCTTTAAACTTTATGCCTGCCCCGCCTGCCTGCGTCCCCGGTCGGTAGTCACGGCAGCACACACATTGCCTTGATCACATGTACTCTAGTGAAGGCAACAATATGGCGCCGTTACATCGGATATGGGATAGGGCACGTCGCTAAAGGGCTGCTCTGCCAAAGCGGTGGGAAAAATGCAGGTCGATAGCGTGAGTAGATGCAAGATCAGCCAAGGAACTAACACAGCAGTACGGCGTGCCTACTGCCTCCTCAACTGGTCCTAGGCAATATATGCGCGCCGAGGGAAGCTGGAATCAATACAAAACTGCAACGTGTAAGTTTATTGAAAGCGACCAGGGTTATCTGCTATTAGGCTGATATTCGCGACAGATAAAAGTCGCTACCAGCTTATCCTTGCTGCCACGTGAAAGAATGCGGTTATGCTGCTAGCATATGACATGAGATAATTAGAGCTATCCAACTGCGACTACTTAGTTGTCTCCTCCTGTGCTCCGGCAATGGATGGTAGCTTGGGCACACCATGCAGCTGCGCTTCCTCGAGGCGGGCTGTTCCACGCAGCAGTCATGCACGCTGCGCTCTGCAGTCAACGTTTCTTATAAAACCTTTACGTGTGCCCTCTCCATCAAGCACCATGTCACCACCATTAATCCCAGCGCTTCACAGCGTCGTGGAAGGCAGGATCATAACCACCTGTAAACCAAGAAATGCTACACGGATCCATACATTGCGGGCACTTCCATTATCCAAGTCCAGTATCCAGGTTAGCAGCAACGGCAGCACTGATAGCTACAGCAATGCCTCAAGCATCAGCAGCAGCATCCTCAACCGCCTGCCCATCCGCATCCGACCCGCTAGGGAGGCGGACTACTGGCCAGCTGCTGACCTGCACTGCCGTGTCTTTCACCCGGAGGAAACCAGCAGCGTTTCTTGGAAGGTACCGTACCCAATGCTTCCACACAGCACCGTTGCGGCATCATATGTCATGTGGCAGGACTTGTGGCTTTGGGACCTGTCATCATCACGTCACTGCTGGCACCTGTAGATACCCTTTATCCCCTTTTCCATGCACTTCCGTCCACAGTGTTCGCGACACGCGTTTTTGGCCTGTTGCGCGTCTGGCTTTCACGGCGTATTACAGCCCTAGCCCCCCATACTGTCATACTCCTCCTGGAACCCCCCCTGGACATCAAACAACACACGCGCCCCCACCCGCCCCCTATCCTTTCCTCCCCCGCTCAGGCCCTCTCCATGCGAGTAGACCGCATCGCAGCACTGCAGATCAACGACCGAGTAGCGCAGCAGGGGCCGGGCAGGTGAGACACGGCATGCTCGGCCATCCAGGCACCAGGCTGTGTAACCCTGTCGGCAAAGGGTTCCATGCCCCCGGTGGTGTGTGCCCCCGACCCCGGCCCCGCCTTCCATGCCCCGCGCGACGCAGGTGTGTGCTGCTGCTGGCGTTTGACAGACGACGACGTCGCTCCCAAGTACGGCAGCAGCGGCTGCAGCAAGAGGGAGACGAACAGTCAGCGGCGGTAGCAGCGGTAGCAGCAGCCAAGCCCTCTGCGCTCGATGAGGTGTTATCGGAGGCTGAGGAGGCGGAAGAGGAGGAGGCGCAGTTCCAGGCAGCTGCGGAGGCGGCGGCGACCCACGGGTCACCCCACTGCTGCGACTTCCCTCAGCCCATGTTCTGGCTGGGCGGCGGGCTGGCGGCGGGAGTGCGGGCGGGGGTGGGGGTGTCACCGGAGGTGGGGAGGGGGATGAGAGGGAGAGGGTGTTAGGAAAGGAAAGAAAGGGACGACGTTAGGCATTGGTACAGAGTGCGGACAGCACCAGGGCCAGCCGATTAGGGCCATGGCAATCCCTCTCCCCCTCTCCTCCCCTCTCCTCTTTCCCCCCCCAGGCGGTAGGCCTGCTGGGGGTGGCTGCTGTGGACTCCTTCGGCGACCTGGTGCCCCCGCGGGAGCTGGACTGGCGCACGGACGGACAGATGGGCTGGTACCGGCGGGACGGTGGGGCGGGGGCGGGAGGAGGGAGGAGGGGAACTGGGGCTGGGGCTGGAAAGGAGGGATTGCCACCGGCTGACGCTCCCCCGGCCGCCTTCCTTCCCTCCTCCACCCCCCCCCCCCTCCTGCCAGGCTACGCCTACGTGAGCAACCTGGCAGTGGCTCCCGCGGCCCGGCGTCGGGGGGTGGCTCGGGCGCTGGTGGCGGCAGCGGAGGCGGTGGCGGCGGAGTGGGGCTGCAGGGCGGTGGGGCTGCACTGCAACCCCAACAAGCCGGCACCCTGGGTGGGTGGGTGGGTGGGTGGCAGCTTGTGGGGGTTGGCGGCTTGCGCCATGTGCCTGCCGGACACCACATCTGGGTCGTCTACACTCCACATCCCACTCCCAAGCCACCACATATGTAGGCCACAAGGCCACGTGTCTGCTTAATCGCCCCCACCCACGCCGCTCCCTCCCCTCCCCTCCCCGGCAGGGATAGTTTACATTATCACACCACACATTGGAATTTCTATTTCCCCTCTCCCTCCCCACCCCCCAGGCGCTGTACCGGGGTCTGGGCTACCGCAACAGCGGGGTGCTGGAGCCCGCGATCATGCCGTACCTGCACGGCAGGCCGCCCGACCGCTGCGCCTTCCTGGTGAAGCGGCTGCACCCCGCGACGGCAGCAGCGGCGGCGGCGGCGGAGGAGGAGGAGGCAGGAGAGGCAGCAGGGGAGGCGGCGGCGGCGGCGCCAGTAGCAGCAGTAGCAGGCGCTGACACCATGGGAGCGGGAGCAGCAGCGTGAGAGGCAAGAGCGGCCGAGCAGAGGAGTGGTGAGTGACGGCGGTAACGACATGAGCACAGGCAGGTGTGGCAGAGGGGTCAGGCGGGGTGGACGTCGTGGCTGGCGGTGGGCTTGGAGAGGTGCAGGTGTGTGTGTGGGGGGGGGATGCAGGGGGCACAACAGGCGTCCCGGCAGGGGGGCAGGTGGAGGAGTGAACCAGGGGGAGAAGAAGGAGAGGCAACCGGGGGAAGAAGGCGTCAGAGGCGGCTGGCGCTGTTTGACTGGGGCAGGAGGAGTGCGATAGGGCTAGACATTAACATTTTAACGAATCATAAGGATACACTAGCAGCGGCAGCAGCAAGAAAGAGATGCGTGAGCTCGAATGAGGTGTGTGTGGGGGGGGGGCAGTGGTGCGTGAGGCCGACGGATGAGGCCCGTGTGCGGGGCCAAACGTCAAGACTGTGGAGGCGCGGGAGGTAAAGAGGAAACAACTTTATTGGGTAGGTTGGGTACGGCTCCGTACAGCCTGTATTATAACGTTGGTGATTCGGTGCAACGTATTCGTTCTCTGTACGTTTCATATTTGCCTTTATAAGCATACTCGGGTATATACATAACAAACAACCTGAAAAGAGAGTCGCGTGGTGTGTATGCTTGCCAACAGGGCTAGGATGGAAAGAGGCTGACGCAGGTCATGAATGCTGCAATTGTATGGTGCGTCAGTCCCTCTGCCATGGACTTCCACTGCTGACGTTGTAAGGGCGGAAGAGGAGCCAACGGAGGCGCGGGCCACCCAGCGCTCGTCAAGGCTATCAGTCGCTATCAGTCGTACCAGCCGCTGTGCTTCGTGGGGATGGAGCGAACCACGCAATCTTTCCACCCTGCCCCTCAGCCCCACACTACCCCACCCACAGCACATCAGCGGACCACTGCTTTAGGCCCCAGCGAACCCCTCCCACAGGCCTGCCAAAGGTCCGCTCACTCAAACCACGCCCTAGACACACACGGGTCCCACCTTGCACGTCCCTTTGTCCTTCAGGCGCCTCCTGCCAACCGCTAGGGCTGGTGCAGTTCCCGTGCGTCCGCACCGCAACATCCCCCTCAAGGTCCTCCCCTCTCCCATGCAGCCGCATGAGCGCAATGGAGGGCATGAGCGCAACCCCCACACGCATCCATACAAGCGCGGTTTACTGGATAAAAAAACGCATGGCTCAGTGTTGGCCAACATAAACTGATCCTGTGGGTCCAACTCTCTGACTCGACTCTACTGTGTTCTGCACACTTTCGAATAGAACACAAGAACATCAACATACACAGCCACAGAGCAAAGGCCCAATGCAACGCAAGCCTCCTGGCACCAGACAGGCCTCTGCATTACCACCACCACCACCCACGATACCGACCTCAAAAGGCAAGACACCGACAGACCCTGATGCGGCGGGCGCAACCAGGGGCAACATGCGCCTCGGCACCTCCCCCGCCCAGTGATGCCCCAAGGCCACAGCGGCACCCGGCGCGACATGGGAGCCTCTCAAGCGCACCATGCACAGCCTGCATCGCACCGCGAGAAGTCCCGCGACGCTTCGTAGCAGCAGAAGCCGCCGCAGCCGCTGCTGCCGGTAGCGCATTCCTTGGTAGCTGCCAAGTGACAACGGCCTCTGAAGTCTGACAAGCCAAAGCTGTGGATATCCTACCCCACCCGTCACGGTCCGAACCTAACCTACAATCCGCAAACCGATAGTTGCAATCCCACAAGAATCGCATGCCACTGACCCACGTCAAATCCAACCACCTGCCACCCATCCGAGCTTTCGATCATTAAGCGGCGGCAGCGGCAGCAGCAGCAGCGGCCTACCTCTTTCCCCGCACCTTGGCAACGCCTGGTAAAGCTCAGTAAGCGCAACCAGGCAGGCCGTACCGGGGGCCGGGCAGCGCCGGGCTGCTGAACAAGTTGTCACCGACCCATCCACCCTCGACGAGACTCCCATCACACGTCCCTTCAACACCGGAAGCCAGGTAACAGCCGCTGCGGGTCCGCCTCGTCTATCGCCCCGCCTGCGCCTCCTCCCCTTGTCATCTCCTGGTCTCTTCATTCTCTTTCCCTTCTCTGCTCCTGTCTCCATCAAACCCCGCAAGATCTGCCACCGACTGTGCACCGAGCCTCCTGAAACCCCCCAGCGCCTGCAGCCCTGAGGGGCCCATGACCATGAAGGGGGCGATGCCGCTGCCTCCCACGTCCTCCCACTCCCCTCCTCAGATGAGACAAGGGTGCGCCTGAAGCTCGCAGCCACCGCTGCTGCTCCTGCCGCCGCAGCCCCCTCCCAAAACAGCAGCCCCCTCACGGGGCCCGATGCGCCTCCTAGAGCCGCCCGCAGCCGCTGCCTCCCTGCTGCTCCACAAAGGCATCGATGACGTCATCGTCCTCCAGGCCCACCTGGGAGCGCAGGGGGGCGGGTGGGGGAGGGGAAGGAGGGGAAAGAAGAGTACCCAATGAACAAGGGGAAGGAGGGGAGAGGAAAACGTCAACAAGAGAGGGGGAAGGAGAGTGGGGGTGACGGCTCGCCGACTTTTCCACGGGAAGCATTTTAGGAGCACCGCCAAGGCATCTAGGACCAGGGCAGGTGAGGACGCAGGTGTGCGCCAGGCACGCGGCCGTACGGCGGGTGATGTGGCTCGACTGCGTGCTTGGGCGGTTGACGGGATAGGGCCCAGACAGGGCCCCCACCTCACCTCTTGCGCCGTGACTTCGTTGGCAACGCGATGCCCGTCAAAGACGAAGCTGCAGAGGGAAAGCAGAACGCATGTTGCTTACATATGGCATATGGGACAGGATGTGCAGAGGTTTGGGTTGGACGAGGCTTGGCCGGGAGGAATCACAACATGTGGGGTGGGTAAGCCTCTAGTTGCATGTACCCCTCAGGCCGTGATCCGCAGCCCCATCCCGTCGGGTTACACAGCGGGCCAGGAGCTCCTATTTGGAGGCGCTTGTCCCATACGCACGTCGGCTAACCCAGCGCAAGCCCGGAGCTTAAGCAGCTGCGATGCACGCACCGGTAGTGATTCTCGGCCACCCCCTTCTTCTGGGCGAAGGCAGAGAATACCTGCCAGTGTCATAGAGTGGATGCTTTAATGGGGCAACGCAACTTGCGAGGTTACACGCAATATGTGTAATCAACAAGTTGGTAGCAACTACGCCAAGGCCAACATACCTTTCCCATCTTTGTGCTCTTCTTAATTTTAAAAGCGACATCGCCATCGGTACACCTGAATGCAAGGGTATTTTGATAGTAATGCAAAGGGATGTTTGATGCGGCTCTTCCTACAGGGCAGAATCTGTTGCTGTTGGCGCCAAGCGCCCACTGCAGAAGACAGCCTGCATCGAACCGCGCTTCCTTATCCCAGCTTCCAGGAGACCTACTTGATAGAGATGTTAATCACTTCAGGCTTGGCTCCCTCTTGCTTAACCGAGTCAGCCATCTTCCAACACTGGTCAATGACGGTGGACGGGAGTAAGCAAATGCTTGTTCAAAGCAAGAATAATGCCAGTGGGAGTCCCTCAGAAAGTAGCTCAGGTGCCTTGGAACCGCAGGGCACACCAACTGAAACATTTGCTCCAGAACCTTGTCTCGTACCATCTTAGGTCCCGTTTCTTGTCGAGCCCTTGTCTTAACATCCAACACGTAATCTCTATGCACGATATGGTCTGTCGAGGAGTATCAACCCATAGCACTTGCTGTCCTACGTGCTGTCCTACAACGCGACCCTCGCCGCTGAGGGTGCTAGCGCTCCTTCTTCTCCGCCCTGACCAGGCGCTCGGGACCTGCTGGGCGACGGCGAGCGCGAGAGGGGGGGAGTGGGACGACGTGGAGGTGCACCCGCCCATCGACCTGGTAGACCCTTACGTCTTCTTCTCGGATGCGCTCAGCGGCATGCAGCAGGTGAGGAGGGGATGAGGAGAGAGGGAGGAGCAGGACGCGTGTGTCCCAAGCAGGATGTGCCTCCTTGCAAGGACCGGGTAAGCACCGCTGCAACAAAGGCATATGCCGCTATAAGTAGCGGTAGGGGATGGGGAGCAGCGCGGGTGAGGACAAGGTAGGCTAGGCAGCGAGGGGGCGGGGAACGCTACTGGGTGTAGAGATAGCGGAGTGGAGTTGACAGGCGTAATGGCTGGTGGGCTGTTCCAGACGGGGCCACTCTTTGTGCACTGCGTATGCTTGCCAAGGCAGGGCGGACGGATAGTTCTTATACCTGGCGGTGCTGCCGCTTTCCGCTCGACCTTGTCGCCAACGGACATTGCCGTGACCGCGACTACTGACACTAGGCAACTATACTCAAAATGTGTGTATGCCCCATGTCGTCAGTTAGCTTTTGCCTTCGCCGGGCTAAGACATGCTACAAGCAGCGCCTAGCCACCGCTGCATGTGGAACGCCGTAGGCTGCGTAGGCAAGGCTTGTTGTTCTAATGACGGTCCGTTGCATGGGGCAGGAACGCTTCAGATTGTTTCCGGATTGCTCTCTGCCTGCTTTCCACTCGTGCGTTGCTCCAGTGTCCCATCCGTTACTCCCCTACCCCATCTCCCATACACACCAACTCATTCCCGTTTGCCCCTCCGACCTTCCCCCTCGGTTTGGACTTCCGCATTGGCCTCCGATCCTGGTCCATTGCGCTTCATCCGAGTGTAACGTCGGCGTCGGCTCACTGATGATCCTTGCGGCGAGCGTCAGTAGTACCGGAGTCGCAATGAACGGTACGGCTTGCTGCTTAGTTGCCCTTGTCACCGCTAGCTGCTGTTGCATCCGGCATAGCCTCCTTCCTCATTTGTTGCGAATCTGTCATACTATGATTACTATCTGCTATCTGCGCAGGTACGACGCTGAACGACAAGTTGACACCAAAAGTGCGACGGTGGGCTTGTCCAAGGGCATCGCACTCCGCGTACCGGTAGGTTGGGAATGCTGTACAGACATGGGGTTATTTTGCTACATTAAGAGACGTAAAGCGCTGTGTCGCTGCCCCGGCCCCAGCAACAGAACAGCAACAGCCGATTAGCCTCAGCTCCGAAGTCTCAGACCCTACAGCAACAACCGTCAGCCAGCCAGCATGCCAGCCCGCCAGTCAGTTGTCGACTCAACAGCAGCAGCAGCAGCTGGGTCTGGGGCAGCGCTGATGTGTTTGGTCATGCTTGCGCTTTCCCTTGCGCCTGTACGAATCCGCTGCTGAGGAAGCATTCTCCCTTTGTTGCCCTTTCAGCCCCCGACATGTTGATCCGCAGTGGGCACTTGCGGTCTACGTGTGGAGCTGGAGCCTCAGCAGCTGGCAGGCGGCTGCGTGTGACCCACGGGCCATAAGCGCAGCACTGCGCTGCCTTCGTCGACTTCCCGCTCTGCCATCGCTGTCCAAGCCAAGGATGAGAGCTGCAAACAAGATAGCTGGCGACAAGCTCGGAGGCACGTGGGCATGCGGGCACTCGGAGTCATCGCCCTTCTCCCCGAGAACAACAGGGTGAGTGCGGTTCTTCAGTACCTGGGTTTCGGGCGCATGTGTTTTAGGAGTGCATGTGGACCCGTAGGTTCCCAGGGGCAGGGTAGGGAATTGAAAGAGGGGCTGGCTCGCATGGGGTTGGTTTATATGCCGAAGGGGTTATGTTAACAAATCTCAACAACTAAATCGAGCGGGGGCTTCTTGTAGCCCATTGCCGCTGTGTTCTCCTGACCCATGAATTGCTCACGTGCCCAATCCTTCAGCAACTCTTGTTACTCCGCTTGCATGCAGGGCCGTATACCCGAGACCAGGGCATCTCAAGATAGCTGGACACAAGAAGGAATGGCGGTCCGTCACGTGGCGCAACAAAATTACCCCGCATGGCTTCCATGAAGCGTGCGGGTGGTCATGGCGGAGAGAGACGCGTTGCTCACGTAAGTAGGGGCCTGCGCTACGGCAGGGGTCCCGGAGTAGGGGGCTGTCGTCATAGTCATGGGACGTTATGGATTCCTGGGTTACAACTTGGTCACAATGCCCAAACCCAGCTTCGATCTTCCAGCGCCAGGGCTTCAGAGCCGTCAGCCGCAGCTTTTACCAGCGGGCATGTGCGTGTTTTGCGTGTGCTTGTCCTGCCGGTGTCCCATTCGCCGTGTCGCATGTCTCATGTTTCTCATCCCGCTGTTGCCCTTTTGCCCCCCTGGCATGGTCGCACCACGAACGGACGGCTGCTCAAGGAGGTGCCGGTGCCTCCCAGCCCTCAAGGCCTGGCACGGCGACTGTTTACCAAGTCAGGACGTGGACGGCGTCACCTCTTCCGGTTCCAAGTCCCCGAGGCACGGGCGGGGCCAGGTACGTGCGGGGTGCGGCGCCACGGTTCGAAGGTATACCAGGTAACCTCCTTGAGCAGCTGTAGGGGCATGTAGCTGGTGGTGTCTCTGGTGCGGACATTGTTAGCGGGTTTTGCGTAGGATTTGCGGCGAGTATAGCTGTTCATTGCAACGGGTTTTGCGGCCGGTTTTGCGGCGGATTTGCGGCAATGTGATGGCGCTGACAGACGCTGGGCTAATAGGTAGACGGTTGCGTGGATTTGACTGTTGTGTTACTAGTCGCAGCAGTAACGACTTTAGTTTAGAGGACGCTACGCTGTTAGGGGGTTTGTGTCAGAAGCACCGCTTGACATGCCGCTCAGGGGATGGCCTTTTGGCGGTAGCACCGCTCATGGGGTTTCATGGATATGCGATGGGTGTTCTGTGTTTGAGCATGACAGGCGGCGTGTTGTGTTGGTTGATTAAACTTCCTGCTATTTTGCGCCTCGTGCCCCCTCAGCGCCCAGCAGCTCGCAGCCCAGCACCTGATGTACAACACGGCTTGGGGGCGGACGGGGTGGGTCGGCCACATGCGCCTCAGCGACCCACCCAGTCAGGCCAGAAGTCTCTCTCGTCCTCGTAGGGCCTACACAGCACAGCACTCGCAGCTACAGCTACAGACCGCAAGGAACCCCTCACCAGCAGCCAGCTAGTGCACAGATGTTGTTCGCGGCAGCCAGGTTGTACGGTGACAGTCTTACCAGCAGCCTGTAGTGACAATGAAGCCCCGTAGCAGTTATGCCAACAGCTATAAAGCCATTTCGATGCAGCCTATGCCATACATAAGAGGGTGATTACTATAGCAAGAAAGGGAAGTAAGCACTGTAAAGCCACAGGTAGGGATGCGAGGGGGATACAAAGGACGGTAAGAGGTAGCTAGGTTGGGGAGGAAAGGTAGGTGGGGGTGGAAGGCGGGGAAGGTAAGTGGGGAAGGAAGGAGGGGTGGCAGCGGGGTTGGCGGGGGTGGTTGGGGGAAGGAGGGGTGGGTAGGGGCGGGTGTGGGAGGGATGGCGCGGGGTAGGTGGGGGCGGCTGCTCATACTAGACATAGTGCACGGACAAATGCCTGAGGTGGGTTCGCATCGGCTCTTCCTGCTGACCCGTACTCCCCGCCCTCATTTCTGCTCCCCGTTTCCCCGCAGCTGTGGGCTGGCGCACGGCGCGGCGACGGCTTCCGACGCAGGAACGGGGAGCTTGTGGCGTGAGGTTTCATGGCGGCCTGAAAGTATAGTATAATGTATGTTCTAGGACAGCTCCGACTAACCCCCAACTAACTCGTGTACGGCACCCCAACCCCCCTCAGCCGTACAGGAGTTGGTGTGGGAGTCGGCAGCTGCGCGAGTGTGAGCAGGTAGTTGTACGGCGGGCCAGCTCGGAAGCTACCTGGCTGTAGTGACGTACACGGGCAGCTGGCGCTTGTCGGAAGTCGCGCGAGTGGGAATGGGACAATGGGTAGTTGAGCGCGCGCGCATGTGGAAAGTTGCGACAGAGTGCGGCGGAGCTCGGTGGAGGCTGGCGGTTGGCGCGGCGTGCGAGTGGGAGTGCGTAGTCGTGGGCGCACCGTTTGGGAAGCTGTGTCATGCCGTTATGCGGGCATTGCATTTCACCGGCACAGCAGGAATTGGCCGTGCCATGGGGATGGGTGGTTGGTTCGTGCCATGCCGTGCGACAGGGGTGCCGCCCGGCCTACAAGGGTGCAGTGCCGGCCCGGCGCTGCTCTTCCGTTACTCCCGTGCCAACACAGAACAGACTACATGCTGTAACGAACTCTGGTGGAACATGGCAGTAGACTCTCGGAAGCATTCTCTATCTGTCGTTGGGGGCGTGTTCGGAGGGCATGCCAAGTCTAAGCGCGCGAGCGCATAGCAACGTCACTACAGTCCAGATCCACGCATCGCTAGCCCACACTGCACCTCTTGGACAGCACTTAGGAGAGCTGCCCGTCCTCAGCCAGCGGGCGTGTTGCGCGGCTCCCGCGTTCGCGCAGGACAGAGCTGCCCGCCTGCGGCTGGAAGCTGCATGAGAAGCCCGCTGTGCGCGGCGGGACGCGCTGGAATGTACGATGGTCGCTGGGCACACGTGTGGATGGGGCGAAGGGGCGGCTCGCAGGAAACTCGGTGGCATTCCGTTACAGAGACAGCAGCAGACTACTGCGACATGCTCATGGGCTCAGCGCTGCGGCCCGCGCCGCCAGCGGGCGGCTCAGAGCCCACACGCGGCTCAACACCCTCCCTGCCCTCACCGTCAGCACCAGCTTCAGCCCCGCGTCGACGCGTGAGATGACTTGCCGCACGCGCCCCTGTGCCGCCGCCATGCCCGCCGCGACCGCCGCCGCCGCCAGGCTGCTCCGCTCCGGAATGGGCGCCGCCGCCGCGTGCGGCTGCGGCATGGATGGCTGCTGCTGTGCCTGCACCAGAGGGGCGGGAAGCGCCAGCACGGCGGCGGCGGCAGCTCCACATGCCCATTGTCCTCTCCCAGACCCTCTGCGCCGTCCGCAGGGGATGGCAGCGGCGGCAGGTCGTCCAAGGGGGTCGCTCAGCGACAGCAGGGGCTGGCTGGAGAGGTCAACTGGAGGCAGCTGCGTCGTGGCGGTGACACGGCGCCTCTTCTCCGCGCTCTCCTCCAGCTCCGCCCACGCGCGCCCCCCTGCCACACCGCCACGCTGGTGTGCGCGGCCTTGTAACGTGCAAACGTGCATACAATACGATCTCTATGGCAGGGTTCTCCCCTCAGTCCCTCGCCTCTCCGTTACCCGGAGTTCTGCATGAACCCTTGGTCAATCTGGTTCTCAAATACGCTACACGTTCACACCGGGGTATCTTTACTCCACCTAAACAACTGGATGATAAACGCATTCGTAACAGGCCTCCAGCGCGGTCGCCTTCTTGCGCATCACACCCGCAACAAGCGCCTCCATTTCCTGCTTCTTCTTGGAGGCCTGCTCGAGGAAATAGTCTTTTTGCGACTTCTCAAAACCGCAAGCGAGCCTGCGGCGCGGCCCACGCGCACCACGACATAGCCACCGCCACGAAGAGAAACGCGCGCGAGCGCAGCACAGCGAATATGTAACAGTGCAATAGGTTTCCGCGGATGGCAGGAATGTCAATCTCTTGAGTTGTGTACTCTGTTACAACCGAAGAGATTGACATTCCTGCCATCCGCGGAAACCTATTGTACTCTGTTACAGAATAGCAGCGAACACCGAAACCGGATCAACCACATCAACAACGCACGAGGCCACACACAGAGGCAACGGCGCCGCAGCACAACACACACGACACAACACGCCCCCGCGGCCTCGGCCAGGGTTCACGCAACAAAAACGCGCCCCAGGCGAACGGCCCAGGGAAAAAAGCCCGGAACCCTGGCGCAAGCACAAACAATGTGGGCCAGCCTGGGGCGCGGAACTAGCACCCACCAAAACAGAAGAAAGCAACGCGGCAGGGGTGGCAACCCACCAGACCCTGCCCCCTTTGCCGCAGCCCCCTAACACAGGCACGCAGCACAGCGCCTCAACGACTGCCACGCCGCCGGCTCCCAGCCGCCGCAGGCCGCGGGCTGCAGCCGCCGCAGCACCAGCAGCAGCAGAGGGAACGGCACCGGCGTCTGCAGGTGCTGACGCCGCCCCCGGCACCTGCTGCCCAAACACCACAGCCGCCGCCACTGGCACCGCTGGCGCCGCCAGGGCTGAGGGCGCCCGCACCAGCACTCCAGCGGGGTGGGTGGCCGCGGCCGTGGGCTCGGCCGCAGGCCTGCTTGCTGTGTGGCGACGGGCCTGGCCGCCCGACGCCTTGTGAGCCGCCGTTGTACAGCACGCGGTGTTCACCTACTGCGCCATTTATGCGGGGTTTATGCATGGTCTGTCCCGCCCGGCCCACATTCAGTCGGCCTGACAGGTGGCAAGGACCGCTCACATCCGTCCCATGTAACGCGGCTGGACGACGGCGGCACGCCCCAGCCGCTTGCCCAAGTGCAGCGAAATGGGGCGCACGGGTCCCGCGTGAGGCTGCAACTGCGCCCGGGGCGTTGCTGCGGGCGATGCGCCCGGGGCATTGCTGCGCCTGGGCATTGGGCTTTCGTACGTCTTGGTCACCACCTCGCTGATACGACCACTGCTGTGGAACTCGGCCAGCTTTGACGGGTAGACCTGCATGGCCTGCCGCTGCTCCAAGAGGGAGCCGTGGCTGAGGACGTTGCGCAGCAGCGCGTGGAACCAGCGAAGCCCAACCTTGACGTCCTGCCCAGCTTGTGCCCCGTAGTTCCGCTCGAAGTTGGCCTTGCCGCCGCGGCTGTTGCAGCGGTGGTCCAGGACCTGCAGGTAGGTGGAGCACCGAGCGCCGTGATCAACGCAGTTGCAAGGGAAGCGGGGGTGTACAGGCCGCCACGATGATTGCGGCTGTCAGGACAAGCGTCGATGTGTGCGCTGGCATACATGATAGCAGTCGGTCGTGGTGAACATAACATATGATGCTGCTGTGCCTGGAATGTGACAGGTGCTGCGCTGCTGTCCCGTTTTCGGACCCCTTGTGCTCTGTTTGCCTACCCTCCTAGCGCCTGGTGGGCTCGTTTTGGTGTCCCCTCTAACGGTCCCCTCGACACGGAAGAAAGCTCGGAGCAGGTGCTCCTCTGCGCACCCACACTCGCCCCGTTCAGCACCGCAAGGAACGCTACTGTTGACCCGTGAGTGTTCTTGTGTTCACTCTGCACCAGGGATGCCTATTTGATATTAATCTGACTGCACTCGCCCTCCCAACACGCACGACACACCTTACTGCAAACACCACCTGCCCGTTTTGTCATTGCAACCCCGCTTTTCCCCTTGCCAGCGCCACGCACTGCCGCCAGTTTCCAGGCCGCCTTGTTACCGTCCCTCCTGTGTTATGATATGCTAGCGACCTTTGAGGCGCAAGCTCGCTCTCTTTCGCATCGCCTTTGATGCCTTCCGCGCCTGTATCAACCCTTCCCTTTCCGCAGGTGACCGTGACGCTGTCTGCGACTGGCCGCTGCTGTAACCTCCTCACCTCCTTCTCCTTATGCTGTGGGTCTCCTGATATGATTCGCCAATCTCGCAGTACGGCAACTCGCCCACCCCCCACACACGCCCCAACACCCTACGCTGGCATTCTTACCTGGATGAACCAGTCCGCCTTCAGCAGCCCGTCCGGCGTAAGCGCCAGTGCAGATGCCATGTCTTCCAGGAGGCTGTGCAGGTCCTCGTAACTGTCGAAGTGCTTGGAGTCCTTGCAGCACTCGCCGAGCACAACCAGCTCCCTGAACATCTTGGAGCTGATCGAATGGACGGCGGTGATGGAGTCCAACAGCTCTCCGGACTCCGTGGTGAACGCCTGAGCAGGGAATACTGGCGACAGGTAGCGAGTATGTTTTGTGTAGGGCGGCAGTACACGTTCGCGTACTCTAGTGTCGCACGGTCCTGTCTCCTGTGTCCCAGATACCCTTCCGATCATATGTCGCCGCAGCACCCCGCATGCCTTGAAAACCGACGAACACCCAGCAGCAGGTGCGCACCTCAAACGCCCACTTCCCGGGTGTGCACCTGAACACAACGTCTGCATGTACTGGCCCTCTGTGTGTTCGCACACCAAGCCTCCAGGGCCTCCTGGTTGGTGAGCATGCGCTACTCAGAAGGTATTCTGGGTGTACATGCGCATGTGTTGGGTGTACATGACGCACGTACCTGGAGCACCTGAGCGAGCTGTGGGTAGTCCAGGTACAGCCTGCCCTCACGCTCGGTGGCGAAGCTGGCCAGCAGCACCTTGAACGCCAACGGGAGCTTGGCGGGCTCCACTCCAGCCATCGGGTCCAGCAGCTCGCGCAGAAGCAGCAACTGTGCAGCCGGCTGGCCCAGCACTTGCAGCACCATGCGCAGGTCCGCCAGCACCTGAATAGGGATCACATGCGGCAATCGAGGGTTGCTAGTCGAACCGTCTGGCTCCATGTGCCGTTCATCGTGCAAAAAGCACACTCCTTCACAGCCAGCGCCTGACCATGCTTTGCAACCATTCCCATTTTCAGGAATGCATTACACAGGCCCCACCTCGGGAATGAGCTTTTAGGTCATGGTTTGCTCGACCAGCTCCGCAGCTGTGCTAGCCGTGCGGCTGTACCTCCACTCCTGGCACAAGTAGGCAAGCGTGGCGATCTGCGGCGGCGACCGCCAGACCAGGTCGTTTGGCAGTGCCGGATCCCAGGTCGCGGCCTGGGCCTTGAGCTGCTCCCAGGCGACTTGTAACACGCCCATGGACACCGTGGGGCTCAGGTTGAGTCGGCGGTGGTGCATGATCAGGGGGAAACCGTTGGTCTGCGGCCGTGCACAGCAGAGAGGCGTTAGGCTCTACAGAAGCTACAGTCATGGGTGAGACAGGATGGGGGGGAGCGTGAGAAGCTGAGTGGGGGTCGCGGCTGGGGTTGTGACGATGAGGCAGGCGGGAAGGAGCTAAGGGGTCCGCCCAAAGGCGGTGTGGTTTGCGGACGGACAGGCGAGGTAGGGTTAGACCGAAGGGCTCTAAAATAGCACCAGAGCGTCGGGTCCTGGGACTGCAACGCCAATAGCTCACCGGGGTGGCAGTAATGTTGGCCCATAGCGTCGCCATGCAGCTGCCTGTGACAGCCCAGGCGACCCAGTGGGGGCTGTCCAGCAGGAGTTCCTTGAGGATGCTGCAGTACACACGGCAGATGAGGCAAGGAAAATGGTGCACGTATCAGCTCCCTTGTGTCGTACGCCTGCTGTGGGTATGAGCGCAGACGTCTGCCCCTTGTGCTATAAGCTTATGTCGTGCAATTGAACCTCGCAGCGATCTCCCCTTAGTGCCTTCTGCCCCTCGTGTGAAGCGCCGTCTGGGCGCGTTTCACTGGCCATTGCCCCTCACCCTCCCACGCCCATGTAATCACGCGACACGGTTAGGGAAACCTTGTGCTGACTTATCACCGCATGTGCAGCACCGCGTCCACGTCCAGGGTTGGGCCGCGCGGCGGACAGTCATCCGACCAGGGCCGCTGCACTAGGTAAAAGCTCTCCGCCTCGTCAATAAGCAGGAAGTTCAGACGGTCCCGTGGCAGACGCCGCATGAAGTCCTGAATGGCGACAACCATGGCGCCCGCGGAGCGGTCGCTGGGTACGGGCGTGCTGGCAGCAGCAGAGAGCTGCTGGTCGGCGGCGCTCTGCTTGAGTTTAAGGAGGAAGTCCACAAGAAAGCCACCGTTGCCACTGCTGCGGTTGCAGCTCAAGCAGTTCACGCGCAGGAAGTTGGGCCCTGAAAGCACCGCGCCGGCGTGCTGCTGGCCGCTGCCGCCGCTGCAGTAGTAGGTGTTGGCCACAGCAGGCAGGACCTCGTTGAGCATGTAGGACTTGCCGTTCTGCACAACGGGCGCAAGATGGGCGCAAGATGGCTAGGTAAACGAGCATTATTCCTCTTGGTCGCTCAGCTGTGTATCCCTCAACAATGCACAAAGCCTCATGCATAGCCCATCTACCACGCCTAACCTTCTCCCTCCAGGCCCTACTGCATGTGGGTGATACAAGCTGCACACGATGCTCTCCAACATTGGTCAGGCCGTTACATCCCACCTTGACCTGACCGTTGATGAACAGCGGCAGGATGGGTTGGCCCTCACGGTGCAAGTCCTCGGCGATGCGCAGCCAATCCTGCAGCTCAGCTGTCTGCCTGCCCTCGGGGTCCACGAAGAACCTGCTGTTCACGCCAGGACTTGCGGCAGCTGCAGCGCTGATGGTGTCCATGGGCTCAAAGAAGAACAGGTCCTGGTTCTGCGAGTCTTGCCGGAGCCGCAGCTTGCAAGCTGGCGGGCCTGCACAAAGATAGCCCGTCGTGCCCACACAAGGTGCAAACACATTAGCAACCGGCCACTGTCGCCCAGTTGCAATGCATGCAGGATCACAACGCAACGAAAGGAAGCAGGAACGAAGGGGTACAAAGCAGCAGAGAGTGACGAAGCGACTTCCAGCTGACTCAAGCCAAAGTGTCACGCAGCCAGCCGTACGGGAGCTTGCAGGAACCTAGCCTAGCTGCTGCAACAAACTGCGCAGGTAGGGGGGCCCATCATCAACGCACTTGCCAATGGCGTAAAATGATGTGGAGGGGGTGGACTAAGTTGAGGAAGGGACGCGGGCCCCATCTTGGCTACGCAACAAGGAAAAGCACAACATGAGGAATACAAGTGACAGCCATATTCAGTATGTTTAAGAGTTGCAAATCGCGAGAAGGTGACAACACACCATGGCATGGCAGATCCTACGTCCTCATAACACACGTCTTTGGTGGTTCACTCAAGGCATACGTGCTGGACTTGCTTAGCGAGAGCGCGACAAACATGTATTATTCATCAGGGATTATTATAAGCTACACCCCATACCCCATCTCCTGTACTTTGCAACCGCCTGCCCTCCGTCCCTGTCCCAACCCACCCACCTGTTGTAGTGCCCAGCTTAAACACTACCTCCAGACGCCCTTCAGCAGGCAGCTCAGGACCATCCTCAAGGTCCTGCCACCGCAGCAGCCCGCCAGAGAGCGATTTGATGAGGGCTGTGCTGCCCTCCGGCATGATGCGCCGCTGCCTCAGCACTGCCAGTAGCCCCTCTGCATCCCTCACGTTGTCAGCCTTGAACGTCTCAGGGATGGCTGGCAGTACGAGCTCCTTGCCAGCAGTGACGGAGCCAAAGTCGACCTAGCGCGCGTCGGCCATCGGCCTGTGCCATATGTCGATCAGTTCCTTTTGCAGCTTCTCCTGTTCCTCCATTTGCCAAGTGCCGCTCACGCCTCGGCAGCTTGGCTCGACTGGCTCGAACCTTAGGGGCCATTCATATATGAGTGATTTTGGGAATGAGTGCGTAGGAGCGCGTAGGGGAAATTTGTTCACATTGTAAGTTTTAATTACCGTAGTGACAGATAGTTTTCGTGACAGCAATGTTCGTGACGGGCCAAAAAATGTTACCATATCTTTTTAATGTTCGTGACAGCCGTGGCGAACTTATAATGCAGAACACAAAAGTTCGTGACGCCGGCCCTGGAGCACTTCCACTGCCGCTAAAGCCCTGCGCAGAAACCGGCACTGTATCCTCTCTACAAATGGCCGAGAAAGAAATGTGTCTTGATGTGGCTGCGGAAGGGGGTGTAGGGAGAGGAGGCCTGTGACATGCCCGGACCCAGGCAGGCCCAGCTGCAGCAACAGCCTTTCAGCAGCACGGCTTCAGAGCCCCAGCCAGCCACAGACAGCAGCAGCACCATACCAGCACCAGACCAGACAGCAGCAGTAAAAGCGATATCAGCAGCAGCACAGCGGGTTCTGGAGATCCGGCATGTCTTGCTATTTGCTGCCGTTGTGGTCATCCCCGCGTGGCTTTAGTTGCTGAAACGCCAACCCCTTGCCCCTTTGCTACCCCTACGTGGCTTCGCGCATCCCCGGGGCGTGCTGGACGCCGCATCAACCAAATTGCGGAATTGCGCTGCCGCGGAGCCAATGGGAGCCCTGAAGCCCGTGTCAGTGTGAAGCAGTTGTTGGGTATCGTGTTGCTGCGGGGCCAGTTTTGTGCTGACGGATTGTGTAGGGCAGCAATTACTTCTCCTAGGCTTAAACCTAGAAAGCAGGACGGCAGCAAGTTCGTGACAGAAGCGCCTAGGCTTTCGGTTTTAGCCTGCCTGTCTTAGCGCTGCAAGCATGCGTTACAAGTGCGGGGACGCGTAACGAGGTCAAGCGGCAAGCCAAAGCCGCACAACATGCTCTTATGTCTCTACTTATGTCACACCAAACGCCCTTTCTTAACCCTTAAAGGACGCCTTGAATATATCCGAGGAACCGATCCGAGCAGCATGAAAGCACGGTGACGCGTACATCTAGTGAAGCACGACGAACTGTCGTGGACTCAGTGGAGGGGAGGAGTAAAGCGCAGATGCTCCGGAGACTTGCCCAGTCACACGCGGTTATTCCAACATAGGCCTCCCCGCTTCTCATCATCCCTACCGCGGGGTGATCTGCACAGTCATACCTGCAGACGCCGGTACCTGCGCCGCGGTTACCGCATGTGCTGGTGCGCCGTTACCACCACCGTTGCCGTTGCTGCCCCCCTGCCCCCCCTCCCCCGCCGCTGCCCCCATCCCCCCCAGCAGCCCCGCCTCCGCCAGCACCTCCGCAGTGTCCTGGTGGTCGCGCAGTGTGGCCATCACATCGGCCTGGATGCGGTTGCAGATGACGTCCAGCGGAAGGATGCTGGAGGGGACAGGGGAAAGAGAGAGAGGGGTAAAGAGGGGAGCATGGCGGGGGCCATGAAGGTGCATAGCGGGGCCCCGTTACGGCTAGGGTTATTAGCACTCAGCAGCCAAGGCGGCCCCGTCCTTTCCCTGCCGGCTGCTGGTAGCTCCCCGGGTGGCCCCCACCACCCCCGCCCCGCCCTCTCACCCGAACGGCTCCTCGCACTGCACCCCGATCTCCTCAATGCCGCACAGCACCGCCGCGATGCCGCTGCACACCGGCACCACGCCCCAGCCCAGGGTCGGGTACAGCGCCAGCGGCAGCAGCGTCAGCCACGCGAACAGGAAGCGCGCGGTGTGTCGCGTGTACGACACGGGGATGGGCGCGCGCAGCAGCCGCTCGCAGCCGCCCAGCACGTCGTGGAAGAAGGTGAGGTTGGCGCTCATTTGCTGCTGGTGGATGGGGTGGAGCGGCACGGACTGGATGATCTGGGGGGGAGGGAGGGAGGAGGGGGGGAGGGGCTGAGGAAGGTGCACGGTAAGGAGGAGGAGGAGGTCATCAGTCGCACCCCCACCCCCACCGCCCCCCCACCTGGCTGATCGCGTGTATGGCCCTCACGGGTCGGTGCTGGCTGCGAGCCAGCATGTCCAGCTCCGCGGGTGTCAGCACGCCGCGCAGCTGCTCCTCCAGGCTCGCCTCGGGCTGGAAGTGCAGGCGCAGGCAGCGGGCGAACGCAACCACCCAGCGCGCCAGCGCCTTGCGCGCCTCCAGCTGCTCGGGCGGGAAGCAGGTGGCTCCCTGGCGCATGATGTCGCGACTGCGGTTGAGCAGCCCGCCCCACATCTTGCGCGCCTCGTCCCAGCGGCCGTAGCTGGAGTTGGTTCTGAAGACCAGCAGCAGCGACAGCGCGACGGAGGTGTTGGACACGAAGGAGGCGGCGGCGGCGTGCGGGCTGAGCGGCGGCAGGCCCTCGGGCAGCAGGTGCGCCTCGGAGGCGGTGCCGTACGAGGCAACCAGGGTGGCAACCAGGGTCACCCAGGAGATGGCGGGAAGCGCGTTTTGGATGACATGGGACCTTGCAAGGGGTTGGGGTTGGGGGAGGAGAGGAGGGAGAGCATTGCTCGGAGAATCCCGGTGTTAGAAGGGAATCACCCGGATGTGACCCTGGGTGGGTAAGAACCAGAGGTTTACGGGCTGCATGTGCCAGAAGAGGAGAGATGAAGGCTACCAGAGGTATGAGGGCGAGACGCACGTCTGCCAGGCAGTGACGCCAGGTTGTGGACAGGTGGACCAACGAGGCAATGGCCGTGAGGACGGCTAGGTGTCGAAGTGGGTGAGCAGTATTATAATGCGGTGAGCGTGATGCTCGCGCATGCGTGCGGGGTGTGGCAGCAGGGCTGAGCTGCTGGAGTGCCACGTAGCGGTGTCAGGGATGCAGTACAGGGTGGTGGTGCAGGCGACCACAGCAGCTGCCAACTGCCGGCAACTGCCGCAAGAGTGCAGGGCATTCAGGTAAGTTGCTAGCGAGCGGGCACTCACTGTGGAATGGTGAACAGCCGCTGCACGAGCCGATACTGACTTCGATGAGACCGCCATTGTGGGAAATCGTACACCTGGAACCGCACCGAGGTTAGTTAGGATGTGAGCGAAGCTGTGGAACCAACGAGACAGTGCGATCTGCCTGCGCATTTCCGCATCCCAAACGAAAATGGCGCGTGTGCAGATTGCGATTCTGCAGCCTGGGTTGCCGTTTCTCAGTTCGCGCATGGGTGGGATGTTGCTTAACTATACGTGCGTTTCGTGCCCATAAAGCCCATACGGCGCCCGGAGATAGCGTGCAGCGTCCAATACATTTGTATTACTTACCGTTCTAAAGTATTTTCGAGCTTCCTCGCTGCGAGGCAGCGGAGTCACCGTTCCGGCTTGGGAGGACAGCGAGCCGAGGGGGTTGCTCTGGATAGGCGCATTTGGGTCCTTTGCAGAGTTAATAACTATGAGCCGACGTGCTCGACACACAGGGCTGCATGATGGGTTGCTGCCCGCAAAGCGTGACGTCCGCAGCAGTTGCTGCTGCGGGCAACGACCGAAGAGCGACGCAGAGCTCGGCATGTTTCGGCAGCGTTAATAACTCTGTTAGTAACAGGATTTCTTGTGATTGAGCGGGGGCACAAGGCTTGCAAATACTTGTCTTGCAGTAGTAGGAAAAACGGCAGCCTACTATGCCGTACAAACCGCATGCGAACCTGAGTCGCTATCCTCGGACGTGATCACGTTTCGAAATCGCTTTCATCTTATCCGACAATGTATGCAGTAACCTTTTCTGTCTCCATCCGTCGGGAGTGCTGAGGGTTAAGCGGCTTCGACTGAGCGAGCCGCCAAGTGTTTGTCCGCAAGACGAAACTCAGTCGCAAGTAAGCTACATCTGGGGCACTTAGCCATGTACCGTGATGTCGTCCTTTGCCAGTAGCCTGCTGGCCATGCACAGCAAGTTTGCAACTACTGCCGGTTCGGTTGGTTACGGATCTTTAGTCACCCAGTCGGTTAGTCATACCAACACCGCAATCCTAGATTGCGGCGCGCGGATCCAAGATGCACTGATGAGATCTTCATCCTCACATGAAACGGTCTGCACTGTGCACTCTGAAACAACCACGTGGACCTATTGAATGAGAGCAGCTGCCACACGGGCAAAAGCCACTTTCGCGTTACACATCAGCCGAGCATGTCACTGGCTGCAAGCGCACAGCATGACCTTGGCAGCGCAGCCACAGTACGCCATCACGGTGTCATTTGACTGGGTCCCAGAGGGTGACACATGCCCACCCAGGTCGGGAGAAACGGCACATGACGGCCGGAACATAACATTCATCCTAACCTTATCCAACAAAAGACGCCGAGTTCAGCTTACGGTAACACACAACTCGCAGCACCCTAGTAGCTATGTAGTATGTACGTACCTACACATGCGGTAGAAACGTCACCAAACACGTTTCACAAGGCTTAGCCAACACTTAGCACGGACCTATAAACGCTGTCCCAGCGGTGCTCCCAGCATGATACGGCAACAAAACAGCAGTGTGCTTTTCCAGCGGTACCTGTCAGGCATAACGCATGACGTAACGCGGAACCCCAAGATGCAGTTCCACCAATGTACCGGGTAACAGCGGAGCGTGCCTGGCAATGCCTAGCTAGGGGATGGGGCCAGACTACCGGTAACACCACTGCAAGAAAACAGCTCCAGGGCGCCGCATGCAAAGGATTAGTGACCAAACCAGCCCAACCACGTGCAGTACATGACATTAGCAGCACAGACTCACGGCATTGAACCAGCTCGCGCGTTCGTAGCAGCGACGGGCAGATGCAACTGCGCGTAAAAAAGGACAGCCCGTCCTTCGAGACCATTGTTTCTAGTCAGTGTATCACCCGTCATGTACAAACATCGCCTGTGTCCGGTTTGTTGTCTCAGTTCCTACCGGGGAGCATTCGGACAGTGTCGACCTCCTCCTCCCCTTCGACGCTTCATGTGCACCACCGCACATCAGCTCTCGAGCGGCGTGCACAGTGCAATGCTCATATTATGTGCTGCATGTATCCGGATACTATACCACAGCAGCCCAACCCAGAAGACACCAAACCCCAGGTAGTTCGTGTCAACCTGGTATATCAATCGCCACAGCTTGCCCAAGATGCATAATACATATCACACACCAAGCTATAATACCGTCATGCATGCGTTGACAAGGGAACCAGCAGAGTTCCTGCCCTACTAGTTGCTGCCCCATTTACACCTTGGAAGCAATCAGCGCACCGCTGGTTGCGTGCAGGCCCAAGTTTCGTTCCAGTTCCGACAAATACACAACTCGAAAGGAGAGCATAAATCGCTGCGTGGAGGCACATGAGGGCCTGCTTGCCAGCAGCGGCCCAACCAAGGCAAGAGAGGAGCGGTACCGCAGCCAAGCCGGTGGGCGAATGCGTTCCGTCTAGAACTCGGCAAACACCATCTCGCACTCCTGCAGCTCTTCTGGGGTCTCCTTTGGAGTCTTGCCCGCCGTCTTCTTCTCGTTCTCGATCATCTCCTTGAGGCGCTTGCTGCTGTCGGCCTCCTTCGGCTTGCGCGGCGCGCCCATCCTACACGTACCGCAGAACGGGACAAGACAAGGGTAAAGCACCTCCCTAGCAGCACAACCGGGGCAAGTGCAGCTGCCCGGTTACATCACCAACTGCACCACAGCCAAACGCACCTTCGTGCCTCCAGCTCCTCCCATGCAAGGTTCTCGAACCACTTGTGGTTCTTGATGTCCAAGGCTCGGGCGTTCAGCATGCCCAGGCGCTTGGCTGGCTTCCGCTCCAACAACCGCGAGATGAGGTCCTGCAGACGGAAATGCGGTGCGGGCAGGTAACGAAAAAGGCAGTCCAAGCAGTGGAAACAGGGGGAGAACGGCCATAACGAAACCAAAAGAAAAAGCTTCGTTACGTTACGATTGCAGCAGCAGCTCGCCCTAAATCTTGCCTTGGCTGCCTGCGAGAGGTACGGCGGGTACTTGATCTGGTAGCTCTCGTCCACAATGCGTCGCATGACCACCATGGGGTCGTCCGTCTTGGGAGTGCTGAAGGGCTGGCGACCCGTGAGCAGCACGTACATCAGCACGCCCAGGCCCCACCTGCAGCGCAAGCAGGGTTTTCATTGGCAGACGAGCGCGTCAGCAATAGGTACACCATGCAAGTTCGTTCGTCCCTGGCGACCCTTTTACGCGCTGTATGCCACTGGCAAGAGACGGGTGCATGATGATTGCACCTATGGATGCCAATGCGCCTAGAAGCCACTTGGCATGCACGTACCAATCAACGCTGTAGTTGTAGCCGTGGGCCAGCACGTTCTCAGGGGCAACGTAGCCGGGCGTCCCGCAGAACGTGTACGTCCTGTTCCCGTTCTCCAGCACCTACATAGCAAAATTCCGTGAACACGGGTATCCATTGATACGTCAAAGTCAAAGACGAGCACCCGCAATGACTCAAATTCTTAAAGCTTGATGGCAAGCGGATTTCCTTTATGCATTTGAGCCGATATAGACAGGTTTCACCCTTCCTGCCATATCCAACCGGACAAACACCGTACACACACCGTACGAAACGCCGCTCCCCATCCTAACAGCCGCGCGCACCTTGGCAAAGCCGAAATCTCCCAGCTTAACGTAGCCGCCGCCGTCAATGAAAACGTTTTCGGGCTTCAGGTCGCGGTAGACGATGTTGTTGTTGTGCAGGTACTCGAGCGCCAGCACGATAGAGCCGATGTAAAACTTGGCGAGGTCCTCGCTCATGCCCTGCAGCATCTTCACCTTGGGCGCCAGGCAGCCTATCCGCCATGTGCCCTGCGGCACACGCCGCCTGATGACCTTGGCCTCCGCCACCAACACGTCCATCAGATCGCCGCCCGGCATGAGGTCGAACAGGAAGTAGAGGTGGTACTTGTCCTGCGCGCATGCGGAAAATCCCATATGCATGACGGCTTGTTACTTTTGTGGCAACGCAGCCGAGTGGTGAGCTGCGCATGGCGGCCCGGTGCGGAGAGACTTTGCCACCAGCGGGAGGCCTGGCACTGAAGCGATGCGGGCAGACGCAAGCCTTCCTAAGGCGACTAGCGCAGAGGGCTGCAGTAACAGCCAGCGCCAACGCCTGGGATGAACTATGGTGGAACCGACCGAAGTAGTACCCAAGCTGGTCCTTCAAGGGCCTTTCCACGACTAGCCGGCTGGGCCGCATGCAAACCGCTCCCAGCGTTCAACCATCCCAAGACCATGCCCACCTGGAACGACGCGTATTGGCGGATGCAGAAGGGGTGCGCCACGTTCTTGGTGATCGCCTGCTCGCAGTACACGTGCTCGGGGCACTGCACCACCGCCGACTTTCGCATGCGCTTCAGCGCGTACGACCGCCCCGTCGACTCCTCTGCACAAGCGAGGGAACAGCATAATGTTCGGCACCCTGACCCTAGAAGCCCTCATGCAGCATGCGGTTCCAACACGGCTATAAGCCCGGGCACAGCAGCCGGGTGCATGACCAGAAAGCCGTGGAGCGTGCACATACGGTTGCCGTATAAGCGCTGGTACACATTGTGGGGACAGAAGTGTGTCAGGTTGGGCGGTAACCGGACGTGGTTGCAATCCAAATGCGGTTGTTGAAACGGGGTTGCCAGCAGCGGTGTTAGCGCTGCAAGCTGGGTGCCAACCCATATGCTACCCACCTGTGACAATGGACACTCTGCTGAAAGCGCCACCGCCCAGCACCGTGCCCTCTGTAAGTACAAGGGTGTTGGTCTCCTTGCCTGTCGCCCCGGGATCCAGTCCATCTGAATGACAGCGTTAGGTAAACAGGGCGGAGGGCAGCCGGTAAGTAACTCAGCGAGTTTCTGATAAGTTGCCGCCCCAGCAACGCGCCGTGTCATGAGCGGTGCTGCCCCGACTCTTGCCTGCCCCATTGAACCCGCAGATCGAAACTCCGAGATCGTCTGCCCAGTCTCTGCCAGCCCACACGGGCATGCTGCCAGACCCATCCAGCAACCGCAGCCCTTCAGCCCCCACCTACCCAGCTTCGTGCCGCCTTTGCGCAGCTCCAGCACCTCATCCAGGTGCCCGCGCGCCCGCACCACCTCCCAGGTATCGCCGTTCCGCCCCTTCTTTTTCCGTTTAATGAACACCTCCGCGGGCGGCCGCTGCACATGCGAGCCGCGGGGTTGCAGCTTGGCCATCTTCTGGGCCACCACCTGGTTGGACTTCTCACGCGCCATCAGCTGCTCCAGCGGACCCAGGATCTCCTGGAACGTCTCACGCTTTAGCGTCAAGCAGATGAGCTTCGTGTACGCCTCCACGGTCGCCATCCTGTGATGGCCATACCACTATTGGTTAGAGTTCCGAAGTAGGTTTTCGGCGCGCAGATACACCCCTTTCCATGTTTCGTTGCACTGCACCATGCTATGGACTCCTTACGGACTAAGCTTAAGGGATTCATGGGTACCGGCATATTCCTTGTGTGTTTACCCACCTGGGTTCATCTGTGAGCAAGGCGCGCTCCCCGAAGAAGTCTGCCTTGAAGAGGTGGTTCACCTTTCGCTGCCCGCCCGGGGTGTTTTGATACACGATGGCCTCTCCATCTTTCACGATGTAAAAGAGGTCACCCTTGTCGCCCTCCACAATAACCTTTTGCCCCGCCTGGTAAGTCACCTCCTCGAAGGCATCCACCAGGCGAATGCGCTCCTCGCGGGACAGGTTGGCCAGGATTGGCACGCTGTTTAGGAACAGCTCGACCTGGGATACTTGTGTCTCTTGCAGCTCCCGGACGAAAAACCTAAAAAGAAGTGGTTACATCAGAGCACGGAGGTTAATTGTGGCAGTGACCAACAACATGTCGTGGACATTTCCGCACCTGAAGACTTGGCGGTCTAGGGCCCAGACCACCGCATCCATCGTCGCTGCTACTGTAGCCGTGCGAGGGCTGTCATACATCAGCGAAATTTCGCCGAAACAGTCGCCCCTTTCCTTGATGTTCACACGGACATTCTGGCCTTGCCGCTTTTGCAGCACCTGAGCCGCAGAAAATGGGCGTCAATCTCGACCCATAACACGAATCCAACAGGCTTTCTCGCACCTCAAACTTTCCGCTCTTGACCACGTACAGCTCGGCCGCCGCGAGGCCGGTGTCGCCCTCCTTGATGAGGATGTCACCAGCAGGCACAGTCCGCTCATACATTTCCGAAACAATCTTCCGTTGTATCTGAGGATCAAGCCTCGTGAATAGCAACAGACGCCCCAGAGCATTCTGCAAAGAGCGACGTGCTGGTCAAGCCGGAGTTCCTTGAGGATTGTTCAGTAAATTTGAAGCTGTATTCTTCCACACCTCGATAAAGGCATAGTCCTCAGGCTGCGACTTGACTGCGTTAGGTGGCAACTTCGGCAGAGTTGCTTTCCCCTTCACGGCTCCTCCAGTGATAGCCTTTGCGCGACTTGTTGTCGCGACATCGCCTTTGCCCTGAGAGTTTCCCATGTTCCCCTATTATATGGCGTTCACGCTAAGAAACGAACAGAGCGTGGAGGGTCCTCAAAAGTATATGGATGTAGGGGTATCAGGGGCGCTGCAGTCCAGCCGGGCCGGGCCCTAGCTCAGCCCGGATACTCTATGCCACGCCCTAGAGCCTATGCGGGTTGATGTGGCGTGCTTGAACTCTTTCGAAGGACGGTTTCAAGCAAGTTGAGCGTGCGCTATGTATGCTAAAGCATGGTATAGAAGTATTATACGTAAGGTACTTTAGGAAGCCAAAATGATTTCGCCGGATTGGGCAGCTATGGACTTAGGGACTGTCCGGCAATGGGACGGACGACACGGTTGAGGAGGAACAGATGCAGACCCAAATATGTCGCCTTTCCATATATATTGCTTTCCATTTATGCTTTTACAGCTTTCCTAAATCTATGGCCCACTCTGTCTGTGTAGCTTGTCCAGCTGCATGTTATCATCAAAAGCTAGGAATTTTATATACCTCATTCTTCACTTGTTTATACAAGGGCGATTCTGGGTTGTGATGCACATTATGGGCTCTAGCAACTGGCTAGATAGACGGTGGAAGGCCGAGGAACGATATTTGCAGCTGATTCTAGGAGCATTTCGGTGTAATTGGTCATCATGTGGTTCAGGATTGTCTCATACAGGGTCGTCTGTGGCCGCGCGGTTAGGGTTTGCATTCCGTAGGACCGGTACCGTCCAGCCATACATGGTCTTTACGGAGGCAACGCACGCCATCCTCCCTTGCGTTTTTTGACTCATCTGGCTGCACTCATCTTTGAGTTTTATCGAGCACAAATTTGCTAAAGGGTACAATTTTCGCCTGGGTGGCTGAGTGCGAATCGAAGGCATACCGGTACAGGGTCTGTTGTCGAGGGGTGCGGCCGGTGCAGCACCGGGGGTAATTCCCTTACAGAATTTCGCTCCAGTTGCCAGCGTTAATTGTGGCCCCGTCTTGCCAACAAGCTATCGCTAAGGAAGCCCTACAACACATGTCTGGGAGCGACAGCAAGACCTTGTTGGGACAAACCATCTCATGAAAGCGTCACGCACTCACACACGCACGCCGTGCCTACTGGCCATCTCGCAGCTCAGCCGATGCACACGTCCCCAGCAACCACGTGCATGCTGCGCGGGTATTGGTCGGGCATGGCAATCGGTAGTTGTCCCACATGTAGGAGCGCAATGCACCATGCGTTTCTGGTGCATGGCACGCTCTGCCAGGCATGAAGAGGATGGCGTCACAGAAGCTTTGCACCTTCATGCATCCCGCGCGTTACCATAACGCAAGAACTCTCATACTTGCCAGGTAAGCTCAATAGTGAGGGACACTAACCCTATGGGCACTCGCCCCTTACAAGTCACAGCTGACACCTTTGCCAAAACACACACAACACTTGTCCCCCAGTGACTGGCTCTCTTTTCCTTCCTTTTCCCTCCCCTACTCCTCCGCTACCTCTCTCCCGCGGAACTCCCGGTCTCTACCCCCGCCTGCACCTCCTTCGCACCCGGCTGCATCTCCCCGCCAGCCATTTCCCGCTCAATCTCGTCCATCAACGCCACCGCCACCTGCGTGGGCCCATCCAGGGCCGCATGCCGCCACTCCAGGGAGGGAACCACGCGGGCCCCGAGCGCCATCGCAAGCCGGCTGCGCACCCGCCCCCCATGTCGCGCCAGGGCTGCCCGGCATGCCTCCGCCAGCCGCGGGGGCTGGCGGCGGCAGTCCCACAGGATGGCGGCGCGGTGGCGATCATGGGATATTCGTACGGCATGTACGACGAGACCGTACGGCTCTACCAAGGAGGAGCGCAGCTGCAAGTCATTGTTGAGTACGGCAACTAGGGTGCGCTCCACACTGCAGCGGTGAAGATTTGGGACATGGTTGGGAGCGGGACTTGGCATGCCGATAGCAAGGGCAAGAGGTCAAGGTATAGGTGATACGGCGGGGTTGGCGGTTGGGTGTGTGCGGCTGGTTGGACGCATGAAAGCACGCTGCAGAGAAGCGAATGGCTTGCCCTCGTGCCTAATGGCTATTGGCTGCCCTACGCTTGGCTAATAGCTGCCCTTCCTGTCTTCACCAGCTACTTACCGTGCAGTGAATACGCGCTGTGCACGGCTTTGCGGGTATAGGTGTTCGGCGTGGTCCCAGTCATCGATGCTGACTAGCGTATTCCGAGGTTGCACGCGCTGCCCGCCGGGAGGCGAGGGAGGTGCACCAGGCTCGCGGGTACTTGTCGCGAAATCACGCCAGGCTTTCACGTGCTCCAACGGAGTTCTAAGATGACTAACGAGACCCGTCGACGTGTATCCGGCTACACTAGTTATCGTGATGAAGGGCCGTCGATCGAAAAGTTTGACAACAGCGGTAGCGAGAAGACGGGCCATGCTGTCTACATTTTTTTATGTACACTTTCAGTTTTGTTGCCCCGCCGTGCATGCTTGCGCCGGATAACAATTATAGTCCCGTACAACTGTACGCTTCGCATATACACCCGTTGCGCACGTTAGGAGGTCAGAACAAACGTCCTTCATGCTTTCATAGATGCGGCCTATCTGACACTCCTGATCACTCTCCTTAATTTAGTACCTGTTGCGGTTGGGCTTCTGCACATACAAAGGCGCGCTTGCATTCTTACAAAGTTTTGTGTTCCTTACGAGATAGCTTTGCGATGGCGTCACAATTTTCAGCCTCTTTGCCGGATGGTCACGACCATGGGGAATCAGAGGAAGTCATTCGGGAGCAAGCGCTGGCTGAAAGCGGGCAGTCGCAAGCCATGTACAACTATAGCCAAAAGGTAACCGCCATGGACATCCGGACATTTGATATGGAGGAGTTAGGCACGTTAATACTCTGTCCCTTTTCCCTCCCATATGAACACACAGCTGATGGAGCGCAAAGAGCGTGAGCTCATGGAGTGAGTAGGGCCAGGCAGTACCTTGTGGCCCACTGGTAATGCGCAGCAAGCTTATAGCACAGGAGCTGTGGTTTGAGAGAATTTGTGCGGGCTCGGAAAGCTCCGTACCCGTTGGACCCCGTCCCACCACCCTAAGCCACGTGCCTTACCGCCTGCACTTATCCTTCCTGCCTGCGCACTCCCCGCTTCCGTCTCCCTCCTCAGGAGCATTGCAAAGAACTACGGCCGCATCCGCGAGGTGGAGCGCGAGTTGGGCAACCTGCAGCTGCAGCTCAAGCTGACCGCGGGCCCCAAGAAGCTGGCGCTCGAGGTGTTGCGGCGCAAGATTGAAGAGCAGAACGAGCGGGTGGCGTACGTGAGGGCCAAGCACACCACGGCTAAGGCGGTGAGTCGGCATGGGGGGGTGACGCCTGAGAGTGCGGAGGGGGGCTGCGGGCGAACTGGGTTTTGGCTGGAGTGTGGGGGCGCGCGACAAGAGGAGACGCTCTTGTTGTCCTGAGGCGCGATTTGCATCGTTACACAGTGCTGGGAGGTTGAGCCATGGATGCGGTGTGGAGGTATGGGGCAGCACATTGCGGCTTGGGTAAGGAGCCTAAGGACCTGTAACCGGGTGCTCGAGGATGTGAGCGGTATGAATCGACATGACACCGCATCAAACGCCCGACATGCATGCGACCAACCCGAGCAGACGTACGAGCGGCTGGATGCCGAGTTGAAGCAGGAGGAGGCGGCCAAGGAGCAGCTGTGCCAGGAGCTGAATATGCTGGTGCAGCAGGCGGCGAGGGCGCAGATGGACAAGCTGGAGCAGCTCAAGGTGGGGGGTTGGCGGGGCCGCCACGGGGCGGGAGGGCTGGTAGGGGCCGGTATGCCGGGTGTGGGGTGATGCAGAGTGGTGTGCTCATGGGGAGAGCGGCGATGAGCCTTGGTGTCGGGGAAGGGGTGGGTGGGTTGGCAGGATGGCGTGAAGTTGTAAGATGCGCGCAAGGTGTTTAGGGTTTGGGGGAGCGTTGCTAAAACTGAACTTGATAGCTCACGTGTGACCCACGGGTCTGCCCCCTTCCGTCACACAGACGCAACTGGAGTCGCTCTACGCCGGGGTGCTGCCCGGCGACGTGGCTCAACCGCAACAGCAACCGTCGTCTCCCGCGGGACCTTCGGGCTCGGCAGCCGCAGGGGCGGGGGCTCAGGCCCAGCAGGTGACGCCGGGGCTGCAAGTAGCGGTAGTTTAGACAGCGGCAGGGCAGAAAGGGCCTCCTGCCAGTTAGTACAGGATGGCGGGTGGGGATCCGTACTAGCTTGGGCGTTCGGGAAAGGGAAACGCGTACACAGGGCCGGCGTTACCCGCCTGAACTCTCGAGCATGATCCTTGCGTTTTCCAGCTTCAACAAGCCCCATGCCACGCTACGCCACAGAACGCAACGGGGAGCGGTGCGGCCTCAGCCGGGCCAGCACCCGCTGCTGAGCCCGAATCTCAGCAGCAGCAGCAACAACGGCAAGAACAGGAGCGGCAGGAGCAGGAACGGAAGCGGCAGGAAGCGGAGGCAGCGGAACGGCGGCGGAGGCAGGAGGCGGAGGCAGCGGCGGCGAGGTCACGGCACGTCTCGCTTACCGCGTCACCCAGCGGTGGTGCCGGAGCCGCGGAAGCCGCATCTGTAGCGGGCGGGGTTGCTGGGGGCACAGGGCGGCAAGCGAGCACAGCGGCAGCGACACCTGCCGCCACTGGAGGTTCTAGTCGGGCGGCAGCAGCAGGGCGAGGGAGACCTCCAAGCTCAGGGGCGGTGGGGACAGCGGGCCGGACGCAATCCACGAGCGGGGGTTTTGCCGGGTTTGATACATGAGGGTTTCGGGCTGCTGCGGGCTCGCATGCGACGGGTTTTGCACTGGCTTCATGGGTCATGGCTGCTGTGACGGTCGGCGACGTCTAGGGCTGCGGAGCCGGCTAGGAGTCTTTGGCATGCGCGTTCGTTGCAATGAGGGTTCAGCGGAGATGGGAGAGCAAGTTACCATAGTGGGAGGAGCGCAGACGATTGGATGGAAGCCACAGGACACTTAGCGGATGGCGCACGTGGGAAAGGGTCCAAGCCAACGACGGCCCTTCCTTGGCTGGCTAGAGTACCTCCTAGGCTGCTGCCCGGGTGGTAAGAAATGCAACTGTAGCTGGCTCGGGGGGTAGTGGATTCCCACCAGGGCTGGAGTTGTGCTTGGCTGCTACACGGCTGGCGATAAAGCGCAGGATGCGGCCGGCACTGTAGTTCCAAAGCAAATGGTAATACCGGTAACGCTCAATGTCCTCGTTTGTCCTTTAGGCGATTTTTATATAGCAAACCCCTGAGCAAAGCAACTCAAATCAGGTAGCCTACAACGCTACTCCACTCCAACGCTGCTCACCAACACCATCCGTTGCTGCCAAAGAGTCCGAAACCAAGAAGGAACCGTAGCCGACGCACTGCCCGATCAGCAAGGCACGGCGGACGGGAGCTAACCCAGACCTCCTGCCACGAGCCACTTGCGCAACGCCGATCAGCAAAGGCTACACATACATCTACGCCTGCTTCGGCTACCTCTGTCCTACACAGCTAACATACATCGGCCGTCCAGCTGTGTTGTGCGCGTGCGCGCTTTACAGGGCGGCTCGGTGCATGCCTGCATGGACTCACTTTACGGTGCCGGGAAGCAACGACGTCACAGCCGCGGCGTGCTCGTTTCACAGCTAGGAAAGACACAAGCTAGGAAGGCCGTTCGGCAAGCCGTGCATCGCATAGCGGCTACGTTCCACCGCTTCACTCCCATACGGGTGATACAAAACACAAGCTCATGTGCAAGTGGAGACCGTCTCATGAAGACGTAAAATATCTTGGACTAGCGCCGCATACCTAACACCAAAAAGCCACTTTTATGCCGTTATGAGGAACATGCGCGCTGCCATTATCCCCGCAATGAACAGGCCGGGCATAAGCTGCATGCAAGGCCACAACGGAAGCGCAAAGAGCAACTATAACTAATTCAGCAATCCTCCAACGCAATGGGGCTCCGGAATGGTCTAAACAGGCCCATCTGCGGGTGCCATATTTTGACCAAAACACCTAACCCTCCTGCCACAAGCGTTCAGGCTACGGGCCCAGTCTCAGTGCACACTCTGCCAATTACGAACTAGACCAGCTGTCGTGGCGGCACACGAGCAATGCATGCATGACATAAGAGGTGCGCAAAAGGCAAGTGGCCAATGTTACGGCCCCCCCGGGAGCTCTTACGGCTGGCGCCTTGCCATCCTGCATCCCGCGGACCTATCCAGGGTTGCGGGCTTATCAACTTGTGCGCCATTTAGACGTGCAAACCTACAGCTGTAAACATGTACCGAGGACCTGATCTACCAGCCACAACAATCCCGGGCATCCTGCATGAGAGTACGCAATCTACGGGACAATGCCCGAGACATGTTTAGCTGCGGGCATGAGAAATCAACGTAACCCAGGCTATTGAGCTTCCAAGGCCACGTACGCGACTACTCTACATGGCCAAGTGCCTACAGCTAGGTGCGCCTCACAACCCGACCTGGCCCTACACCACTCGGGACCCTAGAACACATGCCTTCCACCTTGGATATTGCCAACTACAAGCTTGATGTTGCGGCGCCACAACAAGGCGTCAAGCCTTTCAGCAGCACCCTTCTGTTACTGCTTGTACTCTGACTGAGCCATTTGCTGCAAGTACCACTGCTGCTGCGCCGGAGAAAGGTGCTGCAGCTGCTGCAACTGCATGGGCGTCAGCTGCTGCAACAGGTGCTGCTGCTGTGCCGGCGTCAGTGGCTGCAGCTGTGGTTGCTGCTGCGGGTGTAGAGCTCCGGCGTACATGGCCGCGGGCTGGTGCGACACCGCCGCCAAGGAGGGTTGCGCGACGACGTAATACTGGCCCATGGCCTGCTGGTTCGTCATCCCAGCACCGTACTGCAGCATCTGCTGCTGCAACAGCAGTTGCTGGTGCTGCGCCGCCTGCTGCTGCTGTAGGAGGGCGTGCGCCTGAGCTTGCGCCTGAGCCTGTACGACGTTAACCTGCTGCTGTTTGACCTTTGCATCCACCATCATAGCAGCGGCGGAAGACGCGGCTGTGGGGCCGGGGCCAGGCTTTGCGCCACGACCACCGGTGCTGCCTGCGGAGGCTGATGTACCCATACCTCCGCCCGCTCCTCCCGGCCCGGCGGCAACCGCAGCCCCGCCCATGCCCCTTCCAGCCTGTATGAACTGCTGCTGCTGCTGTTGTCCCATGCGCCCGCCAGTTGCCAGCCCGTTCGCACTCGTGGCGAGCCCGCCGGCGCCTGGCGCTCCCGCCACGCTTTGCTGGATTGGCTGCTGCGGCTGCTTAAGTCCACCTTGCGATGACGCGCCATCAGCATTGCCGCCTGCAGCAGCAGCTGCTGCTGCAGCTGGCCCCGCCGTCTTGCTACCGCCCGACCCAGCGACGCGCTCCGTAATCTCAGCCGCCTGCTCCTTGAGCTGCGGCTTATGCCACCAGCGCGTCGCTCCTCCGGTGCTGGCGGCAGCTCCTGCGGCCCCACCTGCCTGGTTGGCAGAACCGCCGCCGCCGCGCCCCACACCCGCAGATGGGCCGCTGCCGCCGGGGGCTCCCACGCGACCACTGCCAGGGTGCTGCATGGCCGCAGCTCCTCCCGAACCTTGCTGGCCGGTTGCGGATTGAGGCCGACCGGCGTGGCCATGTTGTGTCTGAGTGGGCCCAGACTGACCACTCAGAGGGGCAGTTGAGGACGACGTAAGGCTCTGTTGGGCGCGACAACGCGAGCAACGGCCAAGGAGAGACAGGGCGGGATTAGTAACAAGCTTTAGGTAGCTGGCTGTAGCAACGTCAAGAAAGCATAGGCCTGCCAATGGAAAGCTGAGCAGGATCGGAAAGCAGCATGGAAGCAACTACGACAGCAGATCATGAAACACCTGTGTAAGCACCTAGCACGTCCTGAGCGCTGAGTGTGCCTTCCAGGACCTTCCACACCCCACCTGGTGCCGGCCTCCAGCATATCCAGGACCTCCGCTCTGCACTCCAGAGCTGGCCCCGGAGCCCATGTGCTGTTGCACGCGCTGCTGCTGCTGCTGTTGCGGCAGCACCTGCGCTGCACCCGACGGCCCCACCGCCGCGCCGGTGCCTGCAGCGACTCCACTGCCACGGGGCCCCTGGCCTAATGTTCCGGCTGCTGCTGCTGCTGCTGCCGCCGCCGCTGCGGAGGAAGAAGCTGCAGCGGGTGTGGCTTGCACGCTGCTCGACATCCCTCCAAGTGCCGCTAGGTTCTGCAGGAGAGCGGCGCTCGGGTCCAGGCTTCCGCTGGCACTACGGGCGGTCTGGCTGGGGCCAGACCCAGCTGAGAACGCACCCTTTGCAACCGACGAGACCCCTTGATAGGGAAGGGTGTTGTTGGCTGTTTGGGCAGCGACAGGCGCGGCCCCCCCAGGCGCCTGCGCCCTGTTCGGGACGGCAGACAAGCCAGCCATCGCTGCGGCTTGGGCATGCGCGAACTGCAGGACCTGCTGCTGTTGCTGTTGTTGCGGGAATGCCTGCTGCTGACCGGACGATGCGGACGAGGCCACCTGCTGCATGGCTTCCTGCTGTAACTGCTGCTGTTGAACCTGTTGCAGCTGCTGTTGCTGAATATGCGGCTGCAGTTCCTGCTGCTGTTGGACCTGCTGCTGCTGCAGCTGTTGCTGGTACTGTTGTTGCTGAAGCTGCTGTTGCTGCTGCAGCGGTGTCACAGTTTGTGCCCTTTGCTGGTGCTGCATTTGCTGCAATAACTGCTGTTGCTGCTGGGACGACAGCGCACCGTAACCAGGCGGTACCCCCAGCATCGCCGCAAGCACAGCAAACTCGGCTGCTGTCGATTGCGGCAATCCGGCCTGCGCGCCTCCGTTGGCTGCTTGACCACCGCCCATGCCTGCGCCGGGGAACGGTTGGCCGCTGATAGCCGCCGCAGCCGCCGCCATGGCCGCAGCTGCTGAGGGCCCCTGGTCAGCCGGAGACAGGCCGCCGTAGGGTTGCTGCTGCTGGTACGGCAGCTCCTGTTGCGGCGCTTGTTGAAGCTGCAGCTGCTGCAGCTGCTGCTGCGTCAGGCTCTCCAAGCGCGCAGCCACTTGGGCGTCCATGCTGTTCCCTGCTGCGGCAGCGTACTGTTGTTGCTGCTGCTGCTGCTGGTATGCTGCGTAGCGCTGTTGCTGCTGCAGCTGCAGCTGTTGTTGCTGGTGTAGCTCCAGAGCAGCAACCGTGAGGGGCATCTCGATCGTCTGCGACGACCTGTATGCCGCCTCCCCTGCAGCGGCAGCGGGGACGGCGGTCTTGGGTGCAGCCATCGCCTGCTGGGGGTTCCAGGCCGGCACCGCCGGCAGCTGGTAGGGTGCAGCACTGGCCTGCATGACGTTGGGCGCGCCAAGCGCGGGCCCCGTCACAGGCAGGCTGGCGCCGGCGCCGACCTGGCTGCCGTAGCCGACGAGGAACTGTCCGGGAGCGGATTGCTGCAGGTTGTGCATGTGCAACGCCAGTTCTGTTAGCGGTGCAGGGATTGCGGGCACGGCAGCCGGGGGCGCTAAGCCGGGCGGCAGCGCGGGATCAGCCTCGACAGGTGCTGCTGCTGCTGCTGCCGTCGTTCCCGGGACGGAAGGCAGCGCGCGAGCTGCCCCTGCGTTGGCATCCGCCACCGCCACCGGCTGCTGCTGCTGCTGAGGAGGAGCCGCTGCGGTATAGGGTGCCCGGGCGCTCTGCTGGGATGGCTGCTGTTGCGGTAGCGGCTGTGGCGGCTTTTGTCCAGCCGCTGGCTGCACCTGCACCTGTGCCTGTGGCTGCGAATCAGGTTGCGGGCCACGTGCACTTTGCTGCCGACGTTGCTGCTGTTCTTGCTGCGGCAGCGGCTGTTGCTGCTGCGGCTGTGTTCCCCGGCCGGCAGCGCCCACGGTGCTGTTGCCGCCTGGTGCCGCCTGTGTCGGGCCTCCAGGTCCCTTGACACCCGCCTGCTGGCCGGGGTTGCGACGGTCCGCAGGGTTCTGCTGCTGGACAGCTGCGGTGGCGGCAGCCTGACCCTGCCTAGCCTGTGGCACGTTAGCTTCAGCCTTCTTGGTCTCGCGGCCGGAAGCCCCCGCAGCTCCAGGGCCGTCTTGCTGCTGCTGCGGTGCTCCTCCGCTGCGGGCGCTGCCGCTGCGCGCCGAGGTGCCCGCCATGGCAGCTGCCGCCGCAGCCGCCGCGGCACGCTCCGGCGGTGGCTGGGGCCCTGCAGGAGGTGGAGGCGGCGGCCGATCGCGCTCCCCCTCCTTGACGATGACTATTCCCGGCACGCCCTTGAGCCCCATCTTCCCCACCGTCTTGGCCAGCAGGCCGGGCGGCGTGGGGCAGGCCAGCAGCTCCCGGGCGTAGTCGTTGGCAAGGGCCACGATCTGCTCCGGCCGGAACCTGTTGGGTGGGCAACGGCAGGGAAGCGTCAGGCACAGAGCGTAGAGCATATCAAAGTATGCAGGCGTGCAGTCCCAGCTTTTGCAAAACGGACATCGACAGTTCACGATCGACAATGCACCGGGACCCTGTTGCGGTGCCCAACGCACTTGAGTACTTCGTGGCTCTTGTAGTAGCCCAGGAAGCTCTGGTAGGCGCGAGCGCGGGTGGAATAGTCGATCCGGCCTGCCACGTTGGCGAGGGTGGTGGCGGGGTCACGAGCTAAAGGGGCCGGGATCACACCCCCCGCCGGCGGCTGCAGCGGCGGCTGCAGCTTCTCGAGCTGCTGAATGGGCAGGTCCTTGAGTCGGGCCAGGAAGGGGAGCTCGAAGTCCGCCAGCAGCAGCGTGCACTGACCCGCGCGACCCGCCCGCCCGGTGCGACCCGCGCGGTGGATGTACTGCTCGCGGTTGCTGGGGGCGCCGCACTGAGGGGGGGCGGTTTGGGATCATGGCAAGGGTCAGCTAGTGGGCAAAGGGGCACAAAGCTATGGGACTGCATGACTTGGGGGTCAATGGTCATGCATGCCCGCAAGCGGTAGCACGCGGCTAAGTCACCAAATCCCTTCAGCGCCTAGCCTTCTGCCCCAATCGGTGCGGCCTCTTCATTCACCTGCACGACATATGAAACATTGGGGTAGTCCACGCCACGTGCCGACACATCCGAGCTGAAGAGAATCAGCCGGGACTCGGACCGGAACTGCGCCGAAGCACGGTCACGTTGGGGCTGGCTCTTGCGGCTGTGGATCTCCACGACGCCCTTGACTCCCGCCGCGGTGAAAGCCTCAGCAAAGAAGGCGGTGAGGTTGGCGGTGGGCAGGAAGACAATGATCTTGTACTCCGGCTCCTGCGCCATGTGCTGCGCCAGCAGGCACAGCAGCTGCTGCGGCAGGTCGGGCTTGGGCACCACCAGGCTGCTGGCCTCCACGTGCGTGTGCGTGGCCACGTCCTCGCCCACCGCGTCCACGTAGCGGTGCTGCTTCTTCAGCGCCACGTCCGCCAGGCTCTTCACGTCCGCGGGGAAGGTGGCGGAAAAGAGGAAGGTCTGGCGCTGCGTGGTGGGAGGCAGCCCGGCCAGGATCTTGGAGATCTGCGGCCGGAAGCCCATGTCCAGCAGGTTGTCGGCCTCGTCCAGAACCAACACGCGGGTAGAGTCAAGGAGCTTGTTGAAGGCGGGATCCTGAGGTAAGCAGAGGAAAGCGTGGAGCGAGGAAAGGGTTAACTCATCACCAGAAGCAGGGGCCATCAAGGCGTGTCAAGGTGCTTCCATGCAGTGTTGCAACTCGTGCAATGGTCAACAGGGAATCCATGCCCAGCCGCCCCGTCTGGCCGTTTCCGCGCCCCGCCTTTCTCACATGCGACTGCGTCATGATGTCCCAGCAGCGGCCCGGCGTGGCAATGAGGATGTCCGGCGTGCGCTGCCGGATGGCGTTCAGGTTCTTCTTCACGTCCACGCCGCCGTACACCACCTGAGGACGGGGGCAACAACAAGAAAGTAGGGCTGTGAGCTTCTGCTGCTTGCCCTTGTGGGCCATCTGTTTCAGCGCAGAACGTGCTACGTTCCAAAGTCAACCCAGCAAATAACCTTTCTGCACCATGTCATCTGGGATACCACATGCGCTCCGTATACTGAGATAGCACCAATCCTTCCTCCTGTATGAGGTTCGCGCTCCCCACCATTGAGTGCAGTCCAGGATGGAAGGTGAGCATCTTGTGCGTCTCCGCCTGGATCTGCCGGGCCAGCTCGCGTGTGGGGCTCAGCACCAGCGCCGACACCTTGCCCGGGGGGGCGCGGCGAGCGAGAACCTGTGGGGAACGGGGGCCCGGCGAAGAGGGAGAGGTCAGGCAGAGTGTCAGGGTGGACGGCGGAAAGTCCACATGCACAGGCATGCTGGATCTGGGTTAGTCATCTGGGTTACTCATCTGGGTCCAGTTACTCATCTGGGTCGCAGCATATAGCAAAAGAACTAGGTATTCCGTGCATACAAATTGGGGGTTCTATCGCTATGACCGGATCTCACCTTCTCAATGGTGGGGATGACAAACGCCAGCGTCTTCCCCGTGCCGGTTTTGGCTTTGGCGATCACGTCCTCTGGCCCCAGGCACACCGGAATGGCAGCGGCCTGCACCAGCGAGCAGCGCTCGTACTTCAGGACCTCAGCCAGCGCCCTTCGAGGCAAGAAGGGGTCGACACACGGGAAAAACTGAGTGGGAAAAAGGGTCAGTGCCAAAGGCACCAAATCTCAACATGTAAAGAGGTGTGACTCACAGGCCTTGCAGTTTGCAATTTGAGGTGCCCCTCGACTGCCATAAACGACACAAAGGCAACGAAGCTAAGTGATCAGCAAGTTATGCGCCGCCGTTTCGCCCCATAAAAGACAACCCACTGCACATCTACATCTTGGACAATCAGTATGCTTGTTTCGAGAGGTTGCAAAACTTTGTATTTCTTGGACAGCGTTTCCCGCTCGCAGGCCGCCACCATTTCAGCACGCGCATACTGCGTCCTGCTCACCTTTTGCTGTTAGGAGAAACGGAAAACTCTGCAAACTTCTTGTCGGATAGATACTTTTGATCCACCAAAGGTAACGGGACATCGTCGTCCCCGGAGGCGTTGGATCGAGCGTCATCCTGCAGACCCGGCCCCTTAGCCGCTGGCAAGCGGCCAGGCTGCTGGATCTGGTGTTTCTGTTGTGGCTGAGGCAGCTGCTGCTGCTGTCCTCGACCAGCCGATGGTAATCCTGACTGACCCTTCGGCCCCATGTCGTCTAGGCTGACCGACAGCAACAGGGCTTTCAGCCCAGAACGGTACCCCTAGTCTATCCCTAATGCTTTTCTTGCAGCCCTTACTGATCTGTCCTCCGACAGGGAAATAAAAGCAAGGAGTTTCAGGGAGCAGTGTTTATCCTATATATGATAACAGAAGGTTTCTCCTAAGTGACTTTTTATATTAATATGGACAGCACCGGCGGAATGCCAAATCTGTGGGATCGCGGCCTTGGCCAACTAAACCAGCAAACGTCAAAGACAGTAAGACACTTTTTGTAAGACATGCGACAGTTCAGAACTATGTTTTATGCAAGCTCAAATCTCTTATACGAAATAATGTAGTACAAGCGTTGGCCGTTGGTGCCCGGCTGGGTGTTAGGATTATCACTTACTTGTTGGGGCTTTCCCGCTGACCAAATCAACCAGGTGGTCTGATGCACCTTCTAGGAGTGGCGTGTACAGTGGTACAAGGCCTCTTGCGTGCACGGCCAACCAGTCCTTCCACACGAGTACTATGGCTAGTCGTGCAAAGTCCCGCGGAACGTTGCAAAAGCTCTGCTGGAGTCCTAGTACTCAGCAATGCATTGACATTCACGCTGACACGCATATTGCGGAGCCTGAGCAGCCGTACTCGTACCACGCAACGCATAGCCGGACAGCATTGAAGGACTTTCCAAGGGGTTATGAAGGCTGTGCCAAGCGCGTAGTGTCTTCGCGCAACGCAAGTTTGGGTGCAGCACATGCCTTGGAAGCAAGTGGCAGCGACTGGATCTTGAAAGCAAAAGGCGTAAGCAAAGGCTTTCCCCCAAGCCTCTTCCGCCGCGACCGACCGGAGGGTCTAAACGGCTTGCCGTACTTGCCGTACTTGCCGTACACCCATATCGCAGCAGTTGGCGTGGGTAGTGAGGTAGACACCCCAGCCGGCAAAGCCTCGACAAAATGCAGAGCCTGACGACTAAGACCCAAGAACTGTACGCCCTCCTTTTCGACCCCATTCAAAACCCCTTTGCGCCACGCGACAAGCCGGGATGCTCCTGCGCAGCAAGGGATGTCACAGGAAACGACCCGCGGGTCAATTACGGAACCCTACTGCAAAACCCGCAACACTACCCTACACCAGGCATGTAGGACCTACCAAGGTTCCAACTGACACATTCAGCGACACCAAACGTCGTCTCAAAACCAAGAAAGACTGTTAAAACAAGTACCGTAACGAAACCACAATCGTGCACCGTGTAAAAGGGACGTGGACCAATGTTCAGCACAGCTTGACAGGCCAGCTGTGGCCTGACCCAGATGGCCGCCACATACACGGAGCAGACCCTGCAAATGGAGCAGATGCTCTCGCTCACGGCTGGCAGCCGCTGCTGCGTGGCCACGTCGCAAATGCTACTGCAAGTCTCTCTGCAACTAACGAACGCAATGCAATTTACATCATAAGCAAGTCGATAAGCAACAAAAAATGAATCTTGCCACAGTCCCTGCACATCCGCAAGGGGCGGCTGCTACTTTCCAGCGAGCCACCTTCACGTTTCCCTGGGCAAAAAACAATGCATTCTTATCCGACGACGTAAACATACAAGGGCACTGGGTCCATGCAATGCCAGGCTGACATAATTAAGAATGCACAATCCACACACGACAAGGGAATAGTAATTGCTGCTTTCGCATTGTGCGGAGAAGGGCTGGCCCGAAAAGGCGCTACATGCTAAGGCACCACTGCGTTGCTAGCCGCGACCGGTAACAGCGTCTGCTCCTACGAAGCTGCCATCGTGCCGCAGGCCTGCCGCGGGGCACAACTCCGCCGACCAGTTCCTCGTTGCAATCCTGGTCAGCCTCGCTGCTGCTGTCGCCCGTCCTCACGACTGCTGCCGCTGCTGTTGCCCTCCTTAATAGCGCTTCGCCTGGTACGGCCGCTTTGCACCACCGGGGCTGCTGTTACCGCCATTCCAGCGTTTCTGCCTGCCTCCCTCTTCCTCGTTCGGGGTCATGCGGTTGTTGCCGCCATTCCAGTGCTTCTGCCTGCTCCCCTCTTCCACATTCGGGGTCATGTGGTTCTGACGGTTCTGCCTGGCCTCGCCACCGTCATACTCCTCCCGGCTACGGCGCTGCCCGGACTGCGGCCACTCCCTCCTCACCGCAGCAGCTGGAGCTGCAGCAGCCCTAGGCTGGTAGTGCTGCCGCTGTTGCGGCACATCGCGCTCCCCCTCCTTGGCGATGACTATTCCCGGCACGCCCTTGAGCCCCATCTTCCCCACCGTCTTGGCCTGCAGACCGGGAGGCGTGGGGCAGGCCAGCAGCTCCCGGGCGTAGTCGTTGGCAAGGGCCACGATCTGCTCCGGCCGGAACCTGTGGACAGGGACAGCAGGGGGTCGTACATTAGCGGCACAACAGGATGCTGCGGCGCCTCTGCTATATGCTCCGGACAATAGGCAATGCCGAAGCGTTTGCCTAGCAGGCTTCCTTTTCTGTTGGCCCAGCCTGCGCTTAGGACGCTCGTCCATGGCACGTGCACGCATGGAGTTATGGCGCAACAACTCATGACTTTGCGTGCGTAACATACCACCTGGCGCCCTGCGGATTGTAACCATTCCGCCCACATTTACCCCTTACTCACTTTATTGCCGCGTGGGTCTTGTAGTAGCCCAGGAAGCTCTGGTAGGCTTTCGTCTTGGTCTCCTTGCTCAGCCCCCTCGCCGCACGCCCCAGCGCCCCCGCCGGGTCGGCCAGCAGCTCACTGGGGATCACACCCCCCGCCGGCGGCTGCAGCGGCGGCTGCAGCTTCTGGAGCTGCTGAATGGGCAGGTCCTTGAGTCGGGCCAGGAAGGGGAGCTCGAAGTCCGCCAGCAGCAGCGTGCACTGACCCGCGCGACCCGCCCGCCCGGTGCGACCCGCGCGGTGGATGTACTGCTCGCGGTTGCTGGGGGCGCCGCACTGAAGGTGGGGCGCGGTGGGAGGTACATGGCAAGGGTCAGCTAGTGGGCAAAGGGGCACAAAGCTATGGGACTGCATGACTAGGGGCGTAGGGGGTCAATGATCATGCATGCCCGCAACCGGTAGCACACCGAGGTGAGAAGGGTTGGTTTTGGATCGCGGCTGGGAGAACAGTGGAGGGCAGGTAGCGCTAGGCAAGGGAGCGGGCAGGGGCGCTAGCCAGTCCTTATCAGCAAGCCGCCATTGGTATTGTAGCTAGACTGATGTGGGCCCGCCAGGCCTTGCTGCCGCAGTAACGACGCAAGGACCACTGATATACGCGTACACCCAAACCCACACAGGGTAGCAGCTGTACGTCGTTACGCGTTGCATTATACGTTTGCAGGTTGTTCCCTTGGTTGCTCGCGTCCTCCCTGCTCACCTGAATGACATACGTCACGTTGGGATAGTCCACGCCGCGTGCCGACACATCCGAGCTGAACAGGATCTGCCGGGACTCGGACCGGAACTGCGCCGAAGCGCGGTCACGTTGGGGCTGGCTCTTGCGACTGTGGATCTCCACGACGCCCTTCACACCCGCCGCCGTAAAGGCCTCAGCAAAGAAGGCGGTGAGGTTGGCGGTGGGCAGGAAGACAATGATCTGGTGGAGGGTAAGGTGTGGCAGGAGGCGCGATGAGTCAGTTCAGACGTCGGCGCAGGGTGGGATACAGCCAGATACAGCAGGGAAGGTCTAGGAGCCGTCCATTCCCATCGCCGCACCCCCTGCCGCCGCACCTTATACTCCGGCTCCTGCGCCATGTGCTGCGCCAGCAGGCACAGCAGCTGCTGCGGCAGGTCGGGCTTGGGCACCACCAGGCTGCTGGCCTCCACGTGCGTGTGCGTGGCCACGTCCTCGCCCACCGCGTCCACGTAGCGGTGCTGCTTCTTCAGCGCCACGTCCGCCAGGCTCTTCACGTCCGCGGGGAAGGTGGCGGAGAAGAGGAAGGTCTGGCGCTGCGTGGTGGGAGGCAGCCCGGCCAGGATCTTGGAGATCTGCGGCCGGAAGCCCATGTCCAGCAGGTTGTCGGCCTCGTCCAGAACCAACACGCGGGTAGAGTCAAGAATGCTGTTGAATCCGGAATCCTGGGGTAAGCAGAAGAAAGCGGGAAGCGAGGAAAGGGTCAACTCATTACGAATTTCAGGGGCCATCAAGGCGTGTCAAGGTGCTTCCATGCAGTGTTGCAGCTCGTTTAATGGTCAACAGGGAAGTCAAGCCCAGCCGGCCCGTCTGGCCGTTATCGCGCCCCGCCCTTCTCACATCAGACTGCGTCATGATGTCCCAGCAACGGCCCGGCGTGGCGATGAGGATGTCCGGCGTGCGCTGCCGGATGGCGTTCAGGTTCTTCTTCACGTCCACGCCGCCGTACACCACCTGAGGACGGTGAGCATGGGACGAGGGAAAGGTGCATGAACAGGCATTAGCTGCAGCAGGGCAGGGAGGGTACGAGCAACGACATGATGAACCACTGCTCTGAAGCGCGCTAGCTGGCGTGACACACTATATGTGTTTCGGGTGCCACACAGGGATTCCCCTAACCCGCTTAGTTTAAAGTCACAACCCACCTCCTGCCAACATGGATGCATCTAATGCCAACGGCGCCCTGCTTAGTCATGCACCCAGTGAGTCGCGGGCACTCCCCGCTCCCCACCATTGAGTGCATTCCAGGGTGGAAGGAGAGCATCTTGTGCGTCTCCGCCTGGATCTGCCGGGCCAGCTCGCGTGTGGGGCTCAGCACCAGCGCCGACACCTTGCCCGGGGGGGCGCGGCGAGCGAGAACCTGTGGGGGACGGGGGCCCGGCGAGGAGGGAGAGGTCAGGCAGAGTGTCAGGGTGGAGCGTTTGCAGATGCTTATAAGGCATGCTTGTTTGCATGATCCTTGCTCGCATGGCCGCCTGTGTTCATGACCAACTACGAGGAGACCTGCCTCACTCGCAACAACATGACCCGCAGGTGACCCCACACGAACGTACACATATAAGCATGATGTACACAATATATACATACATATGAATGACCAGCAGGAACACATCATCTGGGTCAGGCATGCGGCCAGCACAAGGCAATGGACCGAGCAGCAAGTCACTGTCTCTGCAGTACGGCACCGGCAGGAGAAACCAGCAGAAGCATGCGGAGGCATCAGCAACCACGGTACGCACCTTCTCAATGGTGGGGATGACAAACGCCAGCGTCTTCCCCGTGCCAGTTTTGGCCTTGGCAATCACGTCCTCTGGCCCCAGGCACACCGGAATGGCAGCGGCCTGCACCAGCGAGCAGCGCTCGTACTTCAAGACCTCAGCCAGCGCCCTGCGAGGCAAGAAGGGGCGCCAGGGTGAACAGGGCGGACATGCGGAGATGGAGGTAAGTGCTGAGAGGATGGAAGAAAGATAGAAGTGAAGGAAAGGCGGCGGCGTCGGGGCCAGTGGAAACCCTGGTTGCAACCATGGATGGGAGCTAGTTGGGATATCTCAGCAGAAGGCCGGTTTTATACTTGGCAACCACGATGGGACGCTGCGAAGGGGCTTCGATGCTATAAGGGTAAAATGCAACTTCCCGTTAAGGCAAGCCCCGCTGACCTTTTGCTGTCAGCCGAGATGGGGAAATCCTTGAACTTCTTGTCCGATAGGTACTGCGCCTCCACCAGTGGCAGTGGAACATCCTCATCCAACGAGCTGCCGACGCTCTGTGACTCTACTGATGCCATTACCCGCGAGGCGGGTTCTTGCCGAGCGCTGCTCTGCCGCCTGCGCTGCATCCCTTCGACTCCGCTTTCCGGCTCAACGCTTGAAATACTGGTGGATGGGTCCACCACAGGTATCGATATTACGCTCGCAACCTGTGATCTGCTGAGCGGCAAAGGTAGGCGCCGAGCGGTATGAGAAATTGGGAGATGCTGCGCTCCAAGCCTAGCGCAACGCCCGCCCGAAAACAAACCGTTTTTAAGCATGTATGGAGATAACAAACCTACAGTGGCAGCCGGAAAAATGAAAACACGGAGTTGTCAAAGGGTTGCTGCCTCGAGGAGCTGTTCACCAGCTTGGTGTCAGTATGTGTTCTTAAAAGAACTAGAATTTGACTGTAGCTTCAGCGCCTGTCAAGTACATCGGTGCCGGGTGGCGGCTTGTGGCCATGGATTCAGCCGAGGGTGCAGCCGTTGGCGGTTACTCGGAACCGGAATCCTGGCCCAAATGGTGTCTTCCGTTGAACGCAAATTTGTCTCCAGTGCTGTGTCTCCAGTGCTGTAAATCTGAAACGGGTCTACCATGTCAGGCTTAATCTTTTGCCAACCTAACTGGCCCTGTCTGCCGAAGGGCGATGCCCATGCCCTTGCACCCGCTACCAGCCTTTCGCGCTTATTCATCAATCCCGCCGTCATCTGCCGTCCCAAGAATCCGCAATCCCGTCATCCGGGACAGCGGATGTCCCCAGGCCTTAACCCTCGGCCAGCTACCCTAATTGCCTTACTTGGATACCTTCGAGGTGTTTCATATACTCATGACTACCTTCGATGGCGCCCATAGAACTAATGCTGGCCCCATTTCCTCCGTCAGCAGCTGCTAAGCCCAGACTCGTTGCTGCCTTGTGCCACGGCGACTTGGTGACGGCTCGACCATGTACCAAACGTGCTCCGCCATGGGGGACTGCGCTGTTTACAACGTGCCAGTCCCCGAAAACACACTATCTAACTACCCTGCCATGCACCGGGTGAATTTGCAAGAACGGGGGCGGGCAGTAAACACATCCTTTAAGCTGGCTCCTAGTTAGCACTTATTTAGCCGAACTGTGCCGTGGGTTGCCGTTCCCCCGTGCACGCAGGTTTTGCAGACCCATGTTCGTGGTCTTACGTGCGTCGTCCTGTTTACCAAAGTTTGAGGCGTTTGCGTCAATGTTAACTCGTGTGCTTGTCAGCCTTGCTGTCCTAAAGTCCACCGTGGCAGACGGAGTGGCATAAGCAGACGGAGGATTGACACGAACATCGGTTGTCTTTGTCTTTGGGGCTCTTCAAACCCCTGGCAACCCTTTAGTTCCTTGGATGCTTGCAAGGTTTAAGACCCAGCCACGGACCAAGCTGCGGATTGGGGAAACAAAGTCAGGCTGCACGAATATACCCTTTGAGACCGACAGCGTGTATGGACTGCTGTAGTCGGTAGTTGCATGGACCCTGGAGAGGGTGGAGACACTCTTGGGACGCGTTAGGAATATGGGATTTTATGAGACGCATTGTGGGCCTCTATGAGCTGCCAGTGTGCATTGAGCTTTGCTGATAAGCGCAGGTTGCATACATACAAGTTCGGTGCCCCTCACCCTTGCAGCAAAGCGATAGCCAGAGGCAAGGCCGGCGGACAACCATGTCACTATGCAAGTCGGAAGGTGCTTGGCAGTGACATCGGGTGTGGTGTGTGCATAATTGTTAACCAGGAATTGCCCGGCATCGCCTAGGCGCAGATACAGATTACTGTCATCGTGGATCCTGGGGCACCCTGGGCACCCCTTGACGTGTCGGTTGGCATACGAAGGGACACGGTTTCGGACGTATACGCAGCAAGGAAAGTGAAAATTAACCCTCATGCTATGTTTTGTGCTCTGCTTGTCCAGGCCAGCTTCTGATAGAATTGCAGAAAGCATGGCATGCATTTTGCTGTACGGCAATCGGCTGGGGCTTGGTGCTACCCCCGCACTGCAGCGGTCCATCAATTCCTTACGATTAACAAGTATTTCATATTTATAATCACTGCACCGAACCTACACGTACTTGGAAGTCAACAGGTGCTGTAAGCCAGCGTTGACGAAAGCAAATTGTTTCTGCAGGATGTCAGACGTTTCACGTTGGATGTTTAGCATCCATAGGAAAAAACAACATTATTTCGCTCCGTCCTAGCTGGTAAGCGTCTGACGATGTCACGTCAATTGCACGCCTATGCTCATCTCCTTGAGAGTAACTTTACAAAACATGTCTACCATACCATATAACGCTTCGCCTGTGCCCTTGCAGGCTGCTGCGAGCTTGGTGCCTTGTCCTCTTCCGGTCGGAAATTTAAGGCCTGGAACTGTCAAATGGCCGCTGCCTTTGTTCGACGAGCATTCAAGGGTGACGATGATGCAGAAGACTCCCCTCCGCAGCTGCCAACAGCGCCCAAGCAGTCGCAAATACAAGCTCGTGCCATCGACAGCTCTGGCGATGAAAGCACGACAGACTCTCCGCCTGCAGCAGCGATCCGGCACCAATCCGCTGTTGCGGCTTATGGCAGATTTCACCACTTGATTAGCCAGCGCCAGGATGATTCAGGCGACCTTCGACCCACGACGCCGCCCACGGGCCCCTCTCCCCGGAATCGCCAAGCAGATAGACCAGCTGCGGCACTCCAGCCGACCCAGAGCGATACCTTGCATGGACCGTCGACGGGCGGCATTAAGGAAGGGCACAATGGTTTGCGGGGCACGGGTGCTCCAATCCCTCGCCGCCATTCAGTCGCAGGTCTTCGTGTTGGCACCGGGCCTCCACCCTCTTCCACAAAGGCAGCGGCAGCGCGCGCCCTTCATTCGTCCTTGTCGTCAAGCGACGATGACGCGGGCCATGGCGCGATACCGGATGCAGCACCCGCCGCCATGCAGGAGGTATCCATGCGCTCCCTTGGGCATCCCGCCGTCGCCTCCCTGCGCTCTACACGATCACTAAGTAAAAGCACACCGAGTGGAAGCTTAACAGGAGAAGCTGCGGGTCCCTCGGCATCTCCAAGCCGGCGCTCAAGCATTGCAGGCCGCGCGTCTATCAGCGATGGCGGCGTCATTAGTGGCAGTTTTGCATCCGCTGCTGCTGCGGAGCTCGCAGGACTAAACGCCCAAGCAGGAGGCTATACCAGCCGGCAACATAGAGCCTCGCGCACCTCTCGCCTTCGCCGCGTTTCCTCGAATGCGTCGCTGTCAAGCAAGGCAAGCCAGCCGGAATCCCTGGCGTCTTCGCGGCTGACGGCCGGTTCTTCCAAGGTCAGCCAAACCGTGCAGCGCACCATTGCTCGGCAGCGCCTAGTGGAGAGCAGCAGCGGTGAGGACGAGGGCAGCGTGCGGCAGGGGAGTTGCGAAACAGGGCAAGAGGCAGCGGTAGGTGTGGTGCCTAACAGCAATCGGGAATCCTTGGCCGCGGCTGTCATTGCTGCGGCTCAGGCTACTGCGGCCGCGGCCGCGGCAGCTCGCAGACATCCCAGTGCTCCTGCAGCTGCACGTCACAGGCAGGAGGCGGCTGCTGCAGGCGGTCGTCACGACGAAGCAGCCTTTAGCTTTCGTGCTTCTAGTGGCAGCAGCCTCGGCAGCGACTCACTTACACCGCTAATGCGTGAGGCGACCGCGGCGGCCACAGCAGAAGTGGCGGCCGCAGCGGCAGCAAGCTTGCGCCCGCTGCCCATTACGGCAATCTCGCCGGCCCGTCTGAGCCCGCACACACGCCCCGTGGACGTCTTGGACCCGCCGGTGTTCGACGAGGTACCGCAAGGCGGCGTTGACGATGTCGCTTACTATGAAACGGCTTTCGTCAACGTAGGCAGCGCTGCTGCTGCAGCCCATGCGGCTGCCGCTGCCGCACAGGCAGCAAAGGCTGCAGCTATGGCTGAACTGCAAAACTCGCAGCGCATCGCCACGTGGCTGGAGCAGCAGCCGCGCCCGCCGTCTTTGTCGTCTGCAGGTTGTGTTGACGACCTTGCAAGTGAGCAAGCTACCGTCGTCGTGGGCACGGAGGTTGAGGTGGATGTTACAAGTGGGGCCGCGGCATATGGGGCCAACTACCGGATCAACCTTGCAGCTCATGCGGGGAGTGCTCTAGGTAGCGGTGGGATGGAGCTGTCGGGTCTTTGCCGGCACGCCGCTCTTGACAGCAACCGCCTGCGCGCTGAGAGCCTCACGATATCCTCTACCGACGATGACAGCGACAGCAATGGCGGTGCAGCGGCCGCTGCCACTGAGGATTGTGAGCAAGCCCACGTTGACTGGCAACGCGCCGTGGACAGTAACCACATGCCTTCGGGTGGTGAGCAAGCTTCAGCAATTACGTCCACTGCCGAGTCTACCGACGCATCTACGGCTCCCACCTTTGCACCGGTCGTTCGTCGTCTAGACTTCCCAGGATCCATTTCAGCAGGAGCCGGTTTGTCCGATACCGATAAGGAGCACATGTCGCGGCACTTCTTCGCACCGCTGGAGCGTCCTCAAGCTCGCTCTCCTGCGGCTGCACCTCGACCGGCGCCCGTTGCAGCTGGGATGGATTCTGTGGCCGGGGCTGGCCGGCGAGTATCTGTTAAGCCAGCATCACGCGGTGCTGCTTCTGGCCAGCACGCAGCCCCAGGTGCTCTTCCTAGTCGCTCATCTCCAGCTGGAACGAGCGCACGCATGACACCAAGCAAGCTGCGCGCAATGCTGTCAATCCTTGCGCGGCCGGCCCATGCACCGCCAGCAAGTGGCAGTCCTAGCCGGGGCCCAATCTTGCAACCATCGCAAGATGCAGAGTCGGTACAGTCCATGAGCTATTCGGAGATGCTGCAGATGCTGCAGGAATTGTCCCCAGTGGACGGGATTTCCCTTCCGCAGCCAGTGGCGGGCGCCAGCACCGACGTCGCCAGCGGCGTCAGCAAGGCCAGAGCTGGGCGCACGCGAGCGGGTCGAAGTTCTGGCAGTGCTGCCCGGCATTCCGTCGCATCAGCGCCATCAGTCGGGGCGCCGGCGACCTCAGCACCCCTTCGAGGTCGGCAGCAAAAGTCTGCTGAGGTTGGCGCAAGCGGGCATCCCTCCCATGGCGGCATGACAGCGGCTGCAGCCACGGGCAGCGTACTATCACATGAGGACAACATGGCGGCGCCGCTTTCCCAGGACTTGACGAATACTGGTGTGACTCTGTCAAGCCATTGGGGCGGTGGGGAGCAGCAACAGCGTGATTTCGCCGACCTGGTCCGCCTGTGGACGATGCTGACGGGACGCCGCTTAGCGTTCGAGGCCATGGACAATCACTCAGACGCGCCGGTGCCTACCGAACATGGTGCCAGCGCCTCTGGTTCGCCGCAAAGCACTACCTCAACAGCGCAGCAGTCCCACGCAACTGCCCGTAGTGGTGGTACTGGCTCCGACGTTCCATCGTCTGCAGCGATATGGGCAGCCTCAGCAGCAGCCATGGCCACCTCAGCGGTCCTCGCGGCGGCGGCTGGCGGTAGCCAGCAACTGCAGACAGCGTACCAGTACCAGCAACAGCACCCGTTCCAGCCTGGCTCTTTGGGTGCGACCGCTGCGGCGCATAACATGCAGTCACCGCTGCCGTATGGCACATCGACTGCCATGTCGTCCAGAAGCAACCCGGTGGTCGGTCCCAACATCACTAGCAGCAGCCAGCCCGGCGGTCAGCCCAACTATGCCAGCTTCGCCTCCCTTCCACAGGAACTGCAGCATTTGGCTCGCCTTGTCAGCGCGCCTGACCACACAGGAGCAGGGGGCTTGAGGCTGCAGTCTGGGCCAGGCAGCTCTGCTCTGCCTCATGGCGACCTTGCGCACCTGTCGAGCCTGCTGGTTGCAGCTGGCATCAGCGGTGAGCAGCAGCTGCAGGTCTCAGCCGCCGAGCAGGTTGGCCTGGTCCAGTTGTTACGCATCCTTAGCGCCACGGGGCTGACAGGCGCGCCTTCCAGTGCTACTTCAATTGCCCAGCAGGCAGACACGGTACAGCATGTCGGGCAACCCACGGAGGCTGCGAACTCCGCAGCAGCCACGTCCATCGGCATTCCCGCCGCATCAACTGCAACCACGGCGACCTCCACAGCAGCTGCTGCACCAGAACCCTTGGAGGCGGCGCCGCAGCAGCCAATGGACGTGGTCGCCGCCATGCTGCCTGACGGCGCTACCAGCAGTGCTGGCACCGCAGCGCGCAGCGGCAATGTGGGGACGGTAGCTGCCGGTCCGCTGTCCACCCACAGCTCGGCCGACACAGTTGACACTGGTCTGGCGCTGTCTCGGGTATACACCGCATTGCGCAACATGCGCCTTCGTGATGAAGGCGGCCAGACGGATCCTCCGGGCACGCGCACCAGTAACACGCAAACATCGCCCGACCTGCGCGCAAGCCACATGCGCGACGAGGAAGGGCAAACGGACACTCCGGTCTCCTCCTCGAGTGGCAGTCAGACCGAGAACCTGCGCGCCGGGGTTGCATCAGGCGTGGTGCAGATTGACGTCGATGACCTCCGCGCATTTGCAACACGCAGCAAGGCCGGCCAGACGGATCTGCCGTCGTGCGAGTCCATATCAGTGCAAACGCAGCTGGCGGAGCTGGTGCCCACGTCAGAGGGGAGTGTGCAGACGGACATTAGTCATTTGCGTGGCGGGCCTTGCCGGGGCGTGCAGACCGATGTTGCAGAAGTAGCACCTGCGGGCTCGCAGACAGAGGCGTCATGGTTGAGTCAGGCGTTGCCTAGCGCAGCTACGCAGACTTTAGACGACGACGCCAATCTGACAGCTGTGTTTAGCGCGGAGGTGCAGGAGGAGCTTGCACGCGCGGCTTTGGCTGCCGGTCAATTGTCGCCGCGGTTATCAGCTGAAGCGCAAGCTGAGGTGTTGCGCTTGGCGCGGGTGCTTGCGGCAGCAGGCCAGCAGGCTGAAGCAGAGCAACCGACACTGAGTGCCGAGACGCAGGCGCAGCTCGTCCGCACACTGCGCACGGTTGCGAACCCGGTGCCGTCCCTGGAGTGGGGAAGTGTGCTGACTTCCGTCGACAGCGGTCATACACACTTGTCGTCTGAGTTACGCGAGGGGCCTGCCACCAGTGACTGCGAGGTACAGACAGACCTAACGGCTGTGGACTTCACGGCTCCGAATCCACAACCCGACTTGGAAGCCAGCTCCAACGCCTCTGCCGACAGCTCCATTACTGCTGCTCCCGCGATCCCAACCGCTTCCCACCTAGCTGCCGAGCCCTCTGTCCGCATGCCTTCGCCGCCAACATCAACGCAGATCGGCACCGCCTTTGCGCTGCGCAACCTGCCCATTGCCTCGGATGGCGGGATCATGGACGCCCCCCACCAGGAAGCGGTTGTTGCTGGCCGCGTGGGGTCCTCCGGGGGCATGCTGGCGTACCTCGAGGCAGCAGACCCCACTACCGCCACGGCGCTCATGGAGCTCATGCAGGCGTTGCAGGTAGGCACGCAAGCATGGGGTTCCAGGTTACGTTGCTTGACCTTATAAACGTATCTTATGCACGCTGCTTGTATGTGCTTTATACGAATACCAAGGGCATACCTGCGTACAGTAACATGTATGCCGGCATGCCTGACTGCAGGTAATGACTATGCACAAGCGGCGCCGGCGCTGGATTTCTGACGGTAGCAGCCGGGCAAGCGGCGAGTGTTATCACGATGCTGAGACCCCGAGCTCACCGCCCAGTATACGGAGAAGCAGTGGCGCTGTAACGACTCTGTGGGGCAGCTTTGTGACGTCCATTGGGCCGTCCGTGTCGCAGGCCGGCCAGGCGTCCCTGGCTGGGGCCGAAGCCGCTGCTGAAGCAGCGGCGGCTGAGGAGGCAATGGCCGCAGCGGGCGCCGTGGATTCTGCCACCCCGCCTGCTGTCAAGGCTGCCACCGTTGGCGGCGAAGGAGTGGCCCTGCAGGCTGACGCCGCCGGCTGCCAGCGCCACTCGTTTACCGCAGGCCTGCCACCACGCCCAGCACCTCCCCCGACAACTGCGGCGGTCGATTCAACTGCCAGGCATTTGCAGCGAGCCTTGCGGGCTGTCTCGAACGGTGGCGGACACCGCCGTGCTACTGGCGGCGGTCCCATGAGCAGGGGCACGAATGCTGTAACTTCCCCGGCGTCTGCGGAGGCACACATCGCGCTCGCGCTGGAGCTCTTGTCAAGAGCCGCTGCGCCCGCCGCTGGCAGCACTTCTGACGAGGAAGCTGAGCTACGCGCACAAGAGGAGCTGGTAGCCGCTATGCTAGCGCTGCTGGTTGCGCCAGCGGCCCCATCGGCAGCGAACATCACTGGCGCTGCTGATGCTGCTGGCGCCTCTGTTGTCCTACCTGAAGGCCTTTTGCCGGCATCTGCTGAGCCCTCGCTGTCTGTGGCAGGTCTAGAGGCGTTGGCGTCCATCGGTCAATCCGGCGAGTCCCTGGCAGTGCCGCAGGAGGAGGGGTATTGTGAGGTAGACGCGCCAGTCGCTTCCGTTAGCGCCTCCGACTCGGAGCCAGACATCCCAACGGCAGAAGCAAGCCCGCTTGTTCGAGCAGAAGTTCCACGCAGCGAGACGCCGTCACCGTCCGCCATGTTGCGTGCGGAAATCCAGGTGGCACTGCAGCAAGCCGAGCGTGCGTCGGCTAGCGTCACAAGCCTGCACACTGGCTACCTACCTGCGACACCGAGGGCGGCTGAGGTGCTGGATGGCCTACCCTTCGAGCAGGCGGTCGGATATATCCTTGACGGCCTGCGTAACTTTGAGGGCCCTGCAAAGCTGGCCCGCAACCTCCACCTTGCGCGAGATGGCAGCAGGTCAACCTCAACGGGCGGGGCGTCGTGGGAGGGGCTTCCGGCTTTGGAAACGCAGGGCAGCCGGCTGCAGGCGACTGGGATCTTCGGCTCAGGCACCATGCTGGCTGCTGTTGTGGAAGGTCCTGGAAAGGAGGTTGACGACGGCAAGCCGCAGCCACTCAGCGGGTTGCAAAATGAGGTGGAGTGCGCACTGCCCGCGGTGCTGCCGGGCCGACAGGACTCCTCCAGCGCATCACCGTCTAGCAAGCAGCTGTTGATGGGGCACGTGGAGGCTGCCGTGGAGGTCGCAGCCAGCGCCAGCAACGGCCTTGTCACCGAAGTGCCCGTTGCGCACGCTTCGCCGTCTGCCGTGCGTCTTCTTGAGCAGTTGTCCGACCTGGGCATCATCTCTCTTGGTCCTGCTGACTCCCCTGATGCCGCAGGCGCCCTGCGCTCCGCCCCGGTGACTACTGCCGGCTCGGCGCCAGCCGCGTTGCAGTTGTTTAGCAGTCCGACGCCTGCAGTCGTGTCGCCGCAAACATTTGGCGGCGCGATGGACTTGCCAGCGGATAGCGCTCTGGGCCCGGACGCACACCAGCGGCACAGCGTGCCGTACCTGCCGTGTGGCGGGCTTGACGACCAGCTGAGGCCGGTTCACAGCGTGCTGGTCCTGGCGTCAACAGGTGGCCAGGAGGCTGGGCAGTCGCCTGCAGCTGTAGATACCGAGGACGAAAGCAAGCACGGGTCTCCATTGTTGCCAGTGAGCACTGCAGGAGCCTTTGCACCCTGGCTACCTACCTTTGCAATGCCCTCTGCTCCTGCTGTTAATGTCACTCCGCAGCAGCCCACTCGTACGGCCGCCAGCGTCGCCGGCGTTGAAAGCTTCGCCGCGTCGCCACTGCACACAATGCAAGCCTTTGCGGAATCGCCCAATCTGCCGGAGGTTTCCGGGGAGGAGCAGCGGCAGCAGCAGACGGCCCTGGCAGAGGATGCGTGTCTGACCGCTGAAGACGAACGGGTTGCTCATGATGCTAGTCCTGGCCAAGGCAGCCCACAGGAACCACAGATGGTGCAGCCGTACGAGCTGCTAGTGGGAGCTGCGGCTGTTCCTGACGTCCTGGCCGTGCCACGGTCCGCTCCCACTACTATGGGTGGAGAACAGCTGCCGGTCTCCCGCCCGCTGCAAACCGCCGGCGGCTTTGGGGCGCAAGCCCCAAGCCATGCAGACCCGCAGGTCCCTACCGTAACAGCCAGGGAGCGTTTCCGCATGCCAGGGCCTTACCGCAGTTCACCTCTCAAGCCAGCGTCGCCCATGCGCGTTTTGATGCACAACGTATCTGTGCCGGTTGGCTTTGCTGCTAGTGCTGCACTTCCTCTCGCGGCTACCTCTAGTGCAGCGGCTCAGACATCTGCCTGGTCCGATGCCGCTGACGGCTATTCCGACGACTCCTTCCCGGCCGTTCGGCTCGCTCGTGACGCGATGGCTGGTTGCTATGCGAAGCCTGCCGCCATGGAAGCACCAGCGGTGGAGGCCACTGCAGCTGGCGGGGTACGGCGCGCGCTCTTCCCCAACAGCAGCGGGGCAGGAGAGCAGCAGCGGGTGGACGAAGGCGTTGCTACTGCGCCGGTAACCGACGCCTCAACGGCTGCAGCAAGCCCCTCTAACCTGTTGCTTACGCAGGCTGCGCAATTGCTACTGCAAGCCATGCAGCGCTCCGCAGAGGACCACCCCGAGCAGCAGTCTGCATTCGCCGTTCTTGCACCCGTCCTGGCCGGGCTCGCCGCTACTGGCCCGGAAGGCCAGTCAGCGTCAGCGGCGAGCGACCGGGCTTTACCGCACCAGTCGTCGGCGCAGGCGGAACCAACCGCGCAAGAACCAGACATGGCGGCTGCAGTCCCTTTGGCAGAGCAGCAGCAGGAAACAGCGCTGCAGCAGCTGCTGTTGGAATCGGAGGAGCTGCCGCCTATGGATTCTTCCTCCTTTGCATTCCTCATGGGAGAGCCTGGTGAAGCCCAGGCCCAAACGCCATCCGCAACGGCTACACCGTCAGCGGTTCCCCACTCGCCCGCTCTCGCCACGGCCGCGGACCTTGAAGCCTTCAAGGGCGATATCATGTCCAGCGTTCGTACCGCCCTGATGGAGATCGTGGATCTAATCGGGCACTCGGTCGTACAGCGCGCTGCTGCTACCGCCGGTACGCCCGCCAACGCAATCAGCGGCGTCGGAGGAAACAAAGGTGGCCATGCCTACCAACCGGAGTTGGAAAGCGCACGTAACGAGGCCCACGAATATGGTGAAGCAGGTATCGAGGAGGAGGATTCCCACGCTACCACAGTGGGTGGCGTAAGCGTTACAGTGGAGCCCTCAGCATCTTCGTACGCGTTAGGGGCAGACCAGCAAGAGATCCGCATCACGCGCTCGGAGCTTGAGGCTTTCATGTTTGGCAAGGCGCTGCTTAACAGCTCTACTACCTCGGACCTGCTGGGTGTGCGGCTGCGCGACCTGTATGCTCGGCAGCTGTCACAGGTAGGCTAGCTGAGGGCTTAAGGGACATGGCGTCGGCCAGGACTTAACCAAGGCGGGTCGTGCAATTAGCGTTTAGTTGTTATTCGCGACAAGGCCTTGCCTTACTAACGCATCATCTGCGGTTTATTGGGGCCCCCGTGCACAGGATGCGGGCGATGAGGAGCTGGCAGGTGGCTATGAGGCGTCCAGCGTGCGCTCCCAGGACGACGGGGCCCCGGACGACGACGCAAGCAGTGCAGCAGACTCCCGGATAGGTGTAAATGACCCCCAGCGGCATTCCAGCGACTGCTTCCAGTCCCCACTGCCACACGCATCGCGCGGCAGCGACCGCAGCGGCAACGGCTTGGACTCTTCGCCTTTGAGAGGTTCCGAGCCAGGGCCATCCGGTTTCGGCGTCCCGCGCCATTCGCCGCTTCGCCAGCCTTTGGGCGATGGTGTTGACTTTAAGTGAGTGCGGTTGGGTAATGCCTCTGCGCTGATCCTCGTATGTTTGATAGGATGCGGCCTTCACTCCTGTCTTCGCTAATACATTTCTTCTTTAATGAGAACCCGTAACCATTGTTCGCAGGTCCTTATTCCGTCGCTCCATGGAGCACCTGCGTGACCACCTCCAGCAGCATGACGGCGCCGCCTCCATCGCACAGCGTGCCTCTGCGCCCTCGCCCGTTCGGGGGCCCAGCCCCACGATTGCCATGGCCAGCGCCAGTGCCGGCCCCTCCCCGTCTGCTGCTACAATCCGCAAGCCGCCCATGCCGCCCAAACGACCGCCCATCCCACAGCAGTTCATGTCCGAGGCAGTCTCAGGTGCAGGCTTAGCTGCGGCTGCTGAAGGCACCTCAGCTGCGTTGGACAAGGCAGACTCTGGAGCGTTCGAGACGACTTTTGCTCCCTCCATGCCCCCATCCCTGGCGCAGCAGTTGGCGGCTGCCGCGGCGAGGGCTGTCGCCGAGTCTCAAGCTGACTTGGAAGCCGCTGCACGGGCGGCTGATGATGTCGAGTTGGATATGCCGCATCTGGCAGCCAGGGCCGAGCCTACTACTGGGGTCGCGTGGTGTCCTGACCCAGCCTTCCCTGCACCTCAGTCGATGGCGCACACGCACCTTGCATCATCGCTACCTGCCGAATCCTCTGCGCCTGTGGAAGTTGCCATTTCAGCTGCTGAGGCGTTTGGTGACTTCCTAGCAGCCCTTGCAGAGCCAGTGGTGCAAGTTGCGGGGCTGTTCATGCCACCCGACCCGCGGGTCGGTGGGCGGGGCTTCCCGCAGCGGACCGTAGTAATAGAGGAGCTGCGCGAAGAGGATGGCCGACGTGGAGCTGAGGGAGCAGCGGCACGGGAGCATTTCCGAGCTGAGCGGCCAAGCAACGTGCCTGGTTACGCTGCGGGAGGTGCAGGGTGGTTAGAGGATGAGGATGCATACGTGGACAGCCCGCGTGCTCGGTCTGAGACTAGTTCACCCCGACTGCGCTTGCGCCACCCTGTCCTTGCGGACCCACGCCTGCAGCTTTCTCGCAGCACGTCTGACGCTGTACACCTGCACGCAGCCCCGGCTGCCTCATCCCTAGACGTCCTGGTCTCCAGTCGACAGCAGCAGCAAAACCAGGCATCGACACAACAGTCAGTGGCGACCCCGCCACTGCAGCAGAGTTCGTCAACCTCGGTGCATCTGCAGTCGCCGCACTCCTCCCTTCCGTCTCGCCTGAAGCACGTGTCGGTGCCGGGCGGCCGCCTCGTCACCGAGTCCCCTGCAGAGGAGGACCGCCCGCTGTCGAGCTTCGCATCGCCCTCGTCCGTTTCTGAGGCAGGCGCGCCGGTGGCCTCATCAAGCCGCAGGCATACCTTGAGCCCTGGCCCGCTCTCACGCATGGCCCCGACGCGCTCAGGCTCGGTTGGTGCGACTGGTTCTGCACCTGGTGCCCCAGCCGCCGTCCCAGCTTCTGCTTCCGCAGCCTCCCCCGTCAGCCGCCTAGAGGAGTTGGAGATCTTCCTCCAGGCCTTCAAGTTGCGGATTGGTGCGGACGAGGAGGCTGTCCCATTGCGGGCGCTTCAGCTTGCCGCGACTGCCGCAGCCACGGGTGTGACGCCGTCGATAGCTGAGGTCGACGTTTTCGACGGCGTCAGTTCATCAGAAGGCTCCAACGACGGGCAGGAGCTTGGCCGGACGCTTGCTGCGCTAGCTGCGTTTGGCGAGGAGGAGCAGGGTGTTGCGACGGGGTACAACCTGCACACCATTCGCGCCTCCGCAGCATCGGCGATGGCGGCTGCCGCCGCTGTCGAGCAGGTGTTCTCGCCGCGGCTTGCGGACATGCTTGGCGCTAACGACGTCATCCCAGAGGAACATGAGTTGTCAATCCTGCCCTCCTCTGCGGGTGTCTCAGCCATCGCGGTTACCGATCCCCAGCCAGGTGACGAGGCAGGCGGTGCAGGCTCCGTGGAGGATGGTGGTGCCGGCGGCAGTGTGGTGTCCATGGCTGGCCTCTCAAACAGCGCGTCATCGGTGTCGAACCCCTTGCTACGAGAACACCTTGAGCATTTCCAGGTGCGCACATGCAGCGAGTGTGATAGGAGGTGATGGGAGATCCAACCAAGGTGGTGCTGCGAATACATTGTCTCCTTACTGATGGGAAGCGGAATACCGGTATGCATTATGGGCAACATAGTCTTGATCAGTGGTGGTGGTTTAGCAGCGCAATTAGTGACTTGCTTCCCTGTTTGTTTCTCCCTGCACAGGCTCTTCTGGAGAAGGCCAACGACCTGGTTGACCGGCTCATGGTTGCGGACGAGGAAGTAACTTCTGAAGCCGCCACCGACGGCACTGGCACCAATGCCACGCCACGGCAGCGCGCCACCCCAGCCTCTGCCTCCGCCAGCGCCATACGCCGGCAGCTCCACAACCGCCTCACAGCAGCTGCAGCAGCGTCCCTCGTCGTCACGCCCTCAAGCACTCCTCGGCGCCGCTCAGTGCAGGTCGGCGCCGTGTCTCCAGTGCTTAGCGTAGCTGGTGCTCCCAGCACGCCGCTGCCGTCCCTGGACCCTGAGCTGGCCGCACTGTTCCCCGCCACAGCGGCCCGACTGTCCCGGCCCCATGCCCTGCTGGAGCAGTCCCAAGACGCGGCCCTGACGCTCGTGAGCTCCGCGGTAACTGCCGTGCCGCAGCTTGCTGTCGGTGCGAACCGCGCCCGCAGCCTGAGCACGACGCCCTCATCGCGCTCACCCACCGGGTCCATCATCAGTGTGACCACCGTCGCAACGTCGGCCACCATAACCGCGGCTGCGCCGGTCGCTGCAGCGGCACAGAACCCAACTGCCACCCCGCTGGCTCTGGTCGCGGCGCTCTTGGCGGAAGCCCACTCGCGCATGGAGTTCCGGAGCCTTGATGAGCAGCGGGGAGCTGACAAGATCCTGAGCGCAGTGCTGGACGAGCATTTTGCTCACGTGCTGGGCACCCCACGTGGCTTCCTGACGCCTGCACGCGAGCCGCAGTGGCTTAACGCAGCAGCTGCTGCTGCTCCTGCCGCCACTACCGCCGCTGCTGGTGACGCTCCTGCTGCGGCAACAACATCGCAGGCTCATCGGCTGCTGCAGCGTGCGCCGGAGCCGCAGCCATTTGTAGGCCCTGCAAATCTTAGCGAGGCATTCAATCAGGCTGCTGTTGCTGGTGGTGCCGCTGCTGCGGCCGTGCCCAGTCCCGCTCCTCGGCACAAGGTTGTAGACTTGATGGACGAGCCTGCCGTCCTGCAGTCGCCGGATCCACAGCCAGCTACGCGGCCGCAGCCGCCGTTACCGTTGCTCCCACCGCGGGCCACACAGCAACAACAGGTGGCCGCTGAGGCGCAAACAGTTGGCACCGCCCTCTTGGAGGCCGCGGAGGCAGCAGCGGCCTCATCGCCGCAGCCGCACGAGCGTCAGGCGGCGTCAGGTACCCACGAGCAGCCCCGCAGCGACGCAGACGACCTGTTCGGCCAACTCATGCAGGAGCGCTCCGACATACTCATCTCAGCACTGGAGCAGGTGCACCGCGTCGCGCCTTCTTCGCAAGCGTCAGCGGAGCCCCCCACCGCTGTCTGCTCGCAGTCTTCCCTGGCCTCATCACCGGTGACCCGCGGGCATAGCTCCGTACCCGACGCAGTTGCGTCAGCCTTCGCTGTCGGCGCACACGCGCCGACGGGCTTGCCGGAGCCCTTCACGCAGGCAACGTCGCAGCTAGAGGACCAGCTCCGGCACCTTGCGGACAGCTCTGGTGCCAGCAGTGCGAGCGGTGAGGCTCCTGCCCCCGCGGTTGCTGCCGCTGCGCCATCCTCCCTGTCTAGGGAGCTGCCAGCGGTGCTCGATGCGCTGCCCGTCCCAGCCACCTCTGTAGGGCCGCATGCGCCGCTGCCGCAGCCGCTCATGCCGTACCAGGAGGCTGACAGCGAGAGCACCCGAACGTCGTACGCCACCTCGCTCGCAGGCAGCATCCGCCAACACGGCGTTGTGCAGCCTGACTTGGAATCCCCCCTATGGTCGCGCGTTCCCTCCGCGCCTGGCGGCAGCGGGGCGCCCAGTGATATGCTGTCCCGTGGCACAGCCCCCTTGTACGTGGTGAGTGCAGGCGGCGCCTCAACTCTAACCAGCAGCCTGGGTGGCGACTCAGCCATGAGCGCGCCTGCGGGACCTCCGCGTACTGGGGCCCTGGACCTTGCCATGTTAATCGCTGAGGAGGACAGCAGCGTTTCGGCAGGAGCGGATTCCAACAAGTCTCCTGTTCAGTTGCCGCTGGTGCCAAGCGATTCCGCAAGCAGGGGTGTTGGCATGGTGGACGGCAAGGCTTCAAGCAATGCAGCCGGCACCGGCCGCGTGGGCGGTGGTGGCCGCAGCGACTATGCCAGCCCTGCCTCCGCAAGCCAGACGCCCGTCAGCCCCGCCCAGCGTGTCCTCCACGAGAGCACCTCGGAGTCGGAGACCTTCCTGTCGTACACCACGGGTGATGCCGTGTATGAGCATCGCAACAGCGAGCTGGTTACCGTCGCCATGGCCGTAAACGGCCCCGCTGTGCACCGTGAGGCCCCAATCGGGACGCTACGCTACAACCCCGTCTACGACCCCTCGAGCTCCCTGGCCGAGTCAGCGCAGGCAGCGTTCGGCGCCTTCGCCCAGCGCAGCAGCAGCGGCGGAAGCGGCAGCACGCATAGCGCTGGCATGACCACGCTGCACCATGAGACTGCCTACACTCCGCTTGCCCTGGCGGCCGCCGACTCTGTCGGACCTCTCGGAGAGCTGGTTTCGGTGGAGTTTCACTCCCGCCTGCTGAGTGCGGGCGGTACCACCACGGCAGTCCTGGTTCCCAACCCCGCATTCGACCTGATGGATGACTCCTTCGACGACACCCCTCTGTCCGCATCGGAGGCTTCGGTCGTAGCCGCAACCGCCGTCGCCTTGGAGGGAGGTTTCGCGGACAGTGTCGACGTGTCATGTATGCACCCGGTGCTGCGACTGGATTTTGCAGGGGCCGCCACTGCTGGTGTTGGTAGCATTGAGGCGGACACGCCCACACCAGCTTCAGCAGCTGTGCCGGTGCTGCCGCTTTCACCTGTCGACATAGCCGGATCGCCTCCATCACGGCTTGCCGGCGCAACCCAGGAAGTGACCCCTCGTGGCGCTGTTGACAGTACCGTCGCCTCTGGGAATCAGCTCGCCAGTCCAGTAAACCCTGCGTCCTTTGGGGGCAGCGCTGATGACCTGTTGTCCCTCCTCGGCCCAGAGCTGACGGACTCGCAGCTGTCGCTGCTGGCGGCGGCGCCTGAGTTGCCGTACAGTCGGCCGCAGAGCCGCAGCCACTCGCTGCGTCTCTCCGGGTCGTCACAGCAGCTGCAGCAGCAGCTGCTTCATGGTTACCACTTCTTGGGCCCGTTCGCACGGCACCGGGAGTTCAGCGGCGGCGGTGCCATTGTGGTTGCTGAGGGCAGCGAGGCCAGGGTCAGCCGGGAAGACTCCACGGCGGGGTCGTTTGACTTTGAGGAGATTAGCCGTGAGGCGGCGGCCGTGGTGGACAACCTGGCGACGCCGCACGATGCTGCTGTGTCGGCCGGAGGTTTAAGCGAAGGCTTTAGGGCGCAATTCAGACCGCTGATGTCAGTTGACGAGGAGGTGGATGAGCCGGCGGTGCGTGAGAGTGCAGCAGCAGCAGCAGCGGAGGCGGCGGAGCAGCAGGGCATGCCCGCTTCTCCTTCTGTAAAGCCAGCTAAGGCGGGGCTGGTGGCAGCAGCCGTGCGCCGCATTGAATCTGGCTTGACGCCTACTGGGGCAGAGGCTGCGGCAGCGGCTGGAAACGACAAGGCAACACCAGCTGGCTTCAAGTCGCCTAAGCCGGCTGGGAAGCCTGCTGGCCGCTCTTCTCCCGGTATCCCACCGCGGCCGGCCTTCAGCCCTGGCGCATCGCGTCCTGGATCCGTTGCATCTTCATCATCAGTCCTCGGCGGCAGGAGCAGGCGCAATAGCAGGAGCGGCTCGGGAGCATCTCTGGCAGACGAGCAGCTGAAGGGCACTGACGCGGCCGGTTTTACGGCAGCTGCGCCGGTTGGGCCAGCACCCGTGGTGGCTGCTGAGGCGGCGACTGGGGTGTCTTTGAGCGGCAGCGAGGCCCCCTTTGCGCCCGCGAGCTCCCGTAGCCTTGGCGCAAGCACCTCGGGTGGGAGCGTTGGCGACGTGCTGGCGCTGGAACGTACCCTTGTGACTCGCGAGTGGCTGCCAATGTCGGGGGAGGATTCCATGCCAGATCCTACGGCAGCGGAGCAGATGTACGGCAGCTTTTTGCCACTGTCGTACGGCAGCATTGGCGTTCGGTTGCATGGCAGCGGTGCCGTCCTGTTGGCCGCCGACACGGCGCCGGCTGGCATGCTGGTGGAGCCGCAGGGGTGGGAGCAGCGCCCGAGGTCCGCCGGTGCAGGTGGCAGGCCCTCAAGCACACCGGGTGACGCTGCTGCGGGGCGGTCTGTCACCCCCGGTCCGCGCCCGCGTGTCCAGGGCGGCAGCAGCACTTCAGAAGCGGCGAAGGGCGGAGCTGTTGGCCGCCAGCGGAGTCCTGCTGGCGCCAATATGATAGGGGCTGGGACGGCTGCGCGGAGTAAGAGCTCCAGCGCTGATGGCAGCGGCCTGTTCCAGTAGCGGTAGCGGTAGCGATAGGAGTAGCAGCAGGAACCAGAATGGGTCTTGAAGTGGCTAAATAGAGCCGGTGGGGCGTGCAGTGGTGTGTTCGCAAGGTGAGAATGGTTAGGACTGGGGCGGTTGGCATAACTGTATGGGAGGATCTTAAAGCTGCAGGTGGTTCGTGTTAGGCAGCATGTATAGGTTTCTGCTATGGCGTAGATGGTGCTTTATAGAGATACCGTCAGGAGGTGCAGTCGCTGTGGGTTGCATGGATAAGCGAGATCGCTGCAAGGCGCTTAGATGGGAGCGGGAGGTCATGCTATGATGGGGATTTGGGAGCACCGGTGGATGTAGGAACCGGGCAAAGATACTGGACCCAACTCCTCACTGATAGCTACTGCGATCTTTATACCTGGGGTGTTTAGCCGTGTAGGACGATTACGGTGCTATCCTACAGCTAGGACCATCAGGGGCTCTGGCAGTAAAGCTGACTGAGGGTACATAGCGAAATGTCCTCACGACTTCCACAAATGCCGACGTAACATGGATGCGAATGCTCGCAATAGTCTTGACGTTTGGTTCACCCATGGTTTGTACTGCATGTACCATGAGCTTAGCTGCCGATGTGAGCATTGCTAGCATTTTGGCACGGGTACGTGTACTTCTATGTATCGGACTTCGGTGCCTTGTAGCCGGCGATGACGCACATATAACGTTCCATACACCCCTTTTACAAAGCTCAATTGTGTGCTAGGTAATATGTACATGTTTGGGTTACATTGTTTACACACCCGTCAGGCACGCCACGGACGGACGCGCGCCTCTGGTATGGCAACAGTATGGCAGGACTATTAAGCTTTTGTGCACAGGGCGTATGCAGATAATCGCAAATTTGCAAAAACCGTGTCGGGTTACGTAGGCAGTTAGTTAGACGTATAGACGAACGGTGTTGCGTTGTGTGGCGTGTGGAATGACGGGACTTAGGCCAGGGTGATCCTGGTTGCATTATTAATGCGTGCGTGCACGAAACAGCATGTCCTCGATAAGGCTTGTATATTGCTAACGACGCTGACGCTAATATTGGTGCAACAATGCAAGGACATCTCCGTTATGATATCTAGGACTCCCAAGTATATGGTGCAATGGCCTCATGTCGCGGCCCCGGAAGGCGGGGGCCACTTGTCCATCCTGGACGCCTTGTGTCTGTTACATTCTACATGAAACATGACCTGTTCTACTTGGCTGATATAAACGTGTGCCTGTATCCCTAACGTAGTGCCCCAATCCTACACAAGAAACACAGCCATAACATAGCGCTAATGGCGGGACACGTCTTGACCGCTCGCATACCCAGGCCAAACGGTCTTACCTTTATTGTGCACGGGGGTAAGCAAAGGCAATCAATGCATGATATCATCCTACGTGATATGGTCCGATGGCGCCGCTCTGGACACAGCAGTACGACACGCTAATCCGTACAGGCAAAATGCATCTGTGACAGCTGATCCGCTACCGCATACAACAAAGAACGTGCGTGAGGAGTGAGCAAATGACATATATCCGTACATACCGCAAAAGAGCTTCATCCTGCAACCTTCAGTGCGAAACTAATAGCAGCTGTGACCCATGGGTCGGGACCACGTTCATGGGCGCCGTCACAGCAACTCCCGCCTCGCCCCGGCAGGGCAACGCAAAAGGAAAGCGCTCCGTTCTCAACTAACTGCGACAACCAAAGCCCCATCGGGCCAACCTCTTGACAAACTCGCGGGTGTGGTCAGCAATGACGTGTTAGTCAAAGGGGTCCCTATTTGCTCCTCCTGCCGCCATTCCTCAAGAAATACCTTCCACACCATGTCCGGTCGACGTAAGCCCTCATAACGATGTATGCATGAGAATTCCTGGCTTCGTTCCTCTTACCATAATCTCCGTCTCACTGCTTGCCGCAGGGCGCTTCACACCTATCAAGTCCCCCGGCTACCGCTTTGCACCCCTCCCACCCAAATGCCAGCGTTACTACCATTAGCTGTTAACCAAGAACATAGTGGCTGCCACACAACCCATCCATGCATGCCTAGATGCTTCCACCCAGGCCCAGGATTCCGTACGGATTCGAGTCTCGTGTGTAGCCTTAACCGGGACATCCTGCCAAAAGTTCCCACCAATAGTGAGTATGCCATCCATAGAACGCAGCAAGGTCCCGACATTGCACCTCGTTCCACCCTCTCCCATTCCCCAACTTGCCTTTCCTTTCCAGCTTGCCCCGCAGAAGCTGAATACGAACGAGTAACCCAAGCTCCAACACGCCGGACAGACTCCCTGCTCAAGCAGCCCATCCAGCCATAACACGCATATAACCTCGACACGCTCGTCCACACTCGTCCACACCACAATCCCTCAAAGAGGGCCACCAGCAATCCCCCAACAACAAAACACAACCACTGCTGACAAGACATAATCACACCTGCCCACAACCCCCCAACAAACCCCTCAACCCCGTCTGAACCCAACAACCTACAATTCCAAGTAACGCATCCAGGGAATCCCCAATGGTGTTCAACCAAAGCCCTGCATATGCCCCAACACCTGTCTAGCATGGCTAATAGCCTACCGGACAACAAGACCGCGCTCCCTTATTATGGTGCCTCACGCCTCCCACGCATGTTGTTCCTCACCCACGTAACAATCCCCCGAACACACCCGTTTCCTTCCTTTCCCCCCCCCCTTACAAGAACGCGACAACTCTTTGACCCCACGCAGTGAACCGCCGCCCTCCGCTCTCCACTGGAGCTCTATAGGGCTGCTGGAGGGCTGCACACACAGCGGGGCACAGCCAACCCGTTCACTGTGGGTGCTCGCCGCCTGCCGCCGCCTGCTGACTCGCAACAGCCACCGGCACCGGCACGTGCTGCCCGGCCGCAGCGCTCGGAGCCCTGTCCTGCTGCTGTGGGGACGTCGCGTCCACACCATTCACCTGCTGCTGCTGCTGCTGGGGTTGCTGTTGCGGCGGCGGCGACTGCTGTGGCGGCTGTTGCGGACCCAGAGGGCTACTCTGCTGCTGCTGCTGCTGCTGCGCGGCTTGCGGGTTGGCGTGTGTGAAGAGGTCGGGCAGCGCCGCCAGGGTCTTGCTGAGGGCGGCGGAGGGCGGCGTGGCGTGAGTGGGGCTGTCAGGGTAGGACCTGTGGGGGGGGACGGCGGTGGGGCGGAGTCATGAAGGGGAGCTGTCGGACACACAAGGCGCAGCACGGCAGCAGCAGTTCTCCCATGTCCTGTGCAAGCACATACGAGTGGCAAGGTACCGTTATACCGACGAGGTCAGCTTGTCATAGCGGCCAGCTTGCCTTTTTAAACACCCCTTCAGTTTGTTGCTCTCAACGAACCCCTCGTCCGTTTCGCCACTCTCCCTCTACCCGTCCTCACCCCAACCCCCGCAGCCCCCACCTGCGCAGACCCCTGCTGCCCCGCCGGCCCTTGTTGGCGCTGAAGCGGGAGGGCGACACCAGCGGGTCACCCGGGGACACCAGCCCGCCGGTGGGGGAGCCGTGAATGGCAGGCAGGGAGTCCACGTCAGCGCCTCCGCCGCCACCGCCGGCGCCCGTGTCAGTGTCGCGACGTACGTCGTCGCCGCCGTCGCCGCCGCCGGAACTGGTCGGCGTCATTCGGCCGCCCGCCAGCGGCAGCAGCGACTGCGGCACGAGGGCGGGAGCGGTGCGCTGCTTTACGGCCAGGAACTGGAAGCCTATTACCATTACTAGACCAATACCGGTAGTGAATACGTAATTTATATCTACCGTTACAAGAAGAAGGACAGCGCACCCTTATCGCCAGCTCGCACCTGGTCGGACCCATGGGTCACTTTCACGGGTCGCTTCGGCGTGCGGTTCGCCAGCGCCCTCTCCGCCGCCGCCATCGCCACCTCCTCTCCGGCGCTGTGCGCCAGGTCGTCATCGTCGTCGTCCACTCCCCCCGGGCCACCTCCCACCACCAGTGGCGGGCTGCCGCTGGGGAGCGACGAGCCGCCGCCGCCGCCGCCGCCGGGAAGCGAGCCGCCGGGGGTGGTGGCGGCGGAGGAGGTACCGCCACCACTGATGGTGGAGCCCAGGGGCGAGTGGCCGCCGCCTGCGGTGCCGGGGGTGCCGCCGCCGCCGCCGCCACCGCCCGCAGCGGGGGCTGTCGCTCCTGGTGGCGTGTGGCCGCCTGCAGAGTGTGTGTGTGTTACACACGGGGCTCAGCCATCAGGCGACGTGACAGGGGTGGCGGAGAACAGCCCTTCGCTGCACCGCCTCTCTTCCTGTCCCGGAGCGCTGCGGCCAAACGACTCATCGGCCACCGCACAACGAAGCCGGGACCCCAAAGCAAGTCGCAGTGTGCTCACCTCCGCAGCTAACTCGTTGCGCGCCGCCTCCTGCGCCTCCGCCCGCCCCCCCTCCCGCCGGACCCATGCCCCCCATCATGCCGGCCGCATGAGGGTCGCGGGTCATGAAGGGTGCTGCCCAGGGCTGCGCCAGCGGGTTCAGTCGCGAGGGGCTGGGAGGCGGCGGCAGACCCACTCCGCCGCCGCCGCCAGCCCCGCCCCGGGCGCCGCTCCGAGTGGGTGATCCTGCAGGGGGTGTGGGGGGGCGGTGGAGGGTTAGGGGCGAGCGATGCGTACACGCGAGGCGGTCTAGACATCACTCCTGAGCCCCCCCCCGTAGCCATAACCCGGCAAAGATACCTCTGTTTCACTCAGCCCGAAGCCGGGTGCAGTCGGCAGCCCGACAACACATGTCTCCCTAGTGTTACCACGCAAGGCGGCTTCTTCCTCGAGTCGTCTCGGTTTACGGCAAGCAAAGATTCGGTATGCAATTTGAGTTGCATGCTTCTAGGAAAGTGCCTCCGAATGCGCTCACGGCATGAGTCGGAATATGGGTTTGGGAATTGTTGTTTCATTTTAATTTCCCCCCCAACCCCACCCCACCCTACCCGGTCCGCCAGCACTGGTGGGCGACAGCGGTGTCCCCGGCAGCGGGGCGCCGTAGTAGAGGCCGGGCAGGCCTGCGTGCGGGGCGGGTGGGGCGGAGGGGGTGGGGGTGGGGTGGGAACATGCAACCAGGGTGCCGGTGGGGGGGTGCACGCATGGGCCTGCAACTGCCTGCTGCCTGCTGGCAAAACTGACATCATGAGTAGAAAGCAGATACACTTGTATGCCATCAGGGTAAGTAAGGATGCATGGTCCGCTACTGCCCCTACCAGTGAGGGACAGCCCGCCAGCGGGTCCCCTTCGCGCCCCCCCGCCAACCCGCCTGGTGCCCCCCCGCCCCCGCCCCTCCCTACTCTCCCCCGCTGCCAGCCCGGCCCCGCGGCCTCACCCGTCATGAAGCTACCCGGTTGGGCCGCCACCATACCCGCCATGAAAGCAGCCTGCTGGGAGGGAGGGTGAGGCACCCGGGGTGAGGGGGCGGGGGGCTGTGGTGAGAAAGACAAGAAGAAGAAGCGGGAACGCCAGACACCTCCATCCGTCGCCAATCTACACCAGCCCCACACACGCCCCTCCTGCACCCGCCCTCCCTCCACCCGCCCCTAACCCGGCCCCCCCCACCCCCCAAAACCCAGAACCCTGCCTGCAGGTCCATGGGCACGTAGCCCGCTGCGCCCACCGCCCCGCCCAGGCCGCTCATGTCCAAGGGCATCAGGTTGCTGGGGGCCAGGAAGCTGCCAGGAGCGAGGAGCGGGGGGGGGGGCGGGAGAGGGCGAAGGGGCGAGGGGCGGTTGACGTACACAGCACATGCATGCAGCTGCAGCATTGTTTCTTGGTCTTGGTAACACATGCTGGGGTTGCCCTTACTTCCCCGTGCATGTGAAAGAACAGCCACGCAGCCAGACAGCTTAGCTGCAACGGCGTCTCCCCTCCTCCCCCCAACACCATTCCCCTCCACCACCTCACAATCCTTCACATTACGGGTATCGGATCCCCCCCAAAGCAGCCACACACCCCTCTACACCCCTGCTCCCTCCCCTCCCCCCCCTTTCCCCCCTTCCCACGCACCCGCCGGTCTTCATCATGTAGTCCGTCAGCGCCGCCATGTCCGTACCCGGGGGCGGCAGGCTCAGCCCCCCCGGCAGCAGCGTCATGGAGGGGCTGCCGGGGGGAAGCGGCAGCGGAGCCATGCCCAGCGAGGGGTCCAGCGGAGGCATGGGACCCATGGCGCCAATCGGCATGTACGACATCATACCGCCGCCGGGGCCGCCGCCAGCGGTTGCGCCGCCGCCACCGCTGGTACCGAGTCCGCTGCTGCCGTACGCGGGAGGGCCGCCGCCGGCGGTGGCGCTGCTACTCGGTTTGGGTGCGGTACCAGAACTGCCGCCCCCGCCTGTGGCGGAGGGTGCACCGCCGGATGAGGTGCCGTACGCGCCGCCGCCGCCGCCGGTTCCCGCCATGCGCGTGCCGTACAAGTGGGGCGAGCCGGAAGGCATGCTCGCCTCGTAGCCTGTTGGCGTGAGTATAGCAATGAAACGCGGAGCGAGGAGGCGAGCAACACACTCCCTATCCAGCCCTATTCCTTTCCTGCCGCAAACTACTCAACCAACTTCCCAACTACCCAACCGCCACCCCTCACTTCTCCTTCAGATGGCCGCCCTGCATAGCCCATTCGCCCCGAGCAGCTACCCAGCGCCAGCCCAACCAACCAGCCAACCCACCTCGCGGCATGCCGTACGGAGCGAACGTCATGTCCACGTGACCCGTACGTACGGGAGAGGGCGGCATGGCGGGGGCCATCAAGTACGGCCCGGCTGTCGTACCGTACGGGTCCATGGGCGGGTAGCCAGCTGCCGCCGCCGCGGGGTGGTAGCCGCCGCCGCCCGCGCCGCCGCCGCCGCCGCTGCCGTACATTCCGGGGATGCCGCCGAGGGCGAGGCCGCCGCCGCCGCCAGCGCCGCCGCCGGGCGGTGAGTAGTTGTACTCGTCTCGACCGCCCCTGCAGCGGTGATGGTGATGGCAGCAGGATCAAGAGAGGCAGTTGTTGCAGCACACACCCCTCGATGTACCCCTCGTCCCGGCTACCAATCCATCTTCTCGCGGACGGTCCCTCTGCGCCCCCTCCCCTCCTCGCCCCCTCCGCCCCTCGTCGCCCCCTCCGCCCCTCCTCGCCCCCTCCGCCCCCTCCGCCCCTCGTCGCCCCCTCCGCCCCTCCTCGCCCCCTCCGCCCCCTCCGCCCCTCGTCGCCCCCTCCGCCCCCTCCGCCCCTCCTCTCCCCCCCCCACCTGATGTGGCCATGTGGGCCGCCCGGGCCCCCGCCTCCGCCTCCGCCCCGCTCCTGCTGGCCCTTGAGAGCAGCCGCACACGGCACCACCGACCTGCGGGGCAGCGGGTGGAAGGGGGGAGGGAGCGGTGGGGGCAGTTGAATGCTGAGCGAGAGGCCTGCACATCGAGCATGCATAGCAAGGTGTACAATCGCAAACCGCCAGTAACGGCCCAACACCTCCAGCCCCATGCCGGCAACCTGCCCGCTTCTCCCTTTCCGTTCCCCATCAATACCGTCATCGCAGCTCCTCTCCCAACCCATCCCAGCCGCCCCCCAAACCCTCCCCTTCCCCGCCCCCCCAACCCACCTGGGTGGCGGCTGGTAGCAGAAGTCCACTCCCATCACTCGCTGCTGCCTGGGCACCGCCTGGCCTGCAGGCGAAGGGAGGGTAGCAGGCAGGTGCCGTGTGGGTGGAAGTCCATGGCGGCGGCTTCCTTGGAAGAAGCAAGAGCAGCAATGCGATGCTCCGGGCGCTGCATGCTGGGCGCGTGGCGCACCGACACAGGCACCACACCCGCCCCGGACGGACGCTGGGCGGCCATCGCACTCGGCGCAGCGCGATGCATGGCCAGCTCAGCCAGCAGTCCAACCCAGAGTTTACAACACCCCTCCCTCCCACGTACGGTGCAGTGCACACCACACTAACCCCGCCCTCCCCCCCCCCGCCCCCCGCCCCACCTTGGTACCTCCCCTCGCACAGGTCCTTGTACCGGTCCACGGCCGCCACGATCACATTCACCGCCCCCAGCACTGCGCCCTCCTCGCCCTCCACCACCACCATGCGACAAGGCCGCCTAGGGCCCCGCTCCCCGCCACCACCGCCGCCACCTCGCTCCCCGGCTCCCCCCCCTCCGCCTGCTGCCCCCAGCAGCTGCTGCGCGGTGCGGTTCTCGGTCCAGCTCTTGATGTCGGAGCCCGTGACGCGCATGATCTCGCGCACGCTGCTGCCGCTGGGGCCTATAGCAGCGGCAGGGGGCCGGCGGCAGGAGGGCGGGCGAGTGGCGGATTGGGTTTGCTTGCTTGCAGTTATAGGTGAAGTCGGTCGCATGCGGAAGGGGACAACCTAGTAGGCCGGACTACCGTAGTACGGCCGAATGGTACACACAAGTGGTTATATTCTGCAGCCGAACCGGATACCGTATACCCCCCTCGCTCGTGCATCCGTGCAGCTCTCCTGCCTGGGTGGGAGGAGCGGCAGACGACTCCCGATCCCCGTGCCCCTCCGACAAACCACTCACCGATCACAAAGCCCGCAGCCAGCAGCGTGATGCGCAAGATCATACTGCGGATGCGAAAAGGGGCAGGGGCGGGCGGCGTCAGCACTCAGCAGCCCCTCCATCCAGCAACGGGCGATGTTTGCGGACGGCAGGCGAACCGCCAGTAACGGCAAAAGTGACCAATAACAAAGAAGGCGTCAGGGTGCATGCATGGCGGTACATTATGTTACATCAAGACTAGCATTAAGGCTACTGCTGGCAGTGGCTTTCCGAAGGGTCGTCCATGCCCGGCCCTCAAGTCGAACAATGCATCGCCCCGCTTCAGTCACTGTCCTCTCACCCGTGCGGTGTTTTCTCCGCGCTCACAATGCCCTGCTCCTCGTTCTCAACACCCTCGCCCGGACGTCGCGGACCTGGAGAAGGGAGGAAAGGCGCCGGAAGGAGCGAGGGAGTGGTGGGTGGCGAGGGAGATGTGGGTTATGCACGGCAGGATGGGCTTTTGACTTGACCGTCACTACAGGGTTCAAGGGACCTTAGATGGCAGAGGGTGCTGGTGAAGCGACCTAGTAGGGGGTGCAGTGATCTGGACCAAATTTGATCTGGGTCAGATATGGCCAGTGGCAGGTTGGCAGTGATCTGGGTTGGCAGTGATCTGGGTCGGCAGTGATCTGGGTTGTGGGTCGGCAGTGATCTGGGTTGTGGGTTGGCAGTGATCTGGGTTGGCAGTACCGGTAATCTGGTTTACAGCTAGATGTATTCGGGTCAGAACGCCCCTGACCCAGATCCTAAATGACTACACTGCCCACCCGCCCGCAAGCCCCAGCTATACAGCCCCCGCTGCTTCTACCACTCACCGCTGGGCTGCACCCATTTGGGGTCTCGCTCGTGCAGCTGCTGATGGTGCGGGCCGCCGCGACCGTGCAGACCCCGACCAGGGCCCATGTCGCCCGCCGCCGCCGCAAGGGCGTACACCGGCCGGTTGCCCGCTAGCTTGTGGTGGTTGATGAAATCCACCATGTTGGTTAGGTTGCTCGGATTGCCCTCGCCGCCGCCGCCGCCGCCGACACTGGCGGCGTGCTCGCTGACACTCGCCGCCGCGGCGCCGGTCGACGAGTAGCTGCCGGCGCTGTGGCGGCGCTCGCGGTGGGAATGAAAGCCGCCGCCGGCCTCGCCGTAGGCATAACTGTCCCGTGGGTCATTTGGGTCGCCGCCGCGGGAGAGGCCAATCGACGGCGGCCGAGGAGGCCGGTGTTCGGGTTGCGGGGGAGCAGGCGGGGCGGGCGCTGTGGGGAGGGGGCCCGCGGGGGCGGCATTAGGGGCTGTGCCGCTGTTAGGGATTGCGCTGCTGGGGGGAAGCGGGTAGGCGTTGGGGCCAGCAGGGGCGGGGGCGGGGCCGCCGCCTGTGACGGAAGCCGACCCGGTGCTTCCGCCCGCAGTTCCGGAGCCCATGCGCGCTGCCGCTGCGGCTGCGTGTGCCGCTGCTGCGACGGCGGCCGCAGAGGAGGGCATGAAGGCCGGCGCGTTGACGTCCAGGGTGGGCGAAACCGAGCGAGACCTGGACAACAAAAAAGCGAGAGCAGCAAGCATGGGAGTGTTAAGCTGTGTAAAGTTGCTTTCCTTGGTTGGTATTGACATTGTGTTGGCAAGGTTTGCATCATAAAGGGATTTAGGAAAAGCGGCATCGGCTTCAGGGTGGAGATTAGTATAGGTTGGTACAAGGCTTTAACGTTAAACACCAAGAGGCGAGCGAGAGGTGCCGACGGATGCCGCTTTGGCGAGGGGGAAACCTTTCTTGCTTTTTTGCGTCATGCTGCGAAAGATCAGGGCTAACGTTTTGCGCTGTATGCTGCTGAACCAAACCCTGATCAACATAGCGCACATGACAATGACATTCCTAACAGCATAAGAACGGGCAAGAAGGCTGGCGCCGTTTGCGCAAGCGGAGGGCCACCGCTCGCAGCCTAAAAGTTGCTGACCAGGACTGGGCGCGAACCAGAAAACCCGCCATGGACCTAAAATCTCGCCTCCTTCGCTTCTCATAATCCTTAACCCCGCCCCTGAAAAAGCATGCAAGCCTACCTCTGTTGGGCTTGACTTGCTGCAGTCGAGGGCTGCTGAACGTAGCCGGAGGGCGCCGCCGCAGCCATGACGCGCCTTGATGTTGAGGGTTGGCAGTCACAAGCTGCTTTCCGCAGAAGAAGTGTTCCCTGCTCAAGCCTTGCAGCTGAGATGCGGCCGCTGGTGTGCGAAGGGTAGAGCTGGGTGTCAGAAAGGCAGGACGGCTAAGGCGCGTGGTGCCCGACTAGCTCAGCCGCGGGCAGCCGTTTCTTACTTACTACTCGGGACGTTACGGCTTGAAGAACAGCTGCTGAGCTCGCGATTTCAACAAGATAGTGCCTGCCAACGCAACGTATGTCACAACCAGGCCGCCGACGCAAGGGGCCTGCAAAGAGCAATGGCGGAGGTCCGCGCGTGCGTAAGTAATCATCAACTAGCAACAGGTCAAATGACAAGCTGCGAAAGAGCGAACCTGGCGATGATGAAATGCCGGTGCCAATCTTCTGCGTCGTGTCCAAAGAGGAATGTAAGAAAACCGGCGACCCCTGGGCCGTCGAGCCTTGGAGGATCAAATCTACGACGCTGCAAGTGCAAAAATGTATAATGAGCACTGTGGGGTCGCTGAGTGCATGGGAACTTATCATGCAATTGAACCATGCACATGAGGTTGCTCTCCCGCGCTAGCGTATACGGCGGATATCGTTGCTTATGCCTATGCGCCATGCCTTTTGGCCAACACACATTTAGAACATTGCTTTCCCTAATTTCAGAGTCCACGTTTGCTGAAGATGGCTTCGCTGTTGCCTGTGCGATTACCACTCGTTAACTTGCCGGTTCGCTCCAGCCGCGTCGTCCCCTTTTGCGCTACAGCTTCACGCCGCAGAGCGCTATGTGTTGCTTCGTTTCCGCGCAATGGATTGGTTGAGGGCCAGAAAGAACGCAGCGACGTGGAAAGGCTCAGCATGCCTGCGCTTGCATCGCTTATGAGCCTCATAATGGCTGACGGCCCCGCATCAGCTGAGGCTTTAGACATGGCGAATCCGTTCACGGGAGTCCAGTCGAATAGCCTGTATGTTACGCTGGCTCTCTTCCTCATGTCAGTTCCAGGTGCGCAAATTCTCCAATCCTTTCCGTGTTCCACAACGACCCAGTTTGCATTATCGCACGGCGTGTTTTCAGGCGTATGGTCCCTGGTTAAGAGAGCGCCGCAAGCTGCGAGGAAGCGCATGACGTTTGAGGTGCCTGGGCCTGCGATCGAGGGCGCCATGCCGCTAGACGAGCGGGCAAGGCAAATCTTTCAATATTTTAAGCGCTACAATTACTCTGTAAAGGAGACGGGCGAGGTGATTACATTTGAGGGCATCTACGCAGCGGACAAGGGACAAGCAGCAGCCCTTACGTTCTACATATTCTGTGGTAAGCAGGATCATGCCCCAGGGCTTGAACGCAAATCCCCGGGCAGCCGCACGTCGTGGGTAGTGTTAGCTGTGTGCTTGGCAGACCGATGGTTAAATGGCAAATCCAGGCCTCAGCCCTTGAGTCCTAGCTAATTGCACGCCTAGCGTCAGCAGCTAGGCCTTCACTAGCTCACCTGGAAACCACCATGCTGCTGCTTGCCTGCACCTGCCCACACCTTGCTGCTGCTTGCCTGCTATCAACCCCATCCTCCTAACATCCCCGGCCCTGCTGCTCCTCCCGTCAGCCATGGCCAGCATTGCGCTGGTGATGTCCACGCTGGTCCCCTCCGGCGGCAACTGGTGGTACGGACTGACTGCGGTGTCGCCCGCAGCCTACCTGTACTACATGCAGCGGGGAACACGGGCGGAGCAGGTGGGGACGGTGGGGCCGGGTGCGGGGGCCTGAGGAGATGACCGCCCGCATGAAGGAGGGACCCAGGGACTTGGAGACGTTACCCGTTCGGGAGGTGCAAGGGCCCGAGAGAATCGTGACGCAACGCTTGCCTTTCAACTTGCCGTCCCTCTGCCATCACAGCATGCCCAATGTATGCTCTTAATAACCGTTCCGCTCCCGTACGCAGTTCAAGGTTAAGATGGTGACGTCGGATGACGAGCGCAGTACGGATATCCTGGTGGAGGGGGACCGGGAGGAGATCGAGCGGTTCTGGAAGGTACGACAGGGGTTCTGGAATGAGGAAAGAGGTCTGATCCTGAAGGTGGATCCTCCCAATGGGACTCCGTATACATGCATGCTTGCATGTGTGCTTGCCTGCACGTGGGTGGATTGGCTCGCTGCCCAATGCCTAGCACCAACGTAATCCCTCGCGCAAAGAATCACTGCTGCGATGTGGGTTAGCACTCCGCGATGTGGGTATTGTGACCAAGGCGCGTGTGCTTGTTCAAACGAGGCGAACCCTGCCGTAAAGCCTTGGTCTACGATCTGCCACCCCTACCGCTGTGTCTCACCATCAGCACTACCGCCTGCTGCCTCTCGTGTCGCCCCTGCCCTGCACTGCTCTGCAGGAGTTGGGGCTTGTGGAGAAGGGCAAGGTGTACGTGAAGGGCGTACTGCAGGCGTAGGATAGCAGAGAGCCAGGGTAGCAGAGAGCGGCACAGCTCGATAGTTGAGTATTGTATGCGGTGGAGGTTGGGTGTGTTAGGAGGGGAAAGCGAGTCCAGTTTTGCTTGGAGAAGGGGAGAGTGTGAGTGAGAAGAGTGGTAGAGTGGTGTAAGAGACCTGCTGGTTGTGTTGTGTGTGGGGTGGGTGTGGGGTAAAAAATGGTTTTAATTGCCGTGAGGGTTTGGTTTAGGGTACACATGCAAGTAGATTACAACCCCCAACCTACAGGGAGCAATGAAAGAAGCAATGTAGGGATGCTCTGTTGTTCCACGCATGATGTGGCACTTTGGCGCGATGGAAGTGGCTAGAATACACGACAACAAACGAACCGAATCAATTGACATTTTGGAAATATATACTTCTGGCTTCTGGAACTTGACTCCTTAGGATATGCTCTCTGTCCTGCCTAGCCGGCCCTTGTTGCGTGTTGCGGGTGCCATCCTTTTCCAGCGCAGACGGCCTGCGCCCTTCCATGCTGCCGCGCAAGCCTACGCGCATCGAATTGAAGCCAGCAGACAAGGAAGAGGTCAGCGCCTACAGAGTTTCCGATCCAAACGGTTGCTAGTCTACTAAGCGCCGCCTGCGCTTTGTATATTGCAGTACGAGAACCTGAAAGCGCTTTTGGAGGAGCGCAAAGCAGCCAACCAAGCGGACGTAGCCTTATCCGATCCTTTGCAGGTCGGCTGGCATCGGAGCAATCCAAACTTATGCTGGGCTTGCTGGCAAAGCAAATACCATGCCAGAAGCTATTCGTGTACTTGGTGCATCCATTTCTTCAGATTACTATTGCAAGGGGCTCTGTGTCTGTCAACTTGCCCCAAGCCCCTTGCCCATCGTTTCCATGCTCGGGACCGCTCGGGGCCGCGCCTCCCTCACACCCCGCATACGTGCTCACAGCCCCTTTTTATGCGCACCTCCGGTACCCACGGCAGGCGGACAAGCGGTCAACGGCGGCACGCATCGGCCTGAACCGCAAGTAGCACCCATGGAGGTGAGGTGTGCCGCGGCGCCGCTCTCAACTCCAGCAGCAGCATTACATGACGCATCCTTCCACCATCGCCGCACACTTCACCCCCCGCGGTTACTGCCTCCCATGCCTCCCTCGAACCAACACCACTCCCCGCCACCACATCACAACCACCTTGCAGGTGGAGGTTAAGATTCGGTTACCGGATCGTGCGGCGTACGACAAGGTCGCAGCAGCCTTGTCAGCTGCCAGCAGCAGCAGCGACATCAGCCCGGCGGCGCCAGGAGCGGACATCAGCAGCAGCAGCGCCGGCGGGCGTATCGCGAGCCACGCGCAGGCCAACTACTTCTTCGACGGCCCCGCTCGCGAGCTGAACAGCCGCAAGGTGGTGCTGCGGCTGCGGACCTACAACGGGGACGAGAAGGCCACGGTGACGCTCAAGGTGTGCGAGGCGAGGAGTGGTGGTGGTGGGGTTGGTGGTGGTGGGAAAACGCGGGGCATCCTCCTCCCTGCTCTGCCCTTCCTTCCCTCCATTCCCCCAACCGCCCCACCGCTCTACCCCGCCCTGCCCCGTCCCTCCTTCTCTCTCCCTCTTCCTCTCCCTCTCCCTCTCCCCCCCCACAGGGCCGTCAGATCCTTGAGAACGGCATCGGTCGCGCCTCCGAGGTGGAGTGCGAGGTGCCCCCCGCGGCCGCCGCGCGCTACCTGGCCGCCCCCTCCGACATGCTGCGCGAGGTGGACATTGTGCGGACCGCGGCAGAGTGGGTGGCGGGGGGGGGGAGGGGGGGGGGCTGGGTACTCCGCACAGGGCTGGAATGGGTAGAAAGGAGGATACTGATGAGCTGTGCGCCAACCGTGTGCCCTGTGCCGCCAACGCTACCGTGCCTGGCTCCCCGCCGCCCTGCCTGCCCCCCCCCCTTTAGTTGTTTTGCATTTCTTATATAATTTCCCCCCCCCCCTCCGCAGCAAGTTCGGGCTGAACAGCCTGGTGGGGCTGGGCGGCTTCCGCAACCAGCGCGACTGCTTCCGCTGGCGGGGGCACACGCTGGAGCTGGACGAGACGGCATTCGAGCACGGCACGCTGTACGAGATCGAGTGCGAGACGGTGCGGGGGGAGGAGCGGGGAGCAGGGTCGGGGGGGTGCATGTTAGTTGTGGCGGCTGGTTTCGTTTACCGGTATTTGGTTCGCGCAGGTGCACAAGCTCTCTCCTCCCCAGGTCTCTCCTCCATTACCATTCAACACATCGGGTCTTCTTCCTAACCCCTCCCTCCTCTCCCTTCCCTTTTCTCCCTCCCTCCCCGCCCGCAGGATCGGCCGGAGGAGCTGCGGGACCAGCTGGAGGCCTTCCTGCGGCAGCTGGGTGTGTCATACAGCTACTCGGGCACCTCCAAATTCGCCAACTTCATCAACAAGTCGCTGCTGTAGGGGGGAAAAATTATATAAGTGAAACAACGATTGCTGTAGGGGGGAGGTGTGGAGGGGGGAGAGAGCTGGTGTGGGTTGACATGCCCCGGTAAGTTGTGCTTGGGGCCGAGATGGAGGCCAGGGGTTTAGGGAGTTCAGGTGTGCTGCGGAGCGCTTGTTGGTGGTCGTAACCTTGCTCGGGTGAAAAGATAGGTTCAGGTTTAGGTGCAGGAGGACGGATCGCTCGGGTGCTGCGCCTGTTACTGTGGCGGGTGGGGGCAATGTGCTGCACTGGGGGCGCATAGTATGGGCCTTGGAGGTCCAAGAGGAGGCGTACAAGGGAGGTACAATCCTGGTACAACGCCGTACACTCATGTGGCTGAGGCTGGCGGCTTGCGATCGGCATAGCGGTGTCTGTGGCTTCATGTGATACTCGTATCCTCACTGGAGTAACTGTTCAGTAGGCATATCACATGCATGGACTTGTTGAGGCAAGTAAGGCCATGCTGAGTGGCCGAGGTGAGGGACGTGTACGCTTCTAGCGGCTCCTGGGCGTGGTAGCCCACATGAGCGCCGATGGAGACAATCCACAATCGAAAATTATCCACAATCGAAAAGGGTCGGATAGTTGGTAGATGCAGCACGACCATCGTGTACCAGTCAGTACCGCCGGGATAATAGAACCGTAGGATATTGAAAGGGTTATCAGGCAGCAGTTGTAAAGGAGCAACGCGAGGCAGTTGGGTTTGGTTTCGAAGCTCCTTGCGTTCGAGTCCTCAGGTTCCAAACGCAAAGCCAAAAGCATCTGCAAGACATAAAATAAAAATCGTTGAAATGAGGAGCCAGCCCTACAATTCCAGCAACTTGCTTGTACAGTAAGGCGTACGACAGCCCGCGCAAGCGGCACCTAACTGTGCCCTGGCCTACTGCTTAACATGTTAAGATTATTGCATTATAGCATAGGCACGACAAACGCCGGCTTTGACCATAGGCATCCTGCTTGCTAAAGCGATCGGGACTTCGTAGGTGGCGCTTTTCGTAATTTCCCTTCCTAATTACGAGGTAATCAATTAAGACTCACATTACGTTCTAGATACCTTTTTGTCATGGCCGACGACGGTGAGACAGCCACGGTAAAGGAGCCTCTTGACCTCATTCGCCTAAGCCTAGACGAGCGGGTATACGTCAAGCTGCGTGGCGAACGGGAGCTTAGAGGGAGGCTTCATGTGAGTACGCCTTACCGTTTGCTATCGATATGCGGAACCTCGCCGGGCCCCTGCTTCCGCAGCGCCTTGTGTGGATAGCAGCTGCCGTTCCAGCGCCTCCTTCCAAAATCCTGAGTTATAGGGCCTATGGAGGGTTGGCGGGAGGTGTCAAGAGTTGTGGAAGGGAATCCAGGGCGGCAAGGCGGGTGCTGGACAGAATATAAGCCCAAACAACCGCAACCTCTCCTTAACTCAATTGCAATGGGGCGTTATTCCATCACGCTGAGGGCTCGGGCTTGTGTGGAGTTGCTGTGGCAGGGCAGGTGTCCTGCGTAGCAACTCATCCTCGAGCCTTCTCCACAGGTGTTTCCACCCTCCGCCATCACCCTCCTCACCACCCGTACACCCCGCTGCCGTACAGGCGTACGATCAGCACCTCAACATGATCCTGGGCGAGGTGGAGGAGACGCTGACGACGGTGGAGATTGACGACGAGACGTACGAGGAGATCATCAAGGTAGGTCGCACCGGACCGGGGGGCTAGTGGGATAGACCAAACACTAGGAAACCATGTGGGGTTCGGGCTCCCACCTCCTATGTCAATACAGACTAGCATCCCGCCCCCACAGCCCTGCATGTAGCATGCAGCTGCACACCCACCCTGCCAGACCATGCTATTTTGCCAACCTCCAGTGCTTTTGGCACGCTGAACGTTGTACGGCTACCCTGCACCTAACTTGGTTTGCCCCCAACTCCCCCCCCCATACACACAGACCCAGAAGCGCGTCATCCCCTTCCTGTTCGTGCGCGGCGACGGCGTCATCCTGGTGTCCCCGCCGCTGCGCTCCTAGGCGGCCTGCGAGGAGGGGGGGGTGCACATGCCGCTCCTAGCGGCGACGTGCTCTCGTGGAGTCAGCCATGCCATGCAGTGGTGGCGGTGTCCGCTGGAGCAGGCACGGAGAGTGGCGGGGCGGACGTGTGATGCAGCGGTGAGGTAGTGCCGCCCAGGCGCCAGCAGCAGCAGCCCGGCAGCAGCATGAGTCCGCAGCTGCTCGACACCAGCGGGGCGGCGGCGGCATGTACAGGCGGCGTGTGTGGAGGAGATGCCGTGCAGGATGTGTGTTGTCGCCCGCTGCTCGGCTGCATCGCTGTCTTGCCTGCCGCATGACCGCGCCCATGGAGCTGGCTGGGGCAGCGCAGAGCTTTTGTCAGGGTATGGTACGAGAGGGGGACGGAGGGGGCGTCTGGCAGGGCAACGGGTTTAGGCGGGATTGAGGTCCTCTGACACCGGCCCATGTAGCGCTGTAGTGGCTTTCCCGAGGGGTGGGGTGGAGGAGCCACATGCGGCGGCTGCAAGGTGCCGCGGGGCTGCTACGGTGTCAGCCGAGGAGGAGCGTGCGGGAGCATGTGAGGCTCCAGGCAAGGGCAAAAGACAAGCCAAAACTAAGGCTCTTTACGGGATATGTGTGCGCGGAAAGGGGCAATGGAAAGCCGGCTGAGCGGCTGACGCTGCAGGCCCAGCGGCAGCACCAGCTGGAGGGATGAGTTGGAGGTTGCGTGGGGTTGGATGGAATCATTGTACTTGGTGTGTCGTTAGGTGGTATGGTTGGATGTGTGGTGGGTGTGACCTGGGGCTCACCGGTGACAACTCTGTCATTTTGAGGCAGGACGGAAGGTCCGCTTGTCATGTTGCAGTCTTGTGGTGGCTGGGAGGGGGCTCCGTCCCTGTTGGGCCCCGCTGCTGGTCCCCTGCCGCCCGCGTTCGGGTGCATGACAGGACGTGATGTGAGGGGGGTCGTGGTGGGATCAGGGGGGGCGCTGGTCTCCCTTCCCTTCAGGACACAACAACGGTTGTTCCATACCATACAGTTGTTAATGGCGCCACCATGCCTCGATGGAACGACTACGACAGCAGCAGGGAATGGGAAAGAGACGCATCCTGACTGCTGGCGCGTCTGAGTGCACGTCCAGCAAGCCGGCGGGAGGGTGCGGGGGGAGTGGCGGTAACGGCGGCGGTGGGGTTGAGTGAGGTGCACGGGAGGCGGGCGCACGCAGCGGGTGGGGGATGCTCGGCCGGGCAAGGATGCATGACGCACAAGCGGCAGAGAGGCAGTTGTGCTTCCTGTTGATGTGTGCACGCGGCGGGTCGCCCTTGAAGACCTTCGCAGCCCCATCAGGTGCACGAGTGCATCTGGAGCCGATTCCCCCTCCGCCTGAGCTGCCAGCAGCAAAAGGGGGTTTCAGCTTCCTCTAAAAGGGCGGATCCCCTCCTGCTTTAGTACAGGAACATACGATGACCCTTGAAATGTCAGTTGATGCGACCCTGTGATTTCATGCTGTGAACAGTGCAGGCTTTCCTCCCTGCAGTCCCGCGTGCCTTTTAATTAAAATGCGGCTTCCAGACGCGCGCGGTAATTGCGGCGGAACGTGTAACGGCAGGCGCCTGCGGATAGCGATACCTTGTTGCCAATGGGGTGCCAGTGGTTTCGGAAGCATGCAGACCAACCTCGCCGGACAATTTCTCATAATTCCCTCGAATCAGCCGCTGGGGTTCCATGGTAATTTTTTCATTGTATGTAGTGCGCCAGACATACATGCCAGAATGGCTGTAGGGTCTCGCGCGGCAAAAGGTCGCGACTACCTGCCCAGCAGTTGGTTTGCCCATGAACTGCAGGGCTTCGACCGCTCGAGTTTGACGGCTATATGAAAACATTTTTTATTGTTGGCACGGAACTAATTGGAGGGTCTTGCGTTGGGGGGCAGGTATATAGGGGGCCTGTGCAGGCCCCGATGAAAAGCTAGGAAGTTCGTAGATCTAACATAGTGGTCTTTTTCAGGAAGAGCATAATCTGGGAAAACATAGTAGGAGTAAGGCACTTGAGCTTAGTAGCTTACTCCCTTTACTAGCCAAGTGCTTACGCGGGTTCTTTCGTACACCACGTCGTTAAGCACGATTGGAGCACAGCACGCCAGCACCTTCTTCACCACAACATGGTGCTTAGCAGCAATGCCGCGATAGGTATATACATTTGATACGCTGGATTGGCAGGCTCACAGTTCAAGGAACTTAGCAATGGAGCGTCTAGTAAGCCTCCTTGTGCTTTGCCTCGCGGTAACAGCAAAGGCAGGGAACCCTTTTGCTCTGCAAGAGCGTAAACTTTCACAATGCGAAGCCTTGGCGTTTGCGGAGTTAACGCCGGTGAGCAGCAGTTGTGAACGACGATGGCCTGCGCTGCCCTGCACGAGTTACAATGCTAGATATCAGCACGTGCCCACCATCCACACCAGCTTTCCATTTGCAGACGAACACGCGTGCACCGGTGTTAGACCTGCAATGGGTTGGTGCCGACGATCAGGTAAGGCACATTGCTACGGATTATGCATGCTTGTATAGGTCTTGCCAAGTCCTCTAAATTATAGATCCAGCCTGCAAACATTTCCGGTGCTGGGCTAACATAGCCTGATGGCCTCATGTCTCTGGCCAAACATTTGCTCGCAGACGGTCTTTGCCATCACGCACAAAGCGATGAGCGAAGCGGGTGGCTTGTGGAGGTCTAAGGACGGGGGTAAAACCTTCAAGGACCTGACCAGCACTCTAAACGGTACGCGCGGGCGTGTGGGAGTGGGGAGTGGGGAGGGGTTTCTCACCAGCCTAGAGCACTTGACCGTTGCATTCACCCCACGGCCCCAACGTCACCTGTGTTTTCCAGGACTATGCTTTCCACCAACCATCTGAGATTTCACGGATTCATACCATCCCCTAAATACCTCACCTAACTCCCCTCCCCCGCCGTCCCCCGCCTCCCCCCCTCCCCCCAGCCACGCTCCCCACCTACGAGCCGTTCAGTGTGATGGCCATCTACTCGCAGAAGAGCAGTCCGGGCAACATACTGCTCATGGGGACCGGGACCTACATGTGGTGGGGGTGGGGTGGGGGGGGGGGAGGAGGGAGGGGGGGGTGGAGGCGGGTGAGTATGGAGAAGGAAGCTGACGAGATGGGGGGAGGAGGGTGAAGAGGAGGCGACTGCAGAGGCAGGCGGGGTGAGGGTGAGGGTGAGGGTGAGGGAGGGGTGGAAACAACGAACTGACTGAGGGTGGGTGGGGGGGTGCAGGGGTGGGGGGTGTGCACCGTATGCCCGTTGCCGCACAGGGCAAGGTGGGGGAGCGCTTCCCCCTCCCCAACCCCCTTCCACCTGCAACCCCTTCCCTTCCCCCCACATTGGGTATTCTTCCCCTTCCCTCCCTCTTCCCCCCAGGACCTCCTCCGACTACGGCGAGACGCTGTCCCCGCTGCCCACCCCCTCCCACTGGCGCGGCTCCTCCATCCGCTCCGCCAAGCTGCATCCCTGGCACGACAACTGGCTGCTGCTGCTTGTGAAGCGACCCGCCTGCAAGACACCCGACCCCGCGCTCATGGAGTGCCCCTACGACCTCATGCTGAACCAGGTGGGGGGAGGGAGGGGAGGGGGGAAGGGGTGGGAGAAGGAGGAGGATAGGGTGTGGGGCGGGGGAGGTGGGGGGTGCGGGGATGGAGGACGCGGGGGAGATGGCGCCAGCTGATAGGGGGGGAGAGGGGCGGAGGGGTGGGAGTGGGAGGGGGAGGGGGGCGGATGCTTTGGTCCGTTTCTGAACCCCCACCCTTCCTTCTTTTACTTCCCCTTCCTCCTCCCCCCCAGGACGTGTTCAACCCCGCCTCCCCCTGGAAGAACCTGACCGCCGACTCGGGCGGCAAGATCGCGGGCTTCGTGGACTTTGACTGGGCGGCCAACCTGTGCCCCAACCGGGACACGTGCGGCAACCTGGTGGGGGGGGGCTGGGAGGGGAGAGGGGGGGGAGGGGGGAGGGGGGGGAGGGGGGAGGGGGGGGAGGGGGGGAGAAACAGCAGCTGGGTTGGCTGCAGTGGGTGCGCCGCAACCTACCTGCCGCAGCCGGCCAGGAAGGCAGGCAAGAGGGCTCCTCGTGCTCCCGGAGAGCCGTGGAGGTGGAGGTGGAGGTGGTGGTGGTGGTGGGGCATCGAGCCGCACAAGACGCAAGCACTTTGTCCCGTCCACCTCGCCTATTCCCCTCCCCACCTCCCCCCGAATGCGCTCACTGCATGAGTCGGGATTCAGGATTGGCATTCCGTCGATGCACTTATCTATGTTTTTCCCTTCCCCCCTGCCCCCATCCCCCTTCCCCCCAGACCCTGTCCGACAGCCTCATCTTCGCCACCATGTACGCCCGCCCCGACGCCTACGACCAGCCCTGGGACCCCGACGTCAACTTCGTGACCTCCACCGACTGGTTCGCCTCCTTCTCGCAGCACGTGCGCTGCGGCAACATGTTTGAGCTGGTGGGGCGCAGCGTGTACCTGGCCTTCGCGAACAGCTGCCCCACGGAGTGGGATGGAAGGTGGGGGGAGGGGGGGAGGGGGGGGAGGAGGGAAGAGGGAGGGGAAGGCTTGCCCATGCCCGTGCCCGCTTCGCTGTCCCTGACCCCCTCTGATGGCCCCTACCTTCGTCCTCTTACCTGCCATCCCGCCCCCTGCTCCCCCCCCCAGCCCCCGCGCCTCCCCCTCCAAGTACCCCCGCGGCATCACGCTGCTCACCTCCATTGACGGGGGCAACACCTTCGTGCAGGCATGCCTGCCGGTGGCGCTAAACGTGAGGGGGGAGGGGCGAGGAGGGGAGGGGGGGGTGGATTGGGCGGCGGGATTGGGTTGTCGCTTACAGGAGGTTATAACGGTCCGCATGCAATTGCTGTGTCTCCCATCCTCTTTTCCCCCTCGCTGCTTCCACAGCCCCCATGCTTAGACAACCACTCTTCTCAAAACTCTACATGCCCCACTCCCCCCCTCCCGCGGCCCCCCCCAGCAAGACGGTTACGAACTGGTTGAGACGCACGACGGGCGGGGTGCGGTAGTGATCGTGGACTACTCTGTTGACGCGGGCTTCATGGCGCTGCCCGCCTCCTCCGTGTACACGGCGGGGCCGCACCACGCGCTCTTCTCGCTCAGCCTCACCAACGTGTTTCACACCGACTTCGGGACCACCACCGACTTTGCGCGGGTGGAGGGCGTGCCGGTGAGGGGCGGGGAAGGGGGGAAGGGGGGAAGGGGGGGAGGGGGGGAGGGGGGGGGAGGGGGGGGGAGAGGGGAGGGGAACTGAGTGGGATGCCGCAGGCAGGCTACCGGTAACTCTCCCTCTCCGGGTGGGGCAAGGGGAGAGGGAGAGCTGGGGTTTCCTTCCTGCCATGTCCGCCACATCCCCCAGCCTATCACCCCCACCCCACCATGCACCCCATCATGCACCCCCCCGCCCACCTCCCACCCACCTCCCACCCCCCAGGGTATCTACATCGCCAACCAGATGCTGGCCACCCCCGGCAGCTCCTCCTCCTCCTCCACCTCCCCCGCCGCTGCCCCCGGGGACTACCTGGACTACACCGACCTGAGCGACCTCACCGAGCAGCCCGTGGTGGAGAGCCGCATCACATTCAATGGAGGTGGGGGAGCGGGGGAGGGGGAGGGGGGTTGCTGTGGTGGCTTGTGCGTGGTGGTGTGCACGTGTGGTTTGCGGGCTGGGAGGGAGAGCGGTTGGGAGCAGGGGGCCGCCCTGGGGCGGACTGGGGTGGTGCTGCTGCTGCAAACACACACGATACACACCCTCACCCTCAATTCCCCCTCCTTCTCCCCCCCCCCAGGCGCTTCCTGGCAGCGCATCCCCGCCCCCACCCAGTACCGCCACCCCGCCTGCAACCGCTGCGGCTCCTCCCCCGGCGGCCCCGGCGGCAGCTGCTTCCTGCACCTGCACGGCCTGTCCGCCTGGGACAACATGGGGTTGGCGCTGCCGGCGGTGTACTCCAACCCCTCCGCACCCGGGCTGGTCATGGCAACGGGCAATGTGGGGCCGCTGGGGCAAGGGCTGGACGGGAATGACGGGTGAGGGGGGGGTGGGGGTGGGGGGTTTGGGTGAGGAGGGGGGTGGGTTTGGGTGAGGAGGGGGGTGGGTTTGGGTGAGGAGGGGGGTGGGTTTGGGTGAGGAGGGGGGTGGGTTTGGGTGAGGAGGGGGGTGGGTTTGGGTGAGGAGGGGGGTGGGTTTGGGTGAGGAGGGGGGTGGGTTTGGGTGGTGGGTGGTGGGGGGTGAGGAGGGAGAAACTGAATACCGTGTGGTGACCGTGTGGGTTGCGAGGGGAGGTGGCATGGTGGTGGGGGTACGGCAGGTGGTGAGCAGGCAGCAGGGGTACGGCAGCCAGATACCGGTACGAGGGGGCATGCGTGCCATACACATTACCTGCTTAGCTAACCCCCCTCCCTCCCCCCTTCCTCCCCCCCGCCCAGTCTGTGCACCTGGCTGTCTACGGACGGCGGTGTCAGCTGGACCGATGTGGCGGTGGGCGCCTACATCTACGAGTTCGCGGACTGGGGCGGGGTGATTGTGATGGCTCGCCACCCGGGGGTGAACCCCACCTCGCCCTCCGCAGCGGCGCAGGAGATACTGTTCTCGCTGGACTACGGGGAATGCTGGCAGGTGGGGGGGGAGGGGCAGGGGGGTGGCGGGAGGGGGGGCGGGGGTTAGTTGAGACCTGGGCCGCGAGGGTACGCTGACCGTGACCATAGGGGGGACCCATTGATGTGTCAGCAGGGGGGCTGGTGGGGAGGGGGGAGTATATGATGCCTCTTTTGTCTGAGGTCGGGGAAGGTGGGGCTTGAGGAAAGAGGTCCCTCATGTGACACCCGTTCGTCTGCGCTCGTTGCATGAGGTCGGGATATGGGATTGGGACTCGTTGTTTCGCTTATTTAATTTTTTACCTCCTCCCGTCCCCCCTCCCCCTCCCCCCCCAGTCCGTCCCCCTCTCCGAGGCGCTCCTGGTGGAGAATGTGCGCATCGAGCCGGACGGACAGCGCCCCACCGTGCTGGTGCACGGGCGCGCCTGCCGCAAGAGCGATGCCAGCCCCAAGTGCTCGGGGGGCGCGGAGGACACCAGCTTTGCACCCGGGGGTGAGCTGGGGTGGGGTGTGAGAGGGGGGGGAGAGGGTTCCGGTGCCCTTGTTTCCCGTCCGCCCTACCCACCGGTGGTTCTTCACGGCTCCGTTGCAAGAACTCCCGCCCTCTCCCGCTCCCTCCCTCGTCAGCTTGTTTTTTATCTTCATTCAAACCTTGGGATCCTTCTCCCCCCCCCTCCCCCCTCCCATCTCCCCCCAGGTGTGCTGTACGCGGTGGACGTGGCTGACCTGATGCGTGCCAAGCTGTCGGGCAGCTGCGGCAAGAGCGACTACGAGCGCTGGACGGTGCCCACATTCGACCACCAGCCGCGATGCGTGCTGGGTGGGTGGGGAGGAGGGGGCGGGAGGGGGTTGGAATGGGTGGGGTCCGCAGTTTGGGTCTGCAGGAGCTGTTGTTGTGGTTTCAGCCTGGGTCGGTTGCGGACGTCCAACCCTCGGCCCCCTGCCAACTCCCCGCCTCCCCTCCACCTCCCCTCCCTCCCCTCCCAGGTGAGAAGCTGCAGCTGGAGCGGCGCAAGTCCGGCTCCCGCTGCCTCAACGGGGGCGCCTACAGCCGCCCGCCGCCCGACTCGCAGCCCTGCGAGTGCAGCCTGGACGGGGACACGGAGTGCGACTACGGCTTCCTGCGCGACAACAAGGGGTGCACGCGGGTGACGGGGTCGTCCATGCCTACGGTGAGGGGGGAGGGGTGGGGGTACGCGCATTCCGCATTAGGCAGGATGTCTGGGTTTAGTGGGTTAGCGTGTAAGGTTGTAAAGTTGTTATAGGGTGGGTGGCAGCAGGTATAAGGAGGAGGGGAGGGGAGGTGGAGGTGGAGGGGTTGCAGGGCAGCGGGGAGGAGCCTGACCGGACTGTACGAGGGGCTGCACCATGGGGGCTGCGAACATGGTAGCCGGCCCCACGGCGGTACGCAGAGAGGGGGTTGGGCGGTTGAGGTCCTGAGGGGGATGCTGCACCTCTCCTCTCCCCGCTGCTGCTGCTGCTGATGACCCAAGGTCACACCTGCAATACCCCCACCCCCACCTTGGGATTCTCTTTTCCCCCCCGCTCCCCAGTGCCCGGTGATTGAGAGCGGTCTGTACCGGGTGGACCCCAGCGGCCGCCGCATCGTGCACGGGGACGTGTGCAGCAACCCGCAGGCGGTCATTCCGCAGGTGGGGGGGGGGGCAGGAGGAGGGGGGGCTATGTAGGGGCGAGCAGTGGGCCAACCATGGGTCGGGGGGGGGAGCCAGGTCGTTGTACGACTGTCTCATCGCACCACCCCTGCCGTCCTTGCACACCCTCGCACCTCTCCCAGCACGGACGTCCCGGCCTCCCCCCAATCCACCCTCACCATCCGGTCCTCGCGCCGCCTCTCCCTCCCTCCCCCCCTCCCCCCTATATTTTTTTACCCTCCCCCCTCCCTCAGTCCGCGGGTGGCAACACGGACAACACCGGCGGTGGCAGCAGCAGCGGAGGCGGCGGTGACAGCGGGGGCCGCCGCCGCTCCTCCTCGCACCACAGCGGCTGGTTCGGCTTCCTGATATTCCTGCTGGTCGGGGGGGTGGTGGGGGGTGCGGTGTGGGGCTGGTGGCGCTACTTGGCGTCGGAGGATCAGCGGGAGGGGGTGCGGGACGTGTTGGGGGTGGCGGGCAACAACCTGGTGGCGCTGTGGGAGCTGATTGTGGACAAGGTGAGGGGCGGGCGGGGCGGGTGGCGGGCGGTGGGAGGTGGCGGGGGCGGGGCGGCGGGTGCGGCGGGTGAGGAGCTGGGCTACTTCCAGCCGTTGGGAGGGGAGGTGGGGGGCGGGCATGACGTGGAGGGGCGCGGAAACATCTTCACGCTCAAGTAGGGGAGGGGGGAGTTGGGTGGGAGCGAGGAGGGAGGGAGGGGAGAGGTGGGGGGCGGGGGATGCTGTTGCGCCGTTGGGGTGTAGGCTGTTTGGGAGGGGCAATGGGGCGTGGGGGGTAGGAGATAGACGTGCAGCAGTATTGGGTAGGAGTTGGGGGATACGCCCTTGCATGGGCTGCTAAGTGGCCCCAAGGCAAAGCGGGGGTGTGTTGGCGGGGGTCCTTTTGGGGGTTATGTCAGGCGTGCAGAAGAGCGTGACGCCAGTAGCTGAAGACGTGAAGGCCCCCTCCCACACGCATGCGCGCGCTGGCTTGCTGGCCGGGAGGTGATCCTTGTTTGGGACGCGCGCGGGGTGCCACGTCGGATGCTACAATGCGCGGGTGTGTTTGAGTGCGGTGGTTGGCAGCCGGGCGTGGGGCACGTAGTGGCGCTCGGCGGGCGGATAGTGAAGGGGAATGCAGGGGAGGTTGGATGATGGCGAGAATGGAGATGAGGAGGAGGAGGAGCGCGTCTTACGCCTTGCGATTGGGCGACGGGCTTTACAGGCATGGGCCTTACATGGACACACCTTTCGCCAACCCCGGTTACGCGCTTGCTTTGTGATGGCAGGTGATATCCAGGTATATCCAGATTGTTGCTTGTGCGATCCGCGTGCGAGGCGCGGAGGGGTTTAGGGGGCGGATTTAGGTTGGCTGTTGCCAGCTGTTAGCATGGAGCGGGGCGGGGGGATAGGGGTGCTGGGGGGCTGTATGGTAGTCTTTGCTGCAGGATGTACACGAGTGTGAGTGCCGCTGCATGAGTGTTGGAGTGTTGGAATGCTGCTTGGTTGCTCCGTTGCGGCGTGTGCTGCAGATGCGGGGGCTGCGCAGGTAACCAGCCAACCGTGTTACACGAGGAGGAGTAGAGGGGGCGGAGTCAAAAGGCGAAGCGAGTGATTTGTTCGTATGGCGTACGTTGCTGTCCTCCTGCGTTCGCCCTAAAGCCCTTCTCCACGCATGTATTCCACACTTCCACTTGTACTGTAACGTCTGTAAGACATGGCTGTCTTGTTTGAAGGTTTACAGCGCACAGGTATCCGCATGCGAGTGTGCATCAGCGCCGGTATGGGTCGCTCGCCCCCGCATGCCGCCCCCTCCAGACACGTCTCCCCCCATCTACCCTTCCCCAGCTGGGGCACCCATGAACCTCCACTACCAGCGCCCAAATCCCCCTCCACATCCTCCTTCACCACACCCTCCCGTCAGATGAACCTCTTCCCCCGCTTCTTCTTTTCCGGCCAGGCCCTCCGGCAGTGCAGCTGCTACTCCACCGTCGCACCTGCACCCTCCTCTCCGGGCCCTGCGCCCACCTCCCAACAGTCGCCACACCACCACCTCCAACACCACACATAGCCGCGGCATGCACCCCCCTCCTCCTCCCCACTCGCACCACAGGCACTGCTCACGAGCCACACGTGCGCGCCACACCAGCAGCGCCGCACCAACTCCACAGCAGGACCACAACGCTGGACGGGCTGGCAACCCACTCCCACCCCTCCTTCGCTCTTCGCATTCCCTTACTTCAGAAGAAGCCCTTGCTGGTCCGCAGCGCCGCCTGCGTCATGCGCGACAGCTGCACCCCCCGCAGCCGCCCGTAGCGGGCCAGCAGCGACTGCCCCAGCAGTGCAGCCGCCTCGCGCACCGGCTCGGGCGGGGGGGCGGGCGGGGAGGAGCCCGGTTGCTGGGGGCGGGGGCGGTGGCGGGACTGCTTGAGCGCGTCACTCAGCAGCTTGCATGCCTGGAAGACCTGCGGGGAGGGGAGGTGGGGCAGGGGGGCGGGAGGGGAGGGGGAGGAGGATAAATGGAGGGGAAAGGGGCAGAGACGTAGCTTTGCGGCACAGGGCAGAGGAGGAGGAAACATGGGGATTCATGAACATACCGCCGTTGCATGCAAACAACAAAGGAGTAGGGGAAGAGAGTTAGGTTACATAAGACCCAAGGGAGCATCCCCCCCACCCACGTCCCCCGCCCTACCTGCAGCTCCGAGCCCCTGCTGATGGCGTCCAGCACGTGCCAGCACGCCGCCAGCGCCCCCGCCGCCGCCGCCGTGCTGCCGCCGCCCACCGCCCCGCCCGCCGCCGCCGCCGCCAACTCCGCGTGCAGGTGCAGCAGCTCCAGCAGCTGGTAGGCGGCGGACTGGGCGGCCTGCACACGGGTGAGCTGGCCGCGGGAGGGGGAGGGGGAGGGGGAGGGGGAGGGGGAGGAGGAGGGGTCCTCCTCCACCGCCTCATCGTCCTCTTGGAGCTCCTGTGGGGGGTGATGACCAGGGGCGATGGGGAGTGTGGAGGAGGGATGGGGTGTGTGAGCGATGGTTAGGGAGGTCGGTAGGGGGCGGTGATGGGGTTGGGTAGCCGGGAGCGTGACTCATCACCACGCATCATGCATCATGCATCATGCCCCTGCAAGTGCAGCTCGGAGGTAAGCCCACCACCTCGCAGCCACCAGCCGCAGCCGCCGCAGGGGCCTCCCAAGTCCTCGGCTGCCCCCCCATAAGCCCTACCCTACCCCCTACCCCCTACCCCCACCCCAACACCTCCCCGCTCCCCCACCCACCCTCAGCGCCGCATGCAGCTCCCGCGCGCACTCCTCCAGTCGGGGCTCCAGAGCGGCCAGCTGGGCGGGCCAGTGGGGGCTGGAGGGGGAGGACTGCAAGAGGGGGGGGGGGAAGGGAGGGAGAGAGGGGAGGGAGGGAGAGGGTGTAAGCAGAGGCGGCATGACTCAGGCGGCTGGTGTTTTGTCGACAGGAGGTGAAAGATGGGGTGGGGGGCGCAGGGTAGTGCGGCACAACGACGTACACACCCCAATCCAGGAATGCCCCAAACTCAATCAGCAACGCACACGCCACCCCCGCCTACCTTCCGCAGGGCCTTCTTGGCCGCCTCCGCCGCTGTCATGCTGGAAGACGACAACGCCGCCGCTGCCGTACCAGCAGCTGCCGCACCTGCCGCCGTCACCGCCGCTTCCTCCTCCTCAACCTCCTCCTCCTCGTCGTCCTGCACTGCAAGCGGCACCCCAGCCGCCTCCGCCGCTGCCTCCGTCGCCGCCGCCGCCGCCAAGCGTTCAAACCGCGGCGCCAACTCATGCCGCGATCTGTCGTACAGCTGCTGTAGCAGCGTCTGCAGTTCCTCCGGCAGTTGCTCCTCTGTACGACACCTCGGGCAATCGCAACGGAATCCGTACCGGGACTGCAGTACGGCTTGCCGTACTTGCCGTGGCGCGAAATCATCTCGTCCAAGGTACGACACGAGCAGTTCGGATCCTTCCGGGATTGCTTGTACGGCCCGTACGACCATGGTGGATCCAACCACGTAATGCACGCAGTTCGGAACGCAGGAGTGGTTTAGGTTGGTAAAGTGCGGCCACACACCCACGTGACTGCGAGCCAGTGCGGTTGCCTCCCCCGCTTCCGATCCCGACACAGATGACGCCCCAGTGGATTCACTTCTGAGGTCGGCGGCGGGCAGATCTTCGTACTCGTCTCCGTACGCGTTGTACGACACAACAGATCGTACATCCACACCATCCACGACCCCGCTGCTCGCTGATGTGGCGGGCGGCGTTGCGGGTGCGGAGCTGGCGCCGTACATTTGCGAGATTGCCGTACGGACGGCGGGTGGCAGTTGGGACCAGTTGGATGTGATGTGGTCGACCAGAGCGTCGGGGGAGGGCATGGAGTCCTGTTGGGGGAGGGGGAGGGGGGTTAGGGGGCGCAAGCGCGGGCGTGTGTTAGCCAAAATCGCCGCGAGTCGGAACGTATTTTGTGATTCCCGTTATGCCGTCCGATGAAGTGGCCACAGCAAACGCCGAGCGAGCGCAGCTGGGCCCGTCCAGCGACCGCCAAGGGCTTTCTGGAGCCCGCTATGATTTGTTTTGCGCTTTCCTCGTCCCGCTGGCGTATCCTTGGCGTGTGCAATGGGCTCGCTGCTTGCTCCTCCCCGCCCCCGGGGGCCCCGGGCCAACCCGGCAGGAGGGATGAAGGGTGCGATGGCACGGGCGTGCATGGGGCGGGGTGGGGGACAGTGGTGTTGGCAGCCGTGCCAATCCACCCACCTCCCACCGTTTCCGATTTCATGTTTCGCTTTGCCCGTCCGTACATGCACATGCGCCCAACCTCCTTACACCCGCCCCACAACCGACATGCCAGGTCCTAACCGGGTCCTGCCCCCCACCTGCGGCCCGTGCAGCACCGCCAGCGGCCGCACCGCCATTACCAGGTCACCCGGGGAGAGAGGCCGGGAGGACACCAGGCCACGGCCCTTGCCTGGAGCGTTGGGGGGGGCGGGGAGGTGGAAAGGCAGTTAATCAGCATGTGAGATGGATGTAGAGGAGCCCATGAGCGTCCATGGTGACAAATCCGCGTGTGTATGGTCCAGGAAGGGGGAAGGGAGCGTGGCGCACCTGGGATGTCCTTGAGGACGGTGGGCCCGAGAATGTCTGTTGCGGGCTCGGTGCCGGAAAAGTACAGCGCGATGCAGGCCTGGTCCTCGGGTGATAGCTGCTGCTGTTGCTGTTGCTGCCCAGCGGCAGAGCTGTATGTACGCTTTGACAGCAGGCGGGCATTAATGACGAGCGCCGACAGGCGTTGCAGGCCGGATCCGGTGCTTAGATTGCGCTCTATTAAACGCGATGCATTCGTATTATTTGCCAGTAGCGTGCAGCCCTTTCCGATAACATGGCCTAAGCGCCGCATGTCAGCTCTGTTACGCTTTCAGTACAGTAAAGGTGGGTTAAGTACAACCAAGCTCTTAGCTTCTCAACTTGCCTATAAGGCGAAGCCACTGTAGGCAAAAAGCTGACCTTTGAGTAAGTTCCGTACGAACACCGGTGTTCAGTTAACTGGTCCTCCGACAAAGAGGGAATGCCGCCTGGGCGCACAGTCCATTACCACTACGCCGCATGCCGATACGCTACAGATGTTCGACGCAAGGATTAGGAAATCGAGATCCAGGCATTTCGAGGAGTTGGACAGCAACAATTGTCGCACTGGGTGGGCCCGCGGATTAAACCCGAACTCCAAGCTGAGTGCTTTCCCTTCATTAGTGAGCCATGGCGAAGTCCCGAGGGCGTAGGAATAAGCGGGGACTAGGTAATAGCGTTATGCGAATCCCGGTAGACCATTGACCGGCGGCGGGTGAGCATGGGGCGTGAGCTGCACTCTGCAGGCGGTTACATCACTCGTGTGCAGGTGGTATGGTCCCTTGGGCCTGGAAGCAGGTCTCACGGCATGTGAGACCTGGGCGCAGTGCTTGCCTGTTTCGTCGTGTGGGTTTGGTTGCCCGCTCTGCTCTAATGTAATAAAGCGACTGTCAGCACACTGCACATCATGGGTGCTATGACCGCATCTAGAGACTTTGCGTGCGCCCGCACCCGAGTGCTTGTGGATGGGACGGTGCTTGGTAGACCTGAGGATGGCAAATGCTTGCAGCGCGGCTTAACCTATGCTTGACCTGATAGTTGTAGCAGTGTGTAAGATGTGTAAGGGGTACTTACGTACTTGCCTGGGCGTTGTGCAACATCAACGTTCAGGGGGCATGGCATGTTCAATTGGGAGCATAGCGTGTATCCTTTGACAATCACGGCTGCTTCCTGCTAATGAGTTGCATTAAAGACCATTTTTATAACACCCGCTACTTTGCGCTGGAACCTGCACGAAGTTAACAGGGCCAATTCCGTGTCAATTCCAACCCCATGCTCCATCTTGGCCCCCTTTCCACGGTGTCCCGAGACTCCACTGCATTTCATGGAATCCCCATAAGAACATTGCAAGTTGTACGGCTAGGTGGTATAGTTTGGCGTGTACGGGAGCTTTGGAGCGACCTGCCACCTGCGGCTGGCAACACGCACGTGATGTTGGCTGGCAGGTGCAATATTTGCATCGTCCCGTTTGCATGCTGCTTCTTTTCCGTAAAGCATGAGCATTTTTAACATGCCGGCAAACAGCGATAACCAAGCCTGATGATGATCCCGCCTCGAGTACTGCAGGTACGCAACTCGGAATCTTGAACGGTGAGCATAGCGGCTGGAAGGAGGTGTTCTGCGTAAAGTACACCGTTACATTTATGTAATGCTAGAATGTGGTCGATAACAGTAAGCGACGCAAAATGTTGTCCAAGGCTTTGGGAGCTAACTGTATTGAGAGCCCCGCGATAGCTGCTTTGCCGCTTTTATTTTGTCAACAAAGACATAATTATCTGGAAATAGCTGCGAATGAAATAACAGCGCAAATGTCGGTTGCCGTCTTTTAACGCTTGCGTAATAGGCTGTCGAAGCCATCCGCAGTCAACACGCAGAACAGTCCTTCCTTTGCGTCATCGCGCTTTCGGTATCACTGACGACCTGACGACGCAAATTCTCTCCACGCATAGCAATTGTACAGTACAATACCCCTACACACTTCAGCGCCTTCGCCTCCCAGCCCCGCCTTCACAGTCCACACCACTTCAGGTAAACCTAGGAGCTCCTGCTGGCTCAGTATCCCGGTAATATCAATAATCTTGACGCTCTTATACTCGGAGTCGGGCCTTTAAGCCATTCCGGGGCACTTTACGACATGACCCACGGTTCAAGTTCCTTTACCCTGAAAGCATGCGGTCTGAGGGCCAACCTATTACACACTTAAACCTCATCACACAGTACATAACTTCCTTGCTGCAGATCGTACGCACCCAACCAGCCAACAAGCCGCCCCCTGACCACCTCACGGTCGCCATTCGGACCAGCAGCCACGACCAGCCTTTCGCGCTCTCTAGCGCCCCTCAGCCGCCCCTCATCCACCTCCTCCTGACCCGCCTGTTCCCCTAGCGGCCCCCATGCAGCAGCACAACGGCTGGGAGGTGCCGCCGCCGGCTGCCCCCACCCCGCTCCTGCAGCAGCAGGCGACGGAGTCCTCAGGCATCCAGCCGCCGGGGGACGACACCAGCAGCAGCAGCGCGATGACGTCAGCAGCGGCAGCAGCAGCAGCAGCGGCGGCGGCAGCAGCAGCGGCAGGGGGGGCGGCGGCAGGGGGAGCGGCGCCGCCGTCGACGGCGCAGCAGCCGCCGCAGCCGGATCGGTCGCCCTCCCTTCCGCTGGCGTCCCCCCTGCCCTCCACCCCCTCCTTCTCCCGCGTGGGTAAGCAGGGGCAGTGGGGCGCCGGGGCAGTGGGGCGCCGGGGCAGTGGGGCGCCGGGGCAGTGGGGCGCCGGGGCAGTGGGGCGCCGGGGCCTGGGCGGCTGACTGCGAGGGCTGCCGAGTGCCGGGGTGCGGGCGGGTGGGGAGCCTGCAGGGGCCTCATGCAGCCCTCTGGGAGGGGGCGGCGGGGGCGCCTCTGCACCGGTCATGCCGGCCACTCGCAGCGGGGGGCCGGGGGCCGGTGCTGCCGGCAGTACCTCGGGGCCGGCATGCGGGTGCCGGTGTGCCTCCGGGTGCAGTGCAGGGGGGGGGGGACGTGGAGGGCAGCTAGCTGCCCCCTGTGCAGCTGCCTCCTGTGCAGCCGCCCCCTGTGCAGCTGCCCCCTGTGCAGCCGCTACCCGCATCCACCTGTGCTTTCTTTGACCGCCAGCCTCGCCCCGGCCCCCACTACCCCCCTCCCCCGCCCCCCCACTACCCCCCTCCCCCGCCCCCCACTACCCCCCTCTCCCGCCCCCCACTACCCCCCTCTCCCGCCCCCCACTACCCCCCTCCCCCGCCCCCCACTTCCCCCTCCAGGCCGGCTCCTGCAGGAGCACGTCATGCGCCGCTCCCGCAGCCAGGCAGCATTCGACCACCTGCACCAGTACGCGCAGCAGCAGCAGCAGCAGCAAGGGAGGTACCAGCCGCCCGCGTCGCCGCTCAGGTCGCAGCCGCAGTCGCCCACACTGGCGCCGCTCCCGGCGGCGGCGGCGGCGGAGCCACTGAGGGGTCCCGGCGGCGGCGGCGATGACGACGTAACGCTTGCAACGCAGCCATTCGAGGCCGTATCTGACGTGGAGGGGCCGGAGGTGGCAACGGGTCATGACGGAGGCTTCGCCACCGCCGCCATTGCGACTGCGAGCGGTTTTAGGGGTGCGCCTGTTCAGGCGGCGGCAGCGCCGCCGGCGCCGCCGAATGTGTCGTCCGCGCACGAGTCGTCGATCCCAGTGGCGGCGGCCGCCGCGGTGGCTGCCCCTAGATACGACTCGGCGGCGGTTCCGGAGCCCGCTTATCGCCCATCTGGTCCCATTCGGAGCAAGAGTAGACGCTCAATGGGTAACGGTAGCGGTGGCGGCGGCGTAGTAACGGCCGCAACGGTAGCTCAACCGCCGCTACCGTCGGCGGTGCCGCCGGCGGTGCCGTCGTCGTATCGGTTGTTGGTTGTTGCCAACCGACTGCCGGTTACCTGCTCCAAGGACGAGAAGGGCAACTGGCAGTTAAAGGTGCGCGAACCGTTGCTGGGTGTCTTCAGTTGATTGCAAGAGCTTGTTAGCTTCATCCTTCTTGCCGCTCTCATCCTCCTCCTCATTACCTGGCAAGGCCTCACCACTCCTCCCCCCCTCCTCCCCGCTCCCCCCCCCAGGCTAGTGCTGGCGGGCTGGTGTCCGCGCTGCGGGGGGTGGGGCCCCGGGGCGAGGGGGGCACGCTGTGGGTCGGCTGGCCGGGTGGGTCGGGGCGCGGGGGGGGGGGGGGTTGCATGAGGGGGGATGGGTGATCAGGTAAACTGAGCCGCGGAAACACTGGGGGGTGGGGCTGCTCACACCGCTTTGCAGCACACCGCCCTTTAGCTCTGTCGCTCCCAGCCAGGCAGCTACCCCGCCGGCTGGACAGTCAGTAGTGTGTTCCCCCTCCCGTAGAGGACGACGTGTACATGCGCGCCAAACCCACAACCCCAATCCGAACCCCCCCCCCCCCGCCTCCTCCCCACCCCCCTCCCTCCCTTGTGGTCTCCTATGGTTTGGTATGGTCTTTGACCTCCCCCTCCTCCCCAGGCGTGTGGGTGCCCCCCGGCCCCGACCGCGAGCAGCTCTCCTGCCAGCTGCGGACGCAGGGCTGCTGGCCCGTGTGGCTGGACGGCGGAATGGTGGGAGCGGGGAGCGGCGGCGGGGGAGGCCGTGACCCGTGGGTCACTTTATGCCAAGTTAGAGTGTATGTGTGGCTTCCATCATGCGCCGCGCACGCTGTACGCTAATGATGTGCCGTAGCTAGCCTCCCCCATCACCCTGCATGCGAGAGCGCGTGCGTGCGAATGCCTGAAGGCACCCCCTCCTTCCCCTCCCCTCTCCCCCCTCCCCCCCAGATGGACCTGTACTACAACGGCTTCTGCAACTCCGTGTTGTGGCAGCTTTTCCACTACGTGCCGCCCGCCGCGGAGGGGTGGGAGGCGCACAGCTCGCACCACCACCACGCGGCGGGGGCCGGGCAGCAGCAGGCGGGCAGGGGGGGCGCCATGAAGCCCATGTGGCAGGCGTACCAGGTGGGGGGGATATGGGGGAACGGGGGGGGTCAGAGGTAGAAAAACCCTCATGAAACTACAAAGTCGGGGGCCAAAGACCATGCCAAACCATAGGAGGGGGGGCGGGAGGTTGGGTGAGGGGATGGGGGCTGCCGGGGGGGCCCGGGGTGGGGTCTTGTGTTGTGTGCGCCGACGTACCCAGCGGACCTGTGCCCCCCTCCCCCCCGCGCCTCTTCACCCGGGACCCCCTTCCCTCCCCTGCTACCCCAACTCCCACCTGCCGCAGGAGGCTAACCGCCTCTTCGCGGACGCCGTACTGTCGCTGTACAAGGTGGCGGGGGGCGGCGGCAGCAGCAAGGGCGGCAGCAGCAGCAGCAATGGCACCACCCCCGCCCCCGCCCCCAGCCCCAGCAGTGACGTGGTGTGGATCCAGGACTACCACCTGATGCTGCTGCCGGAGCTGCTGAGGAGGGAGGTGCCGGGGGTGAGGGGAGGGCTGGGGGGCTGAAGGGGGGGGTGAGGGGTTTGAGGGGTGAGGGGGGAGGGTTGAGGGGGGAGGGGCTGAAGGGGGTTGGGTTGAGGGGGGAGGGGCTGAAGGGGGGGCTCAAGGGGGGTGGGTGAGGGCTGGGCAAGGCGGTGGGGGGAGGAGACGGCGGAGTGTCCGCAGCACCTGGCGAGCTGTGGATACGGAGCTGTCTGTTGTCCTTGTTGTTGGCGTCGTGTAAGGTCTTGCAGCACTAGGAGAGACCCCCACCTCGCCGCCCCCCTCCCCACCCCCCACATCTGCCCCCCTCCCCCCCCAGATGAAGATCGGTTTCTTCTTGCACACGCCCTTCCCCTCCTCCGAGTTCTACCGGGCCCTACCAGTCAGGGAGCAGGTGGGGCGGGGCGGGGTGGGGAAGGAAGAAACTGAACGGCTAGTTGCCGAAGCCCCCTGTCCTTCGGCCTGCGACACCTGGGAAGCACACAGGCGCGCCTGGCAATCCTTACATCAGAAACATCCGTCATTCATAGCCATTCAGGTTAGGGAGGTGGTCTTCGGCCTGTATCAGCACCCGGACTCTGTTGATGCACTTAACTATGTTTTCCCCCTCCGCCCCTCCCCGCTCTTCCCCCCTCCCCCCCTCCAGATCCTGCGCGGGGTGCTGGCCGCCGACCTTGTGGGGTTCCACACGTACGACTACGCGCGCCACTTCATCTCCGCGTGCGCGCGACTGCTGGGGCTGGAGGGGACACCGGAGGGTGAGGGGGGGGGCGGGGGGGGGCCAGGGGGGGTGAGCCTGGGAGGAGGCGTGTGTGTGTTAAGAAAACTGGCCGCGAGTAGGAACATACTGTGATTGTCGGAAGATGAAGTCCCCAGTGTGTATGCGTGAGACCCTTGTACGAGAGCCTGCTGTACACGTTAGGCTTACCTTTCGCATGCAATGAGTCACCGCGAGCGGATAAGCGGGCATCACACGGAAGCCGGTCATAGAGGGGTACCCGTGTTTCCAAACTGCTGCCCCCGCATGTGACCCGCATGTGTGGGGCGTCCATGCTGCCAACCCCACCAGGTGTCGAGACCCATGGGTCGCTGACCCGCGTGGGCATCTTCCCCATCGGCATCGAGACCGACCGCTTCCTGCGCTCCGTCACCTCCCCGGATGTGGAGCGGCAGATGGCGGGGCTGAGGAACCGCTTCGGGGCCAGGAAGGTGGGAGGGGGGCGCTGTGCTGGCGGTTCGCTGTGTCATACACACACGTAGGCACTGTGTTGCTGCCCCGGGAGCCGCTTGTGTGCTCCACACGAGCGAGACACAGTACCCAGCTATGCTACGCTATTGCCCGCGGTGGAATGTCCGGTGGGGTTGCCGAGGAGGCGGTGCGGCTGACGGCGCTGCCGCTGTATTGACGGCGGCGGGTTGCCGAACCACTCCGCACTTACGCCCGCCCCCTGCTTCCCCCAGCCGTGAGTTTATCCCTCCTCCTTCTCCCTCTCCCTGCAGTTGCTGTTCTCATCCTCTCCTCCCCCTCCCCCTCCCCCTCCTCCCCCTCTCCTCCTCCCCCCTCCCCCCTCCCCTCCCCTCCCCCCTGTGTCAGGTTGTGTTGGGGGTGGACCGGCTGGATCCCATCAAGGGCATCCCGCACAAGCTGCTGGCCTTTGAGAAGTTCCTGGAGGAACACCCGGAGTGGAGGGACAAGGTGGGAGGGGGGAGGGGGGACGGGGGAGGGGGGAGGTGTGAAGGGCGTCAATACACACATGTGCCGTGTGCTGGGTGGGGTAACATTGCTTCCGGTGACGCATCGTGCGCCTTCCTCCCCTCCCCGGACCCTCGCATGCTCCACCTGCTTCCCCCCCCCCACCCCCCCCACCCCCACCAGGTTATGATGGTCCAGATCGCCGTACCCTCCCGTACGGATGTCCCCGAGTACCAGCACCTCAGCAGGTGGGGGGGGGGCCTGGGGGGAGGAGACAGGGGTTTGGGTGAGAGCAAGGGGACAAGGTTGCCTAGCCCAACCCAAGGTTGCCCAAGGTTGCTTAGCTGAACAACGCCGTATCTCTCTTGGGCCCCACGCATCGAGCCTCCACTCCATTCCCCTCCCCCCAACCCCGGCCTCTCCCCCACCCCAGCATGGTGCACGAGATCGTGGGTCGGCTCAACGGGCGGTACGGCAGCCTCACGCATGTGCCCGTACACCACCTGGACGCCTCGCTGTCGTACACGCAGCTGGTGGCGCTGTACGGCGCGGCTGACGTGGCGCTGGTGACGAGCCTGAGGGACGGAATGAACCTGGTGGGGAAGGGAGGGGGGGGGGGCGGGTCAATACAAGTCAATACACCGTGCCATGGTTTCAGGGATAGTGGAGCGGTCTTGATGGTTGGTTGCATGGTTGCTTATACGACACGGACCCCTCCCCTGCTGCATATCCGCATGTGTGTCAATCGTGTATACTTCCTTCCTTTCCGTGCCTGTGTGTGTTAGGAGCCACTGAGCCACTGGGTAGCCGCACTGACCGCGTGTTCCCGCGTATACCCACGTGTGCTCCCGCGCGTGTGTGTGTATGTGTGTATCCACGTGTGTACGTACGGCAGGTGAGTTACGAGTACGTGGCCTGCCAGGGTGACGGCAGCGGGCCCCGACCGCCCGGGGTGCTGGTGCTGTCGGAGTTTGCGGGGGCGGCGCAGGTAGGGGGGGTGGGTAGGGGGGTGGGGGGTGGGGGTTGACTTCAAGCCCAATGCACGGGGGGCATGGGGCTGGAGGAAAGGGAAAAAGGCTTTTAGGCTTATGAACAGGCTTCTAGCATCAGTATCCCGTCCCGTCCCGTCCTGTTCTGTCCTGCTTTGCCTCTTTTCTAAAACCCCAAACCTCCCCCCGCTCTCCCCCGCCCCCCCCCAAGTCCTTGGGTGCCGGTGCGCTGCTTGTGAACCCCTGGGACGTGGCTGACGTGGCGGGGGCGCTGCACGCCGCCCTCACCATGAGCCCCGAGGAGCGGCGGGAGCGGCATGCGACCAACTACAGCCATGTGCTGGTAGGGGGGGATGGGGGAGGCGAGGGGGGAGGCGGGGGAGGGGAGGGGAGGGGGAGAGGGGTTTGTGTGGATGGGGGGCTTGTAAGAGGAACCTGAGCAGAGAGGTGCGATGCGATGTGCCATTGATGTGGGGTAGTATCGGTGCGGTGCGGCTGGGGAGGTTGTTGGAGGAGTGGCGGTGGGCGGTCAGTTCCTGGTGCCAACTGCCTGGGGCTGCCTGGCCGCATCCGAACTTTGTACGGCACCGCCCAGACTACCCGCATGGTACCCATGTTCGCATGGCACCCATGTTCGCATGGCTGGGTTGGGTCATGCAGGCACCCCCCTAACCTCCTCCTCTCCCCCCCTCCCCCCCTCCCCTCCCCTCCCCCCCCAGACCCACACCGCCGCCCACTGGGCCGACACCTTCCTGTCGGAGCTCAACGACACACACATCGAGGCGCGGCTGAGGAGCAGCGCGGCGCCGCCGCTGGTGGGGGGTTGGGGGGCGGGAGGGGGGCAAGGGGAGGAAGCGAACCCTTGCTTGCCTGTGTGTAGGCTGAGTCTCTTCCCGCAGGGTGTGGTCACACGCTGTCATCCCCTTGCGTCCACATTGCCCTCACACCGGTGGGCACCGGTTTTACACCGGCTTGTGTCTCCCCCGCCTGCCATGTGTGCTGTGTCATGCCCCCCGCACCCCGCACCCCGCACCCCTCCCTCAGTTGGACCCGGAGGACGTTGTTCGGTGCTACGGTCGCAGCCGGGGCGGCAGGCGGCTGCTGGTGCTGGGGTACAGCGCACTGCTGACGGCGCGGGGGGGAGGAGGGGAGGAGGCGGGGGGCAGGTGGGAGGGGTGTGTGTGGAGGGGAGGAGGGGGAATGATGGGCTGTCCGTTGTGCGCCTGCTTCATGGGAGGGGTGAACAAAGAGGAGCGGGAGGGGGGAGTGGGCGGTTGTGAAGCATTGCAGGTGTAACAGCGTGCAGGCTGCACGGCGATAAGTAAGAATTTGCCACGAAGCATACTGCTTCCCTTTTTCTACCCCCCCTCTAGTTGTTTGCAATTATTATATAATCCTCCTCTCCCCCTGCATGCATGTCGCCAGCCTGCTGGGCCCCTCCCCCAGCTGGCGCCGGGGTGTGCGGGGCGGGATGGCGTGCGTTGACCCACGGGTCATGGAGACCCTAGCGGCCCTGTGCGAGGTGAGGGGTGTCAAAGACCATATCGAACCAGGGAGGGAGGGAGGGGGAGGGCAAGGAGGGTGAAGGCAGTACGGGGCTGGCCGTTGCGGCATGCGTGTGGGTTAGACGTGGCAACATCGGGGGGGGGGCATGCTCCATCCTGGCTCCATGCAAATATTATAGTACACCCCCAATGTGTCCTGCCGTACACCCCAGGACCCTGCCAACGTGGTTGTCGTACTGAGCGGCTCCGAAACCGCCAAGATGGAGGCGCTGTTCGGGCACCTGCCGGGGCTGTGGCTGCTGGCGGAGAACGGGGTGTACGGCAGGCCGCCGCTGCCCGGGAGCCAGCAGCGGGAGGGGGGGGAGGAGGAGGAGGGAGAGGAGGGGAGGGCGGGGAGGGCGGCGGCAGTGGCGGCGGGAGCGAGACGGGGCAGCAGCAGCAGCGGGGAAACGCAGGTGCGTGTGTATGTTAAAATAACTGGCCGCGAGTAGGAACATACTGGGATGTCGGAAGATGAAGTCCCCACAGAACCGCCGCAGGAGCCGAGGAATAGGGTAGCGTATGTACATATAGAAGTCCAATACGTTTAGGGGCGTTCAGCGGGGAACCAGGTGGTTGGGTTGCTGGATGGCGGGGTGGCGTGTGAATGCATGGATGGGCGGGTACGCTAAATACCGTTGCCGTCCATGCCGCCCTCCTACTTCCACGTCTGACCCTGACCCTCCACTCCCCCCCCCAGTGGCGGCCGCTCTCCGACGAGCCGATGTGTGTGCGCTGGCTGGGCGCCGTACGGCTGGTGTTCGACTACTTTTGTGAGCGCACGCCGGGCTCGGTGGTGGAGGCGCGGGAGACGAGTCTGGTGTGGAACTACAAGCACACGGGTGGGTGGGGCGAGGGGGGAAGGGGGGGAGGGGGAGACGCTAGGCACCCGCCAACATGGTAGGTAACACGGTGTTCGGCACGTATCAGCAGACGTACGGCTGCAAGACACGGCACATGACTTTTGTTTAGAGCACTGGCTTTCCGCTTTTTGGTGATGTGTCAGGGATGTGGTCGTCATCTTCCTGCCTATCACGCAACTAAGGACGCATGGACGTGACCCATGGGTCACCAAGCCAGCGCCTATCTTCCGACACGTCCCCGCCCTTCCCCCTCCCCCTCCCCCCCTCCCCGCCCCCAGACGCCGAGTTCGGTGCGCTGCAGTGTCGCGACCTGGTGCAGCACCTGCGGGCGGGGCCCATCGGACATGCGCCGGTGGAGGTCAGCCAGAGCGGCAGGAGCGTGGAGGTGGGCTGGGGGGGCCTGGGGGGGAGGCGGGGATGAGATGGGCTGTGGGGCTGGGGGGGAAAGAAGGATACCCATTGCGTTGAATGAGGATGGCAAACAAGCTCCTGGTGAATGGAATCGAAATAGCCGAGCCGAACGTGCGATGTCTGAGCCGCCAGCAAACTTTCCAAACTTGCCAAGCATGCCAAATGTATAATCTTACCATTAGTCGCCGTTACCTCGTAAAGCTACCATTAGTCGCTGCCTACCTCTAGGATGCTTAGTGCGATGGGCTGGAGTCCCACCATGCCGTCGAAGACAGACCAACGACGAGGCAAGTAGGCCGCGCAACGCGTACGACAGATACCGATACAAAACAGACGTACCTGTGTGCACCTGGGTATGCCAAGCTGGTTGGGGTGGGGGGGAGGTAAAAATAATAAAAGCTGGGTGGGGGGGGAGGTGGGGGGTGCGGCCGAGGGGGACGCTGGTGGGAGGTTTTGCGTGTGTTTGTGTGTTCGTGTCTCGCACGCCATAAACACAATAAATACAAACATGTTACCGCTACCTCGCCCACCCATTCGTTTAACGCGCTGCACACATGCCTTACTTCGGGGTTCCCAACGCCAAGCAACCATCACATCCGTTAGCAGGGTCGCACGAACTCCCGCTGCGAACATCCGCACGCTTCCGGCGCCACACCCCCTCATTCCACGTCACGCATTCGGGCACCAACGCAACAATGATGAGCTGAATCCACTGCTCAAACGCCCCCTCGCACACCACACGCGCCCAGTCGTCGGCGCTGCCGCATCCCATGGGGGCCCGGCGGGTGCTGTGGCGCAGCAGCCGGAGGCTGTCGAAGCGGCGGATGACGCCAGCCGCCCCACCAGGTTCCCCACACACGCGCCCGTCCTTGACTGCATACTCGTACCCAGTCATGAGCGCCGGGCTTGTTGCTTGGTGGGTAGCCGCGAACATCGATGCACAGTAGCATTGCTTCGCACCTTCACAGTACCGGTAAGGTCTTCTCAAACCCCACCTCTCAAACAAGTCAACAACAGCCCAGTAAGCAGCGCAACTCGGGCACCAACTCCTCCATTATCCCCCACTAATATCCACACTAAATCACCCAACCGGGAGCCCTGACAGCACCTCCTTGCACTGCCGCCTCCTTACACATTAGTGATTGAAGCACAGGGCGGGGGCCTAGTGACAGTAGCAAAGCCCCAACCAACCTGGCAGAGCAACCATGATGCCTTTTCCGCTACCCTAGCTGTCCTGTTGACCAGCCCCACACCCCCGTGCTGGCCGCCACCATTGCTGCACCCCGCCCATGTTCCTACCTGTTGTTGTTGCTGCTGCGGCTGCTGCTGCAGGTCCGGCCGGTGGGGGTGACGAAGGGCCGGTGCATGCACCAGTGGCTAAACATCATCGGAGCCGCCGGCAGGGAGGCTGCTGCCGCCGCTGCTGCCGTTGCTGCCGTTGCTGCTGCCGATGATGGCCTTGTAAATGACCTTGCGGTGGGTACTGGCAGCGGCAGCGGCAGCAGCAGCAGCAGCGGCGGCCTCACAGCAGGCAGCAGTGGCACCGCTGCTGCGGCTGCTGCGGCTGCTGCTACTGCCTTTGGATTCGACTTCGTGCTGTGTGTGTGCGGCCACGTGTCCAACCGCGATGAGGACTTGTACGACCTCTTTAACAACTGCAGCAGCAGCAGCAATGGAACCAGCAGTGGCAGCAGCAGCAACACTGGTAACCATGGGGGCAACAGCAACAGCAACGACAGCGGCAATGCTGGTAGCAGCAGGGGAGTGCGGCACTGCCACAACACTGCTGCTGCTGCTCAGCCACCCAACCACCCCGGACCGCAGGGGGTCCCGCAGCCCCCCCCTGCGCACCTGCAGCCCCTCCACCACCACACACCTGCCAGGCAGCCGCCGTTCGTCTTCACCGCGACGGTGTGTCCCATGGCGGCTGGGTGCGGCGGCGGTGGCGGCAGCGGGGCCGTTGTGGGGGGCGAGATGGAGGGCGGGTATAGCGGCGGGCGGCGCGGTTTCGGTCGCGGTGGCGGCGGCGGTGGCGGCGGCGGCGTCACTCGCGCTCGCTTCCGAGTGGGCGGCGGCAGCGGGGAGTTGCTGAGGCTGCTGGAGCGGCTGGCTGGGGGGGAGGGCGGGGAGGGGGCGGGCGGGGGAGCGGAGGGGGGCAGCAGCGGAAGCCAGGTGAGGGGTGATGGGGAGGGAGGGAACCCAGGGGAAGGGAGGGACCATCGCTGCAATGGCGCCTGCAGGACTCGCATGGGGTCGTGTGTCCCTGCTGTTGCCTGGTTAGTCGCAAGCCACCAGTCCACCCTGAACCCTGGTTTGCCTAGCCGTCACACCGGTAGTTGGTTTTCTCCCTTTATCCTCAACCCCTCCCCCTCCCCCCCTCCACCGCAGACATCGTCCCTGTCCGGAGCTGCGCATGAGCAGTTCCCCCGGGGTGCCTCCGCCTCCGCCTCCACCAGCCCCCTCCGCCGCAGCCGGGGCGGCGGAGCGCTGCAAGTAGAGCCCGACAACGTCAACGGCGGCGGCTACGGTGCCCGCTACGCTGGCGCCGACGGCAGCAGCGCCGACACCCTTGCCGACGGCGTCGGCGCACTGGGGCTCGCTTCTGGCAGCCGCGGCGGCGGCGGCGGCGTGCATGCCGTGTCCCCCCTGGAGCTGGTACCCCTGGATCCGGTGTACTCCTCCGACCCGCTGTCCCTGGACATGCTCATGACGCCGGAGGAGGCGGCGGCGCCGCTGGCGGCGGCGGCGGCGGTTGTAGCATCTGTAGCGGACTTCAGGATCAACAACGGGGGCGCCGCCGCTAGCGGGAGTGTGTTCGTGGGCGGCGCTGCTGCCGCCCCTGCCGGTGTCAGTGTGACGCAGCGGGGACGGCTGCTGACAACACCGGCGGTGTTCCCGGCAGCAGCGGCGGCGGCGCCCCAGGCCAAGCCCCCGCCGGCCGAGGCGCCGGCTCTGCCACCGCAACGGCCGCAGATGCGGGTTCGTACGGCAATCGTAAACCCTGGCCTTCCACTGACGGCCGCCGCCGTAGCGCCTGCAGCTGTGGCTCCCGGATTGGCCGCTGCTGGCCCTGCTGCCGCTGCCGGGGTGGATGTGGGCGCTGACGGGGGCGAGGAGGGCGCCGTTATGGTCACGCACCCGCCCTCGCCGCCGCCAACGCCGGCAGTGCGGAAATCCCGCGCTGCCGCTGATGGAGGGACTGCCTCGGAAGCCGGTGTTGGTGTGTCGGCGTTTGCGGGCGGGTCTGAGGAAGCAGCGGTGGCGGCGGCAGCGGCGGCGGGGTCGGGTGTGTGGCAGATGCAGTAGTGTCAATTGCGGGGAGCGTTGCGGTGTCATCACCGTGAGAACGGTAACAGAGGAGGACTGGGTTTCACGTGCCGCTGTTGGCTGTGGTAGTTACAGCTGTTGTTGTATAGCATCCAGGCCTGGGTGGTTGTTACTGGTTCTGCCTCACTCGCCCTCATTCTGTAGACGTTGGGTTTGGGTGAGATGGTGGGAGGTTAGGGGTCTATTGGGGGAGGAGGGTCGCTTGGTGGGAGAGGCTGAACCGAGACGAGCATGCAGGCGCCCAACGAGGATTCGATAACGAGCAACCTCGTTCTCTAGTTAGTTGCAGTTCAGAGTCTTCGTGTTTGATAAGCTAGGTAGGCTAGATCGAGGGACTGTTATGACTGTCGTGCTTGCAAGGAGCCACACAAGGAGGGGTGTGATACGGGTTTGTCGTGCCGTATTCGCTGCCTCCCGCTTGCCGTACCGGTATGTGCCACAGCACATGGACGACAGCTCTGATAAGAGGTGAGGATGAGGAGGAGGGCGGCGGAAGCGTGCAAGATCGGTGAGAGGGGGTATACTTTGATGCGTGCAGGCGTGTGTTAAGGAAACACACGGAGTGTAAATGTGCGTACGAATGTTGATGGTGGGTACATGATGGTGGGTACTCCTACGCCGACAAGATATCTAGGTCCAGGTTTGCCTGTGCCATTCGTTTGGCGTTGTCGCTCTCTTTCAAGCTGTGCTTTCCCAATAAGGATTCCAATAAGGTTTCCGATGCGGAGCACCTGTGGGGGATGTGGTGGGGTAGTTGTTACAGGGTTTCTGGCGTCTTGGCGGAACACACCCCTTGGATAGATCCCAGCATGTCCGCCCCACTTCTTGGTATTGGCATGTCTAGATACTGCGAGTGCGCGCCGGCTGCAGACTCGGCTGTAGGGCGTTTGCTGGGCTTTAAGCTACAACTTTGGAGCCCAAGAAGAGTGTATATAAGAATTGTCGTACTTCTCCCAATGTTGCTTCGGCAGTGTCCTTCCTTCGCTCCAAACGCGCAAGGTCGACCATGCCCTCCCTCTTGTCGGGTTGCTACCGGTATGTGATGTGTATGCGTTAATGAAATACCGGTAGGTGTGATGGGTGGTTGTGGCAAGACGCAATAAGGCACCGGTACACCTGCTCGTACCAGTCGTGAGCTGCAAGGTGGTCCCAGCGCACGTAGCGCTACACGTCCTGCTGCGCACCCTGTAATAACTGCCCTATGTATGTAGGACATCAAGGAAGGCTTGCTGGGAGGTTGTGGGTGCAGAAGCAGTCCGTGTCCCATGGGTCTCTTATCTGCATTAGAGTGCAAAGGATACCATGGGTGCGCGCTTGATGCCGCACTCCTCTCCATGGACGACGGGAACCCAAATCATGCTTCTACTTCGCACTTCAGTCTGCATGTTTGCCGATGCACTGCTGCCATATTGCTAGCTTGCCGTGTTGCAAAGCGGGATACTGCCGACCCAGCAGTTAGGAAGGCTAAGTGCTGGAGTTGCACGGGTGCAGAAGCGCGAGGCATGTACATCGCATGCACACGCACATCAGCGTGATCAGGACCTAGTAGAGTATCAGTGATCAAGACCCGATCAACCGATGCTTCAGTTAGTCGTTGGGAGGCAACTGGGTCTCAGCTGGTGCATCGTCCAAGAAGTTCGTGCATCGTCCAACCGCCGCGGCCATAGTAGCCTTGGCGCCCCTCCGTCGTACGGTTGGAGGATGTTGCCCAAGCCCAAGCCTGTGTGAACGAATGCAGATAAGCGAGAAGTGACTCGCCTGACACTTGTACATAAGGACATACTGCACCGCAGCAATTAACCCGGCGAAGAAGCATCCGGTCGGGTTGCCTCACCTAGCAGCTTCATACGATGCAAGTCGCGTCGCGCACGCATTTGGGTCTCCCAAACCTCCTCATCACACGATGCCATAAGAGACATACGCTAGGAAGGATAGTTCGGATTGCTTTGAGAGCAAGCAAGGACCCCAATGCGCCAATCCAGGTAGGCGGTTGGCGAGGGATGACCAGCCTCGCCATGGCCAATATCCTATTTTACTATATAGGAAATTAATAATTGGACTTAGCTGCTGTCATTGTCGCGCTTGCGACGCGTGTGAGTAAGCAAGCAACCGCTTGTTGACTATCAACCGCAGTCGAACCCGCTGGGGACGCTCTCATCACAATCGGACACCATCAGCGCCGCACCACGAAGTGAGATAGCACGACGGTACTGGCGTACGGTAAGCTTGGTTTGTGTGGCCGCTTGCTTAGTTCGATGGCATGGCAAACACCGCAAATTCATCACTTCGCTTATATTTTCCTCGCAGGTTTACGACTTTCCACAATGGCAAAAGCATCGTAGCCAGTATCGCTTTATGGATCGGCTGTTCTCTATCCCACAGTGAGTGCCATTCGCACATCGTGGATGGGATATCATGTGAGCTGTCAGCAACAAAACAAACGGAGAACGCCTTCAAACTCCTTTAAGGCATTATTTGCGAAACATATTCCCTCATCCTCCGTCATCCCAGGTCTCACATCCTGCAAAACGCGCTTCCCGCCATCTCCTGGGTGACCCTGGTTGCCACCCTGGTTGCCTCGTACGGCACCGCCTCCGAGGCGCACCTGCTGCCCGAGGGCCTGCCGCCGCTCAGCCCGCACGCCGCCGCCGCCTCCTTCGTGTCCAACACCTCCGTCGCGCTGTCGCTGCTGCTGGTCTTCAGAACCAACTCCAGCTACGGCCGCTGGGACGAGGCGCGCAAGATGTGGGGTGGGCTGCTCAACCGCAGTCGAGACATCATGCGCCAGGGCGCCACCTGCTTCCCGCCCGAGCAGCTGGAGGCGCGCAAGGCGCTGGCGCGCTGGGTGGTTGCGTTCGCCCGCTGCCTGCGCCTGCACTTCCAGCCCGAGGCGAGCCTTGAGGAGCAGCTGCGCGGCGTGCTGACACCCGCGGAGCTGGACATGCTGGCACGCAGCCAGCACCGACCCGTGAGGGCCATACACGCGATCAGCCAGGTGGGGGGGCGGTGGGGGTGGGGGCACGGGTGGCAGCGCGGGTCAGCGTGCTGGACAACACCCTCCTCCTCTGAGCCCTCTGCATCCTCTTTGTCCTGCGCCCCACCTTTCTTCTGTCCTCCCCCTCCCTCCTCCCTCCCTCCCCCCCCAGATCATCCAGTCCGTGCCGCTCCACCCCATCCACCAGCAGCAAATGAGCGCCAACCTCACCTTCTTCCACGACGTGCTGGGCGGCTGCGAGCGGCTGCTGCGCGCGCCCATCCCCGTGTCGTACACGCGACACACCGCGCGCTTCCTGTTCGCGTGGCTGACGCTGCTGCCGCTGGCGCTGTACCCGACCCTGGGCTGGGGCGTGGTGCCGGTGTGCAGCGGCATCGCGGCGGTGCTGTGCGGCATTGAGGAGATCGGGGTGCAGTGCGAGGAGCCGTTCGGGTGAGAGGGCGGGGCGCGGGTGGTGGGGCACCCGGGGAGGTACCAGCAGGGAAGGGACGAGGCCGCCTTCCCGGCTGCTTGCTAACTGCCTTCATGGCCCCCGCCCACCCTGGCATGCTCCTCTCTTCACCCTACCCCCTCTTCCCCTGTCCCCTCCAGCATCCTTCCGCTGGACGTCATCTGCAACCGCATCCAGGCCGATGTGATGGCCACACTGCGCGACCACCAGGACACGGCGGACGTGCTGGCGGAGGCGGGGCTGCTGGGGGGGATGGGGGCAGCGGCGGGGGAGGGGGGGCAGGGGGGCAGCAACGGCAACGGTGGTGGTAACGGTGGTGGTAGCGGCGCACCAGCACATGCGGTAACCGCGGCGCAGGTACCGGCGTGTGCGGGTATGACTGTGCAGATCACCCCGCGGTAGGGATGATGAGAAGCGGGGAGGCCTATGTTGGAATAACCGCGTGTGACTGGGCAAGTCTCCGGAGCATCTGCGCTTTACTCCTCCCCTCCACTGAGTCCACGACAGTTCGTCGTGCTTCACTAGATGTACGCGTCCCCGCGCTTTCATGCTGCTCGGATCGGTTCCTCGGATACAGTCAAGGCGGTCTTTTAAGGGTTTTGGAAAGGGTGGTTGGTGTGACATGGTGAGACATGGCATCATGTTTTGCGGATTTGACTTGCCGCTTGACCTCGTCACGTGTCCCCGCACTTGTAACGCATGCGTGCAGCGTTAAGACAAGCTGGCAAGGCTAAACCCAAAAGCCTGGCGCTTCTGTTACGGGCCTTGCTGCTGACCTGCTTCCTTAACCACCGATATATGTTAGTAGCTAATGAAGAAGAAACTTGAACTCGGTAAGGCAAGTCCCCAGTTGACTAGCGTTGACTACTAAAGGCGGGCAGCAACTGGACAAAATAACAAATTAAGTTCCCAGGGAGAAAGCAACGTAACCAAAAACAACAAGGGAGTCAACACTCTGAGCGCCACAGCTGCCCACCAAAGCTGAGCGCCACAGCTGCCCACCAAAGCTCAACTGTACGACAACTAATGCACTCACCCCTACGGGTCCTCGCACTGGATTTTAGCTCCGCCAAAAATATCCGGTTTAATTGCGGTTGGATTATGTAGTGGGTCTAAATGAGTCAACTGTTGACCGTTCCAGTTGATTTGATGGTCCCCATGCGAACATACATGCAACACTTTGCACACTCTGGGGTTCTCCCAAACACGCATCCCGTGACAGGGTGCGTCGGTTGCGGCCCAAAGTCTACAAGTGAGAACCCACATACTCGTGCTACAGCCTACACGCCTCAACCATGCATGCATACCACAGGACGGCAAACCCTCCAAATTGCCAGGTGACAAAGCAAGCAAGCAACCCCCACAGGCTATTTGCATACAGCAACAACGGTGGCATAGAGCAGGCACGAATTTCCGTATTGCTTGTGGACGCCTATCCATGAGGCCATGACCCTCGCAAATAGGCACATACCCGTCGTCAACTTGCCGCGCCTGCAAATGATGATAAAGACCATGTTGCTTAACTCCTCAAATGCGTATCGTACATGTTGCTACGCAAACGCACAAACAGAGCGGATAACCAGCCGGTAGGTCTGCCAGATACGGTATGCCAAATCCACGGTTGCATTCGGGACATGTTTGGCTAAATCAACAGAACAGGTACGGACACGTCTCTGAAACCGTACATGATAGCCGTACTGGGAAACCGTTAGCACGCGTTCATACTCTGCATCAGCAACATGGGGGACAAAGAAACATGAAACATGAACCCTTTGCACTCCCCATTATCAAGCCTACGCCACAGCTTAAGCGCGCTCGCAACGTCGCCGCGTCCTCTTCTTTTGTAATCATGTGTGGGCTGACGGACGGCGGTCGCAGCAGCCATTCCTTTGTACATGTGAGCGCTCCACCTAAACCAAACAAACCACACTATCGCTCCACTCCCGCAATGGACTCCATAACTCCTCTCCACACGCGCACGAAGCACACCGAGCACACGAACCAACCAACCAAACAAACAAAACAAGCCCAGCGCCCAACCCCAGCATCAGTAGCAGCACGTCCTAATTCGCGCGCGCTCGCACGTCACAGCACGTACGTATGAAGGGGGTGCACGGAAGAGGCATGCAGAGAGGGGACGCGACGACGCCTCTATTCCGCGAACTGTGAACCAGCAAACAAGAACAGCAAACATCAACTACTGACTACGATTAGGACACTTTAGGTTGCTATTGGGTGCCGAGGTCGCGCAGTGCGCAGATCCTCAGCCTTGCAAAAATTAAGCCCTGCCGGGCACCCGAAGGGCCGACCACGGAAGGCCCTCGCGGAGTGCAAGGCGAAGTCCAACCGTGTAACCGAGGCCAACTGGACCACCTCGAGAAACGGGCCAGGTAAGTATGCTCAATAGTGAAAGCGTCAAGGGCTACCCCTGGGATCGGTAACATGGCTACATTCACGGACCCGATGGTGGGTGGCTTGCAACCAGCAGGGACAGCAGCACATTCCCTCCCGGACCTCGCTTTTAGGGTGCTTCCAGAGCCTAAGTCCCAAGGCTTTCAGATACCAACCCAAGTATCCAGCATCTATAGACCAACCAACCAACCAGTCGCTCTCTCCTATCAACCCTACCGCCATGCTTCCTTCCCCACCCCCCTTCACCACCGCACAGCCCAGACGCCACCACCGACCATCACCTACCACCATTAACCACCGACAACAGCAACAACAACAGCTCCTCTGCCCCCACGTGTGCCCCCACGTGTGCCCTCACCGCACCTCCGCCGCCACCTGCTGCTGCTGCCCCCGCTCCCCACCTCCCCGGCTGCCCTCCGCATCCTCCACGCCCCCATCGTCCGCCTGCACCGCCTCCGCCGCCTCCTCGCCACTCACGATGCGCGCCCCGCCACCGCTCACCACCCCCGCCGCGTCCAGCAACACCACCGGGTGCTGGGTGGGGGGTGGGGGTGTGTGTAGTTGGGGGTAAGGGGGGTGGAGGGGGGTGGAAGGAAGATGAGGAAGGGGCGGAAAAGGAGAGTTCTGATTATAGAAAGGGCAATATCAACACAGCGCCTGGCGAGCTGCAGCAGCAGCAGCTGGGCACATGCAGCAAGCGCCGACCAACATGCGCCCACGTGCCTCCTGCCACCTTCCCAGGAGCCCCCAACCGCCTGTTTCGAACACCCGTTGCCCTCCAGCCCCCCCCGTCCCCCTACCTGCACTGTGGTGTCGGGTAGTTCGTACATGCAGTGCAGCAGCAGCCCCTCCATGATGCTGCGCAGACCTCGGGTGCCCGTGCCCTTGGACCGAGCGGCGGCCGCAACCGCACGCAGGGCGGCACGACTGTACCTGTTTGGGGGTTGAGGAGGGTGGGGGTGGGGCGGGTGGGGAAAAAATAAAATAAGTGAAACAACAAGTCCCAATCCCATATATATCGGGTGGGGAGTGGGGTGGGGGATTGTGAGGCAGCAGCCGTCAACGCCTGCAGTCGCAGCTTCCCGGCCCGCTCCCCTTCCTTGCGCCCGTCTCGTGTAGCCAGTGCGGGTTACCCAACTGCATTCCATCTCCCTTCTTCCCCCCGTCCCCGTCCCCGTCCCCTGCAACCCATGGTGCAGCCTCGTCATTTCCTCGTTTTGCCCTCCTCTCCCCACAGTTCCGCGGTTCGGTTATTAACCTAAACCCCACCCCACCCCACCTGAACCTGGCTCCGTTCATTGCCAGCAGCTGCGCGTACTGCCGACACAGCGCGTGACGCGGCTGCGTGAGCACCTCGGTCAGCTGCGACTCGGACAGCTCCTGGGGGGGTTTGGGGGGGTTTGGAGGGGGGAAAGGGGGATGAGACCAGGTTGTAGAGTAGGGGGTGTGAGGGGATAGCACGGTAACAGTACCAGGCCTCCAACGTACCTCTCCTCCGTCGTTCGCCCTCACCACCCTAATCACCGCAGGGTTTAGCCCTGATCCCAGGTCTTGATCCGACAGGTCAGCGTTGCGGGCGGCCAGCACCCCGGCTTCCAGCACGCCCCCCACTATTTATAATTCGCCCCCCCCCATCCGCACCATGCAAGCCCCCCCCCCGCACCTTCTCCCCCCCCCCCGCACCTGCAGCGCCACCAGCACCGGCAGTCGGCCCACGAACTCGGGTATGAGGCCGTACTGCACCAGGTCGCTGTGTTGCACGTCGGACAGGATGTCGGAGCTGAGGCGGGGACCGCCGGGGCGACCCAGACCCGCGGGGCGGACCTGGGGGGGGCATGCGGGGTGGGGTGGGGGGCAGGGGGGGCGGAGTGGGGGAGGACGGGGAGGCGCGGAGGTGTTTTATGGCATCCCGCCGCCTTCTTTCCCATATTTGCCTTGCCCTCACTTGTTGTGGTTAGCCTGAGAACCCCCCCCCCCCGTCAGTTTCCCCATGCCCCGCCCCTCCCCCCCACCTTGTTCCCGAATCCCATGCTGCCCTGCACGCGGGTGTCCAGCATCTGCCGGTCCAGGTCCACGAAGGCGCCGCCCACGATGAACAGGATGTCGCGGGTGTCCACCTGGATGAAGTCGCCCCGGGGGTTCTTGCGGCCGCCCTTCTCGGGAACATTCACCACCGTGCCCTGCAGCAGCAGGTGGCGGAGGAGGTGGAGGAGGTGGTGGAAAGCAGCAGCAGGAGGAGGAGGGAAGGGGGGCAAGGAGGGGGCCAGGAGGGGGCCGGGAGCTTACCTCAACAGGAATGCAACAGAGCTTCAAGAGAGCCACACACACACTTCTTCTCTGTGTCAACCCCTCCCCCACCTTTCCCTCTTCCCCCCCGGTTCTTCCCCCCCCCCCGCCCCCCACCTCCAGCATCTTGAGCAGCGCCTGCTGCACGCCCTCCCCGCTCACATCCCGCGTGACCGACACTCCCTCGCTGGAGGCCTTGGCGATCTTGTCGATCTCATCGATGTACACGATACCCTGCTGCGCCGCCTCAACGTTGAAGTTGCAGGCCTTTGGGGGGGGGAGACGGGGTGGGGAGGTGAGGTGTGAGGGGTGGGGGGTGTGGGGGGTGAGGAAGGTGGTTTCATTAGGAGTATGAACATCGCGGGGCGCCCCCTCCCCCTCCCAAAGCAACCGCCCTCCACCCCCACCACCTCTTCCATCCCCCCCCTTCACACCTGCAGCAGCTTGAATACAATGGACTCCACATCATCCCCCACATAGCCGGCCTGGAGGGGTGGGGCAAGGAGCAGGAGCAGGAGCAGGAGTGAAGAGGAAAGGGAGGGGAAGGGAAGGAGAGGGGGGGAAGGGAAGGAGGGAAAATTATATAAGAAATGCAAACAACTAAGTCCCAATCCCATATCCCGAAAGGAGAGGAGAGGGGGGGGAAGGAGAGGGGGGGAAGGGAAGGAGAGGGGAGGTGCGGGACATGTCGTGTGCCAGCAAGCAGACCTTGTGGGCACCTCTGTGTTGCGTCACGGTGGGCTGATGCCACGTTGCGCCCCCCAGCCCTCCACCCCTCCAGTTCCCCCCCCAGTCCCCCTCCCCCCCCACCTGCGTGAGTGTGGTTGCATCCGCCAGCGCGAAGGGCACGTTGACCAGCCGCGCCAGGCTGCGCGCCAGCAGCGTCTTGCCGCAGCCGGTGGGCCCCAGCAGCAGCATGTTGGACTTGTCCAGCTCCACGGGGGCGGTCAGGGCGGCGGACAGCTCGGAGGAGATGGGGTCGGAGGAGGGGGAGGAGGAGGGGGAGGAGGAGGAGGGGAAGGAGGTGTTGGCTCGAGCTAGGTCTGTGGGGTGGGGGTGGGGAGGCAAACGGGTTGGAGTGCGGCTGAGGAGCAGGAGGATTGGCATGGCCGCATGGCCGCACGGGCAGCAGCCCTTGAACTGTGCTGTGCGCTGAATTCCCTTGGGCCCCGCTTCTCACCCCCTACCCCCCTGCTGCCCCGCCCCGCCCCGCCCCCCACCCGACCTGCTAGCCGCTGCGCCTCCAGAGCTGCCTTGGCGGCGGGGGGAGCGAAGCGGCTGTACATGCCGCTGTCACCGGGTCTGCTGCTGCTGCTGCCGTTGTAGTGGTGGTGGTGGGGAGGGGGGTGCATGGAGCGCTGAGGACGGGGGGGGAGGGGAGGGGAGGAGGGGTATAGCTGCAGGTAAGGTGGGGGCCGGGTGGCTTGGAGGAGCCAGTAAACCCTATGGAACCGGTGAAGCAACCCATCATTATCACACGCACACACAACGCCTCTACCCCGCAACCAGCCTACACCAACTCCCCTTCGCCAGCTTACCTCCGACATCCCGGTGACCCGTGGGTCGGCTGTGTCCATGAGGGGGGTGCCGTACGTGAGGTGCTCCTGCATGCCGCTGGGGCCGCTGCTGCTGCTGCTGCTGCCGGTGGAGGTGGTGGCATGCAGCTGGGTGGAAGACGGAGGGAAAGAGCCGGAGGAGGACAGGAAAGAGGGTTGAGAACGAGGGGCAAGATATAAGAGATACGTGCATCAACGGAGTCCCAATCTCAACTCCCGACTCATGCAGTGAGCGCATTCGTAGGGGCATGCATGGTGAGTGAGGTGCTCCCACCACCCTACCGACATCACCCTCTTTCCCCCACCTGCTGCTCCTCCCGCCTGCCGCCGGCGCTGTTGCGTCGCGCACACAGGATGCGCTTGTAGTGGTTGTGAGTGGCCACCGCTAGCACCTTGGGGGTCAAAGACCATACCAAACCATAGGAGGCCACAAGTTAGGGGGGGGGCAGCGGGGAGGGGGAGGGCACGATAGGACGGCATCTCACTCCAGCCACAATCAGTATACAGTCAGTATGCAGTCAGTACACGGTACTCCTCGCGGCTCGGCCTGGTAAGGTCCGTAAGGTCCCCCCAATCTCTCCTTCACCCACACAAGCTTCAGTTGCACCTCCTCCTCCTCCTCCTCCTCCTTCCAAACCTCCCAACCCCCACCCCCACCTTCTTGGCATGCTGCTGCCCGATGACGTGCGCATCCAGTGCCGCCACCAGCTCCCGCGGGGAGGGCAGCCGGGCCACCCCCCACACCTGGCCGGGGCTGCTGCTGGAGCCGGGGCCGCCGAACTGGGGGCGGGGGCGCGGGGGGGGGGGAGAGACGGAAGGAAGGGAGGAAGGGAGGGAGAGGATGAGGTGAGCATTGCGCGCGGAGGGACGGGAGGGGGACCAGGGCAGCGGGCAGGAGGTTGTTGCAAGGGGGCAAGGGACTGGCAGGCAGGGGGCAAGGGACAAGCGGAGGAAGGGGGTCGTGGGGAACTGCCGTTGCGGGGAGTGCTTTGCATGAAGGAGAGTAAAAGATGTCTCAACCCTTCGTCGCTAAACGCTCATAAGTCGGATACCTGGGGTATACCCGCGGGTGCAGCGGGTGCGGCTTCCATGGATGTGGACTGGTAGCTGTAGCCATGGCGAAAGTCCTGAGCGGGCGCTATGGAGGCGCTCTCGCTGGGGCAGGCCACAGCCGCAAAGGGACGTCCGGAAGCCTCCGCTGGAACGGCAAGCAGACGCTGTGCACGCAAGGAGGCATGGATAGATACGGGTACGGATTGACGGTTGGTCAGCTGAGAGCAATTCGTGCGATTCTGGGAGGGACAACTTAGGGCTGCAGGTCGATGCGCAATTGGGTGACTTAGGGGTGATCCAGAAGATAAACAGCGGGTTGAAGGCGAAATTGCAGGAATGCCTTCGGCATGTCCCCGGGCGAAAGATAAGAGGTTATCCTCATTCGAACAAATAGCTAAGTAGCTAGTACACAGTGTTTGCAGTTAACTCTGAAGCCCGGTCTGTGTAGACAATGGTCCTAGTTCAGTTGGGAGCCAGAATTTACGTGCTATGCATCAGCCTCAACAATAGCGCAGTGATACCTGTGCTTGACATCTTGTCCTAGTGGCAAACAATGCCCTAAGCGCAGCTTTCCCTGCCTGCTGCGCCATAGCTAAACAAGGGCTTTCGTAACTTGTGCCTATGCACGGGATACAGAAGTAGCAATGTAAATATACTCTCCTTCGCAGTTCTAAGGGATCGACAAATGCAGCTGTGACGCACGTAACGCGTTGCCGAAGATGGTCTACGTAGCTACTGAACCTATGGAAGTTGCCAGCCGGCAAAGTAACCAGCTATCAGTGCCAGACGACACAAAGCTGAAACAGTACAGCCTGTCGCCTCTGCAAAGCGCATCAACTAAAGGACTACATTGTGGTCACCCCGCCTGCACTGTACGACGCTCCCACTTGCGTGAGTCATGGTAATAGTCACATAATCAGTCCGGACGCGGGACCCCTCGTGCATCTCTATCTCCCTGGACGAAATTTATTAGTATAGGATAAAAGAATACCGAGCACGGAATCGCATCCCCGTTTAAGAAAGATCAGGAAGTGTCGAGCAATTGCCTGGGCCCGGCAATTCCGAAGGATGCGTAAGGCGGGGATGCTGGTACCCGGATGCTGGTACCTCCGCACACTTTCCCCCATAGATTAGGTAAGCAGTCACCCTGAACAGGACAGTGCGGCATTCAACGAACCCAGCTGCAGTTGGATAGCCCAGCCCGTACTGCCCTATCGTATACTGACCTACCGTAGGATACATTGGATACCCTCGCCCCCTATCCCCCTCACCTCGTTCCCCCCCGCCACCTACCTATCCCTCTCTCCCGCACCCGCCCACCTACCCCGCACCCGTTCCCACTCTCCTGCACCCGCCCCTCCTTCCCGCCCCCTGTGGGCTGTTCCACCTACGCCCTCTCTCCCACACCCGCCTCCACCCTCCTGCACCCGCCCCCTACCTACCCCTCCTTCCTACACCCAACCAACCTACCCCGCACCCGCTCCCCACCTACCCGTCCTTCCCACCCCCACCCCTCCTTCCTGCACACGCCCCCACCTCTCCCTCCCACACCCGCCCCCTACCTCCTCTTCCCGTCCTTTGTATCCCCTTCGCATCTCTACCTATGGCTTTCCAATACCTTCTTCCTTTCCTTGCTATAGTAGTGACCCCCTTCTGTACGGCATAGGCTGCATCGAAATGGCTTTATAGCTGCTGGCATAACTGCTACGGGGCTTCATTGTCACTAAAGGCTGCTGGTAAGACTGTCACCGTACAAGCTGGCTGCCGCGAACAACATCTACGTACTAGCTGGCTGCTGGTGAGGGGCTTCTTGCGTTCTGTAGCTGTAGCTGTGTGTGCTGTGCTGTGTACGCTCTAGGAGGACGAGAGAGACATCTGGCCTGACTGGGGTGGGTCGCTGAGGCGCATGTGGCCGACCCACCCCGTCCGCCCCCAAGCCGTTTTGTACATCAGGTGCTGGGCTGCGAGCGAGCGAGCTGCGAGCTGCTGGGCGCTGAGAGGGCACGAGGCGCAAAACAGCAGGACGTCAACCAACACAACTCGCCGCCTGTCATGCTCACAACACATCAAGCCGATAGCATATCCATGAAACCCCATGAGCTGTGCTACCGCCAAAAGACCATCCCCTGCGCGGCATGACAAGCGGTAGCACACCAGCATGCAAGTCTGAAACGCCTGCATTCCCCCACCGTATGCCTTGCTAACTACCGCATGCTTCTGACACAAACCCCCCAACAGCCTAATGTCCTCTAAACTCAGGTCGTTGCTGCTGCGACTAGAAACACAACAGTCAAATCCACGCAACCGTCTACCTATTGTCCCAGCGTCTGTCAGTGTCATCAGATCGCCGCAAATCCGCCGCAAAACCCGCCGCAATGAACAGCTAATCTCGCCGCAAATCCGTCGCAAAACCCGGTAACAATGTCCGCACCAGAGACACCACCAGCCAAACGGAAACGCCTTCAACCCAACAACAACCCAGCAGCATGCAGCAAGACACACACAGCAGCGACGCTAGTAACCGCTGCGCCACCTACCCTAATACCATCGCCAACCAGACAGCACAGCTAGGCACAACACTGGCGCGCCCACTACCCAACGGCCGCAAACCGCAAGAAAGGCTTCACAGCAGGTCCCGAGCTGGCCCACGTCAGCAGCGTGACAACTGCACCACCAACTGCCAACTTACTTGTGACCCGTGAAAGATAACCGTTGTGGCGGTTAGGCGGCGGAGGCGGGCTGGTGACGTAGGCGACGTCGGTCCTGTGGGCCCGGCGGCAACGTGATGAAGGGTGGAGGTACCGGTAGCGGGGGCGGGCTGGGCGTGGCTTGGCGGCAATACCGAAGGTGGGGTCGCCGTCCTGTCATCCGTCCCCAAGTTCGCCAGGTCCACGGAAGCTGTGGTGGCGGCGGAGGGGTCTTGACCCATGGCATGCGAAGGGGGAGGGAGAACGGGGGAGGGGTGATGGTGAGAAGGAGGGGTAGAATGCGGTGGACATCAACACAACATGAACGGCTGCAGGCGGTACGAGGCGCCAAACACAATGGATGCCAGAGCAACACAGGGTAACCCAACCGCAGCCGCCCTCAAAGCCCTAAAGTACGACACGTACACCCACGACAGCACACACCGCGTGAGGCAAGCCCCCAACTTACGTGGAACAGCAATGAACCGAGACGGAGGTGGCGCAAGGCGAGGTCGGCGAGCCAGTGTCAAAAGGGGCGGTGAGGCTTGTTGGCTGGAGGATAAGTCGTCGATCCAACTTGTTCGGGCGCCCGCCTTGCTGGCCATGCATCTGCAGGGGGCAGGATAAGGTCGTATGTCAGTCACAAAGCAGCGGTATCACACCCACATCATATACTTGAAGACCCATGACTCCGGTCCTAGCTATGCAGCGCATGCTCGGGCTCCCACTAGTATGCTCCAATCCAACCCCGAACCCTAGGTACCGCAAATCCGCAATACGTCGGGCTTTGCCGGGTCCCGACCATCCTAGTAGCTCAAAAGCCTCGAACAACCCACATGTGGATACAAGAGCAGCGCCCAATGCGACTTACCTCTACACGGGCCTTGTAACGCGACAAGCTCTATCGTGCATGTGGGTTGGGATCCATTTCCAGGTGTTGACTCACCCGCACACTTTGGTCTCCTTGGTTGGATCCTGAAGCCGCGGTCTGAAGCGATGTCGCTGTGGAGAATGGGCCAAGGGAAAGCTGCGCAGCTCATTCGGGGACAACGGACCAGCCATGAGCATGTCAATCGGCGGGCGCCCGACGCGCCGCCATACATTTCAAGCTACATGCAATCCATCTTATGCAATAGATGCAGTTAACACGTGTACTGCAAACACGCGACATCGATGAGGCCTAAAACTGCGGACGATGAATGTCGCCCAACCCGTTCCAACTAATTGTTGTGTTCACTTACCGGTACCGTCCTTCAATAGAAGGTTTATAGTTGAAGGCAGACCTGCGGATTGTGAATAAGTCGGTAAGTATGCTTCGTAGCGGTCAAAGCTCAGCTTACCCAACCTTTTCAAAACAGCGGCATTCACCGAGCTGTAGAGTTAGCGCTTATCATTAATTTTCCTTCAGACCTGGCGCTCGCTGTACGTCGGAGAATTGGGGACTATCGCTCATGACCCTAATGTCTCTGAAATGCTTTTAACCCAAGACATAACCGCAATAAGTGTAACTGGACTGATTTTGTTGCAATAGGGAAAGGCGATAGAGCATGGCATTACGAATACTTATGGCCGGACTTTCGTTGCCGTATCCCCAGTAGCTGTGTACGCCAAAACCGGGGGGCGTAATGGAAGGTTACGGCAACGGAATGATGACCAAAGCAGAAGTATGTATAAGTGTGGCGAACTGCAGACACAAAGAAGGCCAGATAGTTTGCCTAGAAGCTCTATCTAGCTAGATAGGTAAGTACCGATGGCATCATTTCCACATAACGAGGACACGCACCTGCCGAAAACAGTGCCACATCTGTTCTGCTTATATATATACAGGCGGATACACGGTGTTCGTAAGCTAGGTAGTGTCACTGCCGTGCGGACTTGGCGAATTCCAATGGGCTCCATCTTAGCTTGCTTGGCGACCACAAGTTAAGCGTAAACTTTAGCAAAATTGCACCCTAATCGCCACCTAACACGTTGCAATGCAGAGCGACAGCTAGCGACCCCTTGCGAGGCTTACGTCGTCGATCAGCCGCTAGCACCCATGTCCAAGGCAACATTCGCAGCAGCATACATAAAGCCGTACACACTGCAACCAATCATACTTCCGGAGGGACGAATACGCGCTGTATAATACTCATACTTTTTGGTGGCAAACACTGGAATGCACCGCTTATAGGCGCACCCCACGTATGATGATGACACCAGGGAACGGATGCGGCTTGGGATGAAGTCCCCAGTTCCCCATCCAAACCCCGACGCGGCAACAGCTTAGCGCTGTAAGGACGAATGGGTTACGATTGGCCATATATCGATTCGTTTTGTTGGGAAGGCTAAGAAGCCTTGCAAATATTGGCGATATGCGCCTTCGTGAGCCGCACTCGCTGATCTCTTTAGTAAAAGGCGAAAGAGATATGAGAGACGTGGGCGGCTCAGCGCTTCATAATCACGTTGACACCTGCGCCACCCACATGCAGGGGATTGCATCCCAGCGGACACGACCCCGATGGTGGGTCAAGCGGCCGCAAGAGTCCATGCTGCCCCCGGCCGTAGTGCTGTACGGTAGAGGTCATGGTATCCTGCCGTTTAAGCCTTTCTCCTATCTATCCTTTGCGGGCGGGGGCTGCGCAAGGTCAAGAACATGGGCAAGTGTACTGGGCCTTTTGGTACAATGCGTTTACATGCCGGTCCGCAGGGGCTTCCCTCCTTCAGTCATGGGCACATGCCCAATAAGAAAGGGTACAACCGTATGCACGTATTGCTCGTTGCCCACTAGGTAATGCGTCCCAAATTGCCCCTTATAATATAGCTCAAACTTTAAAGCAACCCGACTCTGACCCATGGGTCGCCCTCTACATCCTGAGCGGCGTTCTGGACGGTGGACGACCCGACATGTCCATACACATGCAACCCCTTTCACAACTCGCATTGAAAACAGTCGTTACACCGTCCCATATCAACGCCCAAGGCGAATCCCCCACCACCCAAGACCCAATACCTCCTTCCTCGCAGCCTCCATGCCATTCACCACACCAGACAACCCTTCGACCGCCCCTTCCTGGCTCCTCTCCCTTCACCCCTCATCTCCCTTCACCCATACTCCCCTTTACAACCCCGATTCCCCTTCCGCCCCTCCTCTGCGCCCCTCCTGTCCCCCTCCGCTCCTCCGTCCCCCTCCCCCTCCCCCTCAGCGCTCCGAGCGGCTCATCATGAGCTCCACCACCTCCTCCAGCGTCTCGCTGCCGTGCACCGGACCCGGGTGCTCCAGCACGCCGTGCAGCACCATCGGGGGCCCCTGCTCCTGCCGCTGCTGCTGGCGGCCCTCCTCGCTGTCCTCGTTGTGCCGGAGCTCCGAGGGCAGCGGGTGCGTGTGGGAGGCATGCGCGGGGGGCTGCACGGAGCGGTGCGGCGCGTGGGCAGACACTGTTGGGTTGCAGGGGGGCAGAAGGAGGCAGACGGAGGGAGGGATTGGCGAGGGCAAGGTGCAGGGCTCGTTAGTAGGACTGGAAGAGACGGCGGTACGCTGAGCACGGCATCAGCCGGCCTGTGATGTCAAGGCATGTATATATGACAGCAAAAGTAATGGCAATCAACGCCGACACGAGGCTTGCACTTGCGCGGCGCTTAGTATCATACATCCGCGAAAATCATACTCCTCAGGGAGTCTGGAGAGCGTTGAATGCCAACAGTATGGAAAGCACTTACGCCCTATTGCAAGGACATTTGATGCGAAGAGTCAGGAAGGGCGTCGTTCACGGTACCTGCTCCGGGCTCGTCGGCGACCTCCGCATGTTTCGGAGTTGCCATCATTTTCGTCACCAATTGTTGTGAAGGTGTGATGCTTTTCTCTGGTTAGCTGATTGTGTGTACTACTAAGTTAATGCTGGCTGAACAGAAGGGCTAAAGGATGTGCTCCCTTCTAGGAGTCAGGTCGTGACGCAGGTCAGAAGGCGTTAAAAGAATTGGAGCGACCGTGTGCTTTGAAATTGCTGAGAGAACAAAAAAGGAACAACAAAGGCAATCATGGGTACGAAGTTTACGGCAGCGTTCGACCTAGGGGGTCCTTTCAAGCGCCGTCACGCGAACTGCCAAGCTAGATGACTACGCCCGACCCGCGGGTCATCTATAAGCTCTCCGCTCTATTCTAACGCCATCTACTCCTAAGACGCATGCATTGCCAATGCGTACAAGCGCAAATGCTGCTTCACGCTTAAGGACAACCTAAGCTGGGGGGGTGTAGATAAACTGAGCCGCCGGGAAGCACTGCTAGCTAACGGGATAGGAACTGCAAAAGGGCGCCGTTTATGTTTTCCTGGGGCCTTAACCTGCCATCACATGCCTTGCCTGTGCTGTGTAGGCCCTAGATCGAATCTTTAAACCCCGAGCCAAAGTAAGTATTTAGCATCCGCATTGGCTCTTCCCAACTATCCTTGATACGTAAGCGGGGGAGTTAGGCTGCAACACTATGTCTGAAGACATTGGTGAACGACATTGGCGAAAAGCCGTTTGGTAGACGCAGAAAGCAATAGCTGTGCAGCAAGCCGTTGCAGCGTCAAGAAATGGCATCCCAGGAAATGTGTACGGCTGTCGGGGCCTGTCCATACCCGAGAATCGATGACCTTGCATAACTGGACCTTGGCCTCATAGGCCTTTGCAAGGCAGACTATACAAGGCAGACTGCCAAAATGGAGTCGACAATTTCTGGCCAGCTCGAGTTTGAAAACCTTCCGGCCTTGCCGACCGTGTTCCACTACCTTGACCGCAGCAGCCGTTTGGTTATTAGGCAGTGCAGCAAGAAGCTATTAAAGGAGCACGATGCGCTTGCAAAGCGGCTGCAGGTTGCGTTTGGAAGCAACCGCCCTCCTCCCAATATGGAGCAAGTTCTTTCCACGCTGAAGCGCATTTTGGATACTCATTGCAAGCCATCTCACCTTCTTCTACGCTCTGACGGTCAAGGGGAATCAGACCTGTGAGGCCATCCTGTGCTGCAGCTGTGCAGCCGCTCCTGGTGCCTGGGCTTTCTCACGCTGCAATTCACTTCCTTTTAACTTGTAGAATATCGATACTAGGAGTCGTGGGAGCCCCGCAGAGCCTGGCAGAGCTGCGCATGCACGAATGCGCCCTTACGCCTTCCCTAGTCACAGCGCTGATTGCTGCAGCTCCAAAGCTTAGGAAGCTGACGCTCAGCGGCTCATCCGTTGGAAACGAGTCCCTTGCTGAAGGGTTTGGAGTTCTGCTGCAGGCACTACCGTGCATCGAGCACTGTGGCATGTATCTTCGCGACGACGCTCCTGAGAACGCTTGGCGAGCGCTGGCGCAGCATAGCAGCATTCATGGGCTTGAGGTGGTCTTTCCCAGTCGTCAGCTTCAGGGACTGTCCCTCCTCACAAACATCCAGGCGTTGTCTATGACATGCAGCCACTCCAATGGCGTTAAGCACGAATACCGACGCTGTTTCGCAGCCCTGACGGGGCTTACGAGCTTAAAACGCATCACATCAGGGGACCGCCAATCCTGGGATTATCCTGCCCTGCCCGGGATGTCATCGCTGGTCAACCTCCGAGAGCTAGACGTCCACGCCTTGTGGCTCTCATCCGAAGACCTCCACGCCCTGCCCCAGCTCACCGCCCTCACCTCCCTAAAGGCTGGCGGGGTGGCTCTTGATGCAATCCGCGATGCGGCGAGGAGAGCAGGGTCCGCTACAGCAGCACGCCCCCCAGACCCCCTGCACCTCCCGGTAGTGCCCTGGCAGCTGCCTCCCAACCTGCGTCACCTGCGGCTGCGGCAGCGGCAGCTGGACTTGCGCGTACTTGCCGGCATGCAGGCGCCGCCTTCGCTGACCGCGGCGCAACTTAACGATGCAGTCATCATAATCCTGCCGTGCAGCGACACTGCGCCACTGGACAAGTTGGCGGCTGCGGTCAAGGAGGCGGCGCGCTGGTTGGTCCTGCCGTCGCGGTTCTTGCACCTGCGCCTGGAGGGCCTGCACGGGCCTGTGGGCCTGCACGCTTTGTGGCCGGCGCTGGGCTGTCTGCAGCAGCTGCAGCAGCTGGTGGTCAGTCGCGCCAGGCTGGAGGAGGGGGATCTGCGGGCATTGGGGGCCTCGGAGTTGGGGGCGTCACTGCAGGTGGGGGTTGGAGTCTTGGAGAGGAACCAAACCACGAATTAGAGCCTTTAGCAAGGCAGTAGGGATGTGACTCATAGAGGCGGCAAGGTGCCACCGAACAAGGGAGGGTTAGCAGGGGTTAGGGTACCGTACCTTCACGATATCATCGCGCAAAAATAAATAATTATTTCGGAAAATGTGCAGTTTCGCGCAAAATTAAATAATTGCTGAAAGGGGTGCGCGAAACTGGGGAAACCCCTCAGGACCCTTCCCCGCACCCCCAGCACCCCGTCAGCTCCGCTGCCCAGCCCCGGGCTGCATGCTAGTATGCCCCATGGAATACATAGCGGTATTTGTAAAGCTGTCTTGAGGATCTGGGCTTACATGGATGGGTTCTTACAGTCAAAATATGTGGTGGACATGAGCTGCGCGAAGCTGAAAAATAATTCCTGACACCCCTGCGCGAGCTTGAAAAATAATTCCATCTAATGGGGCTGCGCGATGATCACCCGAAGGTACGGTATCAACGCAGTGCAGCACTGGTAGGGATGGTTGGGGTTGCGCTGGGTGGGTTGCTCATGGGCCCCGGCATGGCGACCTGGGGGGGGAGTGGTGCAGTGCTGCATGGAATGCAAGTTGGGTCCACAGGATGGGATTGCTAGCGTGCGGCAGGGGTTGAAGCGGTGATGAGGACTGCTCCCTGGACCGCTGGTGGCCAGCACAGGGCGGGGCTTGCCGTGATGTGGAGGAAGCGAGCAGGTGCACTGGCTGATTGTGGGAATCTAGGGGGCGGGACCACGTGCCCATTGCTTGCAACGGCACTGGATTCCCAATATCTGCATGCATGCAAACATGCCATCTCCCTTAATGTACGACACCCATCCCTAGCAGCGCCCGCTGTAAAGCCCTCCATTCCTTCCCCGATTCCCCAGCCGTCCCTAATACCTACCCTTCCCACCTCTCCCTCCCATCCTCCTCCCCTGCTCCCCTGCCGCCCCCAGACTCTCACGCTGCGGTCCTGCAGGGTCGACTCCAGCGGGCTGTCCCACCTGCTCAGCCTCCCCCGCCTGCGGACCCTCCAGCTGGGCGTTGAGCTCTACATCACCTCGGACCCGGCCAGCAGGGAGCTCACCCCGGCGGCCCTGGCGACGGTCCTGGCAGCCGACCTCGAGCCGCTGCTGGTAGGGCTGTGCGAGGAGCGGGACGTGGCGGTGACGGTGACGGTGCGCTGTGACCCGCGGTACTGCCTGGTGAGTGTCCCGGGGGCCAGGGCGTGCTGCATGTACGACTTCCCGCCGGAGGTGTTGGAGGGGGTGCGGGCGAGGCTGGCGGCGAGGGGCGGTCTGCTTGCTAGTCCCGGATTGCTGCAGCTGGTGAAGCTGGAGTGGTGCTGAGGGGCGCTAGGGCAGAGGCTGAAGGCTGTGGGACAGAATTGGGTAAATAGGAAACAACTAGCTGACTGTGTGGTGTGGCGCATTGCAACATATGCGCCAGCCGATCCGGCCCAGCCCGAATTAGCCAAGCCAGTACGTGTAATAGACTTCTAAAAAAAATGTAGGTTTCCCGAAGCCAGAGCCAACATGAGTAGGGAGGTTTTAAAGCAGCGGCGCCAGCACATCGAGGTAGCGGTGCAGCTGTTGTAGCGGTTGGGAGGCAGGAGCGGGTGTGACTTACAGGATGGCAGGGCGGCTGGCAGTTGGGGTTGCAGTCGACATCATGTAGTACTTGTATTCAGCGTTATTGCGGATGTAGCTTGCGTGCATGTCTGGTTTAGCATGCGCGGGTTTGTTGGGCGCCTATTGTTTCAAGAGGACTTGTTGAAACACAATAAGACATTCACTCACTCTTTCGGGCACTTGGGCATTTCATCATCTTGGACGTGTACCGCTGTTACGTGTCAGTGACACGATGGAGCGTCGTACTGCATCGTACTGCACTGCGCCCGGCCCCGGAAGCGGTGTGTTTGAGTAGACACCCTGCGCATTGCTGGGACGCGGACAATGGGGCCATGTTGTACTTGGTATGCTGTTGGTATTGACATTGGGGGACCAGCATGCACCAACGGAGGTTAAAATGTTGGCCATGGCCCATGGGCACGCTGAAGGGCACAATGTACAAGTCGTTGCCTACTCAGGTTGATGGCCTACCGTCATCACTTGCGGGACCGGAGAAGTTATGACCATTCATTGTTGCAGGTCACTAATTTAGTGGGCAACGTTCCACTATCCCAGTGGAGATAGGATCCACTGGCTTAGTGGTATGCGATTTTTACAGGGGAGTCCGAACGACTCAAGTGCGACGCACAACCCTTTGGGCCTTATAGACCATGCCAGAAACTTAAGTCATTGGGATCAATTGTCCCTCTTCAGGTAAGGGATAACGTTTTATTCACCTGGTGGTGGTTTATACACCACTGAACCATTGTCATCAGTTGCTAGGAAAGGGTGTTGTCTAGGTATTCTACCCCAACCTCTCGGGGGAATATTCAACATTAGTGGGCCCGACATGCGACGCTAAGATGTTCATCGTCGTACTTGAGGCGTACCGGGCATGCCTGAACCACAGGCCCCACGCCCGCGGGATCGGGTGACTTTTCCGCAAAAGTCACCCGATCCCGCGGGCATGAGGGGTCTCGCCTGAACAGACCTGCACATAATAAAGAACATGTTCTTCAGTTTAAGCTCAAGGCGCTTTTGTATAGTATATACGCTTACTATTTAAGTTTCTCGTGGTTGAGTCGCTTAGCTAGGATGAGCGACGCGCGTAGAGCAAGTTTGCGGGATGCCCCGCTTGAGCATATGTTCCGTTTCCTAGACAGCAAAAGTAAACTGGCCATAAGAATGTGCTGTACGCAATTACGTGACCGTCACGATGCGGTCGTCCGTCGGATATCTGTGACATTAGGAGAACCTGCCAATCCGGCCTTTGCCATTGTTTCATCGCTACGGCGGATATTCTCACGGGGATGCAGTCCCTCTTACCTGCTTCTTCGCTGCCTTGAAGAGAACGAGCCGGAAATGTAAGCTTTCGCGACATGACATCTTGACCCATTCGTCATAGGCCCTTACGAGTCTTGGTTATTGTCTGCCGTAGACTCAACGTGATGGCTACGCTCAAAACACTCAGCAACCTGGCTGAGCTGTGGCTTCATGGTTGCGCTCTGACACCAAACGTCACAACGGCTGTGGCAGGCACAGTACCTCAGCTGACAAGTCTGACGCTGAGCGGTGCCTCTGTTAGCGATCACTCCCTCCAAACGGGTCTTGGCTCTGTCCTGCACGCCCTTCCCAAACTGGAACACATCGGCTTGTACGGCGCTAAGGACGCTAAGGACGTCCCAGAGCCTGCATGGCTAGCGCTCTCACAGCACAACAGCCTGCGCAGCCTCGATACAGGCTCACTTCACGTCGGGCAGTTGTCCGTCCTCACGAACCTGCATGCGCTGCGCTTATCTGGAGCCCCGCTGAAAATCAAAATCGAGGCCTTCCAGCGTTGCATAGCAGCACTGACCGGCCTAACAAGCCTTAAGCTCTTCACCGCCATTTCTAGCCAGACGGATATGCCAGCCGTGCCGTGCCTTTCCGCTCTGGTCAACCTCCGAGAGCTGGACGTGAACAACTTGCCTCTCTCCCGGGAAGACCTCCTGGCCCTGCCCCAGCTCACCGCCCTCACCTCCCTCAAGTCCGGGCTCCCGGCGACCAATGCTGTCCTGGGGCGGCCAGCCGGCCCCGCCCGTGCCGCGATCCCCTGGCAGCTCCCACCCAACCTCAAGCAACTGTTTCTCCGCAAGCAGGACGGCATTCTTCCTGAACAGGACCTCAATTTGCTGGTGCTGGCGGCGCTGCAGCCGCCGCCCGCCTCCCTGGCTGTCGTACAACTGTCCGACAACACCGTCGTCAAGCTGCCCTCCAGCAGCGCTGAGGCGCGCGACGCCTTGCAGCTGCTGGTACCTCGGCTGGCTGCCTGCCTGCAACCCAGGTCCCTACACCTGCGCGACGTCCACTTCCGCCCTGGCGTTTTCCTCCCGCTCGGCGCGCACGCCCACCATGTGTGGCTGCCGCTGCTGGGCGGGCTGCGGCTGGCGCGGCTGGTGCTGCAGGGGCTGGTGCTGCAGGGGGAGGCGCTACAGGCTCTGGCGGGCCCGGAACTGGGGGAGACGCTGGAGGTGGGGTGGCATGGGGCTTTGGGAGGGAGGGAAGGGAGCATGGGGCTTGAGAGGAAGCTTGGGAGGGAGGGAGCTGCGTGAGGGGCGCAGCCTACTAGGGGCGTTAGGACAGGTGTACGACATTGTAGACAGTGTGAGGCGGTTGGAGCACGCAGCTCTGGTTGTTGCTGTGTGCGTACCAACTGCTGTAAGGCTGCTGCTGTGCGTTTTAAGAAGGCTGGCCGCGAGTCGGAATGTACTGTGATTGCCGGAAGATGAAGTCCTCACAGAAACGTCACATGGGTGTGTGTGTGCGCATGCATGCATGCATGCCAGCAGTGTTGCAAGCGAGCAGCTGCCGCTGCCGCTGGCGACCTGGTCGTAGTGGGTCACCTGTCCAGTCAGCAGCGATGTGGGTCACCCAGAGTCACCCGGCTGCCAGCCAATACCACCACCACAAATCGGTTTATGACTCTTCACCGCAGCTCACTTGGTCTCCTTTCCCCTTTCCCCTGTACAGACCCTGTCCCTGCTGCAATGCCGCATGGAGCCGCGTGCGCTGACCCACCTTGACCGTCTCGGCCACCTCGGCCGGCTGCGGGTACTCAGGGCGGACCTGGCTGTCGGCCGGCTGTCGCCACTTGCCGTCATCGACCCGGAGGGCCCTCACGACGACAACGCGGAGGCAGTAGCGGTAGCTGCCGTGGCAGCAGGAGCCGTGCAGGAGCCCCTAGCGAGCGCGGCGGTGCAGGTGGCGGCGGCGGTGGAGGGCTTGCTGAGTGAGCTGTGCGGCAGGGGCGCGGAGGTGGAGGTTGCAGTGGACATGGCGGGTTGGGATGAGGAGAGGGTGTTTGTGGGAAGGGAGATGCGCAGGGGTCTATGCAGGGAGAGGTTGACGGCAGCGCTGAGGGCGGTGCGGAGGCGGCTGGTGCAGCGGGGCGGTGCGTTCGCCCACCCCAGGCTGCTGCGTGTGTCCTAGGTGATGGCGGTGTGGGGTTCGCCCGCCGGCAAGGTGTGAGCGTTGCTGTGGTGCTGATGACGTCTGCTGCGCAGCTGCCGGCCTGCTTCTTCTGGTCGGTGTAGCGTGGCAGCAGAGCAGCCTTAGGCAGCGTGTCCCGTCTTCGGCTTTCAATCAGCAGTAGAGGAGTTCCTACTTGTATCAAGGGTATCCCAGGAATGCCTTCCCAAACGGTATGCGCCTTCAATGATAAGCTGACGTTAAGATGTGCTGGACTAGAGACATCCTCACATGTGTTGCCCCGACTTCTTTTAAACAAACCGCTGCGAGCCCTGTCAATCCTGTGGTGGGGATAAAAGCTTCCCTTGTATGCGCATGTGAAGTCTATACCGTAGGCTTGCCCCAACGACTCAGAGGAGCAGTTGACCAGGGACTCAGGGTCACCGAGCAGGTTAGGCTAGAAAGCCCAATTATAGTCCAGTTAATTAAATAAATAAATTACCCCGGCTCAGTACTCAGGAAGGTGCTGCTCAGGCTGACCTTTGTACGACCGCTCGCTTCACGCGAGCGCTCGGCTTCGGTCGCCTGTTTGTTGCTAGGTATACGTCGCGTTTTTTCAATGAAGCCGTAATAGAAATGGAGTGTACAGTAGTTTGCATAGATAACAGCGAGTTCTCCCGCTCGGGGGACTACGCGCCAACGCGTTTCCAGGCGCAGGCCGATGCAGTCAACCTGCTGGCCGGTGCCAAGACCCAGGCTCACCCAGAAGCAACTGTTGGAGTACTCACAATGTCGGGCAAGACGCCGCGTGTCCTGGTGACCCCAACCCCAGATCTTGGCAAAGTTCTCAACTGCATGACTACAATTGAAATTGATGGAGAGTGCAATGTATCCTCATCTGTACAAATAGCACAGCTGGCGCTGAAGCACCGTCAGAACAAAAATCAGCGGCAGCGGATCGTCATCTTCGTGTGCAGCCCGGTCGCGGAGGAGAAGGTAAGATACGCAGGCTGAATAGGGATCACCATTGGCATTTATGTCAGAGCAACTTTGTACCTAGTAGGGCGCGTCGGTTGCGTGGGACCATGGGTATGCATTGGGTATTGTCACTTTAATTTACTGATTACTTCCACTGTCGTGCAAAGCGGAACCAGTGCCCCACAGCCTCTATCACGCGCCCGGGCCCCGCACCCCGCTGCCGGGGAGGCTGGTTTGTTGGCTGTGTGCCCGATGTAGCCCTACTGCACCCCATTCCCAGCGAGCCAACTCACTCGCATGCACAATCTTACGGGGGCCATGCCTTGGGGGCAGGGAAAAGCGCGACCCCGTCTCTGCGTTAACGTGTATGCCGGTGCCTGCTAGCGCCTGTCTGTCTGCTCCCTCCCTTCCTGCTTGCCTTCCAACGATTTCCGGGTCTTTAAAATACCGGTATGCTCACACCTTCCTCACCGTATCAGCCCCGTGGCTCTCGCGCTTCCCCCGGCTCCTTCGTCGCACCTGCCCCAACCCGCCTGTCTTTCTCTTCGGGCTATATCCAACATCAACATTCGCCTCGCGTTCCGTCCGCTCCCAGCCACACGTCAGCTCCCCACCTTGCCCCTCGCCCTGCCTTGCACCTAGAATCATCACGACATGCTGGTCAGGACCGCTTCCCTTGTCTGCACACCAACCATCTGCATCCCCCTGCACGCGTAACTCCCCTCTCCCCGCCGGTCCCCCCTCCGCCCCCCCCTCCCCCTCACTCCTCTCTCCCATTAGGACAAGCTGGTCAAGATCGCGAAGAAGCTGAAGAAGAACAACGTGGCGGTGGACATCGTGAGCTTCGGAGCGGAGGAGGAAAACCAGGTGGGTGTGTGTGTGGATGTGGAGGGGTGGAGGGGTGGGAGCCGGGGGAGGTTAGGTGAGAATCAAGCCGGGCTGAAGGGCGCGTAGGACCGGCATCACCATGCATTGTGAGTCATCGCATGGACACCGGGGGAGTCAGGAGCTCGGCCCTGCACCAGCCCCCAAGACACCCCCCCCGTGTGTGTGTGTGCCCAAATGGGTCACCAGGGGCGCCACCAAACGCCTCAATCCCCACTACCAGCCAGCGGCACGGCACACCCCTGCTCCTGCGCCACCTCGTGCCTCGGCTGGCCTGCTCCCCATCTCCGCCCGCATGTACGGCACCCCGACACCCGACACCGCAACCTTCCAACCACCAACCACCCGCAGGAGAAGCTGGAGTCATTCATGGAGGCGGTTAACTCCAACGGTAACTCCCACCTGGTAACCGTCCCGCCCGGCCCGGTGCTCTCCGACGTGCTCATCTCCTCGCCCATCTTCCAAGGCGAGGGAGGCGGCGGATACGGCTTTGCAGGTGGCGCGGGCGGCGGTGGCGGCGGCGGCGCGGGCGAGGGATTTGAATTCGGCGTGGATCCTAACATGGACCCGGAACTGGCGCTAGCGCTGCGGTGGGTTGGGTTTGGTTGGGTTCTTGGGCTTGGATAGGGTTGGGTACCTGGGTTGGGTACCTGGGTTGGGTACCTGGGTTGGGTACCTGGGTTGGGCAGCTAGTGGGGGCCCGTCATTGCTTTGCTAGCTTGTTGTGGGTTGTTCGGAGAGTGCGGCCCCGAGTGAGGGGTTCGTGTGATGTGATGTGGCATGGTGGGGGGGCCCTATCAGGGTTGACGCAGCTACCAGGTAGAAGGTCGAAACGAGCCGGAGACCCGTAGACCTGCCACGCGTGCAAGTAGGGTACATGGAAGGAGGTTGGGGTCAGGGAGAAATCATAAAGAAAGTAACCAGAAGTTAGGGCAAGGTGGTTGCATTGGAGCGGGTTTGCTATGGCTGGCGCTACGTAATTGTTTGGGTTATTGTTGTTTGGGTTCGTGGTAGGAGGGTGATGGGAGGGTGATGGTGTGCAGGCGGGGTGTGATGGGCCTAATGCTGGAGGCTCCAGGGAGGCGAGGTAATGGAGAGCGGGGAATGCAGGCGCGGATGGCCGCATGAGGCATGAGCTGGTCCACATGAGCTTTGAAATTGCACAATGTTAACCCGAGTATGTTCACACCTCCTCCCGTCCTCCGCCCCCCCATATACAGGGTGTCTCTGGAGGAGGAGCGAGACAGGCAGAACCGCGCAGCCGCAGCCGCAGCAGCAGCAGCCGGCGGAGGCGCCGCGCCCGCAGAGGCCGGCGGCGCCGGCACCTCCGCACCCGCCGCCGCTGACGCCGCCGCCGCTGGTACGACAGCTGCTGCTGCCACGCCTGCGCCCGCTGCTGCTGCTGCTGCACCGCTGACTGCTGCTGGCGGGGGCGACATGGACTTGGATGAGGACGCGTTGCTGCAGCAGGCGCTGGCGATGTCTATGGAGGTGGATAGCGCAGCAGCAGCAGCCGGGGCGCTGCCGGCAGCGGCGGAGGCGGCCACGCCGGCGCCCAGTACGGCACCGGTGGCGACGCCGGGTGCTCCGGTGCAGGCGCCCCCGCCCGCACCCGCGGCGGAGGAGGATGTGATGGATGAGGATGCGGAGTTGCAGCTGGCGCTGCAGCTGTCGATGCAGGACGCGGGGCCGGAGAATAAGGAGGGGAACAAGTGAACGGAGTCGGGGCGGCGTAGGTGTAGTGTAGAGAAGTGGTGAAGTAGGTAGTGGCGGGTTACCGGTACTGGGCTGCAGAATTGTTGCATGGTATAGAGGTTGCGTACAATGGAGCCCAGAGGTGAGGTTAGGGTATGTATGTGTGTTAGTTACGTGTAGATGCTCTGACTTTAGGGGTTGCATGTTGGCGGCAATGCGTTAGGCGGGAGACATTGAGGCCCCACACTTTGTCGGGCACCATTCTACGATACTGCAGCAACAGGAAATGATTGTTTCATCGTGCACAATTGTAAATTAGCAGAACGGTCCTGGACATCGCCGCTGTTATGTCATTAGCTAAGGCGACGTTGGATGGTGAATTCCGCTGAGAAGTCCCGAATGAACAGCACATATATCAGCTCATGATGCTACAGAAGCCTGCATATATCGTGGAACCGTGCTTCTTTAGTAATGAGGGTTCAAAGAGTCGATCGGGATTGCATGCCGTACGCTTGGAGCCTTTGCATGATTTGGTTCCTGCCCTGTCGGGCATAATTATGCGTGCTTATCAAACCAGCTGTAACAAGTAGTGGAGACGTCAGCAGTCCATTTCTACAGTGTTCTAGTCATCTAGCGAGCGGATCTTGCAGAGTATAAGGAAGGTCGCGCTAGCAGGCCAGCAAATCTACTGGTGTTTTCGTCCTTGCGGGTCAGTAGTGCTGCTACTGGAGTGGATCGCCTCGACGAGCTAGAGCGGCTAAGGTTGCCGTCGGGTCTGCCGAGGGTCATATCACCACCTTGCTTAAAAATACTTGGCGCTTTTGGTGCGTCTGCACACCGGTGAGATACCTATGGGAGACAGACACAGCTTGTGCAAAGGTCGAGGAGACGCCGGGAAAGTTCGTCCGCGCGCAGTATTATACATTTTAGGCGCGCACATCATTTTATTCACATTACCATCTGCATATTCTTTCTTGTTGCTGAAGATGAAAGAGCTCCCCAAAATGCTGCGCAGCAATGTGTAAGGGCTCCTTAATGATACGGCGCACAGAGTTCTTGTTCGCGGTTAAGCGCGTTTAAGTACGTTTAGGACGAACAATGTTCCAAGACAAAGAAAGATCTAAGGCCTTCCTACCCCACTTATTCGCGCGCGATTGCAGGTCGACGCTTGACGGCGTCTGCTCTCCGAGCGCTGACCCACCCAATATACACCTATCTACTAACGTGCAGCAAGCGCGGTTAGCGGCTTGCAGGAGCGCTAAATGCTCACGGGGCAGGCTAACGGGGGTGTCGCATCGCGGCCCTGCAAACGCGCTCATGCTGGCGTACAGCTTCCTTGCGTACGCGGACTAGCTCTTCAAACCGCTCCTTCACAGGTTCCGTTGCTGCAGTTGCCCTCGCCTTCCGGAACGCAATGTCGATTGCTCCATCACAGTGGTTATGGTGCCAGACGCGTGATCGCCCGCGGTCAACAGCAGCCTTGGGAGGTTCGTGTTCAGGATCGACCTGTGCAAGGCGGAGATGGCTCCAACGGAGCTGAGTCTGCAGCGTCCAGCAATGGCTTGCAATTACAACTGAATGGGGGCGCCGCAGCCCTCTCGTTGCCAGGCACATCTGCATCTATCCCAGCACCAACACCGGCAGCAGCAGCACCCGCGACGACAGTAGCGTCGAGCTCCACACCCGAAAAGCGGCCTCATCGATGGAGCGTGGTGTACATGTTGGCTGCGGCATTCGTGTTATGCAACATGGACAAGGTAAGATTCTTTCTGCATGGTTGGGACCTGCAAAGGTTTGCGTAACCAATCGTTAGGGGGCTCGGCGCATCGTTCTCAAGGAGGGTTCCTGTTTAGGCCAGACCACCTTCGTACTCCCAATGTCCAAGTTGGGACTCGGACCAGCTCCACACCGCCTGTCCACTTTCCGTCTTCCCTCCCCATCTCCGCACATCCCAGCTCCCCGTGCCCTCCATCCCACCGCACCTCCCACCCTCCACGTCCCCCACTCCTCATGCACCACCCCCCTCCTCCACCCCGCAGGTCAACATGTCGGTCGCCGTCATCCCCATGGCATCCGAGCTGGGCTGGTCAGCCACCGAACGCGGCCTCGTCTCCTCCTCCTTCTTCTGGGGCTACTCCCTCACGCAGCTCCCAGCCGGCTACATCTCAACCCAGATCGGGGGCGCCAAGGTGCTAGCAGCCGGCGTGGCCCTCTGGTCCTTAGGCACCCTCATCGCACCGCCCGCCGCCAAACTCAGCCTGGTGGCGCTCTGCCTCACGCGCATCCTTGTGGGCCTGGGCGAGGGTTTCGCGCCCAGCGCCGCCACTGCCGTACTGGCGAAGCTCGTACCCAGCACGGAGCGCTCTCGCGCTGTCAGCACGGTGTGGGGCGGGTTGGACATTGGGTCGGCGGTTGGGTTGCTGCTGTGCGGCCCGCTGATCCGCATGGGGGGCTGGCCCATCGTGTTCTACTTGTTCGCGGTGGTGGGGCTGGTGTGGGTGGCGCTGTGGCCGCTGGTGCAGCCGGACAAGATGGATGACGACGTGAGTTTGGGGGGGGGGGCGGGGGGCGGGGAGGAAACTGCATGGCACGTGTTTAACTTGGTTGCATGGCCCATGTGTTGGGTGCATGCATGCGGTTGGTGGCTGACGGCTGACGAGTGCGCATGGTTGTTTGGGGTTTGGGATGCCTGATGGCCGCAAATGTGGCTTTGAACTTTCGCCCATGCGGGCGCATCTGGGTGGCGGGGGGACTGATGGCGAGCTGGCGACAGCGAGGGGCGCGCTGGGGGCACTTGGCGGGTGGCGGGTGGGTAGCAAACAAAGCGAGGGGGCTAGCTGGGACTGGGCGCCTTGAAAACACCAGCCCCCGGCGAACAGGAAGTCTTGCGATGACCTCACATGCCCTCCAAACCCCGTACAACCTCCTAGCCGCCCTCCCACCCAACGCCCCACCCCACCTCACCCCAACAGATGATAGCCGAACAGAAGCTGAAGGACGAGGAGCGCGCTGCCCGTATGGCGGCGCAGGAGGCTGCCGGGGCCGCCGTCCCCATCCTGGACTCGGTGGACGAGACGCCGCAGGCCGCCACCTACAGCAAGCCGCTGTACAAGGCGCTGCCGCCAGCCGGCCAGGTGCCCTGGGGCGAGTTCTTGAGGTGAGGGCTGCCGCCAGCATGCGTGTTGGTCGCCTTCCCTGCAGCAGTGCGTGCATGCCGGTTGTGCGTGTATAGCGGGGGCTTGGGTATTCGCGCGGGGAAGGGCGGAGGGGGCGTGTAAGGCCGGCATGCGGGCAGGTATGCGGCACGTGTTGGCTCCCGCACACAATGTGAGGTGGGTGTGCGGAAACGATTGCTGTGCGTCTATCACGCGTGTTGCAGCTGGCGGGAGCTTGCAGCTGGTGTGGACATGTGTGGCGCACCAGGTCTCACACTCTCCCATCCCCATCCCCCTTCCTTACACCCCCACGCACGCCCGCAGGTCTCCCCCCGTGTGGGCGGTCACCGTGGCTCACTTCTGCTTCAACTGGGGCTACTACACGCTGCTCGCTTGGCTGCCCTCCTACTTCGAACTGGCGCTGGGTCTCAACGTGGAGCGCTCCTCCTTCCTCACCCTCATCCCCTACATCGCAATGACCGCCATGATGCCCTTTGTGGGCCCTGTGGCGGACGGCTGGGTCAAATCCGGCGTGCCGCTGACCCGCGTACGGAAGATCTGCCAGGGCATCGCCTTTGTGGGCCCTGCGGCCTGCATGCTCGCATGTGCCGTACTCACCCCCGCGGCTGCGGTGACGGCCAAGGCCAAGGCGGCGGCAGCCGCCGGCGGCAGCGCTACCGTCGTGGGCCCCGTCACCACGGCGATCCTGGTGGGCCTCATGTCCATCGCATTCGCGCTGGGCGCCTGGTCCCGCGCGGGTTTGTACTGCAACCACCAGGATCTCTCCCCCAAGTACGCCAGTGCGCTGCTGGGCATCACCAACACCGCGGGCGCCATCCCGGGGGTGCTGGGCGTGTCGGCTGCGGGGCTGCTGCTGGACAAGACGTCCAGTTGGGCGCTGGCGCTGTTCGTGCCCACCGCCATCTGCCAGCTGTTTGGCGCGGCGGTGTACACGGTGCTGGCGTCGTCGGAGCGGCAGAGCTGGAGCTGAGGGGGGGGCAGAGCAGTAGCAGCAGCAGGAAGGGAGGGGGTGGAGGGAATGAATGAAGGGGTGAGGGGAGTGGAGCGCACGCGATGTGAGCCCGATGTGGTGGCTTGCATGTGCAGGTGGTGGCTTGTGCTCACGTCACTTCCTTCCGTCCTGTGCTTGGAGTGGTAGTGACTGGGAGGAGTTGGGAGCGGTGCGCAGTTGAGCGGCTTTACCTCATTCGCAGTTGAGGCGTTGGGGGTAACGCTGGTGGGATTGCGGTGGAGCCGTAGTGCGGTAGACCAAACACGGTGGCAAGTGCACAGCAGGGTGTCGTGCTTCTGCTGTCTTTTAGCCCCATTAGCCAGGGGCCTGGTGCGACACAAGGTGATGGGCAGAGCAACGCTTAGGACGGCTGGCGGGTGCAGTGGTGGCTTCGTGGTGTCCCGGGGAGGACAGCAGTTAGCGACGCGGTCGACTTATGGGTGCGCAGCAGCAGACACGGGAGCGAAGTAGGGGAGGCGGGCGATGAGGAGGCTACCTGGCTAGCTGGCTGGCTGGCTGGCTGGCTGGCTGGCTGGCTGGCTACTTGGCTGGCTGGCTGGCTACTTGGCTGGCTGGCAATCGCTGAGTGACTTTCAGGTCCTACTTTGGCGTGCGCGCTAGAGAGGATATCAACATCACGTTTGCCTGGTCCTTGGCACGGCTTGCTCCTTGAAGCTTGCGGTGCTGTGGGCCGTCAGGCGGCGCTTGTGGGGGGGCAGCTCCTGACCCTGATCTCTCCCGATCCTCTCGTGGACGACGACCGTTGGTTGTTGGGGCTTTAGTTTCCATTTGCTGCTGCACTGCTGCCACCACGGTTTTAACGAGGCGAACGTGCAGGAGGGGAGCAACGCTTAAGACACATGGCGGCTGTTCTTCGGGGGCCAACGTGGTGTGCTGTTTGAGCCTGTTGGGAGCACACCGTTGTGATGCGCTGTCATGTGACGCCGTGTGCTCTCGGTGTGAGGATGTGGCCGTGAAGTCTTGGCTGTAGGCCTTGATGGAAACCTCGGTGTGCTGTGTGGTGTGGTCTGTAGCTTACTAGTCAGGTGCGCATGTCTTATGTGTGTCATGGATATGTGCGTTATGGCAACAGTGTTAGCAGGAACGGTTTGCCGTCTATTGCGCAGCGTTGTTGCCGGCGGGTGTATTGGGGCCCTTGATACAAGGAAGCAAACGCGGTAGAAACCCGCAGGAGGGAAGCTTCATGTTACGGGGGGGGGTCCTGTTCCAGATCTGCATGTGTGCCATGCATTCGTGTTAGCTGTAGTGGTGTACACCAGGTAAACGGTAGTAGTTTTGGTGTCAATCGTGTCATGTCGTTCATGTGTGTTGACTGCCGAGTGGTTGCCGTTGCTGCTTCTTTTATGGGCGCTGCTGCTGGATTCGCTGCTAGGACGTAGGATGTGCGTATTCCTTGGTTGCTAACATTGTTGCAAGTAGCGGGTCTTTGTGTTTAGCGCAGTGTCTTCCTCGAGCGCAGCTGGTGGTACGCTCAGAAGAAAAAATAACCACAGCAACAGCCATGATGAGATGAGAAAGGTCTCCCAATTACACTTAGCGGCTTTTTAGGTTGCGGCCCCATACCTAGCACAGTGCCTTTTCCCTTGGCGAGCGGGCTCTGCATGTGTGCTGCATGCACGACACGAGTGTGGAATAAGAGCTAGGTGGAGGGGCGATGCGGTCAGCGGAGGGGCGATGCGCCTTGCGTAACGCTTTCGTGTGTTGTTTAACTGGCTGCGAGGCGGAACGTACTGTGTTGGTGGTATCACTTGGCATATACAGTACGAGCCCGGGAAAGGGGTGACGTGAGGTGGCCGTATACCTGGCAAGGTGATTATATCCAAATGGAGGAGAATTCCATAGTGAAGCTTTCGGTCTTGCGGGGAACAACGGTGTGCAAGAGAGCTGGTGGTGTTGCGGGCGCTTCGTTGGGGAGGAGAGGGACGAGGCAGCAGCAGCAGCAGGACCGGGGGAGGGCAGCGTGTGGGGAGGGCCATGGTATGCCCTTTATCAATCCACCACACGCTTCAACAAACTGCGGTGTAACAGTGGAATGTCTGCGGCTTGCTTTGCAACGCGACTCGTTGGTACCCTTTAGCGAACGGCTGGAAAAGCTCAGAACGACCGCGGCTGACCGATACCCAACATCGCACCAGCACCGCACCAGCTACTAGCAGAGCACCTGGAGGGTCGAAGTGCTGTCAGCTTCGCCCGGTGTGCATGTGGCATTGTCCCCTTCCTCTTCTCTACACACCTCCAAACCAAGAAGCTACAAAACCCATGACGATGCAGCTGTCTGCTCTGCATGACGAAGCACAGTGACAGTGACGCAAGCAATAGTCAGTGCAGTAATGCAAGTAATACCACACCTACCTAACACACAGACACATGCTAACCTGTCCCAACTGCTTGCTCTTGTTTCCGCTCAACTACACACACTTCCCCCACTCGAGATCTAGCTGTGGCAGGAACGAGAGGCTTGGCGAACGACCCATGGGCCTTCTCCTTGCCTTCTCCTTCCCAACTGCTTGCCAACGCCTCCGGACTTCTCCGGAGAAAATCCGTGCCAGCCGTACCAGCCGCTTCCACAAGACAGAAAAATCCACACCTGGTGGATCCAACACCGCCCTGTGAGGTCACCAGCTCACCACCTCGATTCCTCTATCGCCGCAAAGTCATGCGCGGGCCGGGTGCAAGCCACTCAGCCGCCCGGCGCATATCGTCTGTTAGCGTCCCAAAGGACTCCTCAGCTGCACCCACAGCACTGGGGCTGACATGTAGACCCACAGTCTAGGAAAGCCGGTCTCCCTGACGAGCTGCTGCTCAAGGTCTCCCCCGGTAGCCCGGCCAAGTGGCCATGCTAACCACACCGGACACCACGTGTGCACCACCTGCCGTACGCAGTACGGATACAGCAAGCATGTACGGTAACATGTAGCGCTACCCAACATGTGACCTGAAGGTCCTGAACGGTGTCGTACGACACCATGACTGCCGTACACCGTCGTATCACGACATGGCGCCAGGTGGTGTCAAGCCATGATGCGGACCGTGAAGGTGCCTGCAGGTGGGAGGAGGGACACACAGGCAGCCAGCGGCAAGGCGGGTTGTTGCTGAGGGGGCTAGCTGCATGGTGGCTGCTTCTGGGCGGGCGGACTGACTGCCGACAGCAGCTCGGGTGTGGCGCCGGTAGCTGCGCGTGTACCCTATGCTGTGATGTGATGTTGCGGATACTACTTGGGGTTATTGTGGTGGTGGCGGCGATGGTGGTGGCCACTCCGCCTGACACACTCCGCCGCAGCTCCCCCCCTCCATCCATCCATCGCCTTCCCATTGCCCCCGGGCAATGGACGACGCCCCATCCCCCAGTCCTTCAGTTAACAGATCCTAGCCCTTCAGCTAACGAGTCAACTCTTCTCCTCCTTTTCCCCTCCCCACAGCATGCGCAATCCTACATTCCAGCCCAATGCGGAATCTCCACCCCGCATCAATCCTCCCCCCGGCATGCCCCACTCACAGCTGGGCAGCTGCTTGGGGTCGGCCTCCACGCTACAGCTCACCCCCAGGTGGCACAGCGCGCCGCGCACGATGCCGCATGGCAGGTGCAGGTGGCTGAGTGCCAGCTGCCGTACCGCCTCTTCGCGCGCAGGGTCCACGGCTCCGGCACCGGGGGGGAGGGAGCCGGCGGAGGAGGCGGGGGCGCCGGCGGCTGCTGTTGCGGAGGCGGGGGCGGAGGGGGGCGAGAGGCGCTGCAGCCATCGGAAGCCGTTGTCTTGGAGCACGTAGACGCCCTACGTGGGGTGGTGGAGGTGGCGGCAGGTGGTGGGTGGGAAGAGGGAGGGAAGGGGTATGGGGTGGGCTTCACAACACAGCCAAGCCCCAACATGACATGCGCTCCGCCACCCACGCGACAGTACCGTGCCAGGTCCCCACACACCCACGTCCCCAGGCACCCGCCCCCGCTGCCGGCCCCACTCCTGCCCCCGGCTCCTATGCCCCTGCCCGGCCTCCCCTCGCGCCCGGCCCCACCCGGTGGTTGGTTTTCAAGTTGTCCACCTGCTTCTTGAACAGCGCCTGCCAGAAGTCCTTGCACACGAACTTGATGATCTCCAGCGTGTCGCCCAGCCGCGGCTTGTCGCGGGTGTACCTGCGGGCCCGGGGGCGGGGGGGCAGCAGCAGCGGCAGCGGCGGCGGCAGCGGCGGCGGCGGAGGGGTGGTGCAGTGTGCGGCGGGCAGGCGGGCACCCGAGGGCACCCGGTGCAGCCGGCGATGGGGAAACGGCTTCAAGCGCAGGCAAGTGCGCCCTAGGCTGTTCTTCGCACGCCGCTCCTGTAAAGAATTGATGCTTCACCCCTGGCGGCCACGTCAGCAAGACTACAAACCTTGCGAAATCCCAACCGCCACAATTGTGGATGAATGGGTGTGGGAGTTGGGTTGGTCAAGGCTATGCGGGCGCGCCTATATGTTTGTTTTTAATCCCTAACCCACATGGCCATCCATGGCCCGCACCCGTGTCCCACCTCTCCGCCAACTGCTGCCCAACTCGGAAGCCCACCGCCTCAAGGGCTGCTGCCGCCGCGGGGCCGCTCTGCTTCTCGTGAAAGATCCGCACGCTTTCCACGCACAGCAGCTCTAGACAAACCTAACCAACCACGATGCATGCCAAGATGGGGCGACCTGTCAGTATTAAGCTGTCAAGGATATGACCTTCCTCGACTTTACCTCAGCACAGCGCCTTGCTGGCTTCTTGGCCACTACTCCAGGGCTTGGGGCCGGCACAAGCCCAGCCATTCCAAAGCTCTATAAGCGACTAGCTCGGATCAATAATCACCAGATCAGCTCATATGACTTCAAGTGGCAAAGCAACGGTTCGGTGTTGACAACAAACCATTGCACGTTAATCGCATTGTTGCTTACAACTATTGCACCAGAAAAAAGTGTCAACTGTTGTCAGCTAAAGGCTTTACAAATTAGGTCAAAAAGTTTGTTGCGTAAGAACGGACAATCGTTCTAGCCCAATCGTCGGTACGGCATTCCCGCCAGGGTACCGGTACTCCGCAGCAGGTAAGTGTGATGTGTGTGTTGGACTGGTATTCGATAGCTTACAATAGGCGATTGAGCTCCTGTCATCCTGCAGTCGTGCGGAGCTTGTTAGGTTCATTACCATAGCAGTTGGGATTGGAGAAGTCCAGCGAACGAAGTGTCTCTGTCAGTCTACCCCAGTTAAAATTGTCGCTAGTTTCCGTTTGTCCATATCATTTCAATGCAATCCAGCGCACTTTAAAGTTTGTCCGTTAGTTCGGATGTGCCGGGTATCGCATCCGGAGCCCCAAGTCGGTCAAACTGGCGCTGGACAGGAATTGACCCGGAAAGCAGGCGCTGAAGCACCTTTGGAGTATCTGCAGGAAGCGGGCTGTGCTGCTGTGCCACTGCACCTAACCGTGTATGCTGATGGAACGGCAAACCCCGTACACACCCTTACACAACAGTCCTTTTGGGCAGTCCTGTTTGCCGTAAACGGCGGCACAGTCCCAGAACAGCACCGCTTCACTGCTTAGTAGCCTAAACATGATTTGGCCCCGCACCAGTCCATACTCATCCTATCTATATATCCAAGTGCCGCTGCCTTTTGCCATGCCTTTCCCTGCTTGCCCACTGCACTTGCCTGGCTTATCTGCCCCAGCTGCCCGACCAACCCAGTTTCTTACGCCCTATCCGTTTAGTACCTCCCTTTATTGCTTTCCTCACGGGGACAAAGACATAAGGAAGGGTTGCAGCTCGGACATCCTATTGGCCGGCGGTGCCCAGGGAGCGCTTGCCGCTGGTCAATGCTGATGCCAGTATGAGCATTGCTTACAGTTTCATCTGAAATCAATGGCGGTTGTAGGACCACATAAGAACAGTGTTGCCGACCTGTCACGTCAAAGCCGAAACTTGCTCCAGCCTGGACTTTCACGAGCCCTTACCGTACGTTTCAGGTATTATATCATAGTCATTACGTTTTGGGTTAAATTACGATAGAGGGGATATTAATTACGCAAGAGCGTAATGCGCTCCAATGACCGAATCCGTTTAGGATCTATATATGTTCCTGTCCGACTTTGGATCCTGGTACCAATTAGGGCCGACGGCCGAGGACCGAGGGCCGAGCGTAAACTCGCAGTACACACAGGGGCTGTTGACATTGCTGGCTTTTAGACATACCAAAGCAAGATAGCAAGATACCATTGCCCCAGGCCTGTCGTCCCTCAACTGTCGCATTGTGTACCGCTTTGCGCTTTCCCCCCCAGACTCGACATAAATGACACGCTCTAACAACGACGTCGAGTCTGGTGTTGACGAGCACAAGTCGGTGCTAAACGCAATGACGCCTGTTAAAGTAAACGACGAGTGGGTGCGCGGCGACCCTGGTGAGTAAGCTTGGCGTTTACTGTAAACTATGAAGCCGCTTAATTCTTTCGCTGGCGCTCGCTGCATGCCTTGCAGGGCCGTTCGGTCTCCTTTGCTTCGGAATGACCACCTGGTATGTTGTGCTTGTCAACGTAACAGCTGGCCACGCCGATTTCAGCACTGAAATTCCTCTGACTTGACAATATAGTTATCCCACTTTCTGTCTAAGGGCTTACCTATGCTGTGTCCCGCCGTTTCGCCTTCCCGCTATCTGATGTCCACGGCAACGTTTCGCAACCGTAGTATGCTTATGTTCATTACGACACGGTAAGCCTCTGGACAAATTTCTGTGTTGGTAACTGCGTATAGACTGCGTCCTCATTGCCCACAACCCGATATTGAAGAACTACCGTTCTTGCGCAGATGGAGCGAGAAGACCTTCTTACCGACTGTCTTCTGCTACGCATTGTTTTATGGCGGCTTTGGCCAGTTCGTAGCGGGCGTGCTTGAGGTGCGGCACTTGCCATTCGTGACACCATCTTTCGTGCCAGGATGCGGGTTGCGTCCTGTCGCTGGGTTAGTCCACATCCTGCATGCGCGTCCTGTCGTGCCTAACGGCCCCATTGTTCCCTGCGCATGCAGCTGATCAAGGGCAACACGTTTGGAGGCACCGCCTTTGCCAGCTACGGAGCCTTCTGGATGGGCTGGTGGGTCGGGTGGGGGGGGGGAAGAGAAACGCCTACCGTACCGGTACGGCATGTGGGCTCCACCATGGGTTGCATCAAGGTTGCATGGTGGGTTGCAACATGGCTGCCGACCCATGGGTCGTTGGGTGCGGGAGTCTTGCAGGGGGGTAACCCTGCTGGCGTCACCTCCTGTGCTACACCCCCCTTCTTGAGCTGGGCCGCATGCCTTGTTCCGGTATCGTCGCAGCACCATGTGCCCGCACTTGCACGTGTACGCACTCCTTCGTGGATTACATACACGAATGGCGTCACCCCCCCAGGCAACTTGTGCTTACCAGTACCCCTTGCAATGCAGGTCGTGTTTGCGACTCGATTCATGTTGCCTTTCCAACATGTCCGACCGCCCCTGCCGACCTCACCTGACCTGCTGACGCCTTCCGTACACCCCCCCTCCCCCCCGCAACCCCGCCTGCAGGTTCCTGCTGGAGTATCTGATGAAGTCCGACCCCGCCCACTACCCCACCGCCCAGACCGGCAAGACGCTGTGGTGCAGCCTCTGGGCCTTCCTGACCTTTGGTGAGGTGTGCGCGGCATGCGCGCATGCATGCATGCATGCTGGTTCGACTGCGGAGGGAGGAAGTGACTGGCGGGAGGAGATGTATTGATAGTAATCTACCCTCCCCCCAAGCGACATCGCCAAGCACCTTTTTTGTTTGTCCCTTCTTAACATGTATATATGTCCATGTTGCCTTGCTCCCCTCACTCCCCACCTCCCCTCAGGCTTTTTCATAGTCACCCTGCGCAAGAACGGCTGCCTCATCACCGTCTTCTCCACCCTGGTCATCACCTTTGCGCTGCTGGCGGGCGGCTTGTGGAGCGGCAACACCGACCACGCGGCGGGCTACTGGGGCCTCTTCTGCGGCGCCTCCGCCATCTACTCCGCCTTCGCCTTCCTATACAAGATCGAGCTGGGTGTTGTACTACCCGGGGTGCGGCCCGTGGCTCTTATCTAAGGGCGAGTCGATCGATTTTTGAGAGCACTTGTGAGGAGGATTGTGACCGACATTTGTTTGGCGTTCTGCCTGCTCTTGACTTATTTTCACCCCAAATTGAGGAGTAGGGGCGTGCTGACTTCTCTTGACCCTTGACAAGAAGATTACGCTGGATGTTGGTCCTCCTGATCATGTTGCACGGTTTGCATGTTTTTTTGGCATGGTTTTGGTGTCATCGATTTGATGGCCGTGCTTGGTGCTTTCGTACTTAAGGACGTTGGTAGTCCCTACTCCGTCCGGGTACCGTACTACTCCGTACGGGTACCGTACTACTCCGCGTCCGCCTGCCACGCCGCCTAGATGCGGTGGGCCACGCTCTCTGTCGGGCACCTACCACATTGACTGACGTGGAAGCAAGAAGCGGGATCATACTCACGCGCAGAAGTTGACCCCTTCCATGGGTTGTGACAGGACGTGCGGGGCTTGCTGCCTCATCAGGGCAGCATGTGCGGATATATAACACCAGTTGCGGTGCTGGGTTTTGATCGCATATCAAAACGGTACGGTACGGTACTCACCTGGTAGCCCCGGCTCGGCGGCCGTATCATGCAGGCCAACATGCAATTACTACCAATGCGACACTATTGGTGGATTGCATGTTGCATGCGGGGTTGGAAATTTTGTACAATATCGTAATAATAAGGTGTGTTAAACTATCCATGACGTCCGGTGTCAAGAGGACGAAGTCGGTGCTGCAGGATGGGATTTCCTTTGCTGGGTGCTGTTTGTGAACCCAGAAGAGCCTGCTGTGAAGTTGCAGTACTTGGTAGCGGACGCTTTGTTGCTCTCTGCTTTTTTGCTTTTTGGTTGGAATAATCGTAGCAGTAATTGTAGGAGCGAGTGAACCATGGGTCACACGGCTACACAACATACAGGTATTCCTCATTCTTCATAGCGCCATAGCGCCTGTATAAATTAACCAACAAGTCCCGGAGTTTACCGGAGTAGTGTCCATCCATGGCCGGGCATGCATGCCCCGAGCTCAACAACAACGGCGATGCAACATGGCTCCTGCAACGATGTGTCGCTGTTAGCGTAACGCCCGCCCAGATTGCTCAGGGTTACATCCACCCCCCTCTGGCCGTATCTGTACTACTGTCGGCAGCTGAGCACCGCCTATGCAAGACCTCAAATGATGAGTCAACGAATGAGCCTCCGCACCAGCCGCTGCCACGCATGGCCCTCTGGTAAACAGGCTCCACTACACCCTTCTTCCCCATAAGGCCTCTACGTGCGTGTGTGTGCTGTCGGAAGGACACTTGTGTCGTACAAAAGCACATGAACATGTCTTGGGGTGTTCTCGTGGCCGTCAACTGCTGCGAGCACACATGATGCCTCCATGGCAGGGCACACGGCTGCAACTTGTAAACCAAGGACTTGATTGGCCCCCCATAACATATATACCCATAACCTTCATGACCACGCGCATGATGAGCTGCACATCCAGGACTGGACTCCCAGTTGCTCGCTCCCCAATGAATGACCGGGAAGGTGGCAGCAGCAGGACTGGGAACAAGTTAGAGCGTGCACAGGGAACGAAGGGTGGATCGTCTCCATCACTAACACACGCTGCTGCCGCCGCGCGGCCTGGTATCATGTAATGGCCGACGCCCCCACAGCTCAGGCCGCCTCCCTAGGCTAGCCCAAGCTAAACCAAGGGTGGTTATTTACCCCCCCCGCAGACTCGTTGTTTCACTTAAATATTTTTCCCCGCAGACTCCGAGCGCGGGGAAGTCCAAGGCGTTCACAACTGAAAGCATGCATAAGCAGTTGCCAGGCTGCTCTTTGAAAGTAAGATTGGATGCACTTTCACGGTGAGGATTAGGCAGCGACCCATAGCTGCCAGTCTTCGTGTTACTATTTTGGCTTAGGCTAAAGTTTAACCCAGGTTTCGTGACCATTCCTGAATGACTGTAGCCTATGCAATCCATGGCCACTAAAATAAACCAACGCACGCAAGCGACTCGCTCAACTCCAGCCTCCATAACGCATGTCAGGTCATGTAAATGAGTATTTCATTCCTCCTTTCGTCACTCAAGCAGCTCTTCCACCAAGGATTACATACCATTCAATACTGCCTAACGTGCTAGGCAATGTGCTAGGTACCGCGCGAATTACTTCTTGGCCGGCATCGCAACGTAGCTATGCAACGGTCTGCGCTTGCCTGCGCGCGAAAGCAATCAAACTCGCAATTTATTCACGGTCCAACATCCGAACATCATACGCGTAATCCGTCTAACCTAAGTCAGACACGGTTAGGAGCGGTTACCTCTCAACTCGCCGTACTTTGAGAGCAGATTTAACGCCCACGGCCATCCATACTTAACACAGTCTACTACCTACCTAATCAGTAAAAGACTTACAGTTCGTCACAATGGGTGCAGCCGGGCAGTCATCCTCTGGTAAGTTCTTATGGAGGGATGTCCGCAAAATACCTTTCCGAAAAACACTGCAACGGCATTCATCCTTGCTTGCGGCTCTTCTTATACTTACCCTGGACCGCTATCGACGTTCCTTGTGCGCGCAGAGGGGTCTGACGTCAGCATTAATGTCAAGGCCCTTCCTCCCCCGGCGGCTGCTCCCGCGCCGACTACCGTGCTTGTTCAAGTCAACGCAGCTCTCACACCCGCCGAGTGCTACTGGAAGCTGGTGGAGGCCGGAACCGCTAAGATGAAGTATAGCTGGTTCAAGGTGAGGTTTGCATTATCTTTGCTGGACTGTCGGCATTGCAGCTTCGCTATGTTCTTGTATACTAATCTTGCGTCTTTGTGCCCTTGTAGCTGGCCGTGGGAGGCATCCTCGCTGGCATGTACGTGTCCTTCGGCTTCACCTTCTGCTGCTGCGCCATTGGCCTGGTAAGTGCTCTGCTTTACTATCCTAGATAGCAGGCATAAGCTGCCCTAAGGCTGCGGCTTGCTTGGTTCTGAACTCGGTTTTTCCTATCCATGTCCCTTCACCTGACCTTCCTTGTGTTCCTTGTCTCCCCGCGCAGTTGGGCAACACGATCTATGGTGCCCTGGCCTTCCCTGTTGGTTTGCTTCTGATTATTCTGTGCGGCGCCGAGCTCTACACTGGAAACACCTGCTACATGTTCACTGCTAACATTGAGCGCAAGGCTGCGCTATGGCACCATCTGAAGATCTGCTTCTCTGCTTGGTTCTGGAACTTCGTCGGCGCCCTCATCATGGTTCAGCTAGAGGTGGGTGTGGTGAAAGCACAAATATAGGCAGTGGTGCAGTGCTGCATTTTATACGCATACATTTGCGGACAGCCCTTATAAATGTCCACGGCAACAAACCTTGTCACCTGAAATCTAACTTCGGCTCTGCTGCTCCCTGAATTCCTCCTCTGCAGAAAGCCGCCCAGATCTGGGCCCATCGCGAGGACTGGGTTCACGACATTGCCTTCAAAAAGATGTCTCTTGAGTGGCACGCCGTACTGGTCCGCGCCATCTTTGCCAACTGGCTGGTCAACCTCGCCGTGTACCAGGCTCTGGCTGCTCGCGATGTTGTCGGCAAGGCCATCGGCTGCTGGACCCCCATCACCACCTTCGTCGCTATCGGCCTGGAGCATTGCATTGCCAACCAGTGGCTGATCCCCATGTCCATCTACCTTGACCCCACCACCAAGCACCCCGTCAGCATCACCTGGAGGAACTTTGTTGCCAAGAACCTGATCCCCGCCACCATTGGTGAGTGTGCAACGGGAAGGCATTCAGTCCCTCTGTAGGACGTGTGCATGCCTTACATGTACATGCCTACGATCTGCACTTTTGTGTTTCCTGATACCGCCTTGGAGGATTCTGACAGTAAGGAATTGGCTACCAGCGCGGAAAAAACAATTTTTGTTTCGCTGACAAACTCTTCGCCTCTTCCCCTCAGGCAACTGGATCGGCGGTGCTATCATGGTTGGCCTGCTCAATGCCGCCTTCCACGGCACTAAGATCAACGAGTGGAAGGACAGCGCCTACGAGGTCACTCTTGGCAAGGTGATGAAGAAGGTGGAGGACCCCCTCGAGACCCTAGTGGACCTGTCAGCCCCCGTGTGCCTAAACAGGCCCACTGAGCCGAAGCACTAAGTGATTGCACATGTGCGTGTTTGCTGTGTTTGAGCGGATTCAGCTCGTGGTCGCGGTTGCTATCACGTATCGATATAGGACGCTTGCAGGCCGGGCTCGTTCCTTGGCTTGAGGTTTCCTAATTCATGAATTGGGTAATGTATTGCTTGGGACATGAGGAGAGGGACACATGAGGGAGAAATACGAGGAGAGGGACACATGGGGAGAAGTCTGGACCACGTGATATTGCTGGTTGCATTTGTTGGGGGGTTGCTGGAGGGGCGTGCCTGTGCACTCGTGGCATATGGCTTTGCGCTTTCTTGGCCTTATTAAGAATAATGTCTCGGTGTGCACTGCTCGTCAAACGATCTTTATTATACGCAGTTGAGGCTCGAGTGACTTGGGTTTCAAGTTGTAGGCTAAACGAGGCTGCTTCAACGGAGTTTCATGGTCGCGGTTCACCTGCCGGGTGGTTGGCGGCGGTTTAGTCACCTGGGGTTCCTCCTTTGTACACCACACGACACTACTGTGTTACTGGTGTCTGCAGGTCGCCGCGTGTCTTGTCCTGCAATGGTTGGGTGTTTGCGGCGTATCCTACTTCGGTGAAGTGCATGTGTATTTGTTTCATCTGCGGCTGTTGGTGCCCAGAATCGATGTCGTATATTACCCAATCGGACACAAGAGTTTGGGTCTAGGTTTGATGTTTGCTCTCAGGCACATCCTCCCTAGGTTGCCGTGCTGTCAGGTGGCTGTTGTCAGCAACATATCACGGCGTTCAATAGGCCACGAGGGAGCATCTGTATCTACCCTAGCCACTGACTGACTGGCTTGTGGCGATTTTGCGAGGATGAGGTCGGGTTAGTTGGGAAACGGGTTCATGGGCAGTTAGATGCACATAGTTCGTGTAGCGTTTCTTGCGCGCGATAACATGAGCTATGACGCGATGACGTGGGGTGAATGATAAGTGGCTACAATCGGGATCGTGACAGGACACGAATGCTTGTACGAATGTACTCGCAAATGTGACAACCAAGTTCGAATCCAATTCCCTCGTTTATTGGGATTGCGGGCGACCTGTGGGTCACAGGCGTATGCAGACTACGTTCCTTGTAATATATTGCTCCGAATTCCTATTACCATTCAATACTTTAGCAAAATGCTTGCATCTTACTGGATATATGGTGCCGGCAAGAAGTGTACTGCCAGATCCACCAAGCTGGAATTGTACTATACCGTACATGTACGGCAGAGGTCATATCTACTACTGCAGGGAGAGAGATATAGCAAGAGAGATAGTGATGTATTAGGATTAGATAGCAACCCTGGGTGTTAAGGACGGACACTCGGTGGCCCTTTTTTCAGGCGTGTGAGGCCAGTACTGTATCAACGACAGCCTCGTGCTTGGAAAGTTAAGGTAAGATTACAGTGCGGTGGGGGGGCGGCAGCAACAACAGCTGATGCGTGTATGCAGCAGTTTCGGTGCGAGGGTGATTCGTTCCGCCTGCATGCAGATAGCGGAGGCAGCAATGTCGGTGCCAGAGGGGTAAAAATTATATAAGAAATGCAAACAAGAGGGGTAAGGGAGAAGCAAGACTGCTGGGCCTGCTGGGCCTGCTGGCTAGAGCAGGTTACTGCGGGATCAGAGATTTGCAACCCATACGTGCTCCTTGCTCATTAGCTGACCGAATGCGTGCGTGCGGTGAGAGGGTCATTCAGGGCTAGTAGTATGTGATAGCTACATATGCCATTGGTGGTGTGGGCCGACCCTCAATGCTTCACCTCCCTGGCGGCACAGGTAGGAATGCGGACGTGTCTGGTGCCCAATGATGCAGCTGATGCTTCCCAATCCGGAGACGGGCGGGCGTTAGAAGCCCGCAACAAACCGCTAGCATGGGGTCTAAGAGCTTTTGACGATGGAAACGCGGCGGGACTGCACATCATGCGTCTTACGGGGTTAGGATGGCGTGCCGGCGTGTTGTCGGTCCGCCTTGAACCCAATCTAGAGAGGAAGGGAGCCCCCTGAGTCCTGTGTTGGATCGCCGCTGCAACATTGAAAGGAGGCCTCTAGCGGGTAGATGTATGAAACGGGAGGTGCGTTGCATGGCAATAGGATAGACTGATGGAACCGGAAGCTGTTACACGTGTGCCGCATAGAGGACGTCTCCAAACCAACCTTCCTTACGTTAGTGCTGACCCCCAGCACACCACATGCGTCCTCAGCATCCCTGTTCATCCAGGGAAGCAGCCGGGGGCACATCGCAACAGGCCGTTGCATGCATCAAGCTATGTACAGAACCGCCGGCTGCATATGCCCGTCCTATTGGTTGAGAGCGCCTAAGTCGACCCTCCAAACCCCCATGTTGGGTCCTAAGCGAGAGCGGCGCTGCGGCAGGCTGGCCGAGTGTACAAAACCTCTAACCACCACCACCACCACCTGCAGCACCTTATAACTGCTACCTCAGGAAAGCAGCCCCTCGCCCGACTACCCGACTACCTTGGAAGAGGGCAAAGGGCGCACAGTTCACGCTGCCCCCCACACTTGCATCGCACGCCGTGGCAGCTATTATACCAAATCCTCTCCGCCCCCCACCCGCTGTTGGCCCCCACTTCAAGCTGCCCAGTGGCCCCCCAACCAGTAGCCTGCAGTAACCAGGTCTGCATGAATCAACCAACTACATCCACATCTGCTACAATGACTAACAACACCACCCAGTGCGCCCGTCATCCCCGTCCTACAGGCGTGCATGCACAGAGCACCGTTCCCCCGGCTGCTGCGTAAAACGCTGTGAGTCGGTGATACACAGGTGCCCCCTCCTAGGGCATCACCGCCCATCCCAGCAACACAGTACAATGGAAAGGCGGCCACTCCCGTCAGCAGCAAGCTGCGCTCAGCCTCTCGCTTCCCCCTACCCCTTCTGGCTCCGCCACCGCGCACACCTTTTGCTGACAACCAAAACACAGAGAGCAGCAACGCAGCGGTGTCAGAACGGGAGAGCCACGTCAGCGCTGGCCTCCAGGGTTGTACGGCATCCGCATATTCGTACTACATTCCGACCAGCGTCAAACACATGAGGAGCACAACTTAAACGTGGCAACAACAAAAGCTATCGATTGAGGCTTTCTTGGTCAGTACCGTACTATATAGCCGCAAATGTTATCCAGGGAAACGAGTCTATCAATGAACAAAGCGGTTATGGCAAAATGTGAACATGAGCCTTGCCATACGGAAACTGCGAAAACAACAGCAAGCCCCTCTAGGGGGTTGCAGCACCGGTTAACGTCGCAGTAAGGCATTAGGGGCGCCACACCTCGCTCTGCTGTGTGCTTGTGACGCCGTATGCGAAGCCCACATCGCCGCCGAGGCCACCAAGTCCTGCCCAACGTGATATGATGCAGCAGCGCGAACAGTGGTGTGGCCTGCACCACGGCCACAACAACCCTCGCCTCCGACAACAACCGGATGTTACCTTGCGGGTTCAAGACCAACCCAGCCGTTGTCGTGCCCCGAACGAATGCAGATGTGACACTCCAGTCCGGTACACACAACCAACCACCTTCGCTCGCAACCCCCTGCAGCATTCAGTATCGCCCCCACTCCCCCCTGTCAGTAACGGTCAGTAACGGTCAGTAACGGTATGCCTGCAACCAATTTGAAAGCGCTCGCTCGCAAACAACAACACACCGCGAGAAGCCACATTACCGGCGGACCAAACGCAAATCTCGACAAGCAAATACTCGTTGTTGCCGTTCATCTCATCCCGCGTCCTAACGGCATCCTAACCGCGTCTTAACCGCATGCACGTCAAAATGCTCCTCCGCAACTCACTTAGCCCATCTCCACCATTCCCATCTCCACAGCGTTACATTGCTTCCTGCAGGCTCTCCCCTAACTGACAACGCACATACGCGCTGTATCTTGCGACCAGATCAGATGCACACACTACCCCGCCTGCATCGGAGCAGCAGCAGACATCTCTCTCCGCTGCGCCCAACATGCCACCATCAATCCACCAGGACCTCAGGACCGACTGTACGATGATGCATGACATGCACCACAGCCCACCAAACCCTGACCAAGCCCCAAATACTGCCTCGACATCACCGGTATAGCCCCCGCCCCAATCCACCAGCAATCCCCACCACCGCCCCTCTGCATGCTATAACTCGCCTGCACCCCCACCCACCACCGCAGCCGTTCCATTCCCCCCCTCCGCTCCTGCCGCCCCCGCCGCCGCCGCCACCCCCTCCGCCACGCTCCTCACCTCCGCCGCCAGCAGCTCCAGCCCCGACCGCATCAGTCGCAGCTCCTCCTGCAGCTGAGCCATGCGGGCCACCCAGTAGCCACCACCGCCATCCACACCTCCACCTCCTCCTCCTCCTCCCACCCCCGCTCCTCCTAATGCCCCCAACCCCGCTACATCCGGTGAGGCAGCCAGCAGCGGCGTGGAGGCAGCACCCCCGCCCCCGCCCCCGTACACCGCCGCCCACATGTTGCTCCCCAGGAACAGCAGGTTCACCGCCAGCAGCAGCAGCACCGCAGCCACCAGCGCCCGCAGCGCAGGAGTGCTCTCAGCGCGAGTCAGACTCAACACCAGCTCCACCCCCGCCTCCAACAAGCCGCGAAGCCCCTCCGCCAACCGCCCGCCCAGACTAACCAGCAGCCGCCCCACACCGGGTTCATGGTGGTGGTGGGAGTGACCCATGGGTCCAAAGTCCATGCTTATGCCTAGCCGTGGGTCGGCGGGTGCGCCTTGTTGGGGGTAGTGCTGGCGGTGGGGGTGGGAGGGATCGCCGCCGCCACTGCCGCGGGGGGCGCCGCTGCCGTCGGCGTCGCCGCTGCGATCGGGAGAGTCGCTGTTGTTGTGGTTTCGAAAGGAGGGGAGGTGCTGCATGGAGGTGCGAAGGGAGGAGGTAAGGAGGCGCGGAGGCGGGCCGCCGTTGGCTGCGGCTGCGGGTCGGCCTATGCGGGGCGTGGGTGAGGCTGAGGGGGGGCCGAGCTCGCAGGGGTCCCGCATGTGAAGTGTCTTGCGGGAGGTGATGCGCTCCTGAAGGAAGGGGGGCCGGGAGGAAGGGACAGGGCGAGGGGGCAGGGTGAGGAGGGGCAGGGTGAGGAGGGGGATTGCGGGTACCGGTACTAGTACTGTGGGTGGGGGTTTCCCTTTTGGTACAACCCCCAAGTCAGAACCGAGGGACCGATCCCGCTTTCCCACCACCACCCCCACCACCAACCTCAGCACCCCCACCAATCCCCAGCTCGTCAATTTCTTCCTCCTTAACCCCCCACCCCACCCCCCACGTACACACCTGCATGACGGGTCTCAGCTGCTCCACAAAGTTCGCGAAGGTCTCCTGCACCTGCTTGAAGGAGCCGCTCTCGATCACACCCTTGAACAGGCAGCGGCTGGTGAAGGGAACCCGCACGTGCACATCGAACGTGATCTGAGGGGGGCAGGCAGGAGGCCGGGGCAGACGGGGGGGCAGGCAGGAGGGTTGGTCGGGGGGAGGGGCGCGTCCGTGCCTCTCACAGAGGTAGGCTGGAAGCGCAACAGCATCAGCCGGCACACACCGAGCACTCTCCTCCCCTCTCCCCCATCCTAGGCAGCAGCAAGGCAGGCCAACTTTACCACACCCCTCCCCCCCTCCTCCCAACAACGCTCCTACCTCCTCCTCCCCCCAACCCCCTCACCTGCGGCTTGTCTGGCTCCGCGCCCGCGTCCCTCTTGACGTCCCAGCGCTGGTCCACCGTGAAGCAGTCGCCGTAGGGGATGTCTGTCATGGTCTGCGAGCTCTCGAACACGATGTGGTCGGGGGTGTAGAGGCAGAACCTGGGGGGGGGGGGGGAGGAAGGGGGGCGGGAAGGGAGGGAGGGAGAGGGGCTTAGGAAAGGGAGGACGGGGTTAAGGTGCGGACCTTCAAGCCTCTTCTCATGTGCCCACCTCACCAGGCAGGTAGCGATCCTCGTATCCCCCCCCATGCAACCCCCTCCGCTGCCTCACTCCCCTCACCTCCTTCGGCCGCCCCCCCTCCCCGCCCCCACCTGTGCGACTGGTAGCACGCCGTGTGGCTGACCCCCCAGTTCCCGAACGCCCCCTTGATGGGCGCCGTGAAGTGCAGGTCCCGCACGTGACCCAGCTGAGGGTGGCGCTTCCAGCTGGTCAGGTTGATGCGCCGGTTGCCCTGCGGGGGTGGGAAGGAAGAGGAGGAGGTTGAGGGGCGTCAGAGCGAGAAAGGGGCGAGAGGACGAAGAAGTGGGGTGGCGTGCGAGGCCCATGGACACATGGCACTTGCCCTTCCCACACCTGGTTTCCACATTCTTTACCTCCCCTCCACCCTTGTTTCCCCCCCCCTGCTCCCCACCCCCCCCTTCCACCTGGCTGTCCAGGAAGTCCTCGAAGAAGGGCGCGCTGTCCGCCAGCACCGCCTCGAAGAACTCCCGCGGACACCCCGGCAGCGAGGAGTGAAGCACGTGCCGGCAGCCGGGCAGCAGCGGGGGGGCGGGGCGAGCCTCGGGGACCCACAACCCGGCCTCCTCCTGCCAGGGGGGGGGAGAGAGGGAGGTGGGGGGAGGGTGGTAGTCCTGACCCGGTGAGGGGTGTTTACCTGCTGCAGTCATTCGGCCGGGAACACGGTGTACGACCTGATGACCTCCCTGCTGCGGCCCCCCTTCACACGCGTAAGAGGCTTGTCAGCCGGATGCCCTCCTCCGCTTCTCAAAGGCCCAGACCCCTACCATTCCCCCCAGGACAAAGCCCCCCCTCCCCCTGCCCCCCCCTCACGCACCTCCTCATCGTCCTCATTGTCGTCCCCCATGGACCCCGAGTTGCGGGTCAGCAGCGACCGCTCGCCGCCCATGCCCAGCAGACCCATGGGTCGCCCGCTGGTGCCGTTGCCGCTCGCGCCGCCGCCTCCCTCGCCGCCATTCCCCTGCCGCCCCGCCTCCCCGCCCGCCGCGCCGCTGCCGCCCCGCTGCTGCCCGCCCGCGTCACGTGAGGCCGCCCCGACTGGGAGGCAAGGGAGGGGCAGGGAAGGGAGAGAGAGTGGGAGGCAAAGGGAGGGAGGAACATAACTGGTTAAGAGCTAGAGCGCATGTCACCGCAGGGCACCGGACATCTCTCACGACATGCACCCACTCCCACTATCTCCCCTCCTTCCTTCTCCTCCTCCCGCCCATCTCGGTCTCTTCCCCATGCCCCCACTCCCGCCCCCCCCCTTACGTGTGGAGCTGGTTTCATTTGAGGGCCGCCGACCGGAGTTGTCCCCGCCGCCCTCCTCCGCTAGCCGCCTGGCCGCAGGTGGGGCGGAGGGAAGAGGAGGGAAGGGATCAGGGGGATCGAGTGTTACCGCCAGCAGAACACCGTAGGGAAAGGCACGCCGCGACCCCGAGCTGGCAGGGAAACTTCCCCTTGAAGCTCATCCCAGCATGAGGCCCCCCGCATCCGCCCCTCCCTTCCTCCCCCCTCCCCCCTCACTTGGCCTCCGGCACCAGCTTCTGCACCAGCTGGAAGGCCTCCTCGCGCGACAGGAAGGAGGTGAAGAAGTCCTTGCGCTCGTCCGTCTCAATCTGGACAGGGCGGGCAGCAGGGAGGGGACGGGGAGGCAGGCCAGGGAGGGAGGGGCAGCATTAGGGGGTGGAATGCAGGACACCGCGCTCAGGGCCGTCGGTCCCCTGGTGCCAGGCCCCCCTCTGGCAGCCCTTCATTGGGGAGCCCTCACATCCTTTCTTGGGGAGCCAGCCAATGCTGAACAGCAGCTTAACCCCGCTGTTGCCGCCGCAAAGGGAGCGTTGCGGGATGCACTCCGTGCCTGGCGGGTGGGGGCTGGGCGCGGGTGCAGTGCCGCGGCTGCTGCGCTAAGCCCCCGCCCTCCGGCCCCTCCCCTGCCCCAAGGCTGCGGGACTGCGGTGCGCAGGCGCTGCCTCCTTGCTAGGGAAGCCAAGAGACGGAGCATGTACGGCACCGCCGGCGCTGCAGCAGCCCCGCGCCCCTGGGCCATGTATAGCCCCCAGCCGGGTAAGCGCCCCTGTATAGGGCCCCACTCTAGCTACGCATCGAGCCGCTGTGAGCATGCCTGCTCCCGCCCGCGACCGCGCCACCGCCCGCGCTCTACGCAACCCGCATGCCCCGCTGACCTCCAGTGAGTTGGGGAAGCCCAGGTGCGTCTTCTTGCGCACCGCCTTGATGGTCTGCACCGCGGCAGTTAGGAGGAGGGGTGGGAGGAGGGGCCATAGGGTGGTGTAGTGGCAGAAGGGGGTGTCAGTAACAGCAAGGACGGTTGGATGTGGAAGGGACTGTCAACCTGCCCGCCCGTCCGACATGACCTACCCGCATAGGTATTCGCCGTTTCTTGGCAAAGCCGAACACAGCCGAGTAGAAGCAGACGTAGTGGTTGAATACATATATGCGGCCCTGCGTGGGAGCGGGTACCGCGGCTTGCATGAAATGCCTGTTCCCGCGTGCAGTGCGATATGCGATAACTTTAAGAAGAAACGCGGGGACGTTAAACGTTGTTAAGGCCTACCTGTAAAAGCACTCTTTTGCGCAGAGCACAGTGGAAGTCGCCAAGCAGGTTCTGCAGGTAGGTGGCAATGACAAGAGGCGCTTAGCAACGAATCCTCAGTGGTCCCGTAACGATGCACGAGGTTAAGCCTTACTTCCGATGGTGGCAGCTCAAAGAAACGCGCGAGGTCCCCTTTGTGACCACGGAGCATAACCCCCGCGTAAAAAACGGGCGCGGACTGCCCAGCCGCCGTAGACGATGTGCCATCGCCAATATCATGATGTCCTTCGTCATTCTGCGGTCCTACGGAGCTTCGACCAGTGTCTTGGGTTGCTTGACGAGCTGGTTCCTCATCGCCATTCGTGTGCGGAGAAGCCTGGGGGCTGGCTCCTGGAAAGCTTGACGTTATGAGCGTAGGCCTAGTAAGTGCTTTGAGCATCCTTGAGCATTCCGGTGAATAACAATGGCGCTGCTTCAGCCTGCTATAGGCGAGCGGTTGGGGCACTTGGCACCTTCTAGTGTCTTCAAGGCGTTGTCAACTTATTGTATATTATAAGCTATGAAAGACATGCTTCGTCGATGGCCTGATTTGTCAATAGCATAATGGTCTAACTGAACACGTATGGTGCGTCAACTGCATGTGATCAAGGCCCATGGTCTGTCGTAACATACTCCAAATAACAGCCGGCTGTTGTAAGGAATCGATTTTCCTTCTGCTTTTTAGATGATAATAAGACATTATAGTAATTTTGTAATCCAGGTGTACGGGTTACCTTTTTTATCATATTATTTGTCTATTCTGTGCTCTGGCACTCTGCGAAGTCAACCTCAACCAAGGTTACCTAGTAATCATTCGCGTGCGATGCGCCATCGATGCGCCATCGAACTGGCCCTCGTATGCAACCCCACCCGAGGCCCTCGCAGGATAGGCCCGGCCTTCCTCCTTAGCTAGACTCCTGTCAACTCCTGCATTAGATTGGAATGCTTCAACCCTGCGCCAACTGACTCGAAAGCATGGCTTCAGCCAGCTCGCAGCCCCTCATGTCCCGTCTCGCATTGTCCGCCATGATGTCACCACACCGCCGACACCCCCGCTGACCAAGCCTTAGTCCTCTTTTGCATAAAGATCCTTCCCTTTGACTTAGGCGAATCCTGCATAACGAACACCCAGTTGATGGCGTACTGGTATTTAGGCGAATCCTGCATAACGAACACCCAGTTGATGGCGTACTGGTATGTACCGCCAATACGACACACCTAACGCCGTGGCCCCCGTTTGCCTTGATTGCTGGTCTCAACACGTCCGATAACATGACGCACGGTTAAAATTTACACGAGCTAGCCTCACCGGCAAACGCCATCAAACCTCGTCCTCCCCTGCAGCTGTCCCCCAAGAGAACACTCTTCCTTTGTTGATCACTTGATCACTCCACGACAACACTCCGACTCGGCATATTACTGGCGCTGCTTCATGTCAGCAGACCGCACTGCCACGTCAAAAGCCCAATGCCACCTCTACTCCGCCTCCTCCTCTCCTGCCCCTTCCTCCTCCTCCCTGTCCGCGCGCATCCCCGCCGCCAGCTCCTCCACCGCCGCCACCTGCGCCGCCGCCCACTCCGCAGCCCCCCTCAGCTGAGCCGGCGAGGCAGCCGCCGCCGCCCCCGACCCCAGCAGCGGAGCAGCCAGCGCGGAACCCGCGTCACGAGGCACTGCCGACAGCGCGCCATGCCCCTGTCCTAGCCCTCCATCCCCAGGTGTTGACTCCGCAGATGATGACGGCGGCGGGGGCAGCTGGGTTACGTCGCCCAGGTAGTGCCCCACGCACATGCGGGAGCGCAGCAGCTGGAACAGCAGCTTGTCGCTGGGGCGGCCGTAGCGCGTGAGCAGCACGCGGATGACATGCTTGGTGGCTTCGGTGACCCGTGGGTCGTCGCGGCCGTAGAGCTCCGTAGCGCGGGACATGGCCTCGTACACCAGGTAGAAGTGCATGTCGGAGGCTGGAGGGGGCGGGGGCGTGATTGGGTAAGGAGGTGGGGGTGGTTAAAGACAGAAGGGAATACCATGCTGGGTATGGGTATGGGGTGTGTGTTAAGAAAACGGCCGCGAGTAGGAACGTGTGTGGCTTCCCGATGGTTTTAACCATGCGGTTAAACCGCTCTTGCGAAAGCAAAAACGCAGTTATGTGCATGCACGCATGGCCTCCTCGCGCCTCGCGTCCTCTCCCCGTTCCCAACCTCACCCTTCCACCTTCCTCTTCTGTTTTCACTCCGCCTCACTCACCTGCCACCACCGCCTCCACTATCCCAGCAAGGTCCGCAGGAACCTCCGGGTCGCTGTACGGCATCTGATCGGGTCGTTGTACGGCACTCGTGCTGCTGCCACCACCAAACATGACACCACTGCTGCTGCTGCTGCCGTCACCGCTACTACCGCCGAATGCCGCATCCAGGCCTGCAGCCCCGACAGCCTCTTGCGGCCCCCCTGCAGCTACCTCCGCCTCCGCCCAGCCGGCTAGCCCGCTGAAGACGCCCCCTACCTCCCCCGCTGCCGCTCCCGGTGCTGCTCCCGCTGCTCTTGCCATGTCCAGTGGCAGTCGGGCCTTACGCCTCTCGCTACTGCCGCTGTCGGAGGGTTGGTGTTGCTGCTGCTGCTGCGGAGGAGGAGGAGGCAGGTCCCTGATGGCTGCGAGGGAGCGGTAGGCGGGGTAGGCGGAGCAGCGGAGCCACTGGCGCACCTGAGAGGGGAGGGAGGGGAGTGGGGAGGAGGAGGGTGAGGAGGGGGCGGGGCAGGTGGTCCCCGAGGACGCTCGAGATGAGGAGGGGGCTGTGGTGTAACGCTCGCGCGACCAGGTACGCAAACGACACGCACGCATACACAGCCGGCTTCCTTAGCACACCTTTGTATAGTCGCTGCCAGTTCTGTGACACACCTACATACACGCGCGCATAAACCCACGCATATACACGCCTACACACACACGCGCACGCTCCCCACCCCCCTCACCTCCCCCTCCAGCCCCGCCTCCTCCATGGCCGTCTCCAGCGCCTCCACCGCCCCCGCCAGCTGCCCCTCCAGCTCGCATAGGGCCCCCCGGTCGCTAGTCGCCCTCGCCTCCGCCGCCAGCTGTACGGCAGCGGGGGCGGTGGCGGCGGAGTAGGCGGCGGAGACGGCGGCGGTGACGGCGGGGGGGAGCGAGGACTCGGCCTGGGGGAGACAGGAGGAGAGGGAGGGGAGGAGGGGGGGGGGGGTAGGAGAGGGTTTATAGAGGGGAAGGGAATAAGAGTGGGTGGGCACATGCGGGAAGGCATGTAGAAGCGGTGCTCCCCACCTCCACATGCTTCCCTCCCCTCCCCCCGCCCTCCCCTCCCCCCACCTGGCACCTCTCGCAGGCGCACGTGAAGCCGTACGCCCCCTGCAGCCACTGCCTGCGCTGCTGCAGCGGCGCCAGGGCCAGGTCGGCCAGGTAGCTGGTGGTCACCTCGGCGCCGGGGGGCAGCTTGCGGACTGCCTGGGGGGACGGGTAGGGGAGGAGGGGAGGGAGCGGTGAGGGAACAGATGCAGAGTTTTTCTTCCCCCCTTCCTCTTTCCCTCACCTGCACCAGCATGCAGGACCCCACGGTGAAGGCCACTGTGTTGGGCGCACACGAGTGGTTGAGCAGGGAGAACTCGGGCCAGATGCCTGGGGGGGGGGTGAGGAGAGGGGGGAGGGGGAGGGGGACAAGCATGTGTGTTTGGGGAGGAAGGGGCGGGGAAAGGGGGGGAGGTGCCGGGGGTGGCGTCGGGCTCATTGAACCCTTGATACCCCTGAGTGGCTGCGTCAGGCCCCTTCCTCAGCCCCACTCAGCCCACCCCTCCCTCTATACCTCCTCCCTCCATCCCCTCTACCCAGCCCTCCCCCTGTCCCCCCTGTAATTCCTCTTTACCCACTCCACCCACCCAAATCCCCACCCCCGCACCCACCCATCACCGCCTCCAGCTCCTCCCCCCGCAGCCCCGCGGCCCCCAGCTCGCCCCACGCGTTGCCCCAGCTGTCGTACTTGGCCAGCCGGCGCAGCTCGGAGGGGGAGAGCGGGGGGGCGGACAGGGAGGCTGCCGGTATGAGGGGGGGGGAGGGACAAGGAGGGGGGGAAGGGGAGCGGAATGGGAGAGAGGAGGGCACATTGTGTCATGATGGGGTCCCCGAGGGAGGAATATGAGGTTGCAGCAGCAGCCGCAGCAGCGGGATCCCGGTAGCATCCCTCCCACCGCACCCCGCCCTGACCCTCCCGTGTCCATCCCCCTCCTCGTGCTACGTCTCGCCCCGCAATCCCCCTCCCACCCTCCCCCGCCCCCTCCCGCCCCCGCCCCGCACCCCACCCCCCACTGCGCACCTAGGTCAATGCCCGTCTCCGCTCCTCCCGCCGCTCCTCCTGCCGGCCCCGCTCCGAAACCCTTCCCCCGGGCCTTCTTGGGCCCCCCGTCCCGCGCCCCCTGCCGCCGCAGCTTGTCCTCCAGCTTGCGGAAGTCATCCAGGGAGGGGCAGGCAGCGGTGGGGGCGGGGGAGGAGGGGTCGGCCGGGGGCCCCTCGTACAGCAGGCGTAGTCGGGCCCTGCGTGGGGGGGAGTACGTAAGTCAACCGGGGAGCAGGGCGGGGAAGGAGAGGGTGAGCGGTGAGATGGAGGTTTGAGTTGATGGATGCTGGATGCTGGGGTCGGCAGAAGGGCGAAGTGGGGTTTGAGGATGGCTCAAGTGACCGGTATGCTTATGACAGCCCCCAACCCCCCCCCCCATGGCATGTAACAGCATGCCCTGGCCTTGAGCTCCTGGCACCTCAGCCCCCCCCTCTCTTTAAGTTTTACCCCCCCTTTTGATTTGAGATGCGTGTTATTAGTGCCTCCGAATGCGCTCACTGCATGAGTCGGGCTATGGGATTGGGATTCGTTGTTTCACTTTTATATAAATTTCCCCCCTTTTCGTACATCAGCTTACTACACCCCCACCTATGCTACCCCAGGTGCTCCCTGCCAGCCCAACAGCTCTACCCCCCCTTCAACCCACACCCCCGCCCCCCCCTCACCTGTCCGCCGGCCCCAGCTTCCCCTCCCGCTGCCACTCCTCCAGCGCCGCCGCCAGCTCCTCCGGCTGCGGCTCCCGACCCGCGGGTCCGTCCAGCACCCGCCCGCCCACCGGCTCGCACAGCAGCAGCGTCTCGCCGGCTTGCACGGAGCGGTCGGTGACCAGGCCGCGACCACGACCTAGATGGGGTGGAAGTAAGGAGAATGGGGGGGAAGGGGAAAGGGGCGGAGAGAATGGGGCCAAGGGGGGAAGGGGGAGTTGATTGGAGGCCGGGGAACGGCGGGGATGTGTGACGCGAGGGCAGGGGGGAAGAAGGAGCGGGGGAAGGGTGCGGATGGTAGCGGAGGGGTGGCGCGCCGCGATGCATGGCGTGTGGGAGTGGTGGTGGTGGTGGTGGTGGTGTTGGGAGGTGGTGGAGGGAGGAGGGAGGAGGGATGGGGAGGAGGCGAGCGATGCTTGCAAGGCGCTAGCCGGCTGGTGATGGTGAAAACCCGAGTGCGTTCTTCATCCAAGTGCATGGCAGGTTGGTGCAGCAGGTAAGGAGGAAGGAAGGCCCTGGCGACCCAGTTGGGTGTGGTGAAGCATCATCCGCATGTGTGCCTGTGCGCTTGCAGCGGGACAGCGTGCGATGTCCTGCTGCGGCAGCCGCTAGGCCAGCAATATCGCTTCTTCCCCAGGGTTGTCCGTCTCACTTCAAGACGTGTCCCGACTTTTCATGTCCCCGAAGAAAGCCTTTCCGTGGCTCTTCCCCTCTGCCCCGTGTCTCCGTCGCACGTGTCGCCAGCTCCTTACCTGGCAGCTGTACCAGCTTTAAAGGCCCATACTGACGCCCGGGTTTGTACGATGGCTGTGAGTATAGGCGGTCATAGTCAATGCTTACGAAATTAGACTTTTTGGTGTGGTTTTGCGCTATGTTGGTTTTGTATTTCAGCTTCGCGAAGGCCTGCAGTCCTGGCCTCCGGCAGAGCCTCCGGCATGGGGCTGGTCCTTGCCCGAAGACGCCAACAAGAGGCGCTTGCCAGCACTGCATTCGTAGCAAGACCTTCCTCTCGAAACGGAAAACGATGCTCTGCTAACTGGGGATGCTCCGAGTCGTGCAATGGTGTTGCGAACTGGGTCAGCCTTGGCGGCTAGTAGGAATTGTGTTCAGCGATAAGTGAACATAGCCTTTGGGGACAATTCACAGTAGGTCGCACTCAATTGCCTACAGCAAGCTTCCAAGGACTAAGTAGAGGTGCGGATTGGGTTGCCTTGAATTGTAATGTTGCCGACGGCTGTGCAAACCGAGGATTAGGGGGTGTACTGTTGCATACTAAGCAGGCTGCAACGAACAGCTTTGCAACAAGTACGACAATTCAAGGTACAAATAATTCCGCGCCAACGCGAAGCCAGGGGCGTTGCTATGGTACAATATACAGTAGGGCCTGTATTTAAATACTTGACTCTATTGTTGTGTTTGGCAAGGCAGCTCATCCACTCTACCTTGTGCGTAGTGCCACCCACATTATCCTAGGGCCAGAGGCCCAACCCTTGCTTTACCATGGCCAGGACACTAGCTATAACAGTGAAATTTATCCTTGCATTCAGCGTTGTACTTGCGTGTAGCGACCTCTTGACCAAGCCGCTTGAGGTGCGCCGATTGATCGGCACGCTGCCAGGTTTCTTAACAGCCAGCCAAAGCAAAGTGGTCATTGCGTTGTAGGGAACACAAGCGGAATCATCGACGTTGCTGTTAGCAGGCCCGCCAGGGGCTCTCATAAGGTACGGGGGGACGCGGGGGAGGTGCCGGTAGGAGACGCGCGGTCTTGTGTTGGAGTAGTTACGCTTCTCCGTCGTTACAGTAACACCGGTTTGTTGTACCTTCATGGCTCTAGCTATTGCCAATCCTGTGTCACTTTCACGTAAAGCGCGCGCGAAAATCGTTGTCGAGCTATAGGTTTTACCACCTTGCTGCTCCACCCATATCGCTTATTTTAAACACTAACTCTTTTGCTGGCATGCCCGCGCAGCCGCGTGCGACAATGGTTCTCATCATATGCGACGATGGCCGACATGCCCACGGAAGAACGTCTACGTCTCCTAAAGGAGGAGAACGTGTGGAAGAACAACCTGGTCATGTGGATGTTTCCTGACGGTGTTCGCGATCAAATACCCCACTTTTGGCAGACATGGATTCGTTGCTGGATCCTTTGTGCTGCGGTATACTACATCATTGGCGGCCTTTGGTGCTATTACACGTACTTTTGCTTTGGAGACAAGCTCTTTGCGCCCGGCACCATTCCTGCCGCGAAGGAGGTGCTGAAGCAAATTAGGGTAGGTGCTGGGTCGGGTTGGGTATGCATGCAGTGCCTCGGGCTTGCCGCCCTGCTACTGTTCCTTTGCTTAGCCCATGGTGGTGGCCCGTTTGCGCTTTCGGACACTTGATCAACACGTCTGTGTTGCCTGCCAACTAACTCCCACCATGCATGCAACCAGACGCACAGTCCACGTCCCCTCCCCTCTCCCCGGCGATGGCTCGTCCCCCATGACACCCTGTTCCATGCTTTCTAGCTAAATTGCCTTGTTCACTTATTCCCACCGCCCTTTCACCTTCCCGTCCCTTCGCATCCACTCCCAACCCTTGCCTCTACTCCTCCCTCCTCCGACCCCTGCAGGTGTCCAGCATTGCCATGCCGCTCTACTCCATGCTGCCCGCCCTCACCGAGGCCGCTGCGGAGCGCGGCTGGACGCGCGCCTACCCGCGTGTGGAGAACGTGGGGCTGCCCGCCTACGTGCTCTACTTCTTCATCTACATGGTCTCGGTGGAGTTCGGGGTGTACTGGATGCACCGAGGGCTGCATGACGTCACCTGGCTGTACAAGTAAGGAGGGAAGGAGGGGGGTGACTTGGTTGTCGAGGAATAGACGCGAAGGGTAGGGTAAAGAGGATGAGCGAAATAAGGAGCTGTAGGCGGCGGTAGGGGTGTTGGTTGGGGCGCTAAGCGGTACTTGATTGGGGCTTCAAAGGGTAGGATACTGCGCGAATGGTTGGGATGTCTTCTAGCACCACCCCCTTCACATACACCCGCGCCAACACCATACCCGGCTCACCCACCACCCCAATTCCAACCCCTCCCTCCCCTCCCTCCAGGTACCTCCACTTCGAGCACCACATCTACAACAAGGAGCACACCCTCTCGCCCTTTGCCGGCCTGGCCTTCAACCCCATTGACGGCATCATCCAGGCCATCCCCTACACTTATACGCTCTTCTTCTGCCCCATGCACTTCCTCACGCACGAGATCCTGCTCTTCGCCACCGGCGTCTGGACCACCAACATCCATGACGTCATCCACGGCGGCGTGTGGCCGGTCATGGGGGCGGGCTACCACACCATCCACCACACCACCTACAAGCACAACTACGGACACTACTTTGTGTTTATTGACTGGCTGTACGGCACCATGTTGACGCCGGAGCAGCATGATGCGGATATGGCGGCGAAGACGGGGGCGGGAAGTGGAAAGGTCGCGACGGTGAGCGCGACCGCGACGATTGCGGAGACGGCAGGGGGTGCTAGGGGGAAGAAGGTGCAATAATGAATGATGTGCGTCTGCTAGTACTGTGTGGCTACACTGTTTCTGTGGTACATGGTGAACTGGTTGGTTGGTTCAGTGCGTTTGGTTGGCTAGCTGTTTGGCATGGTGTGCGGTGTGGTGGGCTGGCATGCTGGGGGGAGGCTTGTGCTCGCAAAGCTTGTGGATGGTGGTGCTTATTGAAGCGTTGGCCGGTGTTGGAAACAAGTAATAATGTGGAATGTGCTATGCGATGGTGGTGTCCTTAACGTGCGCTCATGTGGAATGGTGCGGGCGGATGCGGGTATTTGAGAGAGGCATGGGAATGGGGCGTTAAGACGGCTAGTGAGAGCCGCGGTTGCATCAGACGAGTCTCGCTTAGGGAGAGCGGCTTTTACCCTTGACCCGAGAGCGAGCAACCCACGCATAAGACTCGGGGAGGTTGTGTCAGCAGCGGTTTTCTTGCCTGCTTGCATAAGCGTTACCCATCTGCTTGCGTAGCGAGGATGAAACCTGTGTGACCCCCTTTTTAGCATTGTGCAAGGAGACTTCCTCCGTGCTTTAGACGGCCTTTGCCCTTGGCAGATGTCCCCTTGAGGCCCTCAACAACTGCTGTTTTTCCTAGATCCTGTTTGTGCAGATATATGTGCAGTACTTGAAAGCAGACTTCCCGGACCCGACGTTTGTACGGCACTTGGCGTGGCTTATACTGTGCGGAAGGCTACTGTTCCTTCTTATTCATGCGCGGTTTAGTTATATTGATTGGGCTACACATGCTTCCTTGCTGTTTCAAATTGGTTTTTGAGCGAGGAATGGCACGGATTGCCATAATGCAGGTGTGACAGGGCTGCGGAATAGCAATCTTCGTTTCGCCCCTGTAATTTAGGCAATTTTGTGATAATCCCCCACAACCTGTTCTATTGTCCACAGTTGACAGGGGGTGACCTGCAGCCGTGCGCGCACACAGCGTCAAGTGATGTCTAGCTGTTAAAATCTGGAGATGTCCTCCAGAAGCATAGTTCTCACTGAACAAGATTGGCAAGATCATTAAAGCTTCGATGCAACCTATCAAGACTTGCGCATTGCATGGGCACTGTCACAAGAGTTAGCGATTGGCATGTCCTACGCACAGCGACCCCACCGCAAGCCTCAAGGCACCATTCGCAATATAAACACATGCACACAGGAAATAGTAAACTGTCAGGCATCACACGTCAAACCGCGCCAGCATGTTGAAGCAGCATGAGACAAAAAGGTCGACAGTCAAGCCCCATGTAACGGTGTTATCTGCAGCATCGAATTATCGGCAAGGCATCAGCGACTAGCATTGTGCCCGCGCAGCAAGCGGCGTAACAAAACCCGCAAGTGCCGCATGCTCCTCAGTCCCACAGCTCCGTCAGGTCGGCCTCGCGTCAGCGGAATGTCAACACGGGACTGCAGCAGTCCAGGGGAGGCCATGCTGTGTCTCTCCTCTACCCCTGCGCTACGCTCCACTTATGAGACAGTGGAAGCAGGGGGCTGCACTGCCCCGCCTCCTGGGCAAGTGCGTGTTCGGACTAGTAGTAGCAATGGCACGCTATCTCGGCACTCAAGCTTGGCTCTTCTCCTGGCGCAGATGCGACCAGGCCACGAGTCAGTGGAACGGCAAGCCCTCACCCTACTGCATGCTCCTACCTAACTCTTCCCTTTCCCAACCTGGCCCCTAAATTCCGCCCCAAAAGCCCCCCATTCTCTCCAACGCCATCGTCAGTTACCCATTCCCCCTGCAACCTCATCCCGCCCGTCGCCTTTGCACTAATCCCCCTCCCTTTAGCATGTGTTAATCTTCTCCTCCTGCAGCCCAAGTGTCCCGCAGCTCACTACCCCCTTGCATCCCCCAGCTCCCCGCAGCACGAGAGGAGCATGTGCAGTACAGCCCTCAGCACGAAAAGTACATGTTGCGGCTCCTCAATACATGAAGAGCTCCTTGGGACCGTTGGCCTTGAGCTCCCGGCCCGCCTCCTGGCCCGCCGCCACCGCCTCCGCCTCGCCGAAGCCCGCCACCCGGCTGGTGCGCATCATCTGGGTGCCGTCGGGGGTGGCCACCAGGCCGCTGAAGTGCAGCTGCCCGTCAGCGCCCTTGTGCGCGTAGCCTGGGGGCAGCAAGGGAGGGGCGGGTGGGAAGAAGGGAAGTGGCAGGGAGGACACGGTAAGCCGCCACGCCATAGCTGAACAGGCAAGCTATGTCAAAGCATCTCACCCATTCAGCTCCCCATCAGCCCAAATGTAATTACAACCCTTGAACCCTGCGCACCCAGCACCCAACAACCCCAACCCCTACCTGCAATGGGCGTACGGCAGGATCCATCCAGCGCCGCCAGGAAGGCGCGCTCGCACACCACCGCCACGCGCGTCTCCTCGTGGTTCAGCGCCGCCAGCAGCCGGCGGCTGGGGTCGTCGTCTGTACGGCAGGCGATACCGATGGCTCCCTGGCTGACGGCGGGCAGCATCTCCTCGATGGACAGGATCTGCGTGATGTGCTGCGTCATGTCCAGGCGCTTCAGGCCGGCCAGCGCGAGCAGCGTGGCGGAGCAGGCGCCCTCGTTGAGCTTGCGCAGGCGGGTCTGCACGTTGCCGCGGAAGTTCTCGACCTGCGAGGGGGCCGGCAGGAGGGGTGAGGTAGGGAAGCAGGGAGGGGTGAGGAGGAAGGGCGGGGTGTGCAGGAGGGTGTCACCGATGCCAGCAGGTACGCGTGGCTACAGTGCGCCCATGCACCATTCCTCAACCCAACCGCCCGTATACACCTCAGCCCGCCCGTATCCCAATTATCCTAGAGTGTCGTCCCCTTTTGTTCCTCTCGACCGTATCCTGGTCGGTATTACTCTTGCAGTTCCCGTCAGTGCAATAGACCCCCTTCAATGCGGCTCAGCCGACGTCACTCCCAGGGTGTCCCCGCGGCACAGGATGCCATCGCTCCTTGCACCACCAACAAGCCACAGTTACCACCGTTCGATTGACTTTGATGCAACGCAGGACTCAGACCCATGTGTCCCAAAAACGCACCCCACCTGCGCACGCGTCACGGCCCTGCACCCCACCACCTTGCTGCCGCCCTAACCCCAGTTCAAAACCGCTTGGCTATCCGAGTCCGGAAAGCTGAAGGCCGCCTTGCATGTGACAGGTAACGTGCCTCCCTCCCCACGTCCCTCTCCTATCCCCAGCTCATCGCAGCTCACACCCGCGTACCGCCTGTCCCGCCACCCCTAGCCCCCGTCTCAGATTCTCTAGCCCCCTCCCGCCTGAGAGCCCGCACCCCACCAACTCTCCCCATTGAACCTACCTTGAGGTGCGGGTACTTGGCCAGGATCTGCGCCTGGCGCCGCAGCGAGGCGGAGCCCACCACCGCGCCCGCGGGCAGCTCTGACAGGTCCTTGGCGGTGGGCGAGATGAAGACGTCGCGCACGTCCTCGCGGGGCAGGTTGCAGGGCAGGATGGTGCCCTCGGGCAGGTAGGTGGGCACGTCCTGGAGGAGGGAGAGGGGAGAAGGGAGGGAGGAGGGAAGGGTGAGGAATGGCGCTGGCATGACAGAGTTATAGAGACAATCCTGGTTGTTTGGATCTAAATTAAGAGCGTAGCGCTGCGTGAACAGGCGTAAGCCAAGGGGGTAGGAGCCCTAAAGGTCGGGGCATGTTGCTTACGCGTACTGGTGTAGGCAAAGCGCCTTCCGCTGCTACGAGTCAAGGGCACAACTTTGCCATGGACGGGTGGGTGTGTATACCGCAGGAGGGGACCGCTGCCTACCTTCATGGAGTGAACAGCGATGTCAATCTTGCCGCTCAGTAGGGCGTCATCAATCTCCTTTGTGAAGAGACCCTTGCCGCCGATGTCAGCTAGTGGCTGGTTAAGGATTTTATCGCCGGTCGTCTTAATGATGACGATCTCCAGAGCTCCTTCCTCGTTCAGCTCAGGGAAGTTTTGCTGCAATCATAAACAAAGTAGGCACAGGTAAGCCTACGTCTGCGTCTCTCGGGCATGATGGTAAAAGTAAGACGACGTCTTGCTGAACCACAAAAGCGGCTAACCAAGTAGAGCTTAAGTGACGAAGTATTATTATCCAAGGTCGTCTTCCCGCACACCTTAAGCAGGTCACGCGTCATGTAAGCCTGTGCAAGCGCCAGCGGTGAGCCGCGAGTACCAATCTTCACGGTCTTGGTGGCCACAGCTGAGGCAACAACTTGGCATGACCGACGGCCTACGCGGCAGACCGCAACCCGCTTAGGTGCGGTGGCCCTGCAACAGGGCAGAGACCGTTCTTGAGTCGCCATCTCCGGATCAAATTGAACATTTAAGAAGGCGGGGATGCGTTTAGAATGAATTCCTAGCCAGGCTGTCCGTCCTTGATGTCCTTTGTCGCGCTTGCTAAACAACTGCCGCCGCATGCTGCCCCAGTTTTATGACATGAGACGACGCTTAGATCTTCGTTCACAACAACCCATATATCCACCCATTTATGCAAAGAACCAGTCAAGTACCTGAAGCAGGAAGACTTGGCCATCCGCAGGCCCTCCGTCCGGCTGAGGCACTGCTGCATCTTTGTAGTGTGCGAGTAGAAATACCCAGTAGCAGGAGTTGGTAAGCAAAGTACAGGTAAGGAAGCAATTTCCGATCTGAATAACCAGGATCTATGCATGTACGAGCTATAGGGCCCTTGGCATGTCGCGAGCCTAACGAAGTCAACGCGAATTACTAGGTTTCTGCAACTTCTTTCCAGTTAATACTTTCGTTTAATGGGATTCTATTGGATGATGTCGTATGAAACAACTAAGAGTGTTGCAGAGTTCTGCTAACTTGGTTACGGTATACTAAGTTCCGTCCTACTGATGCAAAACTTTTAATTGTCACTTGAATGCCTTCCTAGCACCTGCCGTACACAAGCATCTGCTGCAGCCTTGTAACTCGTCCTTCGAACAGCTTGTTGAGCTATTATCACCTCCAAATGCACCGTCTTCTTGTCACATTCGGAAACGCCGAGCATGGTCGGCTAGGGCTTGGCCTGGCCTCAGGCGCGCTGTCGGGCGCGACTGTCCCACGGGTCTGCCTGGCCCTTGCGAAGTACGACTTGGAGTCAGTCGCGGCAGGCGGGGCGCACACGGCCGTGGTCACACGTAAGCACGTGATGTGATGAACGACTTACTCCTTTGGATGCCCCCACTCCATCGAAAGCACACCACGAGGCATGTCCTATCCATTGTCACATCCATCTGACAGAAGTGCCCCAGCCACCCTCCCCTTCCCCCGCCCCTCATTTCCCTTCCCTCCTTTGCCCCCCAACCTATCCAGAAGCGGCCATGGGGCCTGCAGTGGGCATTAGAATTTATTGGGTGACCCATTTTACTTATTTCATCCCCCTTCCCGCAGGCGGCGGGCTGCTGTTCACGTTCGGTCTCAACAGCCGGGGGCAGCTGGGGCACTCACCCGGGGGGACATGCATCGCGGTGGGAGAGGGGGGGGCTGTTGGAGCGGACTCTGGCTGGGTTGGGGCGGCGGGAGGAGATCCCGCAGCCGTACGGAGCCGTACGCGTGTGTTAGGTGTGCAGTGTGTGCTGGGCTGCTGCCCCCCTCCTCCCTCCCTTCCACGCCCCGGCTGTGCTGCTCTCCGCCAGCCAGCTGCAGCTGGTCTGTCAAGACCCGCCCTCCTCTCTCCCGAGCTCGCGGGGCACCGCTCTTCCCTTCTTTCCCCCTCATTCCCGCCCCCTCATGCCGTCCCTCCTCCCCTCCCCTTCCCCCCCAGGAGCCCACTGCCGTACTGCTGCCCGAGCCCGCTACCGCAGTGGCGGCGGGCGGGGCGCACACGCTGTGTCTCACGGGTGAGGGCGGACTGGGTGACGGTTGGCCCTGGCTCCCCTGCATCCCACCCCTCACTCCTTCGTCAGTTTTCCTTATTTTTACACCTCCCCTCCAACGTCTCAACGCACTCGCACCCCTCCCGTCACCCGCAGTCCCAGGACTGCGTTGTTGCACTTATCTATAATTTTCCTCTCCCGTCACCCCACCCCCTGCTCCCCCTGCCACCATCGTTTCACAATGTGGTCGCTGTCTTTCTTACCGGTATTTCCTTTTTTCCCGCCCCATCCTCCCTGCCAGAGAGCGGGCGTGTGTTCTCATTCGGCTGCAACTCCGCGGGCCAACTGGGGCTGGGTGCAGCCGGGGCAGCCGGGGCCTGGCGGGCGCAGCAGCAGCAGCAGCAGCAGCAGCAGCCGGCCTCCCCCTGCACCGCCACCCCCAGCCTGGTGGAGGCACTGGCAGGTGGTGTGGCGTGTGGGTGCAGTGCACGTCCGCATGTCCGCACAACCCGGCGTATCGGACATTCCTTTTGCCTACACCGCCTCTCCACCCCCCACCCTCACCGCTGGACCACACGGCCCCTTACAGTTTCCCTCTTCGTCCTAGAACCCCGCTCCCCTTCTCCTCTTCTGCACAGCACCGCTCCTCCTCCCCCTCCCTCGCTCCCCAGAGCACCGAGTCGTCTCCCTGGCAGCGGGCGGCCGCCACTCCCTTGCCGTCACCGACCGGGGCGCCCTCTTCGCCTGGGGGGCAGCCGGCAGCGGCAGGCTGGGGCTGGGGCCGCCACCGCCGCCTGCCGTACACCTGCAGCGACACCCGGGTGGGTGGGTGGGTGGGCGGGTGGGTGGGTGGGTCGGGAGAGGCATGGGGTCGGGGGTGGGGCCGGTTTGGTGGGTTGCGAGTGCGCTCGTGATGGGAGTTGTTTGTACGGCGACGTGTGTCGGGCCTGGTGTGCCCTCCGAGCCTCACGAGCGCTACCGGACTCTGCCCGCACCCATGCGCCGCACCACCCATGTGCACGCAGGCGGCGAAGGTGACACCACAGGCAGCAGCAGCAGCAGCAGCACGGGTGACCCATGGGTCGAATGGCTTCCGAGACATGTCGCCGGCACTGGCAGCCACGACCGCAGCAGCAGCAGGGGCAGTGCCAGCCTGCATGGCTTGCGGGTGGTCAGGGTGTTTGCGGGACATGGCGCCACGTCAGGCTGTACGGACGAGCAGGGCCGGGTGTACACCTGGGGGGCTGGGGCGGGGCGGCAGCTGGGGCACGGGGGCGGAGGGAGGGACGAGTGGGAGCCCAGACTGGTGGGTGGTGGGGGGCGGGGCGAGGGGGCGGGGGAGGGTATTGATTGCGCAGGGTTAAGTGCTGGGGGATAGGAAGGTGCGGAGGGATGTGTGCGGGGTTATGGCTTGGCGGCTGGAGGAGGGAGTGAGCAGTGAGGCGTATGGGGGAGCTGGTGCCGGAATGTAAGGAATGTCAATGGGAATAAATGGGAACCCATAGCACTTGATTTTCAGGCAAAAGCTGCCGATTGAAGGCTTCCCGTTGTGAAAAGCCATTTCGCGGGTGGGTCATATTGTTTTTTGGGGAAGGCTAAGAAGCCTTGCAAATATTCGCAATATGCGCCTTCGTGAGCCGCACTCGCTGATCTCTTTAGTAAAAGGCGAAAGAGATATGAGAGACGTGGGCGGCTCAGCGCTTGATTACTTCCGGAAAGCCGACAGGAGGCTACCCCCATCCCACCCGTCCGTTGCTGTCATGCACGCGATGGTGGGTAGTTGGTGGTCGAACGGCTCCCGCCCCGCGCCCTTACGTACCGTATGCCCTTAACTCTTGTCCAACAACCCTCATCACTTGAGTGTGCCACACCTGTCATGATGTCAATTACATTGCGACACAACTGGATGTAACCACCGACACCGAACCCCCTACCGGCACCCCCCCCCTCCCCCCAGGTGGACGTCCCCAGCCTGCGCCGCACCGTGCGAGTGGCTCTGGGGGGCAGCCATGCGCTGGCATGTCGGTCCGACGAGCGAGTGCATGTGTGGGGCTCAGACCCTGCCCGAGTAGGATGTCTGGGGCTGGGGCCGGCAGGGGGAGCAGCAGGAGGAGGCGCGTGGGGAGCAGCGGGGGAGGGGGGACTGGCAGCAGCAGGGGCGGGGCAGGGTACTCCGGGCGGGTCGGAAGGAGGCGGGGGTGGCGGTGTCCCGGTGGTGCCGCGACCCACGATATTCAAGTTTTGGTTCACGGATGTGGCAGCCGGTCTGGGACATAGCGCAGGTGGGGGTGTAAGGGGGGGTTGGGTGGGGGGAGAGGTGCATGGCGGACAGGAGGAGGCTGTGGGCAGGGGGGATGGCTAGGGAAGGAGGGAGGGGGGATGTGGATGGCGCCTTGACACAGCTAGCAGTCGCACCCTCCTCGTTTGCGCTGTGGCCGTGCGCACTCATCCCTCCTCGCATCCTCCCCCATACCGCGGCTCAGTTTATCTAATCCTCCCCCATACACCCCTCCCCTGCTGCTGCTGCCCCCCCGCCCCCCAGGCATCTCCTCCGACGGGCGGCTGTACACCTGGGGCTGGGGCGGGGCGGTGCCGGGCGGCGGCCCCCTGCTGCCCCCCCACCTGCTGCCCCCCCACCTGCTGCCCCCCCACCTGCTGCCCCCCCACCTGCTGCCCCCCCACCTGCTGGCGCCGCTGCTGGGGGACCTGGACACCGCTGGAGACCCGGAGGGGCCGGCGGACTCGGTGGGGCTGCAGCAGCAGCGCGCTGGGGGCGGCAGCGGAGGGGACACCGGGGGGGGAACGCAGGAAGAGGGGAGGCAGCAGGAGCAGCAGCAGCAGGGGCAGCAGCAGGGGCAGCCCCGGTCCCGGTTGCGGCTGGGCGGGGGGCAGCTGGGTGTGGGCGGGGGAGTGGACCTGGCCGCACCCACACTGGTCACCAAGCTGGAGGTACGGCGGGAGGGGCAGGCGGTTGGGGGCGGCAACCGTGCGGCGATACGGGGGTGTCGTACGCTATTCACAGCCTCCTTGCGTGCTGCTGTGTTGCGAGTCCTACCGTCCTCGTACGCATGTATGGCCACGCATGACCGCTCGTCACCCCTAAACACACCCTACCTGTGCGTCGTACGACCACAGCTGCCGTCAAGACTCCCCAGTTTGGCGCGCATGTCGTACTCCTGCCCCCCCCCTCCTCCCCCCCAGTTGATGCACTTCTCGTTAATGCACTCGTATTCCCCCCCCCACTCAGATCCTGCCCGGGCAGGTGTTCCGGCAGGACCACGGCGACCCCTTCAACTACCAGGACGCCAACCTGGGTTGGCTGTTCCGCTCCGTCAGCTGCGGACACAACCACACGGCGGCACTGGTGCAGGTGGGGGTGGTGGCGGGTAGGGTGGCGGGTTCCCCCTTTCCCACGTACAGTAGTCAACAAGCCATCACTCGGCCCTGTGAAGCCCGCCGGCAAGCTCATCATCCTCATCATCCCCGCCGCTCGATTGCATCCTCTGACTCCTCCACTCCTGCGACCCCACCCAACCTCAGCTCCCCTCTCCTCTTACGTCCTGCCCCTGCCCCTACTCCCCCTCGCTGCTCTCCTCCCCCTCCCCGTTGCAGGTGTCCCGCAGCTGGTCGGGGGCGCTGCGGTCGGGTAGCCGGGGGGTGGCAGCGGTGGAGGGGGCGGGGGGGCGGAGGGCGGAGGGTGGAGAGGAAGAACTAACCGAGTAGCAAGGCGGGCTCGAGCTCCAGCAGGGGTTGCAACATGGTTGCCGGACCAGGGTGGGGGCGAGGGGGGATTGCCTGCAGCTGTAGTCGCAGCGGCAGCGGCGGCCGCCATTGGTGTAGAGTAGGCTGATGACAGGGGCGGAGCCGCGGCATGGGTGCAACCACAGGGGCGGCGTGTGAGAGGGAGGTTGGAACCGGGGCTGGGTCGGGTGAGTGGAGGAAAAAACAGCCCTAAGGTTACGGATATGGAGCGGGTGGTTGAGGCGGATGTTGAACTGATGAGCCCAGAGTGGTTACCGGGAGTGGTTACAGGCAGGTGGCAAGTTGCGGAGCTTACAGCGGCAGAGCTGCGAGGCCCGTTGGTGCTGCAGGGGCCGACATCCACCCTGATAGGGCAAAGGCCATGCAACCTGCTAAGCCATGCACGCTGTTAGGTTACATGACAAGTACCAGTACCCTCAGCAGTGGGTTCCGGGGGCGCGAACTGAGAGGATCGCTGACCTTTTACAATGACCGATCCAGGCTTCATCCGCCAAACAACAAGGGATTGCTGGAAGCCCGTAACGCATGGCTGGTAAGCCCCCAGCCCTAAGTTGCGGGAAAGGGGTTCTGAGGACTGTGCTAAAACAAACCCGGAGGGGCCACAAAGAAACTGAATGACCCATGGGTCACAAGGCACAACCAATTAAGCCCACATACCAAGTTAGACGGTAACGGGCAGGAGGAAAGGGCCTCTCCCCCATCACGCCATCAGTTAAGCAGGAAGGACGGTCCCTTCCTAGCCCCGTAAGTCCACACGCACGGGACACGCATCGTGGAAAAGTAATCCAGGAAACCAAGGGCACGAACGGAGAAGCAAAGCACATCAAGCCGAGAATCGAACGCACAGCAGCCATACCCTTAAACCCACGCAAAAGTTTCGGTTCTTGGGAGCAGCGGCATCCCCACTCAAGCGTTTGTTCAAGGCCTCAACTTCCCCACCCAACCATGACACCATTAACCACAACTGCTTACGGAAGCTATCCTGGCCGAACATCAAGGTTCCCACCACGGGAGTGCCACCGTAGCAAACAAGCAAGTCCTAAGCATTGGATCCCTCTTGGTGGACCGGTTTGTAAGTATAAACAGCAAGGGGCCTGCGTGAAGCAGGTTATCGACACAGCCGATAGACGTGGCGGTGCAAGGGAGCCGGATGGAGGGAAACAAATGGGAGGGGGGGATTCCCTCCACTGCCTCCACTGCGTCCAGCGTCAAACGGAGGCGGCTAACTAGGTTTGGTCTGCGCAGAGCCGTCACACCTCAACCACAAGGCATCAAGACGCATAAAGGAAGGAAGACTGGCACGAGTTCAAGCATCATGGACAATGGCATCATGGCAGGTCAAGGTAAGACACCGCACGAGGTTCCGCCGGCGCGGGAACTCCCCTCACATTCCCCCTCAGGGGCTTAGGTAGCAACAACAGGGGTGGGAGCGCGTTTAAGAGAGACAGAGAAAAGGCGCGCGTACTCACACATACGAACATAACCCCTTTCGTACACTCACACACGTGTTGGACAGGTGTCACTGGCAAAGCGGCCCTCCTCGGGCGGAATCACAGCCGGACAACTTCCAGGCATTCGAGAGGAGGACAAAGCCACACATACCGCCGCCTCCTCACCAGCCCATCAAGTACAGCATTCGAGAACCATATATTGCGTATTTCAGGTAAGCTGCTTCAGACAGGCGCTCCCCCCTGACCTAATGCGTGTTGCTGCTGCCGCAGCTGGGAACGGCGCCACACAACTATGCGGCAGGAGGGACCTCGCACGGTAGCACCCCGCACGCTTGCGCCGGCGCACACACACACGGCTCGCGGCCAGTTTTCTGAACACACGGTTGCGGCAAGCCCCACAGAACCGAGAACAACGCACGCTGCCATGCGACTTGGGAACATCAAACAAACACCACAAGCGCGCTAACCGCCCCGCATGCCACCACCTCAAAGCCTGTGGCCCCTTCCCAATACCCTAGAATACATATCACACCCATACACCGTAGCTGTGGCCTATAACGACATCCGTTGTGACCAGCACCCGTCCTCCACCTTGACACATCGCTCCCTCCTCCTCGCCCCCTCACTGCTCCCCTCCCACCGCCGCGCTGTAGATCTCCTGGTACTGCTGCGCCGACTGCGTCCAGCTCCAGTCCTGACGCATCACCCGCGGAACCAGCTCGCCAGACCACCACTGGCCACCCTCCCTGCAGGGAAAGGGAAGACAGCAAGGCGGAGGGTGGGGAGGAGAGCGAGGGGGGCGGTGGTTAGCACTCGGCATAGAAGGCCTGTTTGCCGCATGCAAACCGCACGACTGGGATTGCGCCCACGGGCACGAAGGGCTCTAAACGCTGCCATGACTCCGAGCCGCCCTCCCCCCTCCCCACCTCCACACACGCCCATGCATGTTGCAAACCAAGGTGGACCCTGCACGCCACAGGATACACCTCTTCCCCTCTGCCGCCCCCTACCGCACTCACGACTCACCTGTAAGCGCGGATGGCCCGCCGCACCGCCTCCTCCACCGCGCCCGCCTCCGCCGCCGCAAAGGTGAAGCCGTTGCGCGCATGCTCCGGCACCACCCGCCCGCCCGCCCCGCCGTGCGCCACGTCAGCCACCGTGTCCGCTAGCCCGCCCGTCTCCCGCACCACCGGGATGGTGCCGTAGCGCAGCGCGATGAGCTGGACGTGGGGGCAGGGGGTTCAAGGGGGGAGGGAGGAGGCAGGGGAGGAGAAGGGTGGTGTAGCTTGCAGGTGTACGGAGTGCTATGCACCAATGTTACATGCGTCAAAGACACCATGTGCTCCTAATGGGCTATGGTTGTGAACAACAGGGTACACCCAACGCGCGTCCACAAACACCTCTTTACCAGTTTCCTCAACACACGCGCCCCCATCTGCCCCATTGCCTCCCCGCCCCCCACCCCACCTCATACCACACTTTGGAATTTCTTTTTCCCCCACCCCACCTGTGTGAGTCCGCACGGTTCGAAAATGGAGGGCACCAGAAGCATGTCCGATCCCGCGAAGATGCGATGGCTGAGCGCCTCGTCATGTCGCAGCACTATGCGCACATCCGACCCACGGGTCACCTCGCGGGACAGCGCCTCCCATTCCCGCTGGACCTGCGCATGCGGGGGAGGTGCGGGGGGGGGGGGGGGAGGTGCGGAGGGGGGTTGCACAAGACTATGAGTTGCATGATGTAAAAACACCTAACACCAGCAGGAGGTTATGAGGAGTTTTCCGGTGCCATCCGCGCTGCACTGCACGCTTTACAGGCATTGCAAGGTAGCTGGGGACTGGCTTCCACTCCACGGCCCTCTTCCCCAGTCCCATAAGCCGCATGCGCTCCTCCCACCCCCCTCACCCTCCTTCCATGCAACCCTCGCACCCACCTCAACCCGCCCCAGCCTCCACCTCAACCCGCCCCAGCCCCCACCTCCCCCCACTATTTTCCCCCCCTCACACCTTGGGGTCCGGCGCCGTGCCCAGCACCACCACCTGCGCCCCCTCCGCCACCGCCGCCCGCATGCCCGCACTCATCAGCTGCAGCCCCTTCTGCTCCGTCAGACGACTCACAATCGCAATCAGCGGCCGGCCGTTGGGACCCCACACGCCGCTGCTGCTAGGGCCGCTGCTACTTCCGTTGTGGTCATGGCTGCCGTTACCGTTGCCGTTTCCGTTGCTGGCGTGTGGATGGGAGGCTGCAGGGGCTGCTTCCAAGTCCCCCGTGAAGGGAAGCCCCAGTTCGGCGCAGAGGGCTGCCTTGCATGCTCGCTTGGCTGCGGGGGCCTCTGCCGAGTAGTGGGCGGGCAGGCTGGGGTCGGTGGAGGGGTTCCAGGTCTGCAGGAGCGGGGAGGAGGGGTGAAAAGGCAGCGACAAGGGGAGGGTGAGAGGCAGCGACTAATTGTGAAAGGTAAAGGGGCAGGTAGGCAAGACACATGGGGGCCCCTTCCTTCCAACAAACGTCCGCAGGAGCTCCCCTGCACTCCCCTTCCTGGCGCCCTGCTCCCCCCCTCCCCCTCCCACCTCGTAATCCAGCCCGTTCAGCACTCCCGTCAGCTTGCCCTGGTGCCGCGCCAGCACCCCCTGCAGCCCCATGCCGCCCGCCGGCCCCAGCACCTCGCGCGAGTAGGTGGGCGACACGGTGGTCAGCTGGTCGCAGTACACGATGGCGCCCTGGGCAGGGTGGGAAAATTATATAAGAAATGCAAACAACTAAGTCCCAATCAGGACAGGGTGGGGGGGAGGGGAGCCAGGAGGGGGAGGCGAGGGGGACGGTGTTGCTGGGTTTGTGTCCGGGGGTGCATGTTGACAAGCGGTGGGTGCACCACCGCTAGCCAGCAGACAGGCAAGCCGTCTCCTCCTCCACCCCACGTCGCCCCGTCTCTCCTGTCCCCCCTCCCGCCTCCCCCTTGTATCCCGCCCCTTTCCAACCCCTCCCCCTCCCTTCCCCCCCACTTGCATCCCACCCCCTTCGTAACCCCCTCCCTCCCCCCCCCCATACCCACCTTTAGCAGGTTCACGGTGGCCTGGTGCATGTTGGCGCCCCCCTGCGGCCCCGCGTGGTGCATCACCTCCGGCTGCAGCAGCTGCCCCGCCCGCGCCGCCAGGCCCATGGGGTGCAGCAGCGAGCCGCTGACCAGCCCCTGGAAGGCCAGGTTGTGGATGGTGAGCACCAGGCGAGTGCGGCACAGCACGGAGGCGCGGTACGTCTCCTTCAGCAGCGGGGCCTGGGGGGTCAAAGACCATACCGAAGGGGGGAAGGGGGGGGGTGAGGGAGGAGATGTGGGGTTGGGTAGTGAGGGAAAGGGGGCTTAGAGGTGGCTTCGGACGGGCGGCAAGGCGTGCGGAGGAGGAGAAGGAGGATAGGACCACATACCACTCACCCAGTGCATTACGAATACACAACCCCAGTACAACTTTGTACATACTCCCCCACCCGCACCACCTCCCCACCCACCACCGCCGCCGCCTGCCAGTCGTGGCAGTGCACCACGTCGGGCGCCTCGTGCTGCCGCCGAGCCAGGAACTCCAGCGCCGCCCGGCAGAAGAACGCGAAGCGAGCGCCGTCGTCACCGTCACCGTAAAACTTGCCGCGCCAAAAGTACCTGTCAGCATGTGGCGGCATGCGGCAGCATATGTGACAGCAGGCGACTGGTGACAGACAGAGAGGTTCGGAAAGGGGGGATTCACTGCACTGGTGGTCAGTGTGGGCAATCAGCGTGCGCTTGGGACTCAAGCGGCATGCGGCTGTTCCCCCCCGCCACTCTCCGCTTCCCCAATCTCTCCCTTGCCGCGGCCTGCCCCCCTCCCTACCGCTCCTTGCAGTGCGGCTCGATGAGGTAGACGGGCAGTCCTTCCACGCAGCCGCTCCACACCGCGGTGCGCACCCCCGCCCCCGGGCCCCACGGCACCTCCACCTCGCACATGGGGCGCAGCTCGTGCACGTCAGCTGGACAGGGGGGGTAAAGGGGGGGGAGAGGAGAGGAGGAGGGGAGGAGGGTTGTGAGGGGTACAGGCGGGTGGAGGGTAAATCATGCGAGTTGAGCCGCAAACCGTCAGGCGCGTCCCACCGCCCCCCACCTGCCCCTCGCGTACCTACCGTAGTTGATGCAGTCGTACTTGGGCAGGATGACCTCCGTGAGCAGCCCCGAGGCCTGGTGCGCCTTGGCCAGCGAGGTCACCACGTCGGCCAGCCCGCCAACCTGGCAGCAGGGGGGAGGGAGGGGAGGGAGGGGAGGGAGGAAACAGCGAACTGAGCGTGTGGTAAGGCGTCATCATGGCTTGCACCAAGTGAGCCAGCCCCGGGGGGGGGGGTAACAGACCGGGTCAAACCATAGGAGACCGCAATGTTTGGGGACAGAGCAACGGTGAAGGGAGACGGCAGGGTGCAGGAGGTTGTTCGTGGCGGCCATTGACGGTATACTAAAGGGGACAGGTCTGCAAGCCAATAGGGAACTAGGGTAGACATCCTCCCCACACATCCCTTTGCCCCTCCATACCACCGTCCCATGGCCCCCTCCCACTCACCCCTTACTGGTTACCCTTACCACAGTGTTTTCACCTCTTCCCTCCCGCCCCCCCAACCCCACCTTGGCAATGGGCGCCATCTCGCTGGCGATGTGCACCACATTGAGCTGCGGAGGCCGCAGCCAGGAGCAGCGGCCAGCCAGGGCGCCAGCCACCTCCGTGTCCTCCAGATGCCGTACAGACTGGATGTGTGGGGGGGGAGGGGGAGGAGGGGGAAAACTATAGATAAGTGCATCAACGGAGTCCCAGGAGGGGGAGGGTGAATGGGGAGTCAGGACTCGCGACAAGCCACATACAAGTATGTACGGCGCCCCCTTCCTCCCTCCTCGCCATACAGCTCGCCAGTTTCCTCCTTCGTACCCTCCCTCTCTCTCTCCCTCCCTACCCCCCACCTGGAACGTGTTGATGAGCCCCATGTCGTGCTGCCAGGCCATCATGCGCAGCAGCGCCCCCTGCTCGGGCGGCAGCAGCCGCCGCGACACCAGCGCCTCCAGCCGGAGCAGCAGACTGCTGGTCTGCAGGCGGGAGGGGAGGCGGGAGGGGCCGGGTGGAACATGGGGGTCAGGAGCTGGGGGAAGGGGGGGCTAGGTAAGTGCTAAGTGGCAACACAGCAAGGTGGCGGTGTTGCGCGCTGGTATTCTTGGTACCGGTACAAAGAAGCGGCCGTCAGCATCCACCCGTCATGCAAGTTGGGCAAGCAATGTACGCACCCGTTTTCCTCTTCACCCCTCCCCCCACCCCCTCCTCACCAGCGCCCGTGTGGCCGCCCCTGCGGGACTGGGCGCCTCCACCAGCCCCTCCCTCGCCGCCACCTCCACAGCAACACTCCAGTTGGCGCCGCCGTTGTTGTCCCACCGCTCGTCCACACCACCACCACCACCACCACCCAGCTGCTGCTGCTCGCCGCTATCCCAGCTACCACTACTGATCACTCCTCCTTCCCCTCCTGCTCCCTCTCCCCCTGCTCCTTCCCCTCCCGCTCCTGCCCCGGCCAGTCGCCCCCGGAACACCAGCTGCACCTCCAGGCGCCAGGGGGCGGTCAGCCGGGCCACGGGGACATGGTAGGTGCCCCGCCACACCTGCGGGAGGGAGGTGGGGCAGGCGGGGAAGGTCATCCTGGTGGCGGGTTCTGGCTGCTGTGGGGCAACAAGCAAGAACGGACGAGCTGTGGGAGGGGAGGGGCGCCTGCAGTACCGGTCACTCCCCGCCGCCGCAGCCGCCCCTGCTACCGCCACCACTGCCATGGACCCCCTCCCCCTCCGCACTCGTCGGCTTGTTTGCCATTCTCATTCAACACATTGGGTATTCTTCTTTTCCCCCTCCGCACTCCTCGTCTCCATTTCGGCTGGCCCTCCCGCTCCCTTCCCACCTCCTCCTCTCCCTCCTCCCGGCTCAGCTCCACGTCCTGTGTATCCCGCCAGCCGCTGTGACCGATGTGCGCCCACACGCGGACAGCACCCTCAAGCGGCCGACCACGACTGCGGTACAGCACTTGTACGGCGTAGGAGGGTTGACGTACGGCAACCTGTGCGGTGGCGTGAGGGTAGGGTTGCGCGTCCGTCCGGGATGTAAAGAGCAGCTGGCGAGGAGGGTGCGGTTGCGAATGCACGTGTGCTCAACCTTAAGTAACGGGCAGTTGCTTAGCACATGTTGCGCCGGAACCCACACAAATAACCCACCTGCACGCAAGCGTCAGGCGTGGAGAGTACGTCGCCCGTCGGAACCGACAGCTGCACAGATGGCAGTGTATGGGGTCCATCCTGCAGTGCATAGCCAGGGTTTCCACTGTTGGTATGCCAACTAGGGAGCCTAAAACGTGGAAATGCTTTCTAAGCAATATTCAACACTGCTGGGTACTGAGGCATTTATAAGGACGGTACGGCTCGACAACTCAAGGGCGCGAGAACCCGGGTAGGGCTAAGGTCAAGGGACAATGCTTTTATGCCTTACTATACCATAACAGTTCCCATGGCAACTCACCAATATTTGGGCAGTAGCTAAACAAAAGGTCTTCGCGTGGCGAGTATGTCGCGGCACAGCCGATGCATACAGCGGCCCCCGATGTATACAGGCCGCATGCCGGACATGATTCATCGGTACAGAAGCCAACATGCTGTTCGAGAGCTTATGGTTAAGTCGCACGCCCATATTGTGTCCTGTCGATATACAGACTGTCGATTTCAAACTCGCCTGGCAACGAGATAGCATTTAGCCTTATCCTGATGTAAAGTTGTCCAAAATGCAGAGATTATCCCAACGTAGGAATTCAACAGCAAAGCACAAATGAAGGCAGGCTTCACCTCCAGCTGGAGGGATTATTATTGGTTACGCCTAAATGCAACGCCAGCATCCCACACAAGTTCGTGCACACGTATCACGGCAGGTCCTACTTTGCGCGTCAATCCTGCTTAAATAGTATGCCTGGCTAGGTGGCATCATTCCCTGCCGTACTGTTTTAGCAGCTAGGATCCGCCGACCCCTTCGATCGCTCGCTGCTGCGCAAGGCAGGCTCCAGTCCCAGCTGAGAAGGGCATGTGTGGTTACAAGTTGCCACCATGAATACGGTTTGGCCTGCTTCCCTTCGTATGCATCGTTACAATCCAGCCCATAGGGCCATGAGGTGAGTAGCGAGAGGAGCTAGTGTAACCAATCAGCCCCATACTATGGAGTTCAGATACCTATATCACGGTAACAGTTCATGCAAACCAGAAGGCAATCAGTACTGCTATTGCAGCAACAACGGCAAACTATGGTAGGCTAACATCCCGGCGGCATACCGCCGGTTTGCGCCAACCCTAAAAACAAACTCGCAATCCCCTCTTCGCCCTTAGCAGGCAAACGTCCCTTAGCGTGACCTACAAAATTCTGTAAGAGCCTATCTACATTTGGTTACGTCGACAATTTCGGCAATGGGCTGTTAAGGACCTGACCTGGGCCATAAAATTCAAAACAGCTGGGCAGCCTCTATCCCCACGCCCCTCCACCGGTATCCCAACTGCGCAGATAGCGTGCAATGACGCTTCAGGCCAAACCAGCCTACCTGAGTAATACCCCGGCACATGCACCCTTGCTACACATATACCGGTACCACAACACATAAAAAAATGAGAGCCCGACCTCACGCAAAACTCTACCAATCCTCAAGATTCAGCTTGCAAAGCCGCGGGAAAGGGCGAAAAAAGAGCAGGCAAGGAGAGCCGCAACAAAGCCCTCGGAAAAAAATTGCCGTCGCCTCTTCCATCCGCATAATACCTTTCCACCGTTCAGCCGGACCAACCGAGCAACCCGCCCTGTTGTGTTTTTGTATGCGCTGTCAGTCAACCGAACCGACCGGCTTAAGGTCTACGTGGCACTTGGGAGCCACATGACAGTTAGGGGTGCGCCCCTCCCGCTCGGTAGCTCACCGTCAAACCATAACCCCCCCATGCAAGGAACCCTCCACCCACCCCGTAAAGTCAAAAATCCGTGCATGGTTGCTAAAGCGCCCAACAGCAGCAGCAGGAGTCAACATGAGTCATACCCCTCCAGGCCCCCCCCCACGTCACAAACGTCACAGCACAGCACACTTCTTTTGCCCACGTTCCGGGCCCTATGTACCGTGCACCCGTACATTCCACACCCATCGCTCACAATGAGTAGCGGTAGCGTTACCTCCATACCCCTCACTGCTCCTTCTTCTCCGCCGCCGCCGCCGCCGCTGCCGCCTTCTTCTCCGCCGCATACCTGTCCGTGGCGAGCGAGTAGAGGTAGGTGCCCGCAATGGCGATGAAGCTGCCCGCCCAGTTGAGGGGGCTGACGGGGTTGCGGAAGAAGGCGACGGAGGACACCACCACCGCCACGCGCTTCATGGTGTTACCCACGCTGAAGGTGACGGGGGAGATGCCCTGGTCGAGAACCATGTACGACAACTGCAGTACGGCAGGGGAAGGTTGGTTGGTTGGTTGTTGGGAAAGGGAGGGAATGCATTGTAGTAGAGGTCTCAAGGACTGCCGTACGGGCTAACCCCCTTCCCCCCCGGTGCAGCCTCGTCGTACGGCTACCACCCCCTTATTCCCCCTCGCCCTTCCCATACCCTACCTCCAAACCCTGCTTCACTCTATCCCCACTGCTTTCCCCTAACTTCTGATAAACCTCTAATCCCCCTCGCCCTCACCCCCCCCACCCGCCCTCCCCCGCCCCACCTGGTTGTAGAGGTGGTAGAAGAGCCCCCCCCACAGCAGCAGCCCCGCCACCTGCTGCTGCCCCACCCGCGCCACCGCCGCACTCCAGGTGGCGCCCCAGCTGCCGCTCTCCAGGACCAGCGCGGCGGGCAGGCAGAACAGCAGCGAGGCGATGGAGATGAGGCCGAACAGGTTGATGCCGTCGATGTGCTGCGGAGGGGTGGGGGTGGGGGGTAAGGGGGGAGTTAAGGGGTGGGACGTGTAGGGTAATGTACGGCACATGGGGTTGCCCATGTTAGCAACGCGGGCTGTAGTACAGGTGGGTTACACCCGCCGCCTGCCTGCCACCACCCACCCCCAGCAGCGCACCTCACCCGCCCCCAGCTCCGCCACCCGCCCACCCCTACATGCTCTCCTCCTCATCCCTTCTCTTCCCCTCCCGCCCTGATTCCCTTCCTCCTCCACACACACACTCTCCCACACACACACACACACTCACACACACTCTCACAGTACGTTTCGCCTCGCGGCCAGTTATTTTAACACACTCTCCCCTCAGTTTCCTCGTCCCCCCCCCCCTCCGCCCTCCTCCCCCACCCATACCTTGTAGTCGTTGAGCGACTTCTTGGAGTAGATGTTGCGCAGCACCATGCCCAGGTTGGAGATCATGGCGTTGTTGAAGCCGTTCCAAGCAAAGGATACCTGGGGGGTGGGGTGGGCGGGGCGGCAGGGAAGGTGGGATGATGATGATGGTGGTGGTGGTGATGGTGATGGTGTCGGACCGCACACCGGGCTATCCGGCACATGGCTCAGCTGGCATGCGTCCAGAGGCATCACGCGTGCAGGGGGGCGGGGGAGGAGGCGCCCCAGCCGCCCGCCTCTCCTCCTCCTCCTCCTCTGCACTGGCCCTCCCGGGCCGCCGCTCCGCCGCTGCCGCTCCTTGATGCCGCTGCTGTCCGCTGCCTCGGGGCGCTGCGGCCGCGTTGCCCCCCTCCTCGCGTCCCCTCCTCGCCCGCCCGGCCCAACCAGGCTGCAGGTGCAGTGCCGCTGGTGCCCGCCTTGCTGGTGTGCCCCCTCCACCCACCCGCACATACTTGCACCTCCCTCCCTGCAGTTCCCCACCCCTGCCAGACTCCCATCCCGTCCTGCCCCCCCCCTCCTCCTCCCCCCCTCCCCCCGCACCTCCTTCATGGCGGACAGCGAGCAGCCCGCCACGATGGGCAGCAGGGAGGCCCACACGTACCTGGGGGGGGGGAGGGGGGGGAGGGAGCAAGGAAGGGTGGAACAGAGGGGCGGAGGACAACAGCGGTTGTGCTAACCACACAGGTAGTGTTGGAGGCATGGATCTCCCCCCCTACCCTACCCTACCCACACGGCCCCTGTCCCCCTTCCCTCACCCCTCCCACAGCCCTTCAGTTTACTCATGCTATCCCCCCCCCTCCCCCGCCCCTCGCTCTTACCAAGGGTATCCCACCCCCACCAGCGGCCCGCTGAGTGCCACACTGAACACCGGCTCCGCGCTCTTCACGATGTGTGCGAAGCTGACCGCCATCTGGCTGAAGCTCACCACAGCGGCGATGTGGCCAACCTGGGGGGGTGAGGGAGGGCGCGAGGGGAGGGGAGGGGTGGGGTGGGGGAGGAGGTAAGCAAGCAGGTATGAAGCACCCGGTTGGAGGGGAGGAGGATGGGGAGTAGGTTGGGTGAGAGACCTACGGCAGCTCAGGCCGCATGCACCACAGCACGGGGGGGGGGGGTGTGTGAGGCCACACAGTGGCTAGGGTGGCCTCAGACTCGCATGGCCCCCCGCCCTCTCACCCCCTAAGTCGCCCCCCGCTTCCTCTCACCGTGTGGAAGAAGGCCACGGGCAGCAGCGCGGCGAAGAAGCGGCCGTCCACCCTGGGCCGCGGGTGCAGCCCGGTGACCCACAGCACGCCCATGAACAGACCGCTGGCGACTGCAGCGGCAGGAGGAGGGGAGCGGGGTGAGAGGGGGAGTGGTGGTGGTGAGGGGAGCGGGTGAGGGAGTGAAGGGAGGCTGGGGCATGGCGCAGTCGTGGATGGATGGTTTGGGGGTTGGGCTGAATCGTAGCCGTTTATGAAGAGGTATTATTGGTGTGCAGGAACGAGGAGGAGGGGAAAGGGGAGGCAGGCTATAGATAGCTCGCGGCATGAAAATTTAGAAAGAGAACATTGCGCCCCAGCGTTGCGCTACGACACTACAGCAACCAGGACGTTGACTTACTTAGCTGCCACGTCCCGATGAACCATGGGCAAGGGAAGGCGTTGAGGGTGCTCTTGTTAATAAGGTTGAAGATAATGTTGAAGGCGTACCTACATAAAGCGCGTGTACATGAACTCAGTTGCTCTCTGGGTTGGACGGTCCGAGGGTCGCAGCTTACCAAAGCAGAATGTAGGCGGGAAGTTTCCAGCCGGGCTTTTGCTGCTCTGATTGTGCGCCAGCGGCTGACGCACAGGCAATAACGCTTTCACCCCTGCTAATTTGCTGTTGAGGCGCCGATGGCGACAGCGGTCGCGGCATAATCCCCTGTCGGCACACAGTCGGCGCGACGGCTGCCGGCGACAGCGCCGGCCGAGTTGACTGCAACGGTACACATCTGACTACTTGTCGAACTTCTCGACAACGTGTAATGCAGGGCGCTGTGGCGCCGGGCGCAAGAACGGTTTGCATTGTCTTTCTACAGCCGCGGCAAAGGGCTATCAAACAGATGTATTGACCCAAGCTTTTGCAGCTTACGTTGCACAGCAAAACAATTTGATCGCATTCAATTTTCCCAAGGTCTTCGCGGACTCGGCCAACGCATCATGCTGAGCGTGGGGACAGTAGTACGACCAATGTTCGGTAATAAGGTGCGTCCAACCAACCAAAACATTATGAAAAGACGTAAAATGCAAATACATATATTAGGATAACAAAGGCGAGCAGGCATGGGTAGGGGCGGTCCTAACCGTCTGCTTGCATCAATCCAAGGGTGAACGCGCGGCTACCATGCGAGGAAGGGACTCTACCTGACGCTGAAGCAATGGCAGATTTCACGCGGTTGGTTTCGAGCTTGCTTGACCAGACTCCTGCGTGCACAGGATGGAAACACAGGATGTTTCGCCTTTGCTGCTTGAGCTCTTACAAAGTAGGATTTGCTGCAGTGGCCTCGAATGGCCTCGAAGCTTCCACAAGGGCTGGAAAACACCTTAGGCCAGTCGTGTACCGGTACTGGACTTGGAACGCAGCCTTGTAGGAGATCGTACGGGAGTGTGTTTCTTGCAGGAACCTGGTGCCGGTGCCAATTGATGAGTTCGTAACCAAATGGGTGGCATTTACAGCATGGGTGGCATTTACAGCATGGATTTGTAGGTATAGGCTGCTTGCCGGACAGCCGGTATGTGTATAGGAACACGGATAAATCCCTGCCGGGAAGTCGGGAACGGGGCCGCCTCCATACCAGGCGGCCCGCAGGCTGAGGTTCAGTGCTAACAACCCCAGCCTTTCAACGCTGCAGTACCATGTCCGTGTTCATGCTGCTGAAGCAAAAGGATAGTTCGCCAATTTATTGCAATGGCATAGGTACTCCAGCGCCCAGCAGTTCAGCAACACGAGTCCTAGGAGCAGCTCCTAGGTCTGTGACACACATACCTCTAATCCTAATAGGGCATGCGGCTGTCTTTTGCACAGCTCAAGCACAGCTCAAGCAGCCGGGAAACTCACAACGGTGGGAACGCACGGGCAGGTTTCGCCCCAACACACGTTACGGTATCAGCAATGCTCCGCATCCACCCAACCAGTCACAGCTCTTACTCCTGCCAAATCCATCCCAATCCAACACGAGTCCATACCAACTGACCACCGTCCCTCCTCCTCATCTCAGCCATCCATGCACCTAGAGAAACGACTGTGTCCCAGTGAGTCCAAGTCCGAAGGCGGCAGGGCATCTACCAGTCCTGACCTGTCGGTCCTGCGTTCCATGCGCATAACACACAGGTGCGCCCGGGGGCCTACCTCCGCACGCCCGCATGTAAGCCCCCCAGGTCCCACGCCCCCTGCATGTGGCCCCTGTCGCAGGGCGGCAGGCCCTTGTGTATGAGGATGACGCTCCTCTCCAGCATAGACCGCATGGCTGAAGTACGGCCGAAGCCGCTGAAATCCGTAATCAGCTGGGGGGGGAGGAGCAGGTGGGCGCGGTGCGGCATGGGACGGTTGGACAGCGGAAGCGGAGCGGTATTGAAAGGTGGGGCAGCGAACGAGTGGGTCCGGGGAGGCAGTACCCAGGTAGGATGGGAGCTTGGCAGGGGTACTGGAGCGGATTCGTTCCAACAGACAGTTGCCGCACCTGGTAATCAGTCATTCCAAACAGCCAGTGCTCCGCTGCTGCCAGCCGCGAGCCCTGCAGGTCGTCCAGGCCCGAGTGAGACACGTGTGTGATGAGTCTGACGGGAGGGACGGGAGGGGCTCGGCATGACGTAACCATGCACCAAGCACGTTGCAAGGCACTGCGTGCACATGTGCACATTCCCCAGCCCGCACCCCTCCTCCCAGCCCTCGCCCCCCCGCCGCACCCCTCCTACCGCGACCTCGTGTGCACCACCAGCTTGCTGCCGAACTTGGCCTCCGCGTGCCGCCGCAGCGCCCCCGAGTCAGCGACCAGGAACCACACGGCACGGCCCTCGCGCAGCACAACGTCGAGAACAAGCTGCGGGGTGTTAGGCTGAGGCGCAGGGCGGCGGTGCGTGCCATCACCGGACGTCAGCACTGTTTATGTGTTAATTGTGTGTTGTGTTGAAGCAATTGCCCATGTTGTGTACAGATTTGCAGAAACCTGTAAGCGAGGCGCTCTACCTTCAGTGTTAGTTGTAGTTGCTGTATTTGCTGCAGCACGTCCCCTCGGAGCTGCCGTCCCTTCAATTCCTCGAACCTTATGTGGGGAGTGGTATGCACTGCCTGCTGCTGCAGCCGGCGAAGATCCCGGGGACTGGAGAGGACGCTGGCAACGGCCCTGGCAAATCCGTGCACGGCCAGGCATGTCAACGGCTGGCTGTCCATCTCACTCCCGGGTTGTGCACAGTACGCCAATTGCCAAAAGAGACCGTACATTGAATGCTCAATCGTCTCCTACGCTTAAGTAAATTTGGCTTAAAAAACCCATACGTGAGTACTTCTCCCCAAGCATCTTTAAGATATGTGGCGCTTACCGGTAATGAATGTTGTCTGCCGGACGCTTAACGAAGCAGCGTCACCCCAGAAACTTTCAGCAGTGTTACCGAGTAGAAACTCTGGTCGAGCTCCTGCGTTTTGCTTGGGCTTGGCGAGCTCGGTCGAGCGTCGGTCGCCATTTCTGTCGCCATCCGGCAGCACAGATGCGACGAGGCGGAGAGCAGGCGCGAACACGTTGGACATTCTAGCAGTCACGTTTTCCATTCATGCGTAATGTTTCATTGCCATACGCGTTGATAGCTTTCGAGCCCAAGTTGGCCAATGTCCGATGTGGGAACCCTAATTATAGCCTTGACAAATGCATTTGTGACATGTGGCGGTCACAAGCCGTCAGAAACTCTCCACGTTACCGGTGGTATTCCATGCAGCGCGGAGCGCACTCCAGCGTTCCAGAGTTTCACAAGCCAGCACAAGCAAGCAGCTCGCGACAGCTCCCTCACCAACTTTATCCAGGCCTGCTACCTAAATGTGTTGCTCGTTGACACTTGTGTGCGGCAGCAACCGCACGCCGCTGCAGGCGAAGAGGTGCCTGCTAGCGGAGGCGTCCCCCGTGCTCGCTGACATGCTACAGCAGCCCCTAGCGCAGCCGGGGGAGCTGACCCTCCCCTACGACAGCGCCGAGGAGTGGGAGCTGGTGCTGCGCCTGATTAGCCCCAAGGAGGGCTCCAGGGATGCCATTACCATGGTGCGTGATGACCATGCACCAAACTGATCGCACTTCATTTGTCCGGGCTCGGAGCGGCCCAAGCAGCCCTCCTTGATACGATAACTCTGCTTTTAGCTGAACCCTGCAGCGCCGTGCTCTTCGAACCCTCAGCAGGTCAAAACAGGCATGGCCATACTCGTGCCTAACCTGGCCAGCTCTGGCCCCTTGCCCGCTTTCCCACGCAATCCAACATCCTACCTTCCTCCTGTGACTTCCTACCTACCTCCTCCAATTCCCTACCTACCTGCAGGGCAACGTGGAGGCGCTGCTCGTACTGGCCGACAAGTACGACATCAGCGCCGTACGCACTGCCTGCGGCGACTTCCTCTGCGCCCGCACCGCCCACATGACGCTGGGTCCGCCCCTGCGCAGCCCCAGCAACCTGCTCTTCTCCGCCTCCCTGGTCAGCCGCTACTGCCCCTCCGCCCCCTCCTCCAACCCCCAGCATGAGGCCCGCATGCAGGAGGCTCTCAACCGAGTGCTTGCACCGCTGCAGGGGCTGAGTGATGGCAGTGATTGCAACGTGCTAGGCGGCAGTCGGAGCCTGCTAGAGACGCTGAAGGCGTTAATTAGCGAAGATAGCTATGCGAGGACAATAGACGTGAAAGTGCAGGTAGGCCCGTTACGCCTGTTGCAGCCAGTGCTAAGAAGACTTCCTATGAGCGTGGCGGTTGGCACGATTGCCTACACGGCTGAGAGATGACCCTGCACTCATGCCGCCGCCAGCTGTTTATGTTGCCCGTTGTCAACTTATCCCGTGCTCCCCCATCCCCCATGCAGGTGCACGTGAGCCGGGCCCTGGTGGCCGGTTTCCTGGGCTTTATGGACAACCCGGGCGCCCGCTGCATGTGCTGCCTGAGACCCATAGCGCCCGCCGCCTCATACTCCCCGTCGCAGTACTGCGGATACCATGTGGACTGCGCGCGCAGGGCATTTGGGAGGTGATGGGCATGGAGCGGGGCATCGGGGATGGCATGTGATGTGGTTGAAGCATGTGGCATGTACTCTGGTTGGAGTCTGTGACACAACGCAGCATGCCTTCTATTGTGGATGGATTGAAACGCTGAACGTTAAAACTTGATTGTGCACTCTCAGGAAGTCAAGTTTCCGTGAGCCGTCTTGGAATTTCCCTGGCTGTGCGGTCCGTTTCAACTGTAACTGCAAGCCCCACACCGGTACATGCTAGACACAAGTGGTTGCAGAAGCCCGATAAGTAGCTTCCTGCTTGTCACGCTTCCTTCCTGCCATGTGACAGCGCCAATGTGACCTCCTAAACCATTATGAGCGGTACTATTTAGGGCCTTCCCTACTGCGCGTCCGACCTCGGAAGCTCGTCCAAATTACGTGCTACCGAACACCGGCAATCGTTAGGCAGAAACGAAAGCTACCGGTAATTACCTTCTGAAAGTCGAAAGGATACGAAGAGAGAGCCTATAAAGATACGGTAGAATAGTATGCCGCGTAAGCTGCTACGTGCTTGAATTTAACACCAAAATGTTACCAGTAGCGGAGGTGAGTCATAATCAGTACAAGCGTACGGAAGTGCAACTTCCATGCGGGCACGCTATCTTTAAAATGCTAGTAGTTTGTATCATTGTCACACCATCACAAGCTCTACTACTTGTCGCCCAGCTAAACATACTTGTGCTAGACAAACCAGTTGAGCGGTACTGTTATCCTCAAGTCGCACATTTTTCGCGCTAACAGTCAACGTCAGAACATTTCAAGCTAGAGAGGAGTTACAGCTATAAGAAATTTCGCTTCTGCTTTGAGGTAGGAGGGCGAACTCTGTTTTGTCTCTCGGCATCGACGATTGGAGCATTACTGCCAGAGAGCTGACAAGCTATCTTAACTACCTTCTAACAGGTCTTATATCGAGTTCATTTATGTTACTTTTCTATCGTCATCCATTTGCGCTGAACGAAGGGGAAACATGTCGAGGGCATTACAAATCCTCGCCCTCCTTATACCAGTTTTCATAGGCGCCGCGAACCTCACTCAGGCTCAAGGTAAAACTCGTAGTCTCATAGTGCAACCGTCACATACTAAGACCACTGCACCGCCTTCCAGACGACACACCTCTCCACCTCTGCAGCCCTCCGCTCACCCCACCCCTCGCGTACCTTGCCCCACGCAGGCTGCCCCGGAGTCAACGGCTACTCCTTCTACCCGCTCCAGGAGGTGGCCGGCGCCTTCACCATCCGGGTTCGCAACCCTGCGGGCAACCTCTCGGACATTGCCGCCGACTGCGGCCGCACGCCCCGCTGCAACGGCTTCAGCACCCGAGGGCAGCTGCTGCGGGTGCCACTGGCGCCCACCTTCTCCTTCCTGGACGGCAGCGACCCCAGCACCCTCCCGTGCGACGGGACGTACATCGCCGCCTCGAGAACCCTCAGCGGGCTCATCCCACCGGTGAGCGCGGGAAGCTGCGAGGCGGGGTGCATGTGCGTACTGTGGTATGCGACCGGGGTATCCAAGGATGCGACGGTATCTATTGTTGGCTTGTTGCAACCATCTATTCGGAGTGAATCCTTAGGAATGAAGATAGGGCCCACGGTGTTGAAGCGGATTGTTCCCAACATCCCACCGTGCCCCTCCCCTTACACAGGCCGGTGTCAACGCGAGCAAGCTCCGTGCGGGGAGCGCCAAGGCGTATATCGACATGCAGGTTGTGATTGCTGCGGCCAACAGGGTGAGTCGGCTGACCCGTGGGTCGTTCCATGTGCTGCCAGCCCCCTGTCCTGTCATCGTTACGACACAAGAAACCAGGCCGCACGTCGCTATGATTGCGCTAATAGCCCCTCATCTCTTCTTCCTCTTTGACGGTTGCAGGTTGCCGCCAAGTTGCTCGAGCGCGGTTTAAACCCCAGGAACGCCTCCCGCCTGCCTGCCAGCGACCTGGCCCGCGCCTTCAACGACGCCCGGACTCCGCTGTCCCAGTCTAGCAGCACCAGCGGCAGCTACTCGTACCCCGACGTGCTGGCGGCCCTCAGCTACCCGGTGTGGGACTCGCGGCAAGCCAACGGAACCGCCTACAACTACATCAGCCCCGTCAAGGACCAGGGCAGCTGCGGATCGTGCGTCGCGTTCGCCTCCACCGCTGCGGCTGAGGCGGCGGTTGCGATTGCAAACGGAACGGTTGTGAACACCAACGACTTTGCCGAGCAGTGGTGAGTTTTAAGAAATCGTCCTCTTGCGGTTCACTGCGGGTGTGCCAGTATGGCACTGCTGCCCTTCCGCAGCCACGCTCCCTCTTCCCCACCGCTGTCGCTCACGTGTTGCTTGCGCGCTGCTGCTCCCTCAGGCTGTTCTTCTGCAACGGGCTCTACAGCCCCACCTGCGATGCCGGCTGGTACGCCAGTCAGGCGGTTGACGTGTTCGTTAGGAAGAACATTCCGTACGAGTCCAACTACCCCTACCTGGCGGCACCCGGCTGCACCCTGGCTGCTTCGCCGGAGAAGCGCCCCGGAGGCAACTTCTCGAGCGTCGCGTACACGGACGTAAACCTGGTGGGTGGGTGGGTGGGGTCTGGAGAGGGGCTGACTCTTAGCGGGGGTTTGGTGCGTCTTGGTTGGAAGCAGCAGCACCTACGAATGTGGGTTCCCTTACACGCCACATTGGGTTGACTGATGCCCCGTGACTCCCTCCCCTCCCCTCTGCCCCCTCAGGCCAAGCAGCACATCCGGCAGTACGGCGCTGTGATGAGCTACTTCGCAGTCTACAACGACTTCTTCTCGTGGACCGCTTCGTCACCGCCGTACGTGTGGGACACGGTTAGCTCGCTCGCCGGGTACCACGAGGTGGCCGTTGTCGGTTACAACGACACTGGGTAGGTTGTTGGTTGGCTGGGGCAGACGGGAGGGGGCGCTGAGAGCTTGACATCACCTCGCGGCATGCTTCCAGCGGCATGCTTTCGAATTCGATTGCGAACACGTCCTTAAGAGCAACTATCAACATGTTGTAATATGCGGCCCCTTTTCTCGCGCTTCCCTCAGGTCTTTCTGGATCGTCAAGAACAGTTGGGGCGCCAGTTGGGGCGACAACGGTTTCGTACGGATCTCTTACAATGCCGGCGTGGGCCTCATGTCTGGCACCAGCGGCGACAACATCATCGGCCTCACGTGGAAGGCCCCGGCCGCACCCGCGCCCGCCCCGTTTTGCGGGGACGGCATGTGCAGCGGCAATGAGACCTGCTCCACCTGCCCCGGGGACTGCGGCGCATGCGCGGTGTGCGGAGATGGCGTCTGCTCAGGTGGGAGGGGTGGCCGCAGCAGGAGAGGGCTGTAGCACATCCACATGCTGTGTTTGAGACTGCCAACCTAGGATAGGTGGGGTTTTTAGGTGATCTTCGGGAGAATATGTCCATGTGGGCGGAGGGAGACCGTGTCCTCAACAGCACCTTAACCCCGCTGCCCCCCCCCCCCCGCACCCCCTCCTCGTCCCTCAGGCGGCGAGACGTGCAGCACCTGCCTTGCCGACTGCGGCATCCCGACCTCGGCCAACAGCACCGCCAAGACGTGCTGCGGAGACGGCGTGTGCAACGCGGCGGGCGGGGAGTCGTGCAGCTCGTGCCCCTCGGACTGCGGCTCGTGCCCCGCCTGCAACCGCAACGGCGTGTGCGAGTGGAGTCTGGGCGAGCGCTGCCTCAACAGCACCAGCGGCGCGGGCTGCTCGGACTGCGGCTCGTGCGGCGGCAGCTACTGCGGCGACAAGAAGTGCACCAGCAGCAGGAGCGGGTACAGCGAGACGTGCAGCTCGTGCGCGCAGGACTGCGGACCTTGCTCGGGCACGGCGTTCTGCGGTGAGTCCGGTCAGGGATGCCGGGAAGGGAAGCGAGACCTCTGTGGGCAGTGTGTGGCATGCCGGTTGCAAGCTGGTGCCAACACATTTGGTTAATGTGCCCCGGTGCATGCGCCCCTCCCTCCCCCTCCAGGTGACGGCGTGTGCAGCTCCACCGAGACCGCCACTAGCTGCTCGCGGGACTGCAAGACGTCCAAGCTCGCTCGCGTGGCGCTGGGAGCGGCAGCGAACACCACAACGGGCAGCGGGAACAACGGCAACGGGGTTGGAAACGGCAACGGCCAGAAGACCCGCCGGCTGGCGTTTTAGGACTGCCGGATCCTAGCGCAGGAGCTATGAGGGTTCAGTTGCATATACGGTACAGCACAGCCGCCTGGCCTGGCCTTATTTCGAACGTACGGAAGCGGCCAATTATCGGTTGATAATTTATCCTGTTATCAGCTACTGTGGCGTTTTATATGAGCCCGCTGTATAAGCGTGCGGTAGAGACCCGTGGGTCGCAGGCCTTACAGGAATCAATTAGTTAGTAGCCTTGAGTGGTACGCCCACCATAGAGGAGAACCTCCAAAGACTTACTGCGTTTTTCTCTTATTCTACTTCTTATTCATGTGTATCAAGTGTATGTACTTAGCAGGCGTCAGATATGTCTGATTCACTTAGCTGGTGCCCGAGTTGATTAGTAATATTATTCTTTTAGGCGTGCGCAAATTGCTGGAGTTGTCCATAGCAGCTAATTCATGCCGGCTGCGACTATCTTTTAGCTTTCTAGAGATTCTAGAGGACATCTGTTGGTGTAGAGGCTTCGAATGACAGAGACCTCCGTTGGCATAGGTTAGGCAACCGCTTCTGGGCAAGTCATTCAATGCGGGCTTACACGCGCGTGTAGTGCTTGCGTGTCTAGGGCTGACAAGGGATGTACGGATGTAAGGCAACGACGTTTCATACAGTTTAAATGCGAGGTGCGTGTTAAAACTGTGGACTGCATCACGGGTCCGAGCATCGTTTCCGTGGTTGTAAGCCTTCTCTAGTGTCTATTCCTCAACAAACGACGTAATGCATCCGGCGTTACTAAATCCACCATTGCCATAACCAATGACCATATCATGACATGGCATTTGGGCCGCAGTACTTGGGCTCTAGCCACGTCATACTGCTTCGAAATGCCCCTAGAAAGACGCCAGACCCCTCAACCCCCTTTAGCGCATTGCACAGCCCCGGGGACGGCTACGACCTTAGGCTAGGTTCAGGTCAGTCACGGCTTACATTACCATGCATTTACCATGCAACCAAGTCAAACCCGAGAAGCCAACACCCACGCCCCAACACAGCGCTACGGTATCACCTGCCCAACCCAACCCCCGGCCTCACAACCGTTGTCTTGGACCTCAACGACGCTGCCGCTGCCGTGTGTGCGCTGAGTGACATGGAGTTCTCCGCTGACAGCCCCGAGGCACGCGCCGTACGGAACTCCGGCCCCATGCTGAACACCAGCGGCTGCGGCAGACCCGCATGCGTCCGAGCCAGCTCCGCAGCCGCCGCGTCGGAGCCGCTGGCAGCGGCGGCGGCGGTTGCTGCCAGAGAGGCCGCATATGCGCCGCTGGCGTTGTTGGAGGCGGCGGCGGCAGCAGCTACCGAAGCAGGGCCGAGCGCGATGTGAGGTGCACTGGCATCGGCGCCGGGGCCGCAGCGCACCAGGACGCCGCCTAGGCTGCGTGGCTGGTACTGGGTGGGAAAGGGGCGCGACGGCATTGCGGCTGCAGTGGGAGGTGAGGGACCTGGCCCATCTGGTCCGGTGGCGCAGGTGTTGTTACTGCCGGGACCAGCGTTCGTGGCCATGGGCGAGACAAGGGGGGCTTGAGAGGTGCTGGCGGGGGCGCGAGTGGCAGTGAATGCCGCGGCGCCGGCAGCACGCCTGCAAGCAAGAGGCGGGGGGAATGGGAGGGATGGCCAAATGTGCCGCGATGCCCCCACGTAATGGAATGGTGGCGGGAAGTTGCGATCCTTGCGTCTCCCGCATGGAGTAAGCATGCGAAGGCCGCACTCGGCATCCTATCTGTCCCCCGCCCAAGCACAAAGTTTGACACGGAGGACCCCGCTTCAACATGGGGGAACCCCGCCCCATGGCTTCGCCAAAGACAACGCTACCCTTCTATATCAAGCCAGGTCGGCAACTGCTGCTTCTCCGCATCCGCCCACCTAAATGCGGCAAACGACGGCAGCGCAATCTCCGCATCGTCAATGTTTTGCACAGGAATAGCCTGTGGCGCATACTGCACGGGCGCCGCCACCTCAGCGGGGTACCTTGGAGACGCAGCCGTGCCTGCTGCTGCTGCTGCGGCCGTCATGGCTATCCCAGCAGCGACCGGGCGGCTGCTGACGGCACCGTACACACTGTACGGCGACGCTGCGGGACCTCCCAGCCCGCCAGCCTCCCCGCCGCCGCCATGCGCTGCCTTGCCGGCGCCCTGCGCCCCCAGCGGCCGCAACACGGATTCGTCCAGGTCAGCAAAGATGTTGCGACGCACCACGGGCTGCTGTGCTTGGTTGAGCGGGACATGTAGCGGCTGGGATGAGGGCTGGAACTGCGGCTGGGTTTCCATGGTGTTGCCAAAGCCGTAGCCCACACTGCGGCTTGCCTCCAGGACGGTGGTGGGAATGGCGGCCACGGCGGGGAGTGAGGAGATGGAGGCGAGGGGTTGCTGCTGCGGCTGCGGTCTTGCGAGGGGCTGGGACGCCGGGGCTCCCGAGGAGGCTACGGAGGCGCCTCCAGAGGAGGACCGCAGCAGCTGGTTCACTTGGGCCTGCGGTGCAGAAGACACAGCATGGGTTGATGCGAAACGGAGGACCGACCCTGCTTGTGTACCATTCCCAGGACGGCGACATAGGGCACACGTGGCACCTGACTATCCCCTGTGTGAAATCCCCCGACCCCATGTAGTGAGGGTGGCGCGCCCGCCCGCTGCCGCACCTGCAGTTGTGTCAGCAGGGTGCTGGCGTGTGCGGAGAAAGCGCTCAGCTCCTGGCGCAGCTTGGCGTTGTCTTGCTGGACCTGTGGATGGTGGCGGAGGGGATATTGAGGGCAGGTGGTGTCACAGACTTGGCCAGGGAAATGCCCGGGCAGCGAACAATGGGGGTGCACTGTCTTGCAACAGTTCCGGATGAACCGGAGAGTCGCTAAGGTTAGGCACAAGAAGGCAGTGCGCTTTGCCGAACGTCTCGGCCCAGTTGCCGCACAGCACTGCTTCATGTCGGGGCCCCGGCGCTTTTTCCCACTCCCAATCCTGTCCCAACCCCCTTGCAACGCACCTTCCGCAGCTCCTGCCGCAGCTCCGACACGTCCTCCTGCAGCAGCGAGCCCGCCCCACTGCCCCCACCACTGCCACCCAAGCTGCTGCCCGGCATGGCAGCCTCGAGAGCGCGGAGCCGCCGCTCGACGTCACCCTGCAAGCATACAGCACATATGAGAACGGTTAGTTAACAAGAGGCCTACAAGCTACGCCAGCGAAGCCATCATGTAGGCGCTTAAAGCCGCGACGGTAGCGTTTCGTGCGGCAGGCACGCCACATGTGGTCCTGGTTTCGACCCTCGGCCATTCTGCTGCATGATAGCGCAAAACCCACATGGCCCATTATGCCCTAGATCAAATGCTCCATCGACCTTCAGGCTCGGCTGAGGTGTGCTGAGACGTGGCCCACTCGCGTGACCCCTCTGCTGCGGTGCCTCACCATGCCGGCATCCAGGGGCGACGCAGCTCCCCGACTGGTGGCCCACGCCAGCGATAAACCGCCTCCCGCCGCCTCCCCGGCCCCAGCCTCGTGCGCCCCGCCGCGCTCTCGGCCGAACAGCGCTGCCCCGAAGGCTGCGGTCATGGCGTCGCCTGCCTCGGGGCCCCTGCTCCTCGTCTGAGCGACAGCTTCCTCATCATCGACATCACCACTGACATCGGCATCAGCTGCATCGTGTTCGTCGACGTCGCTGTCGCCTCCGAACGCAATGATGGTGGTTGCTTCCGCCGGGTTGAACCTACGAGGGGTGGCAGCAGTTGGTCAGCGGCAGGCGCACGGGTGACCACCCGGCTTGACTTGGAATAGTACGGCATGGGTCAGCAGCAGCAGCAGCAGTCGAGTTATGGACTTATTAAAGCTGCACAAAGAGACTATGCTCTATGTCTGCTCAGCTGCTACAGGAGACAGCCCAGGGTATTGGACCTATCCGTAGGTCGTGTGCAACTGGGAACGCATCACAATGCTCCTACGACACCTTATTAGAACCCAATCGACTCTGCATGTGTTGCTCCGGCATGCATGGTGCGCCCGCACCCCATGTTGCCACACCTGGGCCGCAGTGCTGCCGGGGTGACGCTGATCTCCGCCCGCCGCACCCCCGCCGCGCCACCACCCGGGGCCACGGCCTCCTCCCCAGATCCCTCAGCCTGCTGTTTCTGCTGCCGGGGCCCTTTGCTATCCGCACCACCATCTGCTGCGGTGTCACCGGGGTCGGCGAAGTGGACGCCTGCGCGGCGGGGCTCACCTCCTCGAGCTCCGGGAGTGGGGCCAGCGCTGGGCGCAGAGCTGTCAGCCGTCGCATGGGCAGCAGCAACACGCGCCGCGCCGGGTGACTTGCGCAGCATGTCAATTACGCTGCCGTAGTCGATTGGCAGCTCCCTTGCGGGGGCTGGGCTGCTGCGGGGGCGGTCCTGGTCGTTTGCCGTGTCGGCTTCCTGCTCCTGCTCCTGCGCGCTCGCGCTAACGTCCTTGGCCCATGCTGCATGTGTGTGGATACGGGGCAGCACCAGGGAAGTCGGAGCGGAATTGTGCGTGTGAGGTTGGTCATCACGCCTGGCGCAGGTGGACTGTTGTAATAGAGGGCTTCGTGCGTTAGGCTACGCGCAAATGCATGCATACGCATATGGATGTGCATGTATCAAGGACTGCGCAAAGTGGGCCGGTCCCTAACCTTCAATAAAGCTGCGTTTGACGTCGGCGGCAAGGGGGCGGTTCTTGGAGATGCGGGCGGCCTTGCGTCGTTCCTACAGTACCAGCCAGCAGGGTCAGGTGTCATCTAAGCCGAAGGACCCTTTCTGCGCACCCTCACCAGTTCTTCGGCCGACAGCTTGAACTTGTCGAGGTTGGACGATGTGGCCTGCGCATCCGTAATATGCACTGACCTTAGCCACTTCGTGGCAAACGGCCGAATTAGGGAACCCTGTTCCCGAGGTTTTACTTACGTCCCATGCCGGTCGTTCTTGCAAATCTGATAGGCGCCTTGATGGAGTGCTGGCACGCTGTCCTCGTTTCGCCGAACTGGGCCGAGGGCATCGCTGAAGGCTAATGCTCCTGCCGTTTGAATGCCTCATCTACTACTATATACAATACTCGTAGTTGTGCTGGCAAAGAAAGCAGCCAAAGTGTAGAAGTGCTGTCCAACGCGGTAGACAGCTGTTGACGAAAAAATATTTGCGACCTGATTGAAATATTACAAAAGTTTACTGTTTTATAAATACTGGAATACTGCAACGGAACCCAAACTCCTTGAGCTCCGCTTTCCCTTCCTTTCCTTCTATGTCTACGGTTGGATCCAAAAATGAGCGGACCTAATGTCAAGGCCATGTGACGCCATCGTATTACCACTTCCACTCAAGGCGTTTAGCATGATGCTTTCCTATAAGCAAACGACTGGTTTGACTAGTAGCCGTGCGTTGTCTTGTCCTACTAGCGTAGCCTTACGGTTCCGCGGGACTCAACGAAGAGCTTCGCAGATACGCCTAGCTACCAATCATGGTATCAATCCTTTCGCATCTGCTACGTCGGCAGCGCCAAGCACTGTAACGGTGAAACCCTCGGAGAGCAGGGATGGTGCCTCGAGCAGAGATGCTGCTTGGACTTCGCATACATGGAAATGGAGGGGTTACACCATACACTACAAGACCGCTGGATGTGGCGAGCCGATCCTCCTTGTACACGGATTTGGGCTGTCGTCGTTTCACTTTCGTCGCAACATCCCCGTGCTAGCAGAAAAGTACAAGGCAAGATGCTGCTGCGCGAATAAGTATACTGAAAAAGATGTTTGTTTTGGGATAAGTGAACTAAGGATTCATAGGCAATAGCATGTTACCACCAACGGGGTTAGTAGAGGTTGCATCTGGGCAGCTTAACTATTCAGCGACTTTCGGCTAAGCACATCTGTCTGGGGGCATCCTCCTCCCAGACTCTCCACGCAGCAACCCCTCCTGCGTATACGAAAGAGTCCGCTACCAAAACACAGACACTAGCAACAGCTGCACCACTCCTCCGCTCTACCGTGTTAGATCGATTCGATGCCGGTACTACCAAGGCCACCAGATAATGCAACCCCCCGTTACACTCGCCCGCCCTACCGCCACCTGCTGTCTCCAACCTCGCCACACTAGTTCCCTCCCCACCCGCCTCCCGGCCCTCCCTCCGCGCCTCTCCCCCCTCTCCAGGTCTATGCGGTAGACCTGTTGGGCTTCGGCCGCTCCTCCAAACCCATCCTGCAGTACAGGTATGCACACCTGGGCCCTGGCTGAATTCTGACAGGGTGCCCGACTGCCCAACCTGCACCCCGAATGGGGTCCTGTCGTGTGGTGCTGCTGTCCTTGCCCTGCCTCTGGCATCTTGCCCTGCCCAAGAGGCCCAGAAGACCTCAACCCGCTGCGCCCTCCTCCCATGCACACCTCCCCCCCCTGCACCCTCCCATGCACACACACCCTACCCCCCCGCCCTGCACCCCCCGCATTCCCCCCCCATGCAGCATGGAGGTGTGGCGGGACCTGCTGCTGGACTTCTGCGCCCAGGTGGTGGGGGCCGGCCGGCCGCCGGTGCTGGTGGGCAACTCCATCGGGGCGCTGGCGTGCCTCATGGTGGGTGTGGGGTTGGGGAGGGCGGAGGGAGGTGGGGAGGGAGGGTGGTTCGCCGGGGCTGGAAGCATGGTGTGTGGGGGGGGGGTAGGGGGGGTTCATGAGGGGGAGCCAGCCATGCACATCCACTGCCCTGCCCCTCCCACACCCCGCAGGTCAACGCCGCCTCCCCGCCCGGCGCCATCCGGGGTACGGTGCTGCTCAACAGCGCGGGCGCCATGAACAACAAGGGGGTGCTGGGCGACGTGCGCATCTTGGCGGCCCTGCCGCTGCTGCTGCTCATTGACTTCCTGCTCTCCATTCCCGCGTTCAGCGCAGCGCTGTTCAACAGGGTCAGGTGGGTGCAGGGGGGTGCGGAGGAAAGCAGCGTGCCGGGAGGGGGCGTGCGGGTGCATCGTCTTTGCAACCCTCCTTCCAACCATACCCGTTTTCATCCTTCACCGCTTACGGCTACTGCTCTCTTCCTCCTCTGCTCCTCCCTCCTGACACCAGCCCCTGACTCACTCCATTCCCCTGCACCCCTCCCCCCACCTTCCCCCCCCATGCAGGACCAAGGACAACATCCGCCAGGTGCTGTCGGGCGGTGTGTACTGCAACCCGGCTGCGGTGGACGAGGCGCTGGTGGAGGAGGTGTTCGGACCCAGTTGCGACCCGGGGGCGCGGGAGGTGTTCGTGAGCGTCATCACGGGTGAGGGAGAGGGAGTGTGTGTTAAGAAAACTGGCCGCGAGTAGGGAGTGTGTTAAAATAACTGGCCGCGAGGCGAAACGTACTGTGATTGCCGAACGATGGAGTCCGCCCACCGAAAACGCCACAGGTGAAGTGAAGTCCGTTGGCTATGTTGGAATAGAGCTATCGAGTAGTATCGGAATCAGTGGAAAGCAGTATTAGCAATGTCGTAACGCGACCGGACCTAAGGACCGGAGTAGTAAGTAGGTAGGTATAAGTAACCGTCACTGTCGTGTGTAAACTGGATGTAGAGAAGCTGTAGCTGTCGCTGAACAGGGGTAAAAGCAGGGGTGATGCCAAGACGTCGCAGTGCATGCTCGAGCAAAGCAGGACAGGAAAAACAAGTGCAGGACCACTATGTGCGTATGCGAATATTACCGTAGACTGACCTGCAAGGCAGGGAGAACCAGCAGCCAGCAGCGAACACACCAGTAGTCAGTACCGAAGAATGTTGTCGGAAGGACATGCGAGGGCAAATGGAAAAACAGGGACACACGTGAGCGCGGCCGGAAGCTACCTAGTAAACTAATGACTGGAATGCAAGGGTGCGTGGGATGAAAAGTGGGACATGGAATGATGTACGACATGCAGTACAAACAATGGGTATCCGGAGCAAAGAACCGGCTCAAACAAGGGGGGTAAAAGGAGGTGATGGACTGGTGTGCTGGCTCACGAAGAGCTCCCCACAGCACCAGACCCCGAGTGCCACGACGCATATGGGCACCAGGGGTTGTAAGCCAGGCAACGAGGGGGCAAGCAAGCAAGGAGCATGCGACAAAGGGGAGCAAGACAGCATGAATGCGAGTGCACCAAGGGGGACAGGCAGTATCAGAGAAAGGGCCCCAAGGGAAAGGGACACCTGAGCTCCATCAGCTACTGCTGGGGACAAGCCCCAACCCCAGCCCCGAACCCCATCCCAACCCTTGACCCCGTTCCCCACAAAGTTTTCCCCGGCCGGCGTTTCGCAGCATGCCGCCTTGCCGTGCTGCTTGGTAGCGCTTCTGGTAGTACGGCACACTGCTGAACACAGCTCCTACACCTCCATTTGGAGGCTGTAGTTGCTGGCAAACTTACCCGGTCTTGACCCGCACGTTCTTGCTGCACCCAAACCTCGCCGCCTGATGGCCGTTTGCCGCCTTTACCACACTGCATGTAACGCCCGCACGCAGGTCCGCCCGGCCCCAAGCCCTGGAGCCTGATGCCCGACGTGAAGGGGCCGCTGCTGGTGCTGTGGGGCGACAAGGACACCCTCACGCCGGCAGACGGACCCGTGGGTCGCTTCCTCCAGGCGTTGCCCAGTCGTCGCCCGGAAACCACGTTTAAGATGTTGCAGGGTGAGGGAGGCAGCGCTGTTATTGTCCGATGTCAGTCATGCCTCGAGCGACGTTCCTACAAGTCCGAGCTGTCAGCTTCGCTCTTCACACCGCCGCAGAGGGAGCCACGGCGCAAGCACCACCAGCGCCCTTCTCTCTTCCCACCGCCGCGATTGTCTGTGTTCGCATGCTCGCCTTTCTGGACTGCCACTCCAGTACTCGATCCACAGCCGCTCCCCTCCAACTCAACTCCTTAGCTCCGCCCTCGCCCTCCCCCCCTCCTCGTTGATGCACTTATTATTGCCCCTCCACCCACCACCCGGCTGCAGACGTGGGCCACTGCCTGCACGACGACCGGCCCGACCTGGTGCACTCGGAGCTGCTGCCCTGGCTGGAGGGGGTGGTGGCGGGGCGGGACAGCACACCAGCGGCATCAGAGGCGGCGTCAGCCTTTCCTTCAAAGGGGCAGGAGGAGGAGGAGCGGAGGGCCGTGCAGGATGCTGCGGTGGCGGCAGCAGCAGTGTCCGAGGTAGGCGCGGCGGCAGAGGCGGTGGCGGTGGCGGCGACAGCGGCGGTGGAGGCGCGCGCTGCGGTTGCGGAGGGAGAGGAGGCGTAGGAGGGAGGAGTGGGGTGAGCCTGGGCCCCCCCTGGGCGGGTTCCGAGAAGCGAGGGTGCTTGGTGTAGGGGCCTCACAGGGCCCCCATGTTGGAAACGGGTTTTTGTTTGTCGTGCCAAGAGTGAGCTTGTGGCGGAGCTTGTTACTGCTTGAAAGGAGAGGCGCATGCAAAGCGTCACGTACAGTGGTGCATTTGAAGCTCGTAACCTGCTGCAGTGGCCACTGCGGGACGCAGTGGTCGTGACGGCATACGGCATAAAGTATTGGGCATGGGTTTGCGGTGACGGCAAGCCTATCATATGGAAACGCAACAATGAGAGGAAACACTTGCATGCAGTACGGGAGAGTGAGGGATGGAGTGGAGTGGACACCTGTTTTCCTGCCGTACGCGCATTTTTTATGAGAGGCACAGTATTGTTATAACGGTATGATCGAAGTGGTCAGGTTTATGTATGCAGGTGCATCAGGAGGGTCAGTGGCAACAAGGAGTCGCCCAGTTATCATCTGACTCGCGTATAACGCGACCTGCCAGGCAAATACGACGTCATGCTTTTGGGTTTCTTGTGCGCCCTGCCACCGAGTTCTGGTGTGTGCATCCGAACTATTGTCGACCCCGACATTGCCGAATGTACCGTGAACACGGTAGCGTGCTTGAAAAGGAGAGGGACATGGATGACAAGATATGCCAACATTGCTCCAGCAGGGCGTTCCTTTGTGAAGTGACCCGTGGTTCGCCCACTCCAACAAGCATTAATGCACCGTAACTAAGGTTCTGGCGTGCCGGCCGTCACCCATAAAAGGGTTCGACGTGCCGGTCCCTTGCTTACCGGTGGACTGGGAGTCCGCTGCCATCGTGCCTATACAAGCCCTGCCTCATCCCGAATTCTCGCCAAGGCACCGATTGCAGCAAACCAGCTTCTTGGATCCCCACTGCACTGACCCCCGCCAGGAAACCTGCACCAACCGCTGTACAGTGTATACTATATACGAGTGTGTATACCATGCATGTACACCACCATACCGCTCCGACTGGCTCCGGCAAATGCACCAAAAGAAAAGGATCACAGCCAACCTGCCCTCCTTGCAAAGCAAGATGCCACACATGCCGTACACACGCAGCACACACCCACACCTGCCCAATCGACCTCCGTCCCTCTGCCTACACCACTGCTACGCACGCTGTTCGTCTTATGCACGCCACTGCACACCATCTAAGGTACACTGCTGCACACGAGGCGCATTGGTCGCCCATGCGCGGTGTTAAGAAAATTGGTCGCGCGCTCACATCAGAATGCGCTCGTATCACGCTCGGGCCATACTAGACCCCAGGGTTTCTGGGGTTCGTGTCGCTATCCTGCCTGCACCGCCGGCGGGTCGTACTCCTGCAGCTGCCCCCAGGAGGGCCCCACGCTCAGCTTCACGGGCAGCGGCACCGCCAGCGCCACCTCCCCCTCCAGCACCCCCCGCACCAGCGCCGCCACCGCGGGCAGCTGCTCCGCCGCCACCTCCAGCACCAGCTCGTCGTGCACCTGGTGGGAACGGGGCGCGGGGGAGCAGGGGGAGCGCGCAGGTGTGGGGTGTCGACACACATGCATGGGGCGGTTTTGGGGTGGCATCGGGGACTTGGTACGGGTCGTAATGTGCGAGTTACCGGCCCCCTAGCGCAGTACAGTTGGGCAGGTATACGGTCCTCAGTGCCGCACTCAGTGGCACTGGCACCCAGATCCCCATCGCACGTCATCACCCCTGCCATGCATCCCCACTCGCCGCAGCCCTCTGGCCGCAGCGCCCCACACATCATGGACGGTATGCAGCGCCCCACTCGCACCATGAGCACCAGTCGTGCGCTGCCCGCCAGCCCCCGCTGCTCCAGCCGGCGCTGCAGGGTGATCATGGCGGCCTTCACCAGGTCCGCAGCGCTGCCCTGACACACGCTGTTGACGGCCTGGCGCTCAGCCTGGTGGGGGGAGCAGCAGGAGGACAGGAGGAGGGCAGGAGGAAGGTAAGGGGGGGGGGAGGAGGAAGGGGCGAAAAGACTCGGTTACACAGTGCGGGGAGTACAGCAGGACGGCTGCAGGGGTTCAGGGACGCAGCCGCGACCGCCGCGCAACAACAGTCACCGATGACAAGGTCCTTTCAGCGTCTGCAGTGTCGCGGTATCGCCACATCACGCGCGGCGGCCGCAGCGGCGTGCTGGCCCATCAGCTTGACCAGCACCCCCACCACCCCACCCACCTGCGCTCGCTGGCTGCGGGCCTCTTTGGAGCTCCGCTCGTTGATGCGCGGGAAGTAGCGGCGCCGGCCCAGCAGTGTGCACACAAAGCCACAGCTGCGGCACTCCTCAACCACCTGAGCAGGGAAAGGGAGGCGAGAAGAGCCGGCAGGGTGCAAGGTGAAGCGACTGGCTGCTACCGCTAAGACAGCACATTGGGGCGTTCGTGTAAAGGCGTGCCGGCACAAGGTGTTCGGACTGCGCTGGCCTTGCAGCTGGCGCAGGTGTGCAGCTGTCATGCTCTGAAGCTTCATGCCTTCCCAGAGGCAGGAACAGCCAGAGAGCACGGCACGCGGTACCGTAACAATGCCTACGTCCCTAACCCCTCGCCTTTCCTCCCCATGCGCTCACCTCCTTCGTCCAGCGGTCCACTCCCGGAATGGCACGCCTGAAGTTGTCCGACAGCTCCGCCGCCTCCCCCACCGACACGCCCAGCTCCGCCGCCAGGGTGGTGGTGCCCATGCCGTACAACATGCCGTACGCCAGCCGCTTGGCCTGCACGCGTGTCTCGGGCGTCACCTGCACAGCGCCGTCGAGGATCGTGGCGGGTACGGGGTAGCGGTACGCGTCATGGGAGCCGTGGGGAGGGAGGATGGAAGGATGGAGGTTCCCCCATGTGCGGATTGATGGGAACGGCTAGATAGGGCACACCTCCATGCCCGCCTCCCGCCCCGTCATCCCCCCCCGCCCCACCTGTTCCACGGGCACCCGCTTCCACTCCGCCGCCAGCAGCACGAAGGGGTCCTGGTGCGGGTTGCGCAGCAGCGCACACAGCGCCGCATCGCCCGAGAAGTGCGCCATCAGCCGCAGCTCGATCTGCTTGTAGTCGGCAGTCAGCACGAGGTGCCTGCGGGCAGGGGTATGGTAAAAATAAAGATACACTGACAAACGGGCAGGGGTAGGGGTGGGCAGCGGCCGCGCCACAGCTGGGGTGGGTAGTGGCAGCGAAGGGAAGCACACTTTACAGAGGCAACATGCACAGTATGAGCCGTAGAAGCACACCCAGCACCGTAGCAGTCGCCCAAGGACACGGGGTACCCCCACATGACATCGGCCGCACTCTCACCCCGGTGGCGCCACGAACGCGGTCCGCAGGTTGAAGTGCATGATGATGGTCCGCGGCCCGCCACCGCCTCCTCCCGCCTCAGCGCCTGGCGCCGCCTCCCCAAGCTCCAGCGGCAGCGGCTCCCCCGACTGCTGGCTGAGCTGGAAGGAGTACTGCACGGGGCGCGGGATGGTCTGCAGGTTGGGCTCGTCCATGGCCAGCCGGCCGGTGGCGGTGCTGGTGTGCAGCCAGGTGCCGCACAGCCTGGGGAAGGGGGAAGGGGGTCAAAGACCATACAAAACCATAGGAGACCACAGGTAAGGGCAAAGCAATGGGGGCTAGGAGGCGGTGATTAGTATGCCCTACCGAAGGGGGAAGGGGGGGGGAAGATGATGGTGTGTGTGGAGGGTCAGAGGCGGAGCGGTAGGGGAGAGAGTTTGGCTACCGCTACGTGGGAGTGGAGATTAGACGGCTGGGAGCTGGTGAGGGTGGTGAAGAACAGGTGTGGTGTGACTAAAGCGCAGGGCTCTGGTAACAGAGGTGTGTCATGTCCAGGGCATTGGTGGCGCGTAGTCTTCCTCCTCACCACCCACCTGACCACATCCGGCACTGGTGCCCGGGCTCCCTCCCGCTGCTGCTGCTGCTGCCGCAGCCACTGCCCCTTGGCGGTGCTGTACAGCGTCTCCACGAACCCCGTCAGCAGCTTGTGCAGCGAGCGGTAGTCCAGCAGCGGCCGCAGGATGGGGTGCTGCGTGCTCTCCAGCAGCTCCTCTAGGACCTGGCGGGAGGCGGAGCGAGGGAGGAGGATGAGGCGGGGAGTGTGGAGGTGGTGCGAATGAGCAGTAGTCAAAATGGAGTGTGCTGGGTCTTATGGGACAGGGGTAGGGGCCACTTAGGCAAGCATGTAAACAGTTGATGCCCTGTTGTAGTGCCTGTTCATGTTAGTGTCTCTTAGACGAGGCCGTGCGCCGCAGTCGCCCTACCTCTTTCTTGGTTGAGGGGTGCTTCTGGTGCTGGTTGGTGAAGGCGCAGGGCGGCGGCGGCAGCCCCAGGTGCTGGAACAGCACCTCCGACACGTCCTGCGCGGCAGGCAGGGGAGCAAGGGAGCAGGGAGGAGGGGAGCGGGCGGGGGCCATGTCAGGAGAGCGCTATGAAACAGGGGACTGCGCCGCTGCAGCTTCCACGCAACAATAACCATACCACGGTGCCTGTAGCGTGACAACAGGAAACGAAGACTGGACGCGGTAAGGTTGATGATCCAGGTTCGGTAAGCAGCTAACCACCCATCGAGCCAGCGGCAGCAGCACCAAGGCACCCGGTCCACACACCCACTCCCCATCCAGGTGCACAGCAACCACGTGCAGCGCCCCAGGCCGCCGCATCCACCCCTCTGTGCCGCATCCCTCCCCAGGTCCCCCTTCCTCCTCGCCATGCGCAGCCCTCCTGCACCGGTACCGCCTACCTACCTTGGGGCTGTTCAGGTCGAAGGTCATGCCCGCGGCCACATGCGCCTTGTGCGCCAGCTGCCGCAGCCGCGCCTCCAGCGGCGCGCGCTGGTCCCGCAGCACCTGCGGCGCCAGCGCCACCCCCGCAGCCTCCATGGCTGCCAGCACCCGCACCAGCGGCATCTCGATTTGCAGCAGCGGCCGCAGCAAGCCCTCGGACTGAGGGGGCGAGGTAGGGAGAGGAGGAGGACGGCGGAGGGAGGGGAGTGTGAGGGCGTATAGGACGGGTGCGCATGGCGAGGGGAGAGGTTGGAAGGTTGCAGAGTAGGTCTAGTGGGTGTGGGTTATACGGTATTGTACGAACCGTTCCAGCGTGCCTTCATGTGGTTCCAGGGGAATATGCACGGTGTCAGGAGAAGCCAGGACCTGAGGCCGGGGCAGCCCGCCTCCGCCCCTTACCTGCAGACGCGGCAGCTTGTCCTGGTAGATGTGACGGACCATGGCTGCGCGGCGGCACGCGTCAGCCTGGCGCGGAGGCAGCTGGCGTACCACCGTCCCCGCACAGCTGAGCACACCCAGGGCCTATAGGGCCGGAACAGGCACGCAGGCGAGGTCATACAGCGTGAATACCGGCATGTCGGAGGTTTAGTTTGGGTCGTTGTAGGGTGGATTAAGCCTGGAGGAGGAGGAGGAGCGAGGTGATGCTCCTCGGCAGATGGCGATACCGCGATCATGGGCAGGATAGCGGACCCAGGACTTCTGGCCCATTTGGACCCAACCACCCACCCACCTTGGCATGTGCGCTGGCGCCGCACACCTCGGCCTGCTTCATGCGCTCCTCCAGGCCCTTGGTCACTGTCAGCTTGCCGGACTTGCCCCGCGGCAGGTTCTGTGCGAAAGCAGAAGAATGGGCGGCAGACGGGCATCAGCTCTTTCGTTAGGGGCAATCAATTCCAGCTCAACGCATGGTTGTGTTGCCCGCGTCCCGGCTCAACGCATTCCTACCTAGTAGCAGAGCCAGCCAGCCACTCACCACGGGGTCATCCGGGTTGAGCATCCACAGCAGTATCCGCACGTCCACAACGGGATCAGCCACATCAAGCATCAGCGGCTGTTGATGACCCGCAGCGGCGCCCGCAGCACCTCCTCCAGAAGCGGCCAGCGCAGCTGAGAAAGCACCCGCGCCTGCGCCTCCCGCGAGCGCTGGTGTGCCCTCGGTGCTGCCTGCCAGCAGGCCGCCCACCGCCGCCTTGGCCTGCAGCAGCTGCTGCTTGAGCTCAAAGGTGACCTTGGTGGACCCCGGGTGCGCCAGCAGGCTGCACACCTCCTGCAGCACCGCGGCGGCCTCCTGGGCTGCCGTACTGGTGGGTGCGCCGCCGCCGCCGCCGCCAGCAGCAGCAGCAGCGGTTGCGGCGGCGGCGGCGGCGGCGGCGTGGGGCTCTGTGGTAGCCATCAGCGGCACGTACAGCGCGCAGCCGTCGAATGCGCACAGCGCGATGCCCTCCAGCCTACCGCTGCTGCTGCTGGTGTTGCAGCCGGTCGTCCCGCTGGCCTCCCCGCCGGTGGCATCTGCAACGGCAGCGGCTTCGGCCTCCATGTCAAAGTGCAGCGGCAGCCCGATACTGTTGAGCTGCAGGCCTCGGCCCAACGCAACTTGCGGCACACCGGGCAGCTGCAGCCCGGGATTGACGGACACGGGCGTAAGCGCTGCGTCGGCAAAGTCGAGCATGAAGCCCCAGAGGCCTGCTCGCTTGAGTTGCTCGCAGGCTGCTGCCACCTCGGCAGCGGTTTTGAGGAGGGTGAAGCCCGGTGACCTCAGCAGCGGCAGCTGCTGCTCGTCCACTGCGGTGGCGCCTGGTAGAGGTAGGAGCGGGGCTGTGGACGGTGCTTGGCCTGGCCGCCCCGGTCCTGAGGCTGCTCCCCAGGAGGCAAGGGGAGGTTGCGGTTCTTGGCGCTGTTGCTGTGGTTGTTGGTATGGCTGCTGCGGCGCGTGGGCATTAGAGGACGGCGGCGGCCGCCAATCCGCATATGGGCCTCCCTCCTGGTGACCCATGGGTCGGGCTCCTGCGTGTGAAGCTGCGTGCGGCGGCTGCCTATGCACGAGTGGCGACATTGGTCGGGATTGCTGCTGGTTTGGAGGCGGCCAACCATTATGCGAAGGACCGGGATTCAGCGCCGCCGGAGCTGCATGCGGGTGCCGCTGGTGCGGTGCTGCATGGTATCCGCCTTGCGCATGGTATCTTGGAGGCGACATTCCAGCCCCCGCCACCCGTCCATCCACCTGGGGACCTTGCGGCTGCTGATGTGCCTGCAGGTGCGGCTGTGGCTGCGGGTACTGTTGGTGTGGGGGAGGCTGGGGAGGGCCGGAAGGCCAAGACTGCACCTGCGGATGTTGTGGCTGCAGCGGAGGCTGTTGTTGGCCGCCTTGTTGCTGCTGCTGGGGCCACTGCTGCTGTTGCTGCTGCTGCTGGGGACCGGGCTGCTGCCCCTGATGCGGCAGGAGCATGGGGCCGGAGCTGCCCTGTGCAGCATAGGGCTGCTGCTGGTGAACGGGTGGCTGAAAGCCTGGCGCTGATCCCTGTTGCCGCAGCTGACCTTGCGGGTGGGCGGCTTGCTGCATGTGGTTGCGCGGAGGGTGGTGAGCAGAGTGCTGCAGATGCTCCTGTTGATGCGGCTGCGGGTCGTACTGCTGGTGGTGGTTGCTGCGAGGTGGCTCGTGCCCGGGATGCCCTTGCGCTTGCGGCGGGTTGCACTGCTGCTGTTGTTGCTGCTGCTGAGCGTGACCAGGCAATGCAACCTGGCCATCTGCAAAGAAAACATATTAGCTTAAGAGTTGAGGAGTATTCTGTGCTGCACTTGGCGCATTCAGTGTGATTGACATACCTGGCTCCACCCTCGCACGTTTGGCATCGTGTCCAGCATGCTCGCCATGCTCTCCAATGGCCGGACCCGGTCTCTTAGTTGCTCCAGACGCAGCATCCCCAGAAGGCTCCCCTGGCGCGACGGCACTGGGATCGGCCCAATGCTGTCGCCGCGGTTCCGGTGCTTGGGCTTGGCCTAGCGGATGTTCCGAAACCCCACCGTACGGCTGCTGCATGCGCGCCTGCTCCCCAGTCCAATGATGCTGCTGCGCCGGCGGTTGCGGCTGCTGTTGTGCCCACTGCTGTGGCGGCATGCCTTGTTGCTGTTGATGCTGCTGTTGCAATCCCTGCTGCCCTTGCCATCCTTGCTGCTGCTGCTGCGCCCATTGCGGATGCTGCTGGCGCCCCTGCATCCCGCCCTGTTGCTGAGCACCCGGCTGTTGTCGATCATACATCCCCGAGTTGCCCGCCCCACCGGGCCCCCTCGGTGGCGTTCCCCGCTGCTCCAACGGCTGTCCGTCGGCCGCCGCCGCCTGACCTCCTACATGATCTCCGGTCACCGCAGCAGTGGCACCTCCTCCGACGGGGCGGTGTCCTGGGGGTGAGGCACCTAGGCGCTGCTGCTTCGTAGGGCGCACGGGCGTGGTCCCCGCTGCATCTCTGGAGCCGCTGGCATGACCTACGGGATGAACGCCGCCGGAGCCCTGGCCGCACACCACCGTTACGGCACCAGTACGGCCCTGGACTGCAGCAGCATTCGCAGGACAGTGTATATAAGCAACTGCGTGTGCGCCCATCATCGCCGCGTCCGCAGCAACTCTCGGTCCTACATCACCCCCATCCCCGCCCTGTTGCCCCTCCGCCACCGCAGCCGCGCCATGCAGCCGCGGACCCACGGCGCCGTCCCCTGCAGCTACTGCTCCTCCGCCGCCCTCCGCCGCTGCAGCACCCGGCCCCTGCGGCCCTGCCGAGCCGCTGGAGCCCCCCTCCGGGCCGCGGCGGGGCTGCTGCGGCGGCGGCTGCGGCGGCGCCAGGGAGGGGTCCAACTGCGCCGACTGCTCCTGCGTGGCCCCCGGCTCCATGGCGGCTCGCAGCGCCCGGGCCTGCTGTTTGAGCTCCTGGACCTGCAGACGAGCAGGCAGGGAGGGGAGTCAGCAGGAAGAGGAGACGGGCAGGAGGGGGAGGCAAGGAGAGGAGGCAGGCAGGCAGACGCGAGAGGGGTGTGCGAGTGGAGCCACCGAGGAGGTACTGTGGCATTACCGGCGGTAGAGGCGGGGAAGGGGAACATAAGACGATGCATGGGCGCCGCACGCGCTGTTAGGGGTCCGCAGTGCCCTCGAGGGCTGCATGTCCAGCATGCGGGGTGCTCATGGTGGGGCACACGGTGCATGTCCCCCCACACCAACATTGCTTGTCAGTTCCTTGGGTGGAGTTCTCTGGCGGTTTCGTACCTTCTGGTTGACCAGGTCCTTGGCGCCCTGCAGGATCATGCGGGCGGCTCGGCGCTCCGTGCGCCGCTGCTGCTCCTGGTCGCCAGCGCGGGCGGCGCCTGTGGTGAGCAGGTCGGGGGCCGGGTTGGAGGGAGGTAAAAGAGCATACCGGTACCAGGGGGACGAAGAATGGGCGGGGTGTTTTTGTCACGCATTCCCATTCCAGCCGACCTGCCGGCCCTGCGACGCCCTTCCATGCTCCTTTTAATATCGGTGCGTCGCGCCCCTCCGCTGACCTTGCAAAACCCCTCCTCACACGCGGATATGGGCATGACCATCCAGCCCCTTGCCCACCTCCCCTACATGCCTCCCCAAAAATGCAACTTCCATTCAAGCCACATCGCCGCTGCATCTCATGTTACTCAGCACGCTCCCGGCTACTCACTACGGTTCCCGCCGCCGCCTCTTCCTAGTCCATCCACCCATTCCCTTCCCTTCAATCCCGCCCCCATCATCCAGCCTAGCTAACGGTATCATAGGCTCGTTTTTTCCCTTCCCCCCCCCTCACCCGCTGACAGTATCTCCAGCAGCCGCTCCAGGTCGCAGCCCGCCACCACCTCCGGGGTGCGCAGCCCCGCCTTGTACAGCAGCCGCGCGCGGTGGCCCTTGACGTAGGGGATCTCGGTGAGCGCCACCACCTCGGGCCGCACGCCGTACCACACGCGGCTCTGGAACTTGGCGATGATCACCTCCAGGTCCGCCCAGCCCAGCCGCTCGCAGAAGGCAGCGACCATGGCGGAGAACCGGCCTGTCGTACGCGATGTGGGTCGTGGAGGATGAAGGCCAGGAGAGCGTGAGTATGGGGTCGTTCAGCATGCAAAACGCAGAGCATGCAGCTCGACATGGGCAGGAGAGCCATGGCGCGTACCCACACTGGTTCAGGTGTGCAGCTCTCACCTGCTCGCTCCTGCAGGCCCTCCAGAGGCCCCTTTTCCTTGCCCAGACCGTACTTCTCGGCCACCTCCTTGAGCGGGACCTGGGGGCGCGGGGAGGGAGGCGCGGTTGCCAGGCACCCACCGGGTGACGAATCTAAGGCCTACAGTTCTATCCCATCCCGGTAAACACATACTGAACAACACAAGTAATGGCTTGGTAAACACAGCACATAGCATGTAGCTATCACAAGGCCCCTTGGGCTCATGCCCCAGCACAGCAGCTTCCAGGTCCAGACGCTGCCCTGCCCCCCCCCTTCCGCAGCCGCCCCGCACCCCGCACCCCACCTCCTGAATGAGGTCATTGAGGACCATGGCCGCGAAGAAGCGCCGGGCGATGCGCTCCTTCTCCGCATCCGCAGAAGCAGCTCCGCCGGCTCCCGCACGAGAGCCGCGGTGACCCTGGGGTTGTGGTGTGGCGCATGCATGGGACAGGAACAGAGGATAAGGGCTTACGCAGTGTTCAGGAAAGGCCAAGAGACCGGGCATGCCAGGCTATCTGGTGAGTATGGGATGCGGGATGCGTGGACGACTCTGCACGCCAGCGCGAGCCAAGCTCGCGTGTGAAGGGTGAGGCGAGGTAGCCGGGATACCGGATCCCCCTCCGCCCCCCCACCTGTCTCAGCCTGACCAGGAAGGCGGGCACCACCCCCACCAGCTCCGCCACACGGGCATCCACCTTGGACAGCTTCTCAAACCAGTGGAAGTAGCTGCGCGGGGATGGGAACAGGGGAGGGAATAGGGGAGGGAATAGGGGATGGGAGTACCGGGGAGGTGAAGGGTCTGCATGCGGGATGAGGGTGGTGGATGAGGATAACGGTGCTAGAAGGGAGATGAAAAGAGGAGGGGAGTTCGCCATGTGTCACGTACCAGCAGCGGCTCTCTTGCGCCCGTGTCAGTCAACATACCGTACGGGCCCCTATGCCCGCCGGGGCACGTCCACGCCGCGAACCTGCCTCCAAACCTAGCTTCCCATCTCCACGAGCCTCCCCTTAAACGCCCCACCCCCGCTGCTCTCCCACCTTATCTCGCATCCAACTCCTCACACCCTTCACCCCTGCCCCACGCCTCCCTTCCTGCCCCGGCCGCCGCCCCTCCTCCCGCTCCTCCCCCTTCCTCCCCCCCCCCGCCTGCTCACATCTCCCAGTCCACGCGCAGGTCCTCCTTGATGGGTGTGACCAGGTAGGTGACGTGCAGGTCGGTGGCCAGCACCAGCGACATGCGCGCGCGCTCCAGGTCGCCCCGCACCACCAGCGCCTCCTCGGGCGGCATGGAGCTGGCCAGCGTGGCCTTGCCGAAGGGAGTGGGGCCCCAATTGAGGGTGGACTCGTCCACACTGGGCGCAGGAGAGGGAGGGGGCAGGTGAGGAGAGGGGCGGGAGAGGGAGGGAGGGAGGAGAGGGGCGGTGATGCGGAGGCTCTGGAGGTAGAGAATAGGGCACTGCACCGGTAGATGAGTGGAGTGAGTGTGTACGAAATTACATAGGTGACCCGCACTCCTCCTTCCCCTCCCCTCCAACTACACTAGCAGTGCCGTTAGCGATTGTTGGCCTGAAGGGAGAGAACCACCCACCCACCCACCCACCGTATGAAGCCGTTATCCTTGAGCCAGTGCAGCGCCGCAATGGTCGCCTTGGCCACCGCCTGGAAGCCGTACTGCGCGTGCAGCAGCGTGCAGCCGATGAAGCGCTTCACGTCGGTGCCGCTGCTCACCGCGCCAGACGCAACCACCTGCGGGTCGCGGATTGCGGAGCTGGTAGGTCGCAGTGAATGCCGCAGTGTATACGCGGGTATACGCCTCGACAACTCCAGAGTGAGTCCTCCTCCAGAAGACTCACGGTCACCAACCGTGTACGACACGCGCATCCCGTACGCAACGAGACGCATCAGCCTTGCAAGTAGCCCACAACATGTGAACGACGCCACCAGCACCCCTCCCCCCCCCTTAACCTGTGGTTTCTATGGTATGGCATGGGGTCTTTGACCTCCCTCCCTTCAGCAGCCCCCTGGCGGCCACCCCCCCCCCGACGACTCGCACCTCCAGCACCGCCCGCTTCATTCCCTTCTTGTTCTCCGTGAGGCAGCTGGCAATGGGGTTGGCCTTCTGCTGCATGAGCGCCAGCAGCTGCGCCACCGGCTTGTTGCGCTCGCAGAGGAGGTAGGACTCGCCGGCGGTGTCGATGCCAGCGCGGCCCGCGCGACCAGACATCTGGCGGTACCTGCGCGGCCAACGACACAGGTGGTAGGTGGGTGGGTGGGTGGGTGGGGTTGTTTGCATCCACGGAGGATTGATGACCGCCACCTGACATGCGTGACACTTGTGTCCCAGCAAGCCCCCTCGGTGTTGTTGCACCAAGTCCCCACCCCAACCCCGCGGCCAACTGCTCTTTTCCCGCGACTTCGCCTCCCCCCGACCCACTTGGTTGCGTCGATGGGGTTGTCCTGCTTGCCGATGTAGCTGTGTCGGAAGATGACCCGCCGGGCCGGCAGGTTGACGCCTGCCGCCAGGGTGGAGGTGGCGGTGAGCACGGAGATGGCGCCCGCCTTGTAGGCCGCCTCCACCACCTCCCGCTCCTCGTTGGACATACCTGCAGGGTGGGGGGCCAGGTGCCCGAGGAAAGCAGGGCAGGATGAAAGCACGCAGGGCAAACAGCAGGAGGTCTTGTATGCCGTGCAGTTGCGAAATAAGCGAAGAGAGCGGTGGTGTAGGGGAATGGGAATGGCATGGGTGTGTTCGGTACCCAGGCGAAAACATGAAACATGACGGCCCCAAAGCAGCCGGGCTCAAGGGGCACATGCACAAGTCCCAGACGCCGTATAGCCATACCTGCATCACGCCACAGCGTAAGCCCTGCACCTTCCCACTCAATACAGAAGCCGTGTGCGTCTTCATACAACCCTGACCGACCTGAAACTCTCCCAACCCTAGCAAGCTTCGATGCCTAATTACAACATCTGCTCAGTGCCTACACTGTTTTTATCCTATCTAGTTCGCATCCTATCTATTCCCCCCCACCGAGTCGAGCCTCTCACCCGCATGGTGATAGGCCACGCCCCGCGCCACCAGCTCCGGCAGAGTGGGATCCTGTCCCGCCAGCCGCCGCAGCTCCGACACGAAGCCCTCTCGCGCGTTGCGACCCATGGGACTGTGCGCGGCAGCGTCCTGCGGCCCCTGCCCCGCCGCCTGCGCGCCGGCACCCTGAGCTGACACGGGTGGCGGCTCGCGCTGCGTGATGGGCACCAGCCGGGCTATGTGCTCGGCCACCCGCTCACAGTGGGCCTGGAAGGGCGGGAGGGGGGGACTGCGTGTGGGGCGGTGAGGGGATGGGAGGAAGGACTCCAACGTCGGCATGCGAAAACCCGGTGGGTGGGTGGGTGGAGCACGCGATGAGAAACGCAAGCGGGAAACGCAATGCCTACCTTGGAGGCGCAGAATATGAGCACTGAGTGCCCGTCCTGCACCGTCTCCCGCGTCAGCCATGCCACATGGTCGGCATCGCGCTCCTCCCACCCCGGCTCCGGCTGAAGCTCCCGCACCACCTCGCCAGCGGGGTTCAGCACGCGGCGGCCTACCTGCAGGAGGAAGAAGGCACCAGCGTGGAAGCAGCAGCAGGAGTGGGAATGGAGATACGAGTGGGATAGGATTATAGGAAAGGGGCGGTCCGCGGGGATGGCAGAATGTGGCCCTCATGTAGCTGGCGCAGGTATTGCTGCGAGGAAGGCATGCATGGCTTGCTGATGAGGAGGTGGAACGCTGAAGGGACAGAGGATGAAAGGCAATGTCGTGTCACGGCGTGCCATGACCGCAATAAGTGTTAGGGCATGTGCGGAACGTGGGCATGTTCTGTACGACCGGGTACCTTGACGTACTCCTGCAGTTGCACGGGTCTGAAGGTGGTGGTGTAGAGCGCCGCGTCCAGCCAGCGAGCCACCGCATCCACATTGGGCATGGTGGCGCTCATGCCGATGACCTTGGGGGCGGGGCAGGGGAGGAAGGGTGCATGTGGATGTTGAAGCGGCATGGCCGGGGTTAGCAGCAGCAGCAGCTGCATGGAATCTGATGGGACTTGCTGGTGTGAGCCAACCCTTGAGGACACCTGTTAGCAACACCCTTAATGGGGTCCTTACAGGTGGACAGGTAAGAACACTGCACAACGCACGACCGGTACCTCCACGGCAACACAGCCCTGCCACTGCCCCGCCCTTCCACCGTCCCCATACCACACACAACCCCATCCTCACCCGGCCCTGCTACCTTCCACGCAAACACGCACCTGCAGCCCCTCCCGCTGGTACGCCGGCCCCACCGCCGTCCAGTCGAAGGGCGCCTCCTCCGCCTCCGCGCCTCCGCCCGCTGACGCCGAGGTGGCGAAGCGCAGCTTGGTGAGCAGCAGCTCCAGCAGGTAGCCGCGCTCCTCCTCGCCAACCTGGGGTCAGGGCAGAGAAGGGTATAGGAGGGGAGAGGGGGAAATGGGTTTGGTTACTGTGAGGGGAAGGGGTGGGGAGGAGCGTGGCAGGAGGTGCGCTACGCTAAGTAGCCGCGCTCCTCCATGTACATGTCAGGATTGCGTGCATGCAGGCTGAGGGTTGGGAAAAGGCAGGGACGACGGTGCGTGCATTGAGGCAAGTCGGGGTTCTCTGTCGGTCCTGGCGCCGGACCAGCGCTGATGCAGCAGCATTGAGGAGCGATTGTTGCCATTGCGCCATTCACCGCGGCTCCTTCAGGACCCCTGTCCCGAAGGATTCGCGAGAGCTATCACCATTTCGTCCAACCAGCCCTCACGTCTCCGCCCCCTGCCCCTGTCCCCCACCTCCCCACCCCCCCCCACCATGTGCAGCTCATCCACCACCACCGCCGACAGCTCCCCCAGCGTGTCCTCCTCCAGCATGGCGTTGATCAGTGCGTTGGCCTTCTCGATGGTGGCCACGATGGCGCCTGCAGCAGGCAGCAGCAGCAGCGGGGCGGCCGGCGGAGGAGGAGGGGGAGGCACAAGGCAAGAAGGCAGGAGGGTAAGGGGACTAAATGCAGGGGCGAGAACCGATTTTCCTCCTCTCTTGGACAGACAAGCTCTTCCTGACGTGCACCCTGCGTCCCTCCTCTCACCTACGCCCGGCTGTATGATCTTGCCGTTCTGCTGGCCGCCGTACGCGCCGTTGACGGTGCGGTTGATGGGCGCCAGCAGCGCCTGCAGCGCGTCCGCCTTCTCCGCGCACAGAGCCACGAAAGGCAGCACCAACATGAAGGGCTTGCCTGACCCCGGCAGCGGAAGGAGAGGGTAAAAGAGGGAAAGCTAAGCAAAGGGGAAGCTGAAGAGGGGCGGGGCAGCAGAGGTTAGGGGAAGGGACGCGGAAGAAGATGACCGCCATGAGCTGCTGCATCCTATCGCCGTTTGCAAGGTCCAGGTGAGCGGCTCGAGAGCCGATGTGGAGTGACCCCAAAACCTTAATGACCACGTAGCCACGGACGATGACTGCGCATGGCAGCTGAGTACCGCCCGTCAACCTACAGGGTCTAGCGACGTGCGGCGTGAGGCTCTCAACACCAATACAACCTGTAATCCCCCCATGCAACCTGTCGCTTCCCCCCAAACCGCCCAGCAAGGTGAGCAACTACCCCAGACCCGCCTCCCCCACCTGTGATCAGCAGCCTCCGTATGCCCAGCATCTCCGCCACCATGGACTTGCCGCCGCTGGTGGGCGCGCAGTACACCAGGTTACGACCCATCAGCACGCCCAGCTGGCACAGACACTCCGCCTGCAGGCATGCAGGTGGGCATGTACGTATGCAGGTGAAGCGGTCGTTGGTAGAGGTGAAGAGAGGAGGGCCGTACGTGCAGGGAGCGCGGTGCAGCGCAGAATGGTGCTGGCAGAAACCCCCCCATGGGTGTTAGGACAAGCGATCACGACGTAAAGCACGGCCCTGCCTCTTAAATGGCTCCGTACCCACCAGAGCTGGTCTATACCCAAATTGCTATGCCATACACAGTCGCCGTACGCGTGCTTCTGACTCACGCTCTACGGCACCGTCCACCGGATGAAGTATGCCGTACATCTTCAACCCTCCAGCCCATACCTGCCATTCGTACAGCTCAAACCGCCCTCCACGGTCGTAGTACGCCTGGCACAGCGCCTCCGGTAGGTATGCCTCCAGCTGCCTGGGTGGCGCCGGAGGGCCCGGCGAGGGCGGCGGCTCCCCTGGCGCCTCGCCGCCACCTACAGCCGTAACCACACCTCCAGCCATGACACCGTCAACTCCCTCTGCCTCCGCTTGCGCCCCGGCTGCCCCAGCGCCACCATCGGGGTCCGCAGCGGCCGCCAGGGAGGCAGCTAGGTTGCCCCCGGAGGCTTGCTGGCTGCCGGCGCCCACACGGCCGCCGGTATGTGACGACCTCCGCCGTTGTCGCCGCTGAGCCTCCACCAGGGCGAGCTGCGTGAGGGGTGCGGCGTAGGCCTCCGCGCTCTCCTCATCGCTGCTGCTGCCGTCGCCCGCAGCAACAGCAGCCGCGATGGCTGCAGCGCCCGCGGAGGGTGCGACAGTAGGAGCAGCTGCAGCAGCAGCACCGCCGGCAGCGGCTGGGGCGCCGGCGGCAGCTGCAGCAGCAGCTGTGGAGGCCCTGCTGGCGCCCACGTCTGACTGCGGAGGCGCAGCTACGGCGGTGTTGCTAGCGTTGCCTGCATCAGGGATCATGTCGGCCCGAGTCCCGCTGTGTCCTGGCATGTGGGTCGCCGCGGATGTGCCGTGGCGCTGGTTGGCCCCTTCGCAAAGGGCGCCACCGGGGCCACCACCGTTGGGCTGCGGTTGCATGTGACCATGCTGCTCGCGGTATTGCTGCTGCTGGTATTGCTGTTGCTGGTGGTGCTGCTGATCCAGCTCACCCTGCATATGCTCATCTTGGTGCGCCTGCTGCATGTGTTGGTACGTGGAAGTCGCGTGGCCCGCGTCATGACCGCCGTTTGGCCTCTGCTGCCGTGAAGCATCCGGCTGACCAGGCGGCTGCCGGTCCCCATGGGTATGCCCATGAGATGGATGCACGCCGCCCGACACTTGCGGAGCATTCGGATAGGATGGCTGCGGCGCGTCGCCCCCATTGCCCTGCCCCACAAGCCTGCTTGCTTGTAGCTGCTGCGGGACGTGTTGCTGATGCTGCGGTTGCTGGCGCCCCGGCGGGCCCGCAGGAGGCCGCGGCGGCAGGCCCAGCTGCGCAGGGGCTGGGAGCACGCAGCCCGGCATGTCACCCTGACCTACCCCACCAAGAAGCGATTGTGCCGCTTGCCCGTGTACATCCACCTGCTGTGGTTGTGGCTCCTGCTGAGGCGCCGGAGGTCCCTGCTGCTGCATCTCCCCATGCTGCAAGGGCCCTGGGAAATGAGAGCCGGGTGCATCCGCCCCTCTCCGCTGCTGCTGCCATGGTTGCTGATGCTGGTAGCGGCTGTAGTGATTTGAGTGGGCGTCTTGCGGCCGGGCGTGCGGTTGCGGGCCGACAGGCGCAGCACCAGCATTCATAGAAGGCGGCCTGGCAAAGTGCGACTGCTGCTGGTGTTGGTATCCCAAGGAAGATTGCTGATGCACTGCGTGCACGGGCGTGAATGCCAATTGCTTGACAGGAAGCGGCGATTCCTTTGCCAGGCCGCCGCCAGCCCCCATCGCAGCAGCCCCGGCAGCATGGCCATCTCCACCCGCTGCGGCTGCTGCTGCTCCCGGGCCCTCTGCCCCATCCGGTCCTGCTGCCGCAGCCAACGCATCGGCCCGACGGTGCCTCTCCTCAAGTTCGTCAAGGGCCGCAAAGAAGCTGCCGGATTCTGGTGTCGGTTCAGTTGCAGGTACAGGTCCCTGAGCCGCAACTCCGCCTGCACCCCTCAGGACAATCGCGGGCGTGCGGCCTGACGCGTCCGCCGCCGCATGCTGGGGCCCAGCGGCTGCTGCTGGGACCCCTGCTCCTCCTGCAGCTGAGCCCTGACCATGCTCTGTTCCTGGCATACAATGAGCAGCCGCACCTGCATGCGGCGCCTGTTGTGCAGTCTCGGCGGATGGGCCATCCCGGCCGTGTTGGGCCACCTCTTGACGCGGCGCCTGCGGTGGCTGAGGGGGCCGCCAAGGCCAGATGTTCTGCTGCTGCGGCTGTTGGTGCTGCTGCTCCTGCTGCTGCATAAGCTCGAAAGCCGTGGTGATAGGCGCCCCGACCGTTCCTTCCACGTACGGCCCCGCCGGCTGTCCCGCGTGCAGCTGCTGCCCGTCGCCCTGTGGCGGCGGCATCGGGCCCCAGCCCTGTGCGCCTACCCCCGCAGCACCAGCTCCACCACCCACGGCTGTTGCATGGGTTACTCTCCGCTCCAAAGAATCCAGCGCAGCAAACATGTCTTCATCAAACGGGGTGCTGCGGGCGCTGCTGGGCGGAGCCGTTGTGGGCGCGGCCAGGCCCCGTAGCAGCTGGCAGGCGGGCGTGTGGTCCTCTGCCGCAGCGGCCGCAAGACCCTGCGGCCGGGTGCTGGTCACATGCAGCGGGGTTCCGGTTGGGGCCGCTACAGCAGCTGACGTAGCCGGGGGACCTCGCACGCCTGGCATGAAGTGCATAGGCGGCAGAGCCACTGCAGAAGCACGGGGTGCGAGGGTCTGGCCGAGCTCCGACGCAAGGGGACTGATGACGCTGATGCCGGCGCCAGCGTGCAGCTTGTCAGCTAGGTTCAGCCGAGCGCGCGAAGAGCCGTTGCTGCCACCACCGTAGCCGTTGCCACCTGGGTGGCCAAGAGGGATACCATCATCACCACGGCCTGCCGCGGCAAATGTAGCGCCTGCACCATTGGCTCCGCTGGTCTCGATGTAACCCACATTTCGCGGAGATGGCTTACAGGGCTGCAGGGACAGGCCCGGGTAGTGGCTGCCTGCTGGCTGGCCACCGGTCCGCTGGAGCAGGGGCGACCGGTGCCCAGGAGCGACCTCAGCGGGCGACCGGTGGCCCGCTGCAGCACCGTTGACGCCGCCGCCTGTCGCCCCGGACACATGCGCTGGGCTCTTTGTCAGCAACAAAGACGCAAATCCACCAGCCTTGTTGGCTTGCGCCGTCGGCGACTTATACGACACGGGTGCTGGCTGTTGGACTCCGACGCGTGCGCGCGCGGGGCTGAGTGGCAGCGTGGTGTGTTGTTGGCCTTGCCTGCAGACCTGCACCACTGTCGATGCTGAAGCGGGAACTGCCGACGGCGCTGGTGCAGGCCGTGAAGCCGCGAAGGTCGTGGTCACAGGCTCAGGGGGATTCCGGTTTGTAACTAAGCCGCCAGGCTCCCTGTCCTGCACTGCTGGTACTGGAACGGACCTGACATCACCGACGTGGCCCCGCCGCGCGGCTGCATCGGGAGCTGGTGCTGCGTACGAGGAGGGAGGTGGCGCCCACGGTGGCACAGGCCGCGGTGGCGGTGGCGGCATCGCTGGCGGTGGCATTGGCCCAGGATCAGGGTATAGAGTATTAAAGCTCTGCTGTGCAGCGAGTTGTGGTGGAACAGGATGCCCTGGCTGCTGCTGCTGGGGCGTAGGCAGCTGTACTGCTTGCGGGGGCTGTCTTGGCGGCGGCGGTGGCATCATGTGGGTAGAGGCACTGGGGCCGTAAGCAGGCGGCCGATGCTCAGGTGGCGCATACTCGGCTGCTGGTGGTGGTTCGAGGGACGAAGGTATGGACATGTCCAAGGCCTGCTGGTAGTCCTCCACAGCACGCACCTGTTGCTGCTGCTGTTGGAGGGAAGGGTGAGGCTGCTGTCCGGGATCCCCAAGTGGCAGTCCGTTACACTGCATCAGTCGCTCAAGCTCTTCGGTGGGTGTGGCAGGAATCCGTTCAAAGAGCGACTCTGTCAGCGGGCTGGCAACCGGGGTTTCGGCAACAAAGCTGACGTTGGAGGTGCGCATTCCGGGCGCGCGGAAAAGACTCGCTGGGGCAGCCATCGTTGGTGGCTGTGCACTGGGTACAAGATGACTGGGTTCAAGGGGACCCGCAGCAGTGGGAAGGCTGGTGAGCCCCTGTGAAACTGTGGCTGCTTGGTGTGTTATGGGTATCGGCCGGGCTCCATCCACCTCTACGTTCGCAAGCACTGGCTGGCGATCAGCTGGGTGGGGTTCCTCCTGCCCTAAACCTGCGAAGAAGACTGCTTCAGTTGTACTTCACGAATGGTTAAGCATACCTACAGAGCACTCTACTAGCCAACATATTGCGTACCTTGGGCTTCGTCCGAGTTGTCCGAGTCTAGCAGCACAGAGAGGAGTGCATTCCTCGCATGCTGAGAGCTGCGGCTACGGCTCCTCCGTCTTGTCCTGTAGACCGCCGATTAGGTGAGTACAAGATGGCATCGTCAGACTGCTGATAGTTGATATAGTCACCTGTTGCTGCGGCCATGCCGCTGCCCATTAGCTTGCGCCCCTGCCTCAGCCTCCATGCAAAACCAGGCTGCTTCTGGTCAATATTCGTAAGCAACATGACTTGTATGGAAGCTCTCTCGACGCATAGCGCAAAGTAATAACTCTGTAACACGTCAAGTTAAATGCAGGAGTTTAAGGACTACCATGATTTTGTAAGAATAGCCTGAATTCGAGCTATTTCCAACAGGTGATGAATAAATATAATACTTTTGTGGCAATCTCTGCACCCTGGTAGCTAGCTGTCGCACCGTGCTGCGCCGTGCTGTGCATATGGGACGAGCATACGCAATTAGAGAGCTTCTAAGGCAGCGCTGCGAAAACAATTATATGTAGGCGTTGTTACTTTATATGAAAAGCCTTACAGATTATGCCGCCATCTTCATCAACCCTCGCATCATGCTTGGCGCTGGTGTTTGCTGCTGGCGCCGGAGCAACGGTACTGTTGCATACTGTGGGAAATGATGAGTTGCCAGTCGCGACATCGCTTAGGTCCCAAGCTTGTCCCTCGTTTGCAGCTATGCTACCTTTACCTTGCATGGTGGAAGCGGCAGGAGGATGAAGTGCGATCTGGCGTTTTGGGTCTCATCGGCAACACGCCGCTTGTGCGTATCGCCAGTCTTTCGGAAGAGACAGGCTGCGAGGTGCGGACTCTGGCGTCTGTGGTACAACGGTTGCAATACGGGGAAGTCGCAGGCCCATGCACCTGCTGAAGGAGACTTGGAAAGCGGAGAACGCCACGAAAGGCCCACTTCGTGACCTTTGCCCCCTTGCTGCCAACGTCCCCAAGTACTCAGAGACCGAAACGCACTCCTGTACCTCCTGCTGTCCCTCTGCCTGCTTTGCTCTCCCCTGCGCTCCTCCCCCTCCTCGTGCCCCACATGCTGCTCCCCCTCACCCACCTGCTCCTGCCTTCCCTCCTTCCTCCACCTTGCCGTGCTGCCGTACTCCACCTCCTCCGCCTCCTCTGCTGTCGTACTCCACCTGCTGCCTCCCCTCAGATCCTGGCGAAGGCCGAGATGCTCAACCCCGGAGGCAGCGTCAAGGACCGCGTAGCGCTGCAGGTGGGGCTGCCAACACATGCAACAAACCCTGGACAGTGCTTCTGCAGCTGCGCCACATGGCAACCGCCAGGTGGCAACCGCCAGGAGGGGTGTCACGGCTGCTGCTAACGGGTGCGATGTTGTGGGTGTGCAGGTGGTGAGCGAGGCGCTGTCGGAGGGGCGGCTGGCGCCGGGGGGCCTCATCACGGAGGGGACGGCGGGCAGCACCGGAGTCAGCCTGGCCATGGTGGGTGGCGCGCTGGCTGCGAGGGGGTGCAGGCAGCGGGCGGAATGGGGGAAAGAAGGCGAGGAAAGGAGGATACGTGGTGCTAAGCTTCTAGGATGCGCCCCCTACCGCCCAACCCAGGCGGCTACAGCTCCTCCTCCCTCACCTGTATCCCCTCCACCCGCCTCTCCCCCACCCACCCAGGTGGCCGCAGCGCTGGGCTGCCGCTGCGCCATCACCATGCCGGACGACGCCGCCATCGAGAAGGCCACCATGATCCAGGCGTACGGAGCTGCCGTACAGAGGGTACGACCCGTGTCCATCGTACATCCCGACCACCCCGTCAACGTGGCCCGGCGGGAAGCGGTGGCCACCCCGGGAGCGCTGTTTGCCGACCAGTTTGAGAACGAAGCCAACTACCGGGCACATGTGAAGACGGGTGAGTTATGGGTCTCTTGATTGGGGCGTGTGGGAAGGACGTCCACGCTGCGGACCAGGACTCGGGAGTTTGCGACAAGGTTCGCGGCGCGCCCTGTGAACGAACGCTGACGTGCGCTATTGCGTGGGGTGCTAGAGGTGGTGACATTGGCAGTGTTGTCGTCGGTGCATGCAACAAGATGTTCAATGAGTAAAAGCTGCCAAGCTGTCGCTGTCTCCGGCGATATACCAATGTGTATACTTCATCACAGCGCGTTCCGACTCGCGTCCAGTTTTGTTATGGGCAAGTTCGGCCATTCACAACCCCCGCAGGCGAGGAGATCTGGCGTCAGACGGGCGGCCGGCTACATGCCTTCGTGTCGGGTGCGGGCACGGGCGGCACCATTGCTGGGGTGTCCCGCAGTCTCAAGGCGCGCGACCCACGGGTCCGTGTGTTCCTCATTGACCCGCCGGGCAGCTCGCTGTTCAACAAGGTGGGCTGAGTGGGGTATTGGCTGGTGAGGTCAAGGAGTGCGGCATGTTATAACGGTAATGTGGTAGCAGTAGTGCCTTTCCGTGAGACGAAGAGACATTTGACTACACCGTTCCGGGGGGAAAGCTCCACGGGTATACGGTCAGTCGTCCGCCGCATTGGCTGCCGTACATCGGCTGCCGCACTGATGCCGTACAGGTGAAGCGCGGCGTGATGTACGCGCGCGAGGAGGCGGAGGGCAAGCGGCTGCGCAACCCCTTTGACACCATCACGGAGGGCATCGGCATCAACCGCCTCACAGCCAACTTCAACCGGGCTCTCGTGGACGACGCGTTCCGGGGTGCGTGGGTGGTTCCGGGGTGGTGCAGGCCGGGCGCGTGGTGGAGGCGGCAAGGGGTTGAGGTGGTGGAGGCGGCATTCAGGGGCGAGCGAACAGGAAGGGAAGGGGCGGCGGGGGGTTTGGTGATGTAGCAGCGGCTGAAGGAGGTGAGAGGGAAAGTTGCGGAGCGTTTGAGGTCCGGGGCCTGGTCATGCACGAGGGGCGGTGCGGGCCCCTTGAGTGAAGGATCCAATCCATTGCCTGGCTGCTTCCCTCCTGGAATCCTGCATGCATGTTCGGGCGCAACTAATGCACCACGCACGCTCTACTCCGGTACAACATCTTCCTCACCCCATCCCACCAGGGATTGTCAGCAACTTGATCATTATCACACCACACTTTGGAATTTCTTTTATTTACCCACCAGGCTCCGACCGCGAGGCTGTGGAGATGGCGTCCTACCTGCTCCGCAACGAGGGGCTGTGGGTGGGCTCCTCCGCCGCCATGAACTGCGTGGGCGCAGTCAAGGCGGCGCGCGCACTGGGCCCCGGCCACGTGGTCGTGACGCTGCTGTGCGACGGCGGCCACCGCCATCTGTCCAAGTTCCACAACCCAGAGTACCTGGCGCAGATGGGCCTTACGCCGGTGGCGCAGGGGCGGTCACTGGACTTCGTGGAGTAGGAGAGGGGTGGGGAGGAGGGAGGGGAGAGGGGAAGTGTGTGTGAGGGGAGGGGGCAGACGGGAGAGGGTGTGGGCAAGCAAGCACACGGGGATTAGAAGGTGGAGTTGGGGCTTGTATGCATGGCTCGGCGGCGGTACGAGCGGTGTTGCGGGTTAAATCGTAGAGTGGTTGGGAATACTTGGAGTGAACGAGGCAGGTTTTGTAAAGGATACGGTAGCTTACAACCAAGAATTGGGCTTTGGTGTGCCCGATCCTGCATACGTGGGCGAATGCAGCAAGTTGCTTTAAACCATGACTGTAGCGTCATTCCTGCACTTCCAGCTATCTCAGCCACCGCCTCATGTTTATGTCTCTCATAAGACATTACGACGCATTTCCACGCTATGTATGAACTACAATGCGGTTCTCCAAACCCCACGGAATTGGGAGTCTCCACACCATCAGCAGCCCTAGGACCGCTGCCTGCTACATGCCTGCTATGTCTCAATCCAACTGCCAGTGGTGGCCTGCGGGGACAAGCTTATATATACTAACGTACGCATATCATGAATATATGCAATAAATGTCTAATACTTGGACGGCACCCCCAATTAATAAACGACGGGGACGCAGATTAATGCACCGTCTCTATTGGTACGCATAAGCATGGAAAAATATGAATCAAGCAGAGGCAAGAATATTTTAGGAACATTGGGAACATCTTTGGCAGTTTTATTGCTAGAGCTTAATCAGGCAACGTCGTAAGCCCTCTGCGGGTTCACGAACGGCCTGCGACCCACGGGTCTCTCCCACCCACTTATGCAGCGGACACCACATCAATAACGCCGCAACCTAAACACCTAACACTAGAAGGAATCCCCTAGTGCTAATTGCTCAGACAAATCCAAGCAATCGTAGTACTCGGCCGCCTCCTGATCCCGCACCTCGTACTCGGCAGTCCTAAAACGCTAGCCGGCGGGTCTTCTGGCCGTTGCCGTTTCCAACCCCGTTGCCGTTGTTGCCGCTGGCCGTTGTGGTGTTCGCTGCCGCTCCCAGCGCCACGCGAGCGAGCTTGTTCGTCTTGCAGTCCCGCGAGCAGCTGGTGGTGGTCTCGGTGGAGCTGCACACGCCGTCACCTGGAGGGGGAGGGAGGGGCGTGCACCGGAGCGCTTTCAAGCACATGTTTTGGCACCAGCTTGCAACCGGCATGCCGCACACTGCCCACAGGGGTCTCGCTTCCCTTTCCTGCATTCCTGACCGGACTCACCGCAGAACGCCGTGCCCGAGCAAGGTCCGCAGTCCTGCGCGCACGAGCTGCACGTCTCACTGTACCCGCTCCTGCTGCTGGTGCACTTCTTGTCGCCGCAGTAGCTGCCGCCGCAGGAGCCGCAGTCCGAGCAGCCCGCGCCGCTGGTGCTGTTGAGGCAGCGCTCGCCCAGACTCCACTCGCACACGCCGTTGCGGTTGCAGGCGGGGCACGAGCCGCAGTCCGAGGGGCACGAGCTGCACGACTCCCCGCCTGCCGCGTTGCACACGCCGTCTCCGCAGCACGTCTTGGCGGTGCTGTTGGCCGAGGTGGGGATGCCGCAGTCGGCAAGGCAGGTGCTGCACGTCTCGCCGCCTGAGGGGACGAGGCGGGGGAGGGGAGCGGGGTTACGGTACTGCCAAGGAAGCAGTCTCTCCCCCACATGGACACGTTCCCCCGAAGATCACCTAAAAACCCCACCTATCCTAGGTTGGCAGTCCCAAACACAGCATGTGGATGTGCTACAGCCCTCTCCTGCTGCGGCCACCCCTCCCACCTGAGCAGACGCCATCTCCGCACACCGCGCACGCGCCGCAGTCCCCGGGGCAGGTGGAGCAGGTCTCATTGCCGCTGCACATGCCGTCCCCGCAAAACGGGGCGGGCGCGGGTGCGGCCGGAGGCTTCCACATGAGGCCGATGATGTTGTCGCCGCTGGTGCCAGACATGAGGCCCACGCCGGCATTGTACGAGATCCGTACGAAACCGTTATCGCCCCAACCGGCGCCCCAACTGTTCTTGACGATCCAGAAAGACCTGAGGGAAGCGCGAGAAAAGGGGCCGCATATTACAACATGTTGATAGTTGCGCTTAAGGACGTGTTCGCAATCGAATTCGAAAGCATGCCGCTGGAAGCATGCCGCGAGGTGATGTCAAACTCCCAGCGCCCCCTCCCGTCTGCCCCAGCCAACCAACAACCTACCCGGTGTCGTTGTAACCGACAACGGCCACCTCGTGGTACCCGGCGAGCGAGCTAACCGTGTCCCACACGTACGGCGGTGACGAAGCGGTCCACGAGAAGAAGTCGTTGTAGACTGCGAAGTAGCTCATCACAGCGCCGTACTGCCGGATGTGCTGCTTGGCCTGAGGGGGCAGAGGGGAGGGGAGGGAGTCACGGGCCATCAATCAACCCAATGTGGCTCGGAAGGGAACCCACATTCGTAGGTGCTGCTGCTTCCAACCAAGACGCACCAAACCCCCAGCTAAGAGCCAGCCCCTCTCCAGACCCCACCCACCCACCCACCAGGTTAACGTCCGTGTACGCGACGCTCGAGAAGTTGCCTCCGGGGCGCTTCTCCGGCGAAGCAGCCAGGGTGCAGCCGGGTGCCGCCAGGTAGGGGTAGTTGGACTCGTACGGAATGTTCTTCTTAACGAACACGTCAACCGCCTGACTGGCGTACCAGCCGGCATCGCAGGTGGGGCTGTAGAGCCCGTTGCAGAAGAACAGCCTGAGGGAGCAGCAGCACGCAAGCAACACGTGAGCGACAGCGGTGGGGAAGAGGGAGCGGAAGAGCAGCCCTGGCATATTAGGCACACCCATAGCGACCCGTATGGTAATGACCGTAAGAGAACGATTTGTCAAAACTCACCACTGCTCGGCAAAGTCGTTGGTGTTCACAACCGTTCCGTTGGCAATCGCAACCGCCGCCTCAGCCGCAGCAGTGGAGGCGAACGCGACGCACGATCCGCAGCTGCCCTGGTCCTTGACGGGGCTGATGTAGTTGTAGGCGGTTCCGTTGGCCTGGCGCGAGTCCCACACCGGGTAGCTGAGGGCCGCCAGCACGTCGGGGTACGAGTAGCTGCCGCTGGTGCTGCTAGACTGGGACAGCGGAGTCCGGGCGTCGTCGAAGGCGCGGGCCAGGTCGCCGGCAGGCAGGCGGGAGGCATTCCTGGGGTTCAAACCGCTCTCGAGCAACTTGGCAGCAACCTGCAACCGTCCATGAGGAAGATTAAAGGGGCTGATTAGCGCAATCATAGGGACGTGCGGCCTGGTTTCTCGTGTCGTAACGATGACAGGACAGGGGGGCTAGCAGCACATGGAACGACCCACGGGTCAGCCAACTCACCCTGTTGGCCGCAGCAATGACCGCCTGCATGCCGATATACGCCTTTTCGCTCTCCGCACGGAGCTTGCTCGCGTTGACACCGGCCTGTGTAAGGAGTGGGGCGCGGGGGTGAACAATTCGCCTTAACACGAATGCTATGGGCACTGGCTTCATTTGCAAGACTTCGTTCCCCTAAAGGGTAGCAACACCAGAGTCTGCCGTACCCTGGGATACCCGGGTGGCATATACCACAGTACGTACACGGGTCACAGTTCACACATGCACCCCGCCTCACGGCTTCCCGCGCTCACCGGTGGGATGAGCCCGCTGAGGGTTCTCGAGGCGGCGATGTAGGTTCCGTCGCACGGGAGGGTGCTGGGGTCGCTGCCGTCCAGGAAGGAGAAGGTGGGCGCCAGGGGCACCCGCAGCAGCTGCCCTCGGGTGCTGAAGCCGTTGCAGCGGGGCGTGCGGCCGCAGTCGGCGGCAATGTCCGAGAGGTTGCCCGCAAGGTTGCGAACCCGGATGGTGAAGGCGCCGGCCACCTCCTGGAGCGGGTAGAAGGAGTAGCCGTTGACACCGGGGCAACCTGCGTGGGGCAAGGTAGGCGAGGGGTGGGGTGAGCGGAGGGCTGCAGAGGCGGAGAGGTGTGTCGTCTGGAAGGCGGTGAAATGGTCTTAGTATGTGACGGTTGCACTATGGGACTAAGAGTTTTACCTTGAGCCTGAGTGAGGTCCGCGGCGCCTATGAAAACTGGTATAAGGAGGGCGAGGATTTGTAATGCCCTTGACATGTTTCCCCTTCGTTCAGCGCAAATGGACGACGAAAGGAAAAACGACTTGACTTGATATAGGAGCTGTTACAAGGTAGTGAAGTTAACATGTCAGCTTTCTGGCAGTAAAGCTCCAATCGTGGATGTTGAGGTTGGAAAAACGAATGCGCCCTCCTACCTCAAAACCGGAGCAAGAGCTCTTATGGCTGGAACTTCTGCTAGCTTGCAATATAGTGACAATGGCTGTTAAGTGAATTTACGATTTGTTTATCACGGTAAACCGGCTTAGCAATATCGGTAGTATGTATAACTGGGCAACGAAGAATGCAGCTTGTAATTGCCTGTCATATAGTCATTAGCTTTTTAAAGATAGCGGACCGCATGTAAGTTGCACATGTCGTACGCTTGTACTGACTATGACTCACCCCTTCGCTACTGGTAACAATTTGGATTTAAGTTAAGGCCAGATGCGGCACTATAACCGTATTAAATGGCTCTCTTTGTATCATTTTAGTTTTCAGAAAGGTATCGACTCGTAATCCAACTCAAGGCCATAGGAGTAGACGCAACATATTATTTCCCGTCTACAATGGCGCCCTTTGTATCCTTCCGACTTTCAGGAAGTAGATAGCTTTAGCTTTTTACCGCCCTTAATGCTTCCGAAATTCACATTTGCACCATGGCAAGCAGGAAGGTATGCGTCAGGCTTCATGCGACAACTTCCGTAGAGCATATGCCGGTGTGGGGTTTGCAGTGGGGCTTACGGTCAAGCATGAGCCACCTAAGCGCACGCTACCATAAGTGTATGCAGCCAGGGAAGTTACTCCAAGGACGGCTCCCTTATCCTTAAATACCGCTACTGCCCCAGGAAGCTGGGCACCAGAGCCCGGCTCACAAGCTCACAAGCCGCGGACTAGCGGTGCAACTTATATCAAGGGCAGGCCAAAACCCATCGCCGTAACAGCTTTGCCCAGACCTTTCACCTAGGTCTGGCTATTCGACACCACGGCAGCATCCATTGCCCCCACAGGCACACACCACCAATAAAACCAAGGGAACCAAAGACGGGAACCAAAGACCCAGTTTGGATCTTGAGGGTGTGCTGTCAATGGCACGCACAACGCTGCTTAACATAGCAACCGAACAACCTGCAATGGCACAACACAGCACGAATAATTTAGTGCAGAAACTCAAACCGGCATCATGGGGTCCATTGAAGAATCGCACGTATCGCGGCATGGAAAATACACGCATTTGTAGTGAATAACCCTAATCCAGTATATAATGACCGAACTCAAACCACGCTGTTGCCCCGCGTGGCCCAGAGGTCATCGCTTATTCTACGCTGGCTTTCGCCGCCGAACTCGAATCACAAGGTGCGCTCGCAGAGGGAGCACAAGACCCCATCGCAACCCAAGGCCAGGTATCGTGAGATCACGCCCTCCCATTTCCGCATCCTTCATTGTCTGTGTAACTGTCGCAGCGGAGCACACACACCTAAAACACCTTTAGAGTGTTCCACAAGAGTTTATTGACAACAGACCCTGCCGGGGAACTCGGGGGCTCCTTACCCGCTCACCTACCCAATGCTCTCAGTGAGCCGCGGTCACCCCGGCAAGATGCAGTGCGGAAAAAATATTCAGTGCACATTTCGAGGATGTAGAAACAATGCAACACAACGGAAGGGAAGCCTAAACCTCAAAACTCCCAATGCCCTACGCAACATGCGTCGATATTGCATGCCTGTGCAAACTGTCGACCAAACCCAAAACCCCTAGGCCCCAGTCGTTGCAAAACAGGGCCTGCTGCTGTGCTACCACAACGCCTGGCCCGCACCCACACCCGGCATCACGCCTACACGCTGCCTGGCACCGCCGCCGCCCGACGTCAACCTGCCGCCACTCCGCAGCGTCTTGGGGCCTCCGCCGCCGCCGCCTCCACCGTCGCAAGGCTGCGGAGCGCCCATCGGTGATGCGGCGATACACACCACTCGTGGCTCTGCCGAGCTCATGCCGCCTCCGAAACGCCAGGAACCGCCAAAGTACAGGCGCTCCACTTCCAGCAGCAGACCTTCAAAGCTGCCGTACACCGCCTCCGCGTAACCGACGAGGCTGAAGAACGCGGCTTGCTTGCCCCAGGCCACCACCTCGTCTGACGCCGCGAGTGCCTCCACCAGGAAGGACAGCGTGTAGGTGTGCTGGTACGGCCGCGAGGCGAAGAGCTGCTGCAGGCAGCAAGCGCAGCGCTCGAGAATACCTGTTGGGAGGGCATGTAGGAGGGTCGTGGATTCGAGGAAAGATGGATTAGAGTAAACAAAACATCAGGGTTGCTTTTGAGTGCGTAAAACGACTGGCCTTGTAGAGAGAAGCATACTGGTAGTCTCACGCGCCTACAGAACACGAGAAATGGGCATACTAGGATACATCAAGAGCGCATTAAAGGCACAGCATGATACCCGCGGATCGTACCTCTGCGAGAGGGCGGTGACGCCGCAACACCCACGCCGGGGTGAGCGCGCGACTGGACGTTTGCGGCTGCCGATGGCAGATGTTGGCATGGTCTGAACTGCGGAGATGTACCAGACATTTGCTGCGACGCTTGAGGCCGCCCATGCAGCGACGCAACGGGTGAGGATTCGCCGTGCTTGAAGTGCAGCGCCTCCTGCCCTGCCGACCGATTCCGTCCTGATTGCTGCCCTCTGCCGCTGCCGCCTCCGCAAGATGGCCGCCCAGTGCCGCTGGGTGTGCTTGCCGCGGCGGTGGGGGTAGTAGCCCTGCTCGAACTGGCGGTGCTCGCGGAGCTGCGACACGCCCTCCCAGGGTCGGTCAAGTTGGGGGTTTCAGGCGGGTCTGGCTCCGAAACTCGAGGGCCTCGGTCTCGAAGTTGCGTGCTGCTGCCTCCCCCGCAGCTACCACAGCTGAAGGCTCCCGCAAAAGTTACGGACGAGTTGATCTTTGTCAGGAGCTGTGAGGCGGAACTGGACGCAGGCAGGACAGAGCCGTCGCCTCTGGTGGCCGTGTGGGGTGACCATGAGGCCTCAGACTGGCTGCAGCTGGGCAGGTCCGTGCCCTGGACAGCGCTCTCGCTGCCGCAGTCGCTGCAACACATGCTTGGAGTAGAGAAGCCCGTGCTGACTTCAGGACTGTGGATGGCGTCTAGACGATGGCTGCAGGCCGCGAGACGGATAACTGCGGCCACGGTAGGGTCGCCCTGCGGGTCCCAGCCATGCATGTATCGGGCTTTGCTAACATCCAGCACGGCGTTTCTGTCCGCGACGGTTCCCGTTATCGTCCAGCCGCGCCCAAAGTGCATGTCGCCGATAGCGAGTAGCATTTCCTCGAGGCTGCCGAAGACGTCCCGACCCCATGCTGAAATTTGCATAGGTTTTTGGCCACAAGAGGGTGCGATAAGGATGCTGAGCAGGGAGAGGAGTTTCTCCGCCTTGAAACTGGAATGCTCCAACCGTCGTGCGAAGAACGAGTGAAGAACTTGGGCGCACAGCCGAGACACATTTTCAACAGGCTGGTGCCATTGAAGAGAATCTCGAGCAGTAGGCTTAGCGACGGACGCGGAAGGCCGGCAAACCTGGACCGAAATGGCCTTGCAGCCCACAATTACCGACTTGTTAAGCGCGGTCGCAGCTGCTGCTATCTGCTCAGCAGAAGGGGAGCCAGCGAGGTCCACAAATCCAAACCCTTTGTTCTTCCAGGCTGACTGAGGGACAACACTTATGAGCGAAGCCTGCAAGCTCTTGCCTTCCAGGGCCGCTGCAAGGGCTGCCTCCACCTCCTCTCTGGGCAGACGAGGAGGTATGCCACATAAAAATAGGTGGTGGTGTGCGGTCCTAGGCTCTCCGGAAGGCCCAGGATCTGCGGCCATTTTCCAGACAGCAACACCCAAGCCAGTCCCCTTAGCGAAGTTTGTGGCTAGTTAGGCTTGTCCTAAATACTTTAGGGGATAAAAACCAAGACGTTACAAAACTGGAGCGTCTGTATAGGGCTATGTAACTCGTGTAACCCGTCCTCGTTTGCTTGTCGAAAGTAGACTTATGGCAAGGGAATTGCGTATGGTGCGGCCGTCAGGGTCATGAATCCAGGGCCATACTGGGCCAGGCCGGGCCTATACAGTACGACAACGGTAATGCAAACAGCAAAACGCCCGCCTTCCGTGTTTGCTTATCGCTCGTTAATCGTTCTCGTTTACGCAACAAAAGCTGCTAACAATACTACGTTGCTACAGTATGGTTGCTCCGCTTCTTGTACTCGTACTTATAGCCTGGTCACACGACGTTATTTCTACGTTACGTTTGCGGAAAGATAACGTGAACGTAAACGTAGACCGGTCACATGACAAACGTAGGGTTACGTTTTTGTTCTACGTTAACGTAGGCCAGAAACGTGAACGGAGGGGGTAGGGGTTCACGTTCAAACGTAGCGAGCCGAGGTGGACCCCTAGTCGTAAAATTAGTACTACAGCCACTTGGATGCGTCTTTTAACGTCGTTTCTTCAGCATAACCATTTAAGCTCTCTAAACTCTCTCATTATTTTATTGGTGCCTGAGCGTGTCACCATTCGTGCCGATCTGAGTAATAGGTTACATAAACTCCTCCTAAAACGTTCCAAACTCAAGCAGATATGGCTAGGTCTGCTGCCAGGGCACTCATGGACATTAACAACAATGCTGGTCCTGTTGCAAAGCCTACTAGGCAGGCCCACGGGTCAGGTGCGTCGCTCTACGGACTTCACCGGGTATTGGGTTACGGGCAATGGCACGACGCAGCTCGGGGACAGGCCGAGCAAAGTGGAATCCATAATCCTGGTATAGTTTTCTGAACGCTGCCTTGTCGAGGCAGAAGTGGCCAACATACTCAGCGTCCTCACGGCCAGAGAAGCGCATGCCCATCTCAACCCAACCACCCATAACGCCTAAGTCACGAATAGACCAGAGCCAACGTGGCATGGGGCCATCATGGTTGGGAACGAGCCAGGGCAACCAAGCTGGTAGCCATTTGGCAATGAACAACATGAACCTCGGAAAAGTCCCTACTAACGTGGCGTTGAGCTTGGCGTACGAACGTAGCATGTGACCGAGACCTACGTTTGGGCCGCTACGTTCAACGTGGGTTCCATGTAACGTAACGTAGAAAGTAACGTCGTGTGACCAGGCTGTTGCAATTGATATACCCTACAGTATCGCAACACGGCGGAATAGCCGTAAATTGTCGTAACATCGTACAAGAACCCGCCTTATCTACCGATAAATCAGCGCTTGCATGAAAGGGTGTCACTGATACACAGTTTCCTCGACCAACAGCATCCAGGGGCTGTAAACATAATTAGGTTTACCCGGAACAATTTGATGAGAACCCCTCCCGGATCACCCACCCGGCCTGCCGTACGGACGCGCGTCCGTCAACACTGCGAACGCAATTTTCTTATGTTGCCGTACGAAAAATACCGGTACGTGATTCCTGCAGTGACCGCTGCAGTGCGGCAGCAAGCCCGTGGGCGCTCCTGCTGGCGGGATGGTGCTGCAGTACTGGCCTGAGTTACGGAGCAGCAGCGGCTGTGCAGGCAGCAGCAGGAGCACCGGCAGCAGCAGCAACTGTAGTGGGCTGGCGGCGCTTGGCTGGTGCCAGGTATGGGGGGGCGTGGCAGTGGGAGCCCGTGTCTCGTCATCACAGGTGGCAGTGGCATGGCCACCTAAGGAATGTGCAGGTGGCCTTGCTAAGTTTTCATGGTAATAAATGGTCTTCTTGCTCTCCTAAGATCGGGCCTCCCTGCACACATACCGTGCGCTGATTAGCAATCACAAACCATTAGCCCCTTGCCCATGCATGAAAATGAGCTGTGGGACATGGCCTGCAGAGCGCATCCTTGTGTAATGGACGGCTGGTAGCCACGCTTTCCCTGCATCGTACGCTACGCATTCCAGGCTGCAGCAACGTCACCATCTCTTTTGTGTGTGTTGCGAAAGGGCAGAGGCCATAATAGTAGGTCAAATTTCATGCACGCACGCTGCTCGTGACTGTGTTGGTGGACATCCGCCCCTAACCGTTGCCTTGCTCGCAAGCACTAAGGATGCGCTCGGCACGTATGGCTACCACCAAGCAGGTGCCAGCAGTACTGCATGCTACCATCGCCACACTTCGCACGTTGCAATCATAACATGAAATTCCCTAAGGAACAGCTAGACCGCGGCTGGCGGTATCCACGCAAACAGCACCGCCAGTCCACCACGCGTTTCCCTTGGCATTGCTCCGTGAACCCACATCGAGGCTCCCCAGAGCTGCCGTCCTGCATGAGATGCTTAAAGATTCCAGCCGCGTCCGCTGTCGTCGAAGTAAGCCAAGCGGCCACAGACCTCTTTGCGGCCCAGCGTTTTGGAGTAATGTAAAGATACTGAGAACCATCGCTGCTGCCCTCCTGTACCGTCCTGTCAGGCCCAATGGTCTTCCCACTGACCTTCGCCTTCACAAGAACCAGAACCCCCTCTCAACCAAATTCGGCGTGGTGATAATCCTGAGTAGCCTACTGCTTCCTACCTTCCTTGTTTGTCACTGCTGCGCGCCGTTAAAATGACGACGCTAAAAACCCAAACCTGCAAATGGGTCATGCGGCTTATGCCCGGCAGCCCCCACCGCGGCCCCAGCACGGTTCATGGCCATGGATGCGGCTCCAGGCGGGGCAGCCACAGCCGCTGTGGACGTCTTGGCGGCAGCAGCTGGAGGAGGCGGGAAGGCCGAGAATGAGGGAGACGGAGCAAAGGGGTCGGCTGCGGGGGGAGAGGGGATGGGCAGGGGAAAGGGTACCGTACGAGTTTGCGTCAAGACGTGCCATGAACGCCGAGGACGTCAGGCGAACGTTGTTGCAAGGTGCGGCCAGCGCGGTCTATGCATTACCTGCTCTCCTCTCAGCTCGCACGTCATTTACCAACAGCAGCCAGTGCACAGGCCACCGCAATTGTCATGGACAGTTGCAGCTCCGACACCACCGCGAAGTCCACCTCCTCCAACAACCCCAAAAGAGCGCATGCACTAGCCACGTCCCAACCCCGCCCCAACCAGCCCGCAATCTACCTTGTGCGGAGGAGGAGGAGGGCTGTGTCCCTCGCGGCGCACTTCCAAAGAAATCATCAAACGCATTGCTGGCAGCCGGGACTGCCGAGCCTGCCGCCGCCGCAGCAGCAGGCGGTGCGGACGTCATCGCACCAAACGCATCAAAGGCCGCTGCTGGCGCCACCGCTGCTGCTGCGGGCCTGCCCCCGACCGCCGGCGCGGCTGAGAAGGGATCAAAGGCAGCAGCCGCTGCCGCCGGCTGCACAGGCTTGGCTGGGGCTTGGAACGAGGTAGAGGGGAAGCTCAAGGAAGAAGAGGAGGAGCTGCTGGCCAGGGCGGCGAAGGGGTCGTCGGAGCTGGCAGCAGCCACGCTTGTGGTAGCGGCAAGCGGTGTCCTCGCCGCTGCGGCACCGAAAGCGTCGAAAGGTGCCGCCGGAGATGGCTTGGCCGGCGGCGGCGGTGGCGGCGCAAGGGCTCCACTCGACGCCGTAGACAGTACCGCAAACGGATCTGCCGCCGCCGCTGGAGCCGCTGCTGGCCTCGACATGGCTGCAGCGGGGACAGCGGAGGTGCCAAAGGCAGCGGGGGCAGCAGTGGCGAGGGTGGCGAAGGCAGGCCGTGCGGGCGCAGCAGCACTGGCAGCACCACAGGCCAGAGCTGCCGCCCCGTTGACTGCTGCCGCGGTCGCCGGGGGGTTTGCGGACCCCAGGTCTGAGAAGTCGTCCAGGGGCAGGGGTACGCGGCTGGTGGTGGTGGTGGTCATGGTGGTGGTGGGCTGGGAGGGGCCTGCGCCGGTGGTGGCTCCGCCAAAGAGGGCGTCGAAGCCCTGTGGGGCAGGTTGGTTTCGTGGTGTACCGGTTACCGCGAAGGGAGCTTGGCGGGTTGCGTAGTCGTGCCTGGGGTGCTGCTCTAGCTCGCATGATTGCCTTCATTTGTTTTTCTGCTGCCTATGTTAAAGTGTTTGCACCCATACCTACTTAGCAACCCCTTCCACATCAAGGGTGGGATTATGCATAACCCTACCCACGTTACCAGTCGCCCAGCCCCACCCCGCATTGGCTCATAGCCCACTACCTCGCACCCATTTGGCCCCACGTTCGCTACTTCTAAAAATTGCCATGCCTCATACGGTAACCCCCAAACGCCTTTTGGAATAGCTCACCGCCGTAGGTGCTGCAGGTGCTGCTGCTGCAGTGGAGGCGCTCCCCGCGGCTGAAGCCGGAGCAGCGGGAGGGAAGTCAAAAGCAAAGGGGTCCGCAGCTGGCTGCGTTGCTGCAGGTGACTTTGCGTTTGCGGTTGCTGGCTGCTGGTTCTGCTCGCCAAAGAGGTCCAGTGAGGAACTGGAGGCGGGCTGGTGGGCTGAGAGGGCGCTAGCAGCGGAGGGAGGCGGCGGTGGCGGCAATGTAAGCTTACCTGGGGAAGGGAGGAGAAGCGGGTTGGAAATGTTTCGGAAAAGCAGCTCAGATGTGGGAGAGTGGAAGACACGGGGCTTGCAGCGTTTCAGGGCGCTCTCCTCATGTTACCGTCTCCATCGCACCTCCTTCCCAATCCCCAGTTCCCCCCTCTCCGCACTCACTGAGGCTGCCGGAGCTGCTGGATGGCGTGATGCCGATGTTGGCAAAGGTGGCGGCCACCGCGGGGTTGATCCGGATGTCGGACAGCTTCTTGGGGGGCTTGGAGCCTGGGGGAGGAAGGGGAGCGAAAGAGAAATTAGGAGGGATGAAGGGAAGATGGGCGGGATGGAGGAAGTTGCACTCCTCGGATGCTTAGGTGAAGGCAAGGGCCACGGATGCCACGGAGAGAGGTGGATGGGTTGTGTAGTGGGCATTCTGAAGGTAACAGGAAGCAGTGAGCAGGAGCCCCGGAGCGTTCGCGGGGAGCAGGGCCAGCGAGGAAGCTCCTGCACCGCTGCTCGGAAGAGAAGCTGCCATGGCCCCACCGCGCTCCTTGCCTTCCTTTTAGCACAGCAGCCCCATTCCACCTGCTACCCCCCAGCCTCACTCACTCACAGTGGGATTACCACCCGCGACCCCGCACCTTCGCACCACCCACCCCGCACCCCAACGCACACAAACCCTGCTCCGCTCATAACCCACCTGGCGCCGGCACGTCCGCCAGCCCCGGAGGTGGCCCCGCAGGCGGCGGCTCCGCGAGCGCCCCCTCCGCCTTCAGCCGCTCTATCCGCTTGCGAGTGGCCTCGAAGGGGTCCTCCGCCCCCTCCCCGCCCGCACCCCCGCCGCTGCCCGCCGCGGAGGAGCCCCGGCCGCCATGGCTGCTGCCGGACCGGCCGCCATGCGCGCTCTCGCCATTCCCGGGCGGCGCGTAAGCCTGTGGGCGGTAAGTGAGGAGGTCCCGGTGGGTTGGTGAAGGGCAGAGTGGCAAGGCAATGAAGATGAGTGCAGTAAGTCTACATTAACTGCAGGGCGAGGGCTACCACGAGCACCCATGTGGTGCACCGCCCCGATGGCGGTATGAGGAGCAGGGGCTGACACAATACCCTTCACCACTCGAAGGGGCTCCCTATCCGGCTCACCTGCAGAGACCGGCTGCTCGTGCTGCCAGAACCGCCTCCTGCTCCAAACCCACCGCCACCATTGCCTGAAGAACTCCCGCCACCGCCGCCACCACCAAAGCCGCCGTAGCCGCCGCTGCCAAAGCCCCCGCTGCCGCCCCCGTGGCCAAAGCTGCTGTTGCTGCTGCCGTATCCCCCGCCACCGCCACCGCCACCAAAGCCGCCGCTGCCAAAGCCCCCGCTGTTGCTGCTGCTGCTCCGGAACCCGCCGTAGCCGCCCCCTCCACCGCGAACCTCGGACGAAGAGAGACCTCGGTACTTATTGGCGTTCCGCGCCGCCTATGAGAAGAACATAGCAATGAAGGACACATGAGTTGATACACACGGCGGGAACGACGCCAGCTTTACACCTTGGATACTATGACATGCCATGCACCTGCTAGGCACTGGTTAGGCCTACCGGCCTGAAGCAGCTCCCCACCACCTAGCCTACCGCCCGCTCACCAGCCCTCAAGACAGTGACAGTAAACGAGGGCGCTTACCTTCTCGCGCTCCTGCCTCACGCGGTCCTCGTTGCTCACGAGTGCCGCCAGCTCCCCGGCGCGTTGGCGCACGTTAATGCCCTGCGCGGGGGTGCGCAGCAGCATGCGCGCATGCATGCATGCTGCATTATGTCTCCCCTGTCCGGCCCCATGTGTGTTAAGAAAGCTGGCCGCGAGTAGGAACGTACGTTTGTGTGCAGACGCTGACAGCCGACCCAGATTGACCAACGCCATAGAACAGCTGTACCATGGTCTCTTGCATCAAGTCTCCAACACGGGACACGGACCACAAGGCGACATGGGTCAAGACAGCAAGCGGCTGGGCTGCATGGCTCCTAGGGTATTCCCCTTGTCAGGGAGGAAACAAAGGTGCAGTGCAGCGCAATGGTGTTGCGTGCTAACCAGGATACCCACCTGGTCTCGACCCTGCGGGTCCTTGTACTCAAAGTCGTCTCGGAGGCGCTCCAGGGAAGAGACGCTGCGGTTGAGCTCTTCCACCACACGCTGTGGGCAGGTACCCGATTGTCACAAGAGTGGGTGGGACAGGTGATGAAAAGAACAACACTTCAAGGGGGTCGCTATGTTGGCAAAGGAGACAAAACGTCGCCTCAATGCTCACCCAGGGACCGTGCTTAACAAGGTACTCGAGCAGCAGGAGGGCCTTGTAGCACAACCGCCAGTTCTCATCTCGCATCTGCAACCGCTCGCTGATAACATTCATAATCAAGTTGTACTTTTCGGGATCTTCCGCAGCCCGGGCGATCTCTGGGTGGGGAACAAGGTGCAACAGGCCGTTAGCCATGCTTTCATGACGATCGCCTGTGACAAGTCCTATGAAGCACGCATACCTTGCATATCCTTGCCATGTGGACCCCATGGCTCCTCGTTTGTGGCGTCCAAAACTTTGAGCTACAACGTAGCAATACATTATGCGGACTCAGCTTCAGCTTGGACTTCTGAGTTTCGCTATGAGTTTCCAGGCATCCGCCTTTAGGAACCACGTAAGCAAACTTGCCCACCTCAATTTCTGTGACATTTAACGCCAGCGCTTTGGCCTTGGAGGCCAGCGTGTTTAGCACAGCGTTAAAGTTTATGTTCATTTGCCTGCCTCTATAGAAAGTACGCAAGAGATGACGCCAATCGTTAGTACTTGTGACCTATCCACAAATCCTATTGCGTTGTTAAGCCCCAGGCCTCTTCAATCAATTTCGAGGGGCAACAGGTCCACAGGCGAAAGCGCCCCCTAGCGGCAGGTAGCCTTCTAAAAGGGCAGCATACATTCATAAGATCAACTTATGCCAGTTATGGAAGGTTGAGGCATTCGTATCGAAAATGTACGGCAAGTGAAAATGGGGTAGAGGGTTGGGCAATAATCAGTTCACAGCGCTGACTGATGGAGCTTATGTTTACATGCGCTTTTTACATAATCTCTATCACAACACGAAAGAAGCTTCGTTGCATATGGTACGTGTCTTGCACAGCTTAGCAGGCCTATTACAGAACATTTGATTGATCACGGTCATTATCTATAGCGCCTTCCTTTATAGACACATTACGTCCATAAAGTTATAGCGTCCGCACCTTCGCTTCGAGGCGACAGCTGCAAAGTACCGGTACTGAAGAGTTTCAGCATGGGATTTTTCGACAAATTTCTCGCTCTTCTTGGTATCTCAGGGCGGAAGGCACGTATTAAACCCTCGGCCTGAGGCCTTAGGATGACGAATTCCTCCATGCTTCGGTTTGGGCCTTGGCTTCACGGCCGTCAGTTATGGTTGCAGGTGAACGTTCTCGTCGTAGGTCTAGATAACAGTGGCAAGACAACGATTATCGAGCGGCTAAAGGTAGGGTTCGGCCCTTCTCCAGTTGACCCCCAGGTTACCAGAGGCATCTGGGTCAGTGCCCCCGAGATTCCTCGCACCAGGTGTTCACTTACGCGGTGCCTGCATCAAACCTGCGTCTCCCGCATCCTTATCTTCAAAGCTGTACATGTCCGCACGTTTTCCCTTTAACCCTACACAACCATGTAATACCTCCCTTTCCCATCTTCCCCGAACCGCAAACGCTTTGCTCCCCGCCACCAGCCCCGACCCAAGCAAAGTTCTGATGTGGTGCCAACTGTGGGGTTCACGGTAGAGGAGCTCCAGAAAGGGTAGGTCTAGTCTAGAACACCTGGGTCCTGGCTGGGTCCTTGGGATTGTGAATATGCTCCCAGAAGCGCCTCCTGGCAGCTCGGTTGGCGCAGCACCGTGCACTGCTTGGGGGGGTCAAAGGCCATACCAAACCGTAGGAGACCACAGGTTAGGGCAAGGCAATGGGTATAGGAGGCGGCAGGGTGCCACAATACCGGGGGGCTGGGTGGCTTCCCTGGCCCCCCCCTCTCTCACCCTGCCCGCCAACCTCTCCTCCTGTTCCTCCCTTCCCCTCCCGTCCGCTGCAGCGGTCTGACGTTCACGGTGTTTGACATGTCGGGCGCGGGGAGATACCGCACGCTGTGGGAGCAGTACTACCGGGAGGCGGATGCGGTCATATTCGTGGTGGACTCGGCGGACAAGCTGCGCATGTGAGGCGGGGTGGGGTGGGGTGTGAGGCGGGGAGGTGGGAAGCGGTGGGACTATCCCAGTGTCACACCGTAAGGAGGCTGGGACAGGGACGCATGGGTGTGGGATTGTCAACACGCTGAGAGTGTGGGGCGGGTGTGGCGAGCAGCACGGGCGGAGCAGCTGGTGGTGTGGGGTGCGGGCAGAGTGGGCAGTGAGGGGCGGAGGGAGGAGGAGGAAACTAGCTAACCGTATGACAGTGCAGAGGGGTGGGCAGAGAGGGGGGGCGCATGGAGGGAGGAAGGGAAGGCGTGGTATGGAGAGATTCTGCAGGGACAGAGGGAAAGGCAGGGAACGTTCTGCATACAGAAATGCCGGCGCACACGTGTGACCTCGGACCTAGCCTTCTAGCCGTCCTAGCCTGCATGAGGTCTATTGCATGGGTTGTGTGGCGCTTGGCTGTACGGCCAGATGGGCAGCCGGGGCATCTAGCGTAGCCAAAACGGCTACACAAGCGCAAATTCTGCCTTGGCCAAATTCCCAAACTCGCAAGGTCGCTGGCCAACCGGACCATTTGCCCAGAACTGCTCAGTTTGCAATCCTCACTCTGGGGCTGTTGGGTGAGGGCGGACCCGCTTGCGGCATCCCGCCCCCTTCCCACCCACTGCACCCCTCCCCTCCCACTGCTTCTCCCCCCCGTTTCCCTGCCCAGGGTGGTTGCTCGCGACGAGATGGAGCACATGTTGCGGCACCCCAACCTGCGCAAGGTGCCGGTGCTGTACTTCGCCAACAAGAAGGACCTGCCCGTGGCCATGCCGCCCGTGGAGATCGCGCAGGTGCGGATGGGGGTTAGGCAACCATTCTGCATGTGGTGCATGTGGAGACTGTATGGTGGGGTGGCTCCTTGGGTTTGTCACCCAGGCGGGTTACGTGGGTTGGGACAGGGGTGGGGTTTCAGATAGGCTTCAGTTAGGGGGCTTGGTTGCTATGTTGCATGTGGGACCGCTGCGGGTGCGGGTGAGGGGTACGGCACGTAGCCGACGGCGAGCCGGGTCGTACCCTGGCTGCCTGGTGGAGTGCGTGGGTGCCCGCGAGGTCGGCAAGGACCGTGCCAATAAGGCAAGGGCTGCATTCCCGGGAAAACGCGTCTGCCAAGCATTTGCAGGAGGCCGTGCACTCTACTTCCAACCGCTCTATCCCTCGCCGTCACCACCCCTACCGGTATTTGGGACTGCCAATGCCTGGTAACGTGGTCATCGCCCTCGCCCTCACCGTCTGCGTACGGCACCTACCGTGCAGGCACTGGGTCTAGAGGACATCAAGGATCGGCCATGGCAGATCGTGCCCTCTAACGGGCTGACGGGCGAGGGAGTAGACCAGGGCGTCGAATGGCTGTCAGAACGGTTGGGTAAGCCGTGATGAGCGCCGGTGGCAGCTGGGAGGACTTGTCATATGGGCTTGTGAAGGTCACCTTGCTTTCGTTTGGTATTGTGGCGAGCTTGGCGTGGCGTCGTGAGTTGCTATGTCGGATTGCATCGATGCATTGCTGGAATTCAGAGCCGTGTTTGGTGGATTGTGAGCGATTGCCTGGGAGTGGTGGCATGGGGGAACTGGGGGGGGCGTTCATGTGGCGGCGGATTGGCAACAGTGGTGGCCTGGAGGATGTAATGTGCCGCAGCAGGGCAATGGGGATGTGGGTCGCCGCCTGCACTCCATAAAGAGGAGGATATCTAGTGGGTCTTGCTGCTAACACTGCATGGGGCCACGTACTGCGTAGTGAATTGGGCAATGAAGCATGATTGCCAGGCTTGCCTTGCACTCTATGCCGTGGGGGATGTGATGCGGGCTGGTCAGGCCTCGCGCGCGCTGTTGTGGGCGTGGCCATTCTTCATTTGCGCGCGCTTGTCGCACTGATCTGACAAGCGAAAGCGGCGCATGACATGAACGACCTCGTAGGATGCGTTTTTCCTATAGGTCTGCATACGTATACTTGGTGCTGCGACACAGGGAGACTGGTAAAAGGCATTGGCCAAGCAGAGCAACGGCCACATCAACCGCCCGTTGCCGATCTGGTACGGCCCCTTCAAGCGTGTTGTACTACACTTCGCGATTCGCCCATCGCCCCCTTGTCCATGTACTACAGGCTTCCGTACATCATATATGTACCGTACGCCTTCACCATTCCACAAAGTCGACTACTGGTAAAGCGACTCGGAGGACAATTAATTGACGCTGTCGACACATTCCACGACCCACTCTGGACGCATGAAACCTGTTGTCACACGTATCCGCGAAACGTATCCCAAACCTAGCCAGCTCAACCCATCAGCATGCAAGCGACCCCTCCCCTGCTAATTCACCGCATCCGCGGCCTCCGCGCCCCCTGCCCCCTTCCTGAGCTGCTCCAGCGCCGTCCTGGCTCGCTCCTGCACGTCCCGCGAGGGGTGGCAGCGATGCAGCTCCGCCAGCAGATCCGCCGCGCCCAGCACCTGTAGCGTACGGCACCTAGACGGGTGCGACAAGTTGCGGTACGGTACAGACACCGAGGGGGGTTGCTGAGGTGTGCTGTCAGGAGACACATTGCATGCGCTCGTGAAAAACCAGGGCAGGGAGAGGCGGGCTGCCATACATTACATCACGATGTAATGTATGGCAATACGACAAATGGTTGGCACGACAACAGCATGGGGGCAGATGAGGGATTCAAACGTGGTCGGGGGAGGAGCTGCGTAGGGTGCCCTCGTGATCCCCAGCCCGCACTCCTGAGCGACTCGTCAACATGCCGCATGCCGCATGCACAAGAGACGTCAGCACCAGTTAGCACCCATGCAATCCATTGCGCACACCAGGTCCCGTCGTCCTCCTCACCTGGCTTGTACCGCCTCCGTCTCCGCCGCCGCCGCACCTCCAGCGCTGCTGCTGTTACTGCCTCCCACCGCCGGCCATGTGAAATTGATGGCGCACCAGACGGCGGGGAGGGCCAGCTGCTCCGGAACCTGCATGCGTGCGTGCATGTAAGCATGCATGCAAGCAAGTGTGTGTGAGAATGGTAACCCGCCTTGAAGCCATAGCTTTCGTGGCAAAACGTACGGCCGTAGGGCCACAATACCCCCACACACGGGGTCAAGGCATTTTATCTGCCTTTCTATCCGTACGGACCGTTGTACGGCCAAGACCATGGCAGGCAGGACACATGGCACACACGTACCCGCAACCCGTCATTACCCTCAACAAGTGTCAGCATCTTCTGCCCCATACAACCAACATCTCACCACCATCATTACATGTCAAACACGAAACCCGCAGTGTGCTCGTACACTCACGTACGGCAATCACAGTCCGTTCCGACTCGCGGCCAGTTTTCTTAACCCACCTGCGGCCTGAGCAGCGCCACCACCGCCCGCAGGAGGCCGTCGCACGCCGCCACTGCGTGCTTGGTGGCTGCTCCCCCGGTGAGCAGGTTGGCGGTGCAGAACAGCGCGTGCGCGGCCAGCTGGACTAGGCGGGGCGGCAGCGCGATTGGCGCTGGGGAGGGGGCGGAGGAGCTGCGGACGAGGGAGCGAACGGGGCGGAACAGGGGGGAGAACGAAGGAGGGTGAGCGGCGTGCCAGGGGGCCAGATCGGGAGAGGCAACGAGACTGGTGCCGGGAGGGAGGGGAAGAGGCAGAGGAAGGCAAGGTAGAGGAGCGGTACGGAGTTGCTGGGAGAGGCGGACGATTAACCACATGCGGTCGCGCTTACGGTAGCAGCGAAGCCCATGCTGTCAGGCGGCGGCACCCACAGAACGAGCCTATACCTAAGCGCGAGCGAAGCTACCCGCCCGCCCCCTCATGCCTCCTCGCTTCCCCCTCGCCCCCTCTCCCACTTACCCGCCCTCCGCTGCTGCGCCCTGCAGACCCGCCTCCCGTACCGCCGCCTCAACCTGCTCCCGAAGCACAGCCAGCAAGCCCTCCCCCTCCCATTCGCCCTCGGCCACCTCCTGCTGCACCGCCTGCTGCTGCTGCAGTGCTTGAGTGCCGCGTGGGCTGCTTCGGTACCCAGACCACTCCAGAACAGCTGCTAGTCCGGTACAGGTGCTGCTGCTGCTGGCGTGAAAGTGGCCCCCGCGCGACGGGGCACTCCCGCCTCCCGCCCCTGGCCCCACTCCCGACGACCCCATGCAGAGGTTACGAAGCAGCACCATGGCCTGCTCGGAGAGACCCGACTCCTCCTCCTCGTTCGCTGCTGCCGTTGCAGCCGCTGCAGAGGGTGATTCGGACAGCAGCTGACGTAGCCGGGAGAAGGGGAGGGACTGCACGGCAGGGAGGGTGGCGGACGGAGGGTCGGAGGAGTGAGGATGCATATCGGAGGAAAGGCGAGATGGGGTCGTTATGGGGCATAGTGAGGCGCTAAGGGAGGCTTTTGCTGTGGCATCACAACAGGCTGTGCTAGGAAGGAGTGACGGATAGCGGAGGACCAACCTATAGGTCCAGGGCCAAAACCTATACAAGGTGCGGAGGAGTAGTCGAGTGCGGTACATACCCACAAAGGGATGATTTACTGGTTTTTCGCAGAGCGCATGCGCTCATGCCTCATGCGCTCATGCCTCATGCGTGCAGGGGGGCCTGCCGTACCTGCATCACCGCCGCCCGCACGCCTGCGTCCGCCCGGAAGGTCAGGTTGGCGAGCGCCCACAGCGCATGCAGCCGCAGCCGCGGCGGGATGTCGGGACGGTGCGGGGCGGTGAGTGCCACCAGCCGCGGCAGGCCCCCCGCCGCCAGCACGGAGGCCTTGGCGGATGAGAAGTCCAGCACCAGGTTGCACAGCGCGGCGGCGGCGGCGGACTGCAGGACAGCAGGGGGTGCGGGAGAAAAGGAAAAGGAGAGTTTGGGGGGGGGGGAAAGAGGAGAAGACCGGGTTGGTAGCGGATACGATGGTGACAGCCCGTGATGAAAGCGGGCGGTGGGCCAGAGGCGTAGGGTGCATTATTCCGCATGACGGGAGGCCCACTACAACCCATCGTCAGTTCAGCCCTCTGTGGCCAAGCCACGACAGTCCCCATCCCGTCAGAACACCCCCATGCGCCGTTCACCCCCTGCACCTTCTCCTCCACGTCCCTCCCGCTCCCCACGCAGCCGCAGTTCTCACCCTGACCTCCACGCTCCTGTCCTCCAGCAGCCCCACCAGCAGCGGCGCAAGCTCCCCGCTCCCGCCGCCGCCGCCTGCTGCCGCCCCGCTGCCGCCCGCCGCCTCCAGCAGCCCGCCCCGCAGGCTGCGCACACATCGTGACAGCGCGCGCACCAGCTGGGCTGCGGCCGCCCGCACGCCCTCGCTGGGGTCCGCCAGGCAGCGCACGACGTGGCGGAGAACCTGTGAGGAGAGGGAAGGAGGGGCAAGCAGGGGGAGGCAGGACATGTTGGAAAGAAGGGGAGTCAAATACCATACCGAACCATAGGAAACCACAGAGAGAGCCAAGTGAGAGGGCCAAGCATTTAATGTGCAGTGGTGAGCTGCTGGCGGGCCGCCTAGCACCATGTACAGTGTGAGGTACACCTGCACCATGTGTGGACAGTGTGAGGTACACCTGCAAACCAGGATGCCAGCTGAGAGAGGTCAAGCGCGTATGTGTAACAAGCGGCAAGCAATCGTGCAGGCAGGCATGGCCCCTAGCCCAAGCCGCCTGACACCCACGCTTCCGCTCCCACACCCCCGCACCTTGGCCTCCAGCAGCTGCTTGCGGCTGTCATCTCGGTTAAGACACAGGCTGCCCAGCGCCCGCAAGCAACCCTCGCGCACACACGATGCGCCCACAGCAGCGGCAGCGGAGAACGAGGCAGGAGACGGACGGTGCCCGCATGCTGCCGTAGCGGCCGCAGCAGCACCCGTGGAGGACGAGGAGGGACAAGAGGGGCACACGGGTGCAACGGCGGTGGACGGCGGCAGGGAGGGGGAAGCGGCAGCAGCGGCTGTAGCAGCGGTTGGTGCTGCGCCCGTTGTTGCCGGGTCGCTAGCGAGGAGCCCGGCAAGCAGCTTCACAGTGTCAGCGTCCGCTGCGGCCTTCTGTAGGGGCTCGCTGGTTTCGATGAGGGTGGCGAGTACGGCAGGCACGTGCGGCCGGGTTGCGGGCTGAGCCAGCAGGCGCAGCAGCACGGGTAGCGCGGCTCGTTGCATGGCCTGAGCGAAGGTTGTGGTGGTGGGTTGGGGGGGTGGGCAGGAAGAGGCAGGTAAGGTGGGCTGGGTGGTTAAAGGCGGGGCCGATGCTGGGTAAGAGCACGCTTTGTGAACATCACTGCATGAAGCTTTGGGGAGTAGACGCTTGCCGCGCGGGTGTGCGGTTGGGGACTGCATGAGAGCTGCTGCTGCTGCCGCTGCCACGCGCTCTTACCTCGGATTGCGTGCATCCCGGCACGCGGCTCAGCGTGGCAATGCAGCCCGCTGCCAGCAATCGTACGGCGGGTTCCGAATCCCGCAACAGCGTCAACAACCTGCCGTACACCCCGGGACAAGCCAGCGCCGCCTCGCAGGCGGGCGGGTGGTGGGGCAGCATGAGGGACAGACCCTCCAGCGCGGATACCTGGTCGGGGGTGCAACATGACAGACAAGTAAGTGCAGGGCAAACGTGCCTTTTGGCTACAGTGTTCCTTAACAAACGCCCTTTCCGCAAGCTCCGGTTAAGCAAATGAGATCAATGTGCTCTAACCACATGCATGCATGCACCGGGCTTCCAGCATCTACCGTGCACGACGAAGCCAGCAGCACTAATGCAACAGTAACAGGATTCCACCTCGCAGCAGTGATAGCATTGCTTCCTACTACCGGTACCTCACCCCCGGCCCCCCACCTGCGCGTCCGGTCGCTCGCTCTCCAGCAGCAGCTGCAGCAGCCCCCCGGGTGCGCCCGCAGCGATGGCTACACAGCGCTGTGGGTGCCGGATGAAGGGGTAAAGCGTTGGGGAGGAGGTTGAAGGAATTTGAACGTATGAATATTGAGGAGAGGATGGGATCACCGAGGGTGCAGGTGGGACATATGCATTGCCGTGTGCTGGCGCGTTATCGGGTGCGGGTGCGGATGCGGAGAAGGAAACCGGTCGGAGGGGCAGCGGGGCAGGTAGGGAGCAGCGGCGACGCCACGCAGGTAAAAAGCAAATGTGGAATCCGGCCAAAGGCCACGCCAGGTGCATTGGTTCTGACCCACATCAGGATAGGCTGATGTGGGCCAGCCGCTCAGGCCTACGTGCCCATTCTGATACGCGTCCTGACCCACATCAGAATCCCATCATGATGTGGGTCCTGACCCACATCAGAATCCTGACGCATATCGGCCTATCCTGATGTCAGGACCCACACCAGGATAGGCTGATGTGGCCTGTCCAGGCCTCAGATCGTCCCCATGACCAGATTCAGGACCAGGCGCGTCCGTCTCCCTAATCCCTCTTCCCACCTACACCTTCCACCAACAGGCCTCACCCTGCCCACCACCCTGACTCCCCACCGCCCACCACCGCCTGCTCCCCGCAGCACCGCCGCCGCTCACCTCCTCCTCCCTCCGGCAGCAGCACGCCACCACCGCAGCTGCCATTGCTGCCATCTGTCTCCTGCGCTGAGAGCCGCACAGCCCCTGCGGCGCTGTGCCGTGCATAACCGCAGCAGCTGGTGCGTCCGCCGCTTCCGCCTGCTTCGCCCCCTCCATCGCCGCTGCTGCCTCTCCGCTGCCTCCATCAGATGGCCCGAGGCCCGTACCGCCAGCGCCAGATGCAATGTCCCCGCCGCTGCCTCCGGTGCTTGCAGCAGAGCTGCGCAGGCAGCGCACCACGGCGGCCATGGCAGCAGCGTCCAGCCGCACCGCCTCACAGGGAGCTGCGGAGGTTGGGATGGCAGCGGTTGGCGCGGTGGTAGTAGGGGGGCAGGCGGAGCTGGAGCAGACTGGTTCGGGTGTCGCGAAGATTGAGGGCGGCGTGGACTGCGGGGCGGGGAAAAGGGGAGGGTGAGAGGAGACAAGAAGATGAAAGGGATTGGGTTTCGTGAGGCACTGCAAGAGAGACCGGGGCTTTGCACCTTGGCCATAACAGCAAGGGGAGCTTTTCTGTCGGGGACGTTGTAAGGAAATGGCGTGTAGCAAGCCCCATGACGTTCATCACTTGCTGCTCATCTACCGAGCTGCTTCCAGCCCACCTGGTGCATTATCAACTTGATGGCCCGCAGACCGGCCTCCACCACGGCCTCGTCGCTGCTGTGAAGCATTTCCACGAGGTACGGCACGACACCGTGTGCAGCCAGCTCACGCAGAGCCGCTGGCGTGCCATAGGCCAGGCTGCCGATGACAACGGCAGCTTGCTGCTGCACAAGCTCCGGTCGAACGGCCGAGCCTCCACGCTTGCTGCAGTCCTTTAGGACCTCAACAACCTGTTGAACAGCGCCTTCGCTTATAAAAGCTGCCTTTTTTGCCTTACTACCGATTACTTGGTTCTTGATTGCCTTAAGCGCCTTCACAGTATCAGGACCCTCGCGAAGCTCCTTGAGGAGCTCGCGTGGCCGCGCAACCATCCTGACTGCTGCGACTTCTTGGCTACCGGATCCTCCACCGGTCATAGGAAAACCCTGATTGCTTAGTCAAGTGGAAACAAATTACTATATCCAAAACATGTTAGCATGGGCTTCACGTTTGTAACTTGGATCAGGGAGGCAACTGCGCAAACAGATGATGCACAGGTTACCAGTTACCCCATACGACATTCCAATTTGAAGTTCATAGCAAACACAACTCACAAAAGAAATAACAAATCCTGTTTACTTGGGCTTGTGCTGCGTTACGTTCCTAGTGATATAAACATGCGCAGGCTTGCGCAAGTAGGGTGGGCGGCCTTAACCGCTTCCGCGCGACGTGCTTCTCCTGTCTCATCCTCTATCAACCCAGAGCTTCGGCGCAGAGCAACAAACGCAGCGACGGCAGCAGCAGATGGCGCGGCTGCTGAATCAAACGGAGCTCCCGGTTGGAGCCCTATGTCAGCCGTCATGTTCATCCCCAGTGCTGTTTGCGGCTGCTTAGCATACTGGCAGTATGAGCGCATGCAATGGAAGGTAACGGATGCCCTGTTGAAAGCCATCCCAAGAGCTGCATCCTAGGGGCCACCTCCTATTCTCGCTGTGATATCACTATCTATTGAGGGAAGGGGGGCGGCGAAGTGCACGCGCCACGTAGGCCCGGGGACTCTGCGTGCTTCATATGTTGGGTACATAGCACCCTGGGTGTTGCCCACGTTCCAAACTTATTTAAGCGTCTGCATCTGTTCCACTTCCTAGCCGCCACACAAGGCATGTTACCGGGCTGCCTGCCGCCCTAGCTTGACTTCCACCCGTCCACATCTCCCACTCCTCCTCAACCGCCCTGCTTTAAGTCTCACTCTACTAGCCAGCCACGCTGCTCTCGCGTTTCCTCCCTACGAACCCCCTCCGCTTAATACGGCTCCTCCCGCTCCCTTTTCTCTTCCTTCTGCTCCCTCGCCCTCCATATCTCGCTCACCTCCTTTCCTCTTCCTCATCCCATCTCCCTCGGCCTCCTGCTCCATCTCCTCCCATGCATCGACGGAATCCCTCCTCCTCCACCACCTGCTCCTCCTCCTCCAGGAGTCGCTCATCCAGCGGCGACAGAGCATCGCCGACCAGCAGCCCCGGGACATCTTCTCCTACGAGGGCGAGGAGGAGCCGCAGGAGTACGACAAGGTGTCGGTGGCGGGGCGCTTCCTGCACGAGTACAGCCTGTTCGTGGGGCCGCGGCCGCGCAGGTGAGAAGGGGGAAATGGGGAGGGGTTGGGAGGTACCGTTGGGAGAAGAGAGGGGAGGGGGGTCTTGATTAGACGGTAGCGGGTGGCCTCATGGTGACGTGGTCTCACATGGATGGGTCCTTCCAACATACCCCCGTACGAGTGCCACCACTGCTCATCCCCTTCCGGCGTCTCACGCCTCTGTCCTACTCCGCACTTACAGTCGCCTGCCTCGCTTCCTAGCCCCCCCTCTTATGCCCTCCTTCCCCCCCTCCCTCCCGCCTCGTCTCTCTTCCCGCCCCCCCCTAGCGTCCCGGGCCAGGGCATCCTGCCGGGCTACCTGGTGGTGACGCCCATGCTTGGGGAGGACAGGTGGGTGTGTGTTACAATGACTGGCCGCGAGGCGAAACGTACTGTGATTGTGTGTGCGTGGGAAAGGAGAATACCCAGTGTATTGAATGAGGATAGCAGGATGAGGATAGCAGGATGAGGATAGCAGGATGAGGATAGCAAACAATCCGACGAGCTCCTGGTGTATGGTGGGGGGGTTAAGGGGAAACAACTGGGATGTGTGTGGGGGGGATGGACGGGTGGGCATTTAGAGAGGGAGAGGCAGAGAAAACCGGCTGCAACGACCAGTCGAACAGCCCAGTCGAATCCGCTGAGCATGACCCAAGTCGGGAGATGGAGAGGGGGGGGAACTGCATGGACCGTAAGAGGGGTGGGGCTCCTGCAGGGGGTGGCAGGGGTGCTTCATTGGACGAGCAGGAGGGGGCTAGGCGGGTGTAAAGGTGGAGAGGGTTGGGAGCGCAAGAGGGACGCAGTGGGAGCTGCACTTGTGAAGGAGAAACATGGGCACAGGAGGGGGCTTGTGTTGGTGCTGCTGTGGGTGTGGCGCTGGTGATGGGCGGGCGAGTGGGCCGCTACCCACCCTTGCACCATCCATCGGAGTGCCTCAGCGTTCCTCTCCTCAAACACCGCCCCTTAACCGCCCGACAGGAAGGGTGTGGTGCTAGTCAACCGCGGCTGGGTGCCCGCCGAGTGGAAGACGGAGGCGCAGGCGGCCGCCGCCGCCACCATCCGCGAACGCCAGGAGCGGGAGCGCGCGGAGCAGGAGGCCCGCGCCAAGGCCATAGCAGAGGCCGCTGCGCCGCCCGCTTCCAAGAGCTGGTGGAGGCGGGCGACCAAGCCGCCATCGGCTCGGCAGGAGCAGGCTCCTCCCCAGCAGCCAGCCAAGCCGCAGCAGCAGGAGCGGGAGGTGGTGGTGGGTGTGATCCAACCGGATGAGACGCCGACGCAGTTCATGCCGGAGAATGACGCGGACGCGGAGGAGTTCCACTACATCCAGCGGGAGTCCATGGTGGGTGCTGGGGGGTGGGGGGTGGGTGCTGGGGGGTGTGTTAAGAAAACTGGCCGCGAGTAGGAACGTACTGGGATGTCGGAAAATGAAGTCCCCACAGAACCGCCGCAGGAGCCGAGGAATAGGGTAGCGTGTGCGTGTGGATAGGGATACATATGGGTTGTGGGGGGCGCGGGGGCGGGGCAGGATATAGATAAGTGCACCAGCGGAGTCCCAACGGGGTGTGGGGCGGGTTGGGGGGTAACAGGTAAAAAGACACCGACGATGCAACTAACGAGCTGCATGAGCTGTATGGGGGTGTGTGGAAGAGCGGAGAAGAAAGGCGACCAAAAGGGGCGGAGGTGGGTCTGTTGGGGCGGGGTTGGGGTCATGACGGGTGGATAGGGTAGATTCGGGTGCGGTACGGCTTCTCCAATTTTCCTTCTCCCCCTTCTCCTCACCCTCCACGCCCGGCGCCCCTCCCCCTGCACCACCTCCCTCTCCCCCTCCCCCAGGCCCGCTCCCTAGGCCTCCCCGCCGACACGCCGCTCGTCATGGTCATCTCCTCCGACCCCGCAGCCATCGTCGCCACCCAGCAACGCTCGCCGCTGCAGCAGTCCCGCGCTGCAGCCGCCGCGGCCGCCCTGGAAACCGAGGACCCCAGCTGCCCCGCACCCGCCTCCTCCTCGGACGCTCCCACCTACCCCTCACCCAAGCATGTGGGCGACCTGGTACGCTTCACCACCATGCCCGCAGACCACCGGAACTACGCTTTCATCTGGAGCTCGCTGGCTATTGCGCTTGCGGGGATGGCGCGTATGGCGGTGACACGGCCGTTGCGGGGGCCGAGGATTGTGGAGACGCCGGGAGCGGGCTCGGGTGCGAGGGACGCGTGGCGGGCTAGTCAGGCGGGTTGAGGAAGAGGATTGGGAAGGGAGGAAAGCCGTGGGAGGCGAAAGGAGGCTATAATAGCCGAGGGGCAGGGGTTGGTGGGGCATGTACGAGAGCGATGGTGGGAAGATGAGAGCGGTGGTGGGGAGTGGGAGACACTTGTAGGTAGAGGGAGATGCGGGTTTTTATGGGGGTTGGTGGGCGGTGAGTCGGGATTTAGGTTTTCATGGATCACCTGGGGGTGGGATTGCGCTGCTTGGACTGACGCCGGTACCGACGCTTGATGAACGGCATGAAATTCATGTACGGCGTGCATGGAGAGGTGACAGCTTGTCACATTGTGGCGCAGCTTCTACCGATAGTTTCGGTACTAGCTCGCACTGCTGTCGAGCGTTTTGACATCCTGACGAGTACATGTGAGGAACGGTGGCAACCCGCTAGCCCCTGCTGCGTGCAATATTCCAGCTGGGCCGTTTATGGACTTGCATGCCTTGCTAGGTGATAGAAACCTTGGCTGGGGATAGTTGTCAGCCATAATTAACCCTCTGCATTGGCGGCAGGCGATACTTTACACACGCACACGAGGTCTAAGGGTCTTTCAATTCGTACCGAGACGAACCTTGCACGAAGTCGACAAGGCTACCCCTTTTGTCGTCAGTCGCGTAGCAGCTACCAGCAGCCAACAGTAACTGTATCAGCGGTACAGCCGCCTTCTCAGCGACCGTTGTCAGCCCTACTGCCAACTTGCCGCCATGGATGTTAAAAGAACAACTGAAAGCCCATCACGGCTACAATCGGTGGGGTCATAAAATGCTGCTGCAGGCACTATTGTGATTCGCACAGCTTGCCGTTTACCTGTACACGTAGCAGCACTGGCAGGCCCCAAAAGCGTCGTCTCAACGCACCAACCACCAAGCCAGCATGTCACGCAGCCTAGGGTGACAGACTCTCAGCGCACGAGCTCGACATTTTAGGTAGACGGGAGTATAGTCAAAGCAGTATTGACAGATACGCACTCATCAGCTCAGAAACACACCACCTAGTAACGGCCAGGAAGCATGGATGTTCCCGGATTAAAACGCATGCAACGTCCGAACGTCGTTAGGTTATATATATTAGGTCATGCATGGCCGCCTCATAACTCAAGACTAGCAGCGAGCAGGCCATATACACTGCTCAGGCAGACATCTGTGTAGTACTACTCAGCAGCTGTTGCCCTTGCCTTCCTGTCATCGTCGTACAAGGCATCGGGTCTTACTAACGTGTCCGTCGCCACGCCATATGTATGTATGTAAGCCACGGCAAAACCATGAATGCATGCATCCCCCATAGCCCATGCATGCATGTGTGCAGCGTGCGTGCATGTGGGTGGTCATCCTTGCGTGCGTGCTACCATATCTCAATACCTCCCCAGGCTCATGGTTCTGCGACTCACTCCCGACTCCGCAGCATGCAGCGAACCACTGCTAGCAGTGGCTGCTGATCGAAGCCTCCGACGCACCAACGAGGTGTCGCCGACTAGCTGGGCAGCTTACTTCTCCGCAGCATCGGCAGCTTGGTCCTCGCCCTCCTCGGGCTTCTGGAGGGCTGCGGGGTGAGGAAATAACATGGATCAGGTACCGCATGCTACTGCAGCAGTGTGACCCACATACGATATTCAAGTCCGCACAACACCAGAACTGGTAGTCCTAATAGGCACGTGGAGTCGCCAGCCATAGGAAAGGGACTACGAAAGTATGGCGTGGTAAACTGGAGGGCATGTGGTTTCAGGGCAAGGCTCAACAAGGAGTTGGCGGGGACAAGATAGATAAGTGCATCAGCGGAGTCCCAATCCCGAATCCCGACTCATGCAGTGTGGATTAGGCGGGGACAAGGGGCGGCACAGGTAACCACCCGGTGCTGGCAGGGAGTGCGGTGTACCTTCAAGTTCCTTCTCAAAGGTGGCTTCCACCTCCGCTTGCGTGGGTGTGGGTGCGAGGTCCAGCTCCGGCTCTGGCTCTTGGACGCTCTGGAGGCGAGACACGAGACATGGGAAACGTGGCAGGGGAAAGTTCGTGGCCACAAAAACGAACAGCAACTGCATGGGGCATGCACGCCAGCCCCAAGCGCCCTGCATGGCGGCTGTGCAGCGCCGTGCTACCAGTCACAGCGGAGTCGCCTCCGTGAGGCCCTGGTTTGGGGTATGTCAAAGGCTCACTTAGACATGGCCGAGGGGCGACACAAGGGGTCAACCGCTCGTCCAGGAACCTAACGCCGCTACCCTCGGCCGAATGTGTCAAAGACCTTCACCTGGCCCCATAAGCCGAATGGCATGGACGCTGTAAGAAGGACAGGCGTAAGGCTGTGGCAGAATCTCCTGGCAACGAATTACTCACCACCTCGGTTGTGGGGTTATCCACTTTAAGGGACATACTGCGCTTAAAGCTAGCCATCTTCAGGACTGCGCGGGGTTCACGGGTGTGATATTGGCTTGTGTAAGGGACAAATGTTGGAAAAAAACAACCCCACCTGGTGCCGTTTCCGTCATCTGCGCTTTAATACTTGTAACGTAGTGGCTACGGGGTAAGCGATCCACAGGAATGGCGATTGGATGCTTAAGAATGTTCACGGAGTAGGAAGCGTGCAGCTAGCTTAGCCTTTCAATCATGCAACGAAGTCGACTTGACGCTCAATGTAGCTTCTATCTCTCATAAACGTGAAACCTTGTTTACTTCTTGACCTTCTGGTTGACTGAATTATTCTCGTCCGAGTGTACGGATTGCGGAACAAAAGGTGGAATGCTCTCCCATCATACGGGCAACCCTGTAGGTGCGGCACTTTTATAGGTTTTGTTATAGGCGAGGGGCTTTGCCTTGCACTCCTCCTTTTCAGCGGCTTGCTTGGGGCCTGTGAGGCCCGAACTCTAGCACCATGACGGAGGTTGTGAAGCGGGGCTTTCCTGGCATGAAGGTGTGTACATAGAACACCAGAAAGCAGCGAAAATGGCGCCATGTGTCACCAACATATCGGCGTATGCAGAGTGTCAAGGACCTGCCTATTGTTCAAGATGCGCCGCCGCCTGGAGGCTTTCCTTCCATTCGTATTGAGCGTCGTCTTCCTAGCACGGGCCCGACGGGTATTGCCATTTTTGCTGGCCTTGCCGCAATCATGGGCTATGGCTTCTACCAGGCAAGCTATCTCTATGCTTATGCAATATTCTATTTGGCTCTTATGCTAACTATACGTGTTCCGTCATCCTCTACAGCTGAACGAGCAGCGCCAGGCTAAGAGGTGAGCGGGACTGCTTTGGCTTAGAGCAAGGCACCTGTAACAAAATACAAAAAGCTATCACACTAAACTTACTTTCTCTGCATCTTGCAGGTTTGAGGCTGACGAGGTGCACGCTGTGCGCTCAATTGTTCACCCGGTCCTCCAAGCCGAGTGGGACCTCAGGTGCGATCCTCAGCATGAGCAGATAGCCCTTTTCTTTCGCCACGAAAATAATGTGATTCCAGTGCATACCGGTATTTCACGTGGCGTTCGAACGTCCCTCGTCTCCCCGGCGGTTCCCCCATCCGCTTGCCCACCCCTTGAGCACGCGCACATCGAGACATCATCGGTGTGACTTGCCTTTTCCAGGTATCTGGAGCACATGCGCAAGGAGCGCGAGGAGGAGGCCAAGGTCATGAAGGACGTGAGTGGGTTTGGGGCTTTCATGCGCTGTGAAAGCAGTGTTGAAGCTTACTGCGTTGCAACAAGGCTACCGGCGTGTTGGTGGAGGACACGGTGCCTTAAGAGGCGAACTATCAAACCATAGACCCGCCATATCCCAGCTCGTATAAACCCATACCGGGATATTGGAGTCAAAGCCAATAACCCATAGCTTCTGCCGGTCACTTGCACCCGCGTGCTGCTTAACTGCGTGTTAGACCTATACTCTAATACCCCTCTGCGTGTTACCTCATGGCATGCATGGACTTTGCCGTACACAGGTTCCGGGCTGGAAGGTGGGCGAGTCCACCAGCCGCCACAGGTGGCTGCCGCCCCTGGAGTCCTTTGACAAGCGCCCGCTCGTGTAAAGCGAGCGAAAGCATGCAGGTCGGCCGCGATGCAGCAGCAGCAGCCTTACAGGAGAGGGAGGGCAGCGACAAGCGCTGCTGGGTCAGGTGCAATCTGGGTCACAGCAAGCAGGTGTGCTGGCGGCCGCAAGCACTCTTGCAGGCTTCTGGCGTAAGAAACCTGCTGCTTGGTCTTACCGCTGTCTGGTCTTTAGCATGGGAGCTGATATTCGGACTTCTTGTGCTGGGAGCTCTGGCAGGGGCGCGTGCTGTTGGGCTGTGGACGGCTGTGTGGCTGTTCCATAGCTGTCCAGCATTGTAAGGCAGAGGCGGTGCCCCTTCTCAAGAGGAGGCTTCGTCATGGGGCAGCTGCAGCGGCTGGCAGCAGCATCGGCGCATTGTGTAGCGGGGCATGCGCCTTGGATGGGCTGCAGAGGCTGGTCTAGTGCTCTGCTAGCCTGTCTGGACGGGAGGCAGCTGTAGCCGGGTCGACATGGGACGTTTGAGTCGCGCAGGAGCGGCTTCAGGGAGGCAAGGGCGTGCAGCTTCATGGGGTTATGCAGCTGGCCTCTGGAGTGGGTGCATGGCTGTGAGGGGACTCCCAGTGCTGCTGTTGGACTTCAGTGCTAGGAGATGGCAGGGGGCCCGGGGCAGTGTGTGATTCGGGCCTCAGGTATCCCCGTGTGCTGCGCCGGGATGCGATTAGCGTGTGTTTAGGGCGTGCATGGTAGTTGCGTACGGTGCACCTGTTGCCCTCTTAGCTGACCGACGTCTTCATTACTGCCTGGCTTCTAGCTGGTCGGCATGCAGCTTATTCTGGTATTAACATAGGTGTGGCACGCTTGTCAAGTCTTTCAGTAGATGCGTTGTATCGGGTGACTAGGTACCGGATTGCTTACTGGGCCATCGTTTGCCACTGGGTACGGAGGAAGGTCCAATACGACACTGTAAGCGCTCGTGCTCTCCTGATGAGGGATATTGGATGGAGTTCTTAGTAGCGGTGCAGTACTAGAGCAACTTGGAGCAATTGCTTTTGCTACAGAGGAAACAAATAGACTAGAGCTAGCAGCCCCTTCACAGTCTCTTGCATCACCGGCTTCAGTAGCCGCTAAGGTTAGGATCACACCACCTAGAAATTGGAGGAGGCCCTTTGCCATTTTAACAGATGCAAGGATAGCTAAGCATTTCAGGCTAAACAAGATAGGAGGACGTTATTCATTAGAGAGGGGGTTCCAGTCGCACAGCATATTGCAAGACGCTTAAGAATACTGGCGGGTTATGGTTGGGTACAGCTGCAAGTATGAGGTTCCCGCCGCTGGACGCGCCTGCCGAGGCTTGTCCCAATACTGGATGGGTCCTCTTATAATCTGCTACCTATGTCCCTAGCACTGGCTATGGCACTAATGATAGTCTTTGACTTCTGTCGTCGTCGGCGATTCATCAACTGTCACCGTAAAAGACCCGAACTGACGTCTACTGGGTGAAGAGTGTTTGCGACGCAATACACTCACATGTACTAACCAAAGTTGCCAAGGATTGTACATTATAGTTGGTAGCGACTACGGCTCCGGAACCCTGGGTGGTAGAGTTCGATCGCGCACTTTTCACCCGAACACACCACTTTTATTACTGTGGTAACCATGCAGCGCATCAAGGCTCCCCTCCGTGTTATCACGGCCTTGTCGGCTAGGCAGACCGTAAGCATGCATGGCTTCTACGCTTGCTAGGCTTGTTAGGACAGGCCCTCAACCTGATTTGTTTCATTGTTGACTGTTGATCCACAGGAGCTGGCGCAGCAGCGCTGGTTCGCTGCTCAGGTAACACGCATCCTTCTGCAATCGTAACGCGCTCAGGGTAGCTTAACGTGATTGCTGTCTTTTTGCAGCCGGGCCGGTCGAACGAAGAGGAGTATCAGCGATTTTCTCAGGACGCTGCCAGGTCTCATGTCAACGTAAGTCGGTTGCACTTGCACCTGCTGCCCGCACGCAACCTCGGTGCCTAACCCACGCACCGTATGCGGGCCACAGTGGCCCAAGATTCTCAACGCCCCGCTCTCGGAAGTGGATCCAGAGCTGCTGGACATTATCGAGAAGGAGAAGAACCGCCAGTTCAAGGTAGGACAGTGCCGGAGGATGGCGAAATGCCATCCAGAGGCCTCGCCGGGAATCACAAGACCTTCATCTCCGCTAGCCCATGATACAACTCACACGACCTTCCATACGCAGGGCCTGGAGCTCATTCCCTCGGAAAACTTTGTTTCTTCGTCCGTCATGGAGGCGGTTGGCTCCGTCATGACCAACAAGTACTCGGAGGGCTACCCAGGCGCCCGCTACTACGGTGGCAACGAGTTTATTGACATGGCTGAGCGGCTTTGTCAGGTGAATAATTAGCAACAATGGGGAACCGTAGGCTACCGTACGACAGTGGGAGCAGTACGGCAGCGTGGGAGTCATCTAGGGGAGTACGGCATCCCTTTGGTCATCTAGGCACGGCCATTCTGACGCACGCGTGCTGTGCTGGAGACCGGAAAACAGGGAGACGCTATCGGGTGGTGATTCAACTGGTGTACGGCGGGTTGCTTAGGCCTATGTTTGGACGATGGCAGTACGACAGTTTTGCCAATGCCTCCTGTGTACTTCGCCTGGACTTGTGATAGCGAAGAGGGCCCTAGCACGCCCTGCCGCTGTTCCTTACCCCGCCTCATCTCGCCTGGCCTCCACCCCTAACAAAACACAGGAGCGGGCGCTCCAGGCTTTCCGTCTGGACCCGGCCAGCTGGGGTGTCAACGTGCAGTCGCTGTCCGGCTCACCCGCCAACTTCCAGGTGGGGGGTGGGGAGGAGGGTGTGGGGAGGAAGGGGTGGGGAGGAAGAAACCCCATCCATGAATGGGGGGGGGGGTGGCGGGATAATTTTTAGTTTAGCCCTCGCGGTTATATTGTTCCTCTCTCCTGCCCCTCAGGCCCTTCCCCCCCTTCCCCCCCCTCCCCCCCAGGTGTACACGGCGCTGCTGCAGCCGCACGACCGCATCATGGCGCTGGACCTGCCGCACGGGGGCCACCTCAGCCACGGCTACCAGACCGACACCAAGAAGATCTCAGCCACCTCCATCTTCTTCGAGGTGAGGGGGGGGGTGGCGCCTGGTGGGGGGTGTGGCCCGGGGGCAGGCGGCGTGGGGAGAGAGGGGTTTGGCGGTGGGAGCGGCTGAGCGGGAGGGAGTGACGCAAGAGGGGGGAAGTCGCCCAGGTGTGTTTGAGGATACAGGTGAGGGTGCCTTCCCGGGCTGGTAATTTCACTGTCATTGCTTCTGCACTGCAAGACAAAGGCTGCACAAACAAACAAAGCGCTGCAGCCGAGCGTTCCAACCCTCCTTTGCTCCCTTCCCCCGCTGCCGTGCGCCTCTGCTGCCCTCCGCAGCAAATGCCGTACCGCCTGAACGAGTCGACGGGTCTGATCGACTACGACATGCTGGAGAAGACCGCCACACTCTTCCGACCCAAGCTCATTGTGGCAGGTGAGGGGTGGGGGGTGGGGTGGGGTGGTGGTGGTGGTGTGCGCTCTGCTACGGTTCGGTCGCTAACTCGCTATTGGCTCTTTTTTCGAATCTCCTGCTTTCAGGCTGCTTCCCTGAACTCCACAGCTTCTAGGCTTACGACGAGTCGGACCACCCTAATACCCTACTTGTGCCACCCTAATGTCACCCTAATACGTGTCACCCTCCCTCCCTCCCTGTCTCTCCCCCGCCCCAGGCGCCTCCGCCTACACCCGCCACTACGACTATCCGCGCATGCGGGCCATCTGCGACAAGGTGGGGGCGGGCGAGGGGCAGCGCGAGGGGGTGCGGGGGGAGCGCGCGAGGAGAGGAGGGGGGGGGTGTGCGGGGGGCACGCGAGGGGGTGCGGGGGTCGCATGGAGGGCACAGCCGGGGGGCGCATGTGCGGATGTAGACCGCTGCGGCAACCGCCTGGGGTTCGGACCGGGTAGCGCCTGGAGTAGGAGGTCGGTGGGCGGTGGCATGTCATTCCACTTTTCATTCCCTTTCCTCCCCTTTTCATTCCCCTTTTCATTCCCCTTTTCATTCCCCTTCCTCCCCCCTTTTCCCCCCCCCAGGTGGGCGCCTGGCTGCTTGCCGACATGGCTCACATCAGCGGCCTGGTGGCGGCCGACGTGGTGCCCTCGCCCTTCCCCTACGCCGACGTCGTCACCACCACCACGCACAAGTCGCTGCGAGGGCCGCGGGGAGCCATGATCTTCTTCCGGCGGGGGCAGCGCCGTACGGACGCCAAGAGCGGCAAGCCGGTGATGTACGACATCGAGGACAAGATCAACTTTGCGGTGTTCCCCGGGCTGCAGGTGAGGGAGGGGAGGAGACGTGGGGAGGAGGAGAGTGGCAGGAGCAACACTGTTGCAACCATTGCGCGCTTATTCGTCCGATGCGTGCGCCACCCCTTGTGTAACCCTGACTTACCCCGGCTGCCTCCCCCTCCCTCCCCCAGGGCGGCCCACACAACCACACCATCGCCGGTCTGGCCTGCGCGCTCAAGCAGGCGGCCACGCAGGAGTTCCAGGCCTACCAGAAGCAGGTAGGTGGGGGTGGGGGGGTGGGGTGGGGGTAATACTCGTAATAGGGGGAAAGCAGCTTACAGGTGGGGGCAAGGCCAGGAGTAACAGGGGAAAAGGTAGCCGCAACCCCCCACCACCAAGCTATAGCCCTGGGAAAGACGGGCACCTAAAAATTAAGAGACCCACCACCTGCTTCCCATGCCCTCCTTTGCAACCGCTCTCTTCTTCCCTCCCTCCCTCCTCACCCTCCGCCCCCCGCTCCCCCCCCTCTCCCCCCTCCCCCTCCCCCTTCCAGGTCCTGTCCAACAGCCAGGCCCTGGCCGCCGGCATGTCCCGCCGCGGCCACACGCTGGTGTCCGGCGGCACCGACAACCACATCGTGCTGGTGGACCTGCGGCCGCGCGGGGTGGACGGCGCGCGGGTGGAGCGCGTGCTGGAGCTGGCGCACATCGCCGCCAACAAGAACACGGTGCCGGGCGACGTGAGCGCGCTGGTGCCGGGCGGGCTGCGCATGGGCAGTCCGGCGCTGACGTCACGCGGGTTCGTGGAGTCGGACTTTGACCAGGTGAGGTGGAGGAGTGGTGGAGGGTAGGGGTGAGGAGGGAGGGTGGTGGTAGTGGCGGAAGGGGTTGAGAGAGAGAGTGTGGTGGTGGTTAGGACGGTTGGCGGTACTGCTGGTGAAGGGGAGTGTGTGGCGCGGGAAGGGGCGGGGGTAATGTGGCTGACGACGTGACGACTGATGAGGGGTGTGTGGGCTTCTGCTGTCGTGTCTTCCGCCCAGCGCCTTCTCCCAACGCTTACCTCGGTCGCTCCTCCTCCTCTGCCCTCTTCCCCCTAACCCCCCTCCTCCCAGGTTGCCGAGTTCGTGGACCGGGCGGTGACCATCGCGGTGGGGCTCAAGAAGCAGTTCCCCAAGCTCAAGGAGTTCAGGGAGGCGCTGAGCAAGGAGGTGCGGGAAGCAGGGAGGGAGGAAGGGAGGGAGGGAGTGGAGATACCGGTAGGGGAGGGGGTGCAAATGCACGGAAGTGGAGGCGTACCTGCCTCCGCCTGCTGCTGCTGCTGCTGCTGCTGCTGTCCGCTGTCCTGTCCGCGCACCCTCCTGCTGCTGCTGCTGTCCCTTTAGCCCCATCTTTGTCTCTCCACACTCCGCCGCTGCTGCACACCGCCCTGCTGCTGCACACCGCCCGCCCGCTGCTTCTAGAGGCCCTCCACACTCCGCCTGCTGCCGTCCCCCCGCTCCCCCAACCCGTCCCCCCGCCCTAACCTATGGTTCCGGTACCTCTCTGCCCCCCCCTCCGCCCGCAGGTTCCCTCCGACATCACCTCCCTCAAGAAGGATGTGGAGGTGTTCGCCAAGCGCTTCCCCACCATCGGCTTCGAGAAGGCCACCATGCGGTACCAGGATTGAGCGGAGGAGGAGGAGGAGGAGGGCTGAGGAAGGGGAAGTGAGGAAAGATGGACCTTCTTGACGATGGTGGCAATCCAGGAAGGGAGGGAGGCCGGTTGAGCACGCCGTGCCGTGCAGGGTTTGAAGAGGCTGCAAGGAGGTGCTGGGGCTACCGATAGGGGGCTGGGCTCGGCTGCACACCCGGAAGTGGAGGCTGAGAGGTGCCTCGGGGTCCGGGAAACGGGTACAGCGGTTCATAATGATAGAAGGGGCCACTGCTCGGAAAATCGCGGGCGGGCACAGTCCGCATGGACCCTGGTTTCTCGTAAAGGCATGTTGAGGCAGGAACGAGCAGGAACCGTGAGAGGCAAGCAAGCGTAATTGAAACTTGCAAACGTGATGGAAACTGTACAGTTTTGGCAGGAATGGACCGAATAGTACAGGTATTGCACACGTTCGGCGATCAGCTCCTGAATGCAGAGCGGATGACATCCATGCATGATTTGTACGGCACACGCTGTACGGTCGATAAACCTTTTCTGCTGCGGATTTCCCTGCGCATTACCGCACCTTTTGCCCTGAACCTAATTCTTGGCATTGTTAACTCTGGACGTGTCTCGGGCTCTGCAAAGTACCATCGACTCAACAAAAACCAGCCAGGTACGGAGTCAGCCAGCAGCTAGTGAGGGTAGCTAGGAAAACGGTTTGTCATAAGCCAACAACGATTTCATGGCCCCTGTATACTGGCGCAGCAGCAGCTCGCCATACATTACAGCTCGCATGTTATATGTGTCCGCATGAACATTGTTGCCGTATGAGGCAGCTGGAGGGCCGAGGAGCCCCTCACGGGCTGCCACGAGTTGTTTTGCGTAGGTGGTTCCTGTTTGTCACGAACGTTGAACTAGCCCACCTACACATTGGCTAGTCATGTATGCCGCTAAGCAACATTCGTCACGGGCTCTGACGCTTTCTCATGTAAATGTCCAGATGGCGTAGACTTCAAAGCATCCCATGATGAGTGACAAATGCAGTGGCACTACGTTGTACACCAATGGCTACGCCATTGGTGCAGTCAACGGCGTAGCAATGCCTGGTGCGACCCATGGGTCAGTAAGCACACCAGGGAAGCGCTACCTGTTGGCACCGGCATGCCGTGGCTCATGAATCAAGTAAGGAAGGGGGGCAGCGGCGACGGTTACAGCCGGTGCAAGAAGCGTGTCTCTATGCATGTAAGTAGCATAAGCAGGGCTAAGGATAGGGGACATGGCCGGGTTAGCCTCACCACCAACTGCTGGACGTAAAGTAGTCGGTTGCTCCAAATCCTTGGTTAAGTAGTTGCAGGCCACTTATGACCCATGGGTCTCATGGCTGACAAGCAGGGCTGCCGCAGCCAACGAAGTGGTAATCAAGGCGTGCGCTTTGAGATGTTGGGGCACTCGGGCGCAAGGAAGCTATCTAGGCTAGATAGCGGTACGCTTGCTACGCCAGTCCATGCACTGGTTTTGCAGCATGTAGCTTTGCGTAAGGCAGGACTGGACGGGTGCGCTGACAAGATCAGCTGGTGCGGGTTAGTTGTGAAGGCGAGCATGTGTAAGCATCTTGGCACACGGACAGCGTCGGGTTAAGGAATGAAGGGCCTATCTAACGTACGAAAACTCAACCAAGCGCGTGCGTGGCACGGATTTCAAGGTCCATAACCAGGCCATTGGACACCGTACCGCATGCATGTACGGCTATTCAATTAGTATGTTTTGTATTCACTGAAGTCGTAGCGCTTTCCACTCCAGGTGTCTACAAGCTCGCTCACCATCCTACGCCCTTCCAGCAGCAACAAGGATTGAGTTAAAGACGGCCAAAGGGAATACCAACCATCCGCCACCGCCTGCTAACACTACCGGTACTAGCTTGCAGCCACGATTGATCGACGCTGCCTCTCCTTATGCAACTAATCGACTGTACATGTATATGATGAGCCATAGACCATGCATGCGTGCGCCAAGCCACAACACCCGTATGTCTAGTACTTCTTCTCCTTCTTGTCGAACTTGATGGTGTACTTCCAGGCCTTGCCGGGCTCCAGGACCTCCGAAACGAGCACACCGGAAGCGCCGGTATAGCGGCCCGTGCCACCGGTGATGGCAAAATCGGACTTGGCGCCCTGGCGGTTGGGATGGTGGCAATCGGGGGTGGGCATAGAGGTCAGTCGCTACGCTGGGAACAGGGGGCTGTCATCAGATAATCCGCAGGCATTCCCAGGCCCGCCACCACCCTTACCGCCGAAAACGAGCGTCTGCCAATAGGATAGCGCCGGCTTACCTTGGCCTCGTTCTCGCGGCCCTGCACGGCGATGGTGCCGTACTTGTCTAGGGTGATGCTGATGAGGCAGTAGTTGACGCCGCCAGCAGCGGAGGAGGGCGCAAGAACCGTGCAAATGCCAGCAGTGCGCCCGATCTGGTTGGGACGGGAGGGGGCGCAGGGGAGGATAAGAAGTTGGATTGATGTCGTAAAGGCTTCATACTGGAGGCAGAGAAGGGCATGCTCATGCACGCAGGCAGGCAGGCAGGCAGGCTGCATCAATTGGATAAACAATGCCAGTGACTAAGGGGCCCGCGCGTCTTGAAAATGAAACAGGGTATACGCCTACGTGGCGGCCTGCCTGCACCATGTCGTAACACTACCCAATGTATGGCAGATCTTCGCCGCTCACCCTCTTCCCGTTGGGCGAACCACCCAGCGCGACAGGACTGGTGAAGCCGTAAGTGCAGCCGACATCAAAGCAACCACTGCAATGAACGAAAGCGCACGGAAGCGGGGTTGACGGGATGAGCGGGGTCATCGTCTTGATAGCAGTGTTTCCAGCCAGGGCATGCATGCATGGCGGCTTCTTACGCGGTGGTGGCAGTCTTGTCCACAAACTCCGTCACCACAAGCGGGTTCTCCTTGTACCAGCCATCGTCCTCCGTGGCCAGGGCGGGACCGGCCAGCAGTGCAAGCACCAGCGCCAGGAGGCCGACAAACACGGAGCGAGGCATGTTGGGAATAATGTTTGCTGTGTACGTACTGAACCAGCTACTACCAATTGACCTGCTTGGCAGTTTAGATGCCGGTGCGAGGAATGACGGTGCGCTTATATATGGCCAGCAAAGGAATCACAACGGCTGTCAGTTGGTACGGAACCTCAGTTGCCTCGAGCAAGCTGCCTCGAACGGCTAGGCCAAGCAAGACCGCGAGACCCACAAACACGGAAGCTATGTGTGGTGCCATAGGCAACCGAAGCACACCGCAGCTGGCGAAAGTGCTTGTAACACAGACAAGGCAAGTCGGGCCGCCTGCTCCTGCTGTGACAAGAGTGCTTTGCGTGTTCCATCACACCTCGGTAGCAACTGCTGGTCTAAATACCCCGAATCTGCTCACCGTTACCATCCAGCATAGGTCACGGCTGCCTGGATAGGGTTGAACACCTGCATGGGCAGCAAAGGCAAGCACCATTGCTGCTTCCACTAGCCTAGCGTCCTTCCTAACCTAAGCAAGGGGATGGCTGTAGCGGTCTGGATGGCCGGGTCACCTAGATAACGAGTTTGTGGCATATCGATGTGCAGACACCTACACAAGCTACTGCTTACAACTACCCGAGCGTGCAGAACCTGCACAACGGGGCAAGGACTAAGCAAGCACTTCATTCGTACGCCTTTTGTGATTGCTTGCTCACGTCAAACCCCATGACGAGTGAGGGCACATGTATGTGACCCATGGGTCTCATGGCTTACGTACACGGCTGCTGCCGCAGCCAACGAAGTGGCCACGTAGCTTGCAAGTACAAAGCGATCCCATGTCCGTTTTGGGAAACGCATGTTGGAGAACACACCTGCAGGTTGGGTGCGCCAGTTAAAAGTTGTTCGGCAGGCGAAGATATATTCCCGCCTTTAGCCTGCAGCCCTGCTAGGCATGCAAAACCCAGACATGACTGGCATTTCCCGTGCATGTGAGGTATGCGCTTTGAGATGTTGGGTGCTGGGCTACGAGAAGCTAGGCTAGATAGCGGTACGCTTGCTACGCCAGTCCATGCACTGGTTTTGCAGCATGTAGCTTTGCGTAAGGCAGGACTGGACGGGTGCGCTGACAAGATCAGCTGGTGCGGGTTAGTTGTGAAGGCGAGCATGTGTAAGCATCTTGGCACACGGACAGCGTTGGGTTAAGGAATGAAGGGCCTATCTAACGTACGAAAACGCAACCACGCGCGTGCGTGGCACGGATTTCAAGGTCGATAACCAGCAGGCCATTGACCACGTACCGCATGCATGTACGGCTATTCAATTAGTATGTTTTGCATTCACTGAAGTCGTAGCGCTTTCCGCTCCAGGTGTCTACAAGCTCGCTCACCATCCTACGCCCTTCCAGCAGCAATAAGGGTTGAGCAATAAGACGGCCAAAGGGGTACCAACCATAACGCCACTAGCTTGCAGCCACGATTGATCGACGCTGCCTCTCCTTATGCAACCAACCGACTGTACATGTATATGATGAGCCATAGACCATGCATGCGTGCGCCAAGCCACAACACCCGTATGTCTAGTACTTCTTCTCCTTCTTGTCGAACTTGATGGTGTACTTCCAGGCCTTGCCGGGCTCCAGGACCTCCGAAACGAGCACACCGGAAGCGCCGGTATAGCGGCCCGTGCCACCGGTGATGGCAAAATCGGACTTGGCGCCCTGGCGGTTGGGATGGTGGCAATCGGGGGTGGGCATAGAGGTCAGTCGCTACGCTGGGAACAGGGGGCTGTCATCAGATAATCCGCAGGCATTCCCAGGCCCGCCACCACCCTTACCGCCGAAAACGAGCGTCTGTCCATAGGATCGCGCCGGCTTACCCTCGCCTCGTTCTCGCGGCCCTGCACGGTGATGGTGCCGTACTTGTCGAGGGTGATGCTGATGAGGCAGTAGTTGACGCCGCCAGCAGCGGAGGAGGGCGCAAGAACCGTGCAAATGCCAGCAGTACGCCCGATCTGGTTGGGACGGGAAGGGGCACGCGGGAGAAGGATAAGAAGTTGGATTGATGTCGTAAAGGCTTCATATTGGAGGCAGAGACGAGCATGCTCATGCACGCAGGCAGGCAGGCAGGCAGGCTGCATCAATTGGATAAACAATGCCAGTGACTAAGGGGCCCGCGCGTCTTGAAAATGAAGCAGGGTATACGCCTACGTGGTGACCTGCCTGAACCATGCCGTAGCACTACCCAATGCATGGCAGGTCTTCGCCGCTCACCCTCTTCCCCTTGGGCGAACCACCCAGCGCGACAGGACTGGTGAAGCCGTAAGTACAGCCGACATCAAAGCAGGCACTGCAATGAACGAATGCGCACGGGAGCGAGGTTGACGGGATGAGCGGGGTCATCGTCTTGATAGCAGTGTTTCCAGCCAGGGCATGCATGCATGGCGGCTTCTTACGCGGTGGTGGCAGTCTTGTCCACAAACTCCGTCACCACAAGCGGGTTCTTCTTGTACCAGCCATCGTCCTCCGTGGCCAGGGCGGGACCGGCCAGCAGTGCAAGCACCAGCGCCAGGAGGCCGACAAACACGGAGCGAGGCATGTTGGGAATAATGTGTGCTGTGTACGTACTGAACCA